CAGCGCGTCCCAGCTTGCTGGAGTCTACCCTAAAGACAACACAAGGGAACTAAACATGATGGAGGATGAAAAGTTCGATGCGCTCATGGCTAACCATCGACGATTCATGGCGGAAATTGGCGATGTAAAGGTCCGCGATATCATTGAGCCGTTGACCCAGCTACAACACATTGACAACCAGCTCGCTCATCAGCTGTGGGTCGTCGCATTCCCGATCTACTGGTCTGCGACTTTGCGCGATGAGAGACCTGAGCTTCAACACGGTATGGTTTCGCTGTTAACCAAGGACTATCACAGCCGCCAAATTGACAAGCGGCCCAATGTCGTCCAGTCTTTGATAGAAGGAGCAGCAAAGACTTGGCCCGAGTGCAGGCTTCCTCCGCATGTCTTGAAGTTTGAAGCAAAGACGTACGATGCTTGGTATACAGCCCTAGTACAGCTTGAGAATGCGGCCATCAAACCTGGCAGTGACTCGGCTACTGTTCGTGAGAGTAATCTTGATGCGCTTGTGGATCTCTACTCCTCCTTACAGGAAGATGACCTTTTCTATGGGACTTGGCGTCGTCGTTCCCAATTTGTGGAGACAAACGCTGGTCTTTCCTATGAACAGAATGGCATGTGGGACAAAGCCCAGAAACTTTATGAGGCAGCGCAGATCAAGGCAAGAACTGGCGTGATCCCATTCTCCCAAGCGGAGTATATGATTTGGGAAGATCACTGGGTCCTTTGTGCTCAAAAGCTGCAGCAATGGGAAATCCTTCAAGATTTTGCCAAGCACGAAAACTTCCAAGACTTGCTGCTCGAATGCGCTTGGCGCAACACGGACATGTGGCAGGATGAGCAGCACCGTGAGGCTCTGGATAATATTATCAAAGGAGTCATGGATGCCCCCACCCCACGACGAGCTTTCTTCCAGGCATTCATGTCTCTGCTCAAGTTCCACAACCAGCAAGAACCGGCAAACGATTTCGCCCGCGTGTGCGACGAAGCGATACAGCTGTCTATCAGAAAATGGCACCAGCTTCCCGTCCGATTAACAAATGCCCACATTCCCTTGCTCCAAAGCTTCCAACAACTGGTTGAGCTGCACGATGCTAGTGTCATCTGCCAGAGCTTAGCCAATACCAATGCAACAAACCTCGACGTCAAGTCAGGAGAGCTGAAGTTGCTGCTGGGCGCTTGGCGGGACAGACTTCCCAATGTCTGGGACGATATCACTGCTTGGCAAGACTTGGTTACCTGGAGACAACATATTTTCAACCTCATCAACCAGACATATCTCCAACTGCTCCCACAGCAGGGCCAGCAAAACGCAGGGGGTGCTTCTTTTGCTTACCGCGGCTTCCACGAAACAGCCTGGATAATTAACCGGTTTGCTCATGTGGCGCGGAAGCACAGCTTGCCAGAAGTTTGCATTAACCAGCTCAGCCGTATCTACACCCTTCCAAACATTGAGATTCAAGAAGCCTTCTTGAAACTCCGCGAACAGGCCAGATGTCACTACGAAAATCCCGAGGAGTTGAATAGCGGATTGGATGTCATAAACAATACAAATCTGAACTACTTCAATCCCCAGCAGAAGGCCGAGTTCTACACGTTGAAGGGCATGTTCCTCGAGAAGCTCAAACACAAAGAGGAAGCTGATGCCGCATACGGCACAGCTTTGTATTTCGACATTGGAGCGGCCAAGGCCTGGGCTGAATGGGGATACTTTAATGATCGCAGATTTAAGGAAGATCCTGCAGATTTGAATGCGGCGAGACAGGCACTGACGTCCTACTTGCAAGCAGCCAGTAGCTACAAGAATGCAAAGTCGCGGAAGCTCCTTGCTAGAATTCTTTGGCTACTGAGTCTGGACGATGCTAAGGGCTCTATCGCTGCAGGATTTGATGATTTCAAGGGAGAGACTCCAACATGGTACTGGATCACATTTATTCCACAATTGCTGACTGGTTTGGGGTATAAAGAGGCACCAAGAGTGTATCAGATCCTTCTTGGAATCGCAAAGTCGTATCCTCAGGCTCTCTACTTCCAACTCAGGACAAACAGGGAAGACATGATGGCCATCAAGAAAACTCAGGAAGCCAAAGAAAAGGCGCGACTTCGAGCTCAGTCCGTTACTGCTAACGGCAAAGCTAGCACTTCTCCTGTACAGACGAAACAGGAGGCACCGAAGGCTGAAGGAAGCGCATCACGACCAGGCACAGCCACCGCGGGCGATGGAACTCAAGTCAAAACTGAAAATGGAGATGCTAATGGCACAACATCGGCGACACCTGCACCTGCAAACGGCGCCCAGGGAGGCCAAGAGCAAACACCATCTCAAGCTCCGGCCCAAGGCCAGGCGCAAGCGCAGCCGGCGGCCCAAAACCAGAAAAGGCCGCCATGGGAGCTGACTGAGGAAATCATGTCAGTACTCAAGACAGCATTCCCGTTGCTGGCACTCTCAATGGAGACCATGGTGGATCAGATCCAAAAGCACTTCAAATGCCCGCCAGACGAAGACGCATACCGCCTCATTGTTGCGCTACTTAACGATGCTCTGACATATGTTAGCAGGACGCCGTCTTCCTTTGCGAAGAGCGTCAAGCTCCCCTCAGCGACTGAAACTAACATTACGCGATTTGCTGAGACAATCTTGCCAAACCACATAAAGAAGTCGTTTGAAGCCGATTTTGTTGAAGTGAAGCCTACCATGTACGAGTATATTCACAAGTTGAGGCGATGGCGGACAAAGTTCGAAGAGAAGCTGGACCGTCGGATTGTACACACCCCTCTGGAGGCGTTCTCTCCTCACCTGAGCGAATTCCGGTATCAAAAGTTTGACGAAGTCGAGATTCCCGGACAGTATCTTCAACACAAGGATAAGAATCAGGATTTCATCCGCATAGAGCGATTCTTGCCTAATGTCGATTTGATACGATCCGTCAATGCGTCGTACCGGAGACTTAAAATGCGTGGTCACGATGGCAGCATTCACTCATGGGCTGTCCAGCACCCCGCTGCCAGACACTGCCGACGAGAAGAGAAGATCTTGCAGCTCTTTAGACACCTCAACCAGACTTTGAGCCGCAAGAAGGAGAGCCGACGACGAGACTTGCAATTCACTCTGCCACTAATGGTTCCCTTGGCACCACATATAAGAATTGTGCAAGAGGATACGTCATATATCACGTTGCATGGCGTTTACGAGGATCATTGCCGGCGGATGGGCATGTCTAAAGACGAGCCGGTTTTGTTCACGCTGGAGAAGCTTCGAGGGGTTCTTGAATCCAAGGGAGGACAGGTAAGCCATTATTCCGACATGGGAGAGTGCACAGCGAACATGATTACTAACTTGAGCCATCACCAGTCGAAGCCTGAGCTGACGCCTACGGCGCGGTTGGAAGTCTTCAACGCAATCCAAGAGAAGTGGGTGCCATCGACTGTGGCATTGGAGTATTTCCAGCAGGCCTTCCCGCAATTCGCCGAATTTTGGCTATTCCGAAGGCAGTTTTCATACCAGCTGTCGGCATTGACGTTCATGACCTACATCTTGTATATGCACAACCGATACCCAGCCAAGATGAACATTGCGCGTGGGTCTGGCAACATCTGGGGCTCAGAACTCATGTCATTCATGAGCGCGTCCAAGCCGTTCTTCCACAACCCAGAGCCGGTGCCATTCCGCCTCACGCCGAACTTGCAGGCGCTCATGGGGCCTTTGGCCATGGAGGGAATCTTTGCCTGCTCAGTCATGGCGATTGCACGGTGCTTGACGGAACCGGAGCATGAGCTTGAGCACGCATTGACTCTGTTTGTCAGGGACGAAATGATGTTCTGGCTGATGAACAGCCACAGAAGCGGCATCAGCGAGAACCAGCTTCGCGACTCGGTGCAGCTCAACAGCGATTCCATTGTGAAGCGAGCCATCAGCTTGGCGCATAACCCGTCGGGCAACTTGCCTGCGAACCAGACAGTCATTGATGCGATCGCGAAGGCTGTGAACCCAATGAATCTGGCGCAGTGCGACGCTTTGTGGATGCCATATCTGTAGTTCATACAGCAGTTGGATCTTTATAAAAAAAAATTAAGAGAAAAAAACAGCATTTTTTTTTACTTTTTTCTTCTTTTTGTCATTCAGGACTAGAAAGAACAGACTTAGGATGAGAGAGATGGAAGAGGGAGGGAATTGCAATTTTGGTATTATTCCATTCAGCAAGGCGTTGGGCAAGGGAAGTGGGAGGCTCGAGTGTTTTCCTTTTCCTTTTTTTTACCTTTTTTCTTCTTGCTCATGTCTTTTTAAGTAATAATAAAATTAGGAGGACGAGGGAAACGTGCTCAGGGTACATGTATTCACGATAAAGCTAGATTTTTGCTAATGAGGGATGCGGGTACGTTGAATCGGGGGTTTCATGGATTTGGAGAGAGCATAGAATTGGTAAAATGCAAAGATTTATACTCATACTGCTGTTTTTTCTTCGATTCGATGGTGTTGTGATGGTGTAATGTGAAGTTGCTACTATTTGCTGTTGCCTTGTTGCATTTGCTGACGGTGTTTGGCTGCATCCATTAACAAGATGTGTTTTGTCAGCTAGTAGTGAAGTTTGGCGGCGATGAGATCAACCTCTTCTGTGTCTTTATAGCTCTTGTAACGCGACAAGGAAAGAATGTGAGCGAGGAAGAGCTAGATTCGTCGACGATATGGTCGATCAAGTCTCCGTTTTCCTCTGACGGTGGCTTCACCTTCTTGTGCAGTCCGATCAAAGCTGCTGACATGAAGTACGAGGCCGAATATTTGACTTATTAGAGAACGTTACAACAGGGAAACATACAAGGACGCATATATAATATGTATTGAGATGTGAATTATAGCTGTAATCTATAACCACGCGCTATCCTGTGCAAACGAAACCTCCCCCTTCTAATGAAGCAGTTGTACAGCTAGAATTTCTCTATTTGCGTGGGTAGCTATAAGTGGCAGCCTCAGATCCACGCGAAAGTCCTTCGTCTTCAATGATTCACAAACCACCAGCCTTGCAAACATTGGTTGCCAAGCCGACCTGCTTAGCATAGCGGTCTGGGTAAGCAGAACGCTGAATCTTCTGACAAAGCGTGCCAACAGCCATGGTTTGCCAGCCACTTACTTTCTTCATTTCGGCGAAGAACTGACCGGCAGAGCAGGCGGCGTCCATGTCACATTTGACGTTCTTGTAGATGGAAGCGCGCTGTTGGAAGAGACCGACGCGATCATGGTCGGAACCAATGCGGTCATGGGGATATTTGAGGGATCCGGGAACTGCCTTGTTGGCATACATGATGATGCTAGACTATATTGATTGCGTATAATTAGTAAATAACGAGCAATAGCACTAATAATAAGTGTATGCTTGAACGAACCTCGACCATGGCAGTCGCGATAGCTGCTTGGCAACCATGTGAGCCGACGTCATCTGCCTTGGCTTTTGCAATGATGGCGTTGGCGTATTTGGTCTGTACTGCGTTGAGGCCAGGGAGATTGGCTCGGCGGTCGATATCGGCTTCGACGGCGGGAGCTGCAATAGCGGCAGAGACGCCGAGGGCGAGGTAGGAGACGACACTGGAGAACTTCATGTTTGGAGGTGGTAGACGGATTTCAGGGCTTCAAGAAGATGGTGAGAAATCTTTGTTGGTGATTGGCTTTGCTAGCTCTGCTCGGAAACAGGAGAACGTAGGGCGTCTTTATATCTGGAGAACCTAGGAATCAATGTTACGCTTTGTATATGTTACTCCCTACATCGTATTTGCTAAGTTGCGTTTGTATGAAGAACTGAGACAGAGGTAGGCCAAAACCAGGTTTTCGGACCACAGCATTCTGATTTGACCCTTCGTTTCAGACCGAGATGACCGTCTACTCCTACCTTCTCTTTAGTATGTTTAAGATTCATTTACTAATCTGGCGCTTGTGTGTCAATCATCATTTGCGTCAATCATGAGATACACAAGTAAAGACGGCCTGGGGAACGAGAAGCGGCTCGAGACTGAGACATGCATGAAGGGAGAGTTGCTCATTTCCTGGGGTATTGGCTCAAGAAAGCTCACCACAGAGCCCTAACCATGATGGGGTCTCACAAAGCATTTCTTTCACATCATATTAGATAATCAGCTTAAAAATCGCTGACTCTGATGCTGAAAGGAAGCGGATATGAACCCCTGCTGCTAATAATTGCGAGGGCGAATTCGATGCGTCATGTGTGGTAGTAATGGAGACCTCAAATGGGAGCGGCTCTTTAGAGCCAGCATCGCTGGCTAAGACTTTACAAGGAATCTCAGAGCCGGTATCATAATTACTTGGTCAATTATCGCTCTTTTATTACGCATTTCCTCAAACAGCTGCAAAGACGCTGTATGGTTTCGATCCCGCGTTTGTCAATCTTTCACGCCTATTCATGCCCTTTTCGCTCCCAAAATCTTCCGTTGATGCTATTTGTAAGAGATCCTCCACCAAGATCTTTGTAAAATTGAAATTCTCCATATATCTAGACACTAAACAGTTACAGAGCTCAAATCTTCTTTTGGTAGCAACTCACTTTGACCTTTGACAGTAACAGGGAATTGCTTGGTATACGCGGCTTCTGTTGGCTTTGAAGATAGCTTGACAAAGAAAAGCGCCGTGTCTACTGGCCCAGTCCACAAATCTTCTACGTATTACGGTATGCACATATTTTGAAGTCAATAACACTGATCATTGACGCTTCGAATGTCCTAATGAATCTTTTACTATTTCGGATCATAAGACAACAAAGGCGTACAGTACTGTCATGTATCGTGAAGCATCCCAGTACCTGTATCTATAAATAGAAGTGGATCGCAAGCAATGTGCGCAGCAGTACAATCATTACCAACATCGAGAATCGTTCACACCGTTTGCGTTTTATTCATTCATATCTCGTCTATGTTAGGTTTATTGTGCCAAATGTGCATGTTGCTGTGTTAAGAACACAATGTTGCTCTATTATTTGTCCAGGTGCAATGCATTCGTGTGTGCGGCTTTGTTCTTTCAACATCTTCCTCAGCCTCTCGCTTGTACTGCGATCATTGAACTCTGGCCTGGATATAGGCCTGGAACGATTCTGTCGCGTTTAAGAGAGTTTGAATGAATGATGGACGAGAAGAATTTTTTTTTTTTAAAAAAAAAAACAAAGAGTTTGTATAATTTACGTCTCTCTTCATTAATTCACTGCATTATTCTGTTGAACAGAAGATGTATGCCGTGCCTGTTCAAGCTATACTGTTGCACTATGCCATTACGACTAGGCAGCGACAGTGTCGGATCCAAAATTATAAGATTTCAAGTTCTCCCCCTTTGCACTTTTTGCTCTCAATAGAATTATCAGCGAATATCTACATTGACCCTCTCTTCAGGCGACTCAATTATTCTTCACTCATCAACCCAGTCACCGTCTCGTACATCCCCTCATCCATCCTCTTATCCTCTCATCTAGTGTCCATCTATTTACACAAGATGGACGGGAAAGTGGCGTGGATGCCGTTCCCACCGTACATGTCTCGCGGAAAAAGTGAGAACATCCGGCTAGGAGCGATCATAGCCAATCCTTTTCGCCCCAATGAAGTGCTTACGACTGTCAACAACTCGCTATTGGATGCCTTTTATCCTCGGATAACAGAGAAACAGCAAATTAATCGCTTCTTCACGTGGTTTGCCGGACTAACTGCTCCTTCTTTTTGGAGAAGTTGCTGGGAGCATTTTTCTAGTGGGATGTCGATGTTATCCATCAACAAAGAGAAGTACACCAGATTCGAGCTTGAAGCAAGTGTTCTTGTAACGAAAGAATTCGCCGAAGATCCCAAACAAACGGAGGTCGTGTCTCGATTGGAAAGTCCTACGGTCCACCAGTATGTGAACGAGCCTACATGGCTATCACTGGGACTCTGGAGTCGGGAAAACCCAGTTTACATGATTACCGGGCTGAAATTTGCCAAAGGCAAAGTCGTTTGCCGGAATATGAACGTCGAGATCAATGAGCTTCGGTTCAGACATGGCATAGCCGACCCGATCACCTGGATTGATCCGAAACAGGAGGGCAGTTCGGTACACCAATGGGAGAAGGACGAGGAAACCATTGTCGCATACAAATTGCTGAAGATTGAGAAGAACCACCAGCGAAAGAATGATTCCGATGATGAGCTCATCCTGACTGAAGCTACCGTGAAGGGCTCTGAATGCTTCTATTAAACAATGTTGCTGCGCGTTGTTTGTCATTGGGGTGAGTTGGTTTAGAATGCGACGATGGATGAATCTCACAAGCTATCTGGTTATTTATCTCTAGATTTTCTATTCATCACCAGATTTTGTCTTGACTACCCGATTTTCTATTTGTCACCAGATTTTTCCCTTTTCACCAGATTTTTCCTTTGTCACCAGATTTGCTCTTTACCACAATTTGCTCTTTACTACCAAATTTGCTCTCTATCACCAGATTCTCTATCACCAGATTTTTCCTTTCTCGTCAGATTCGCTCTTTATCACCATATTTGCTCTTTACTACCGGATTTTCTTTCTACCACCAGATGTTCTCTCTATTACTAAATTTGCTCTTTATCACGAATTTGCTCTTTGTCTCCAGGTTTTTCTTTACCACCAGATTTTCATTCTACCACCAGATTGTCTATTTATTTTTAAGCTAGTTTTCAACAAGATCTTTCTTTGTAACCCTTTTCTCTTTTCCTCTTCAGTGTCTTTGTCTTATGATAGTAGCTCGCCTGAAGCGAAATGACGCCTAAACAATGCTTAGGCTATATGCGACTTTAAAACTTTATTGATCCGAAAAATTAAATCAGCTAATTTGGTTTCATAGATACAAATAGACAATCCTGCTAGGCATTACAGTCAAGGCGTTGCCTGTTTACAAAGATTGCTTGGCTATAAAACGATCAAGTTTCCGATCGGAGATGGGCTCGGGGCGACGAAGCTAAATACTCCGAGGTGCTTGATAACCAATGAATGATATCTTGATTGCACTGGAAGGCTGAGCGATGCGATAAGCGATCCATTGACTTCAGGCACAAGTCAAATACTGTCCCAAAATGTGCCCGTATTGCCTCAGTGTCCGGATTTCCGGTATCGCATTCTAGAGACCGTTTCCCAAATCGGGACAATCAACAGTGCCTGGATCTGGATACCCCAGATTCAATGTCATCTGACGCACTAACGAGATCCTATTCTGCTACCGTCCAGCATTCATTGTCGTTAACTGCCCCTCTTAGGCTAAGACTGGGCGACTGTCTGTGGGTTAACAAGATGCTTACCCGCTGTATAGTTCGGCTTAGTCCCGCTCTAATGAAACCCCAGAGGCGCCTCTTTATGCCGCGGTTCCCATTTCCAAGCCCTTATTGCAAATTAGCCAAGGGCCGTAATGGACCGAAGGTTTTGTCTATTGTACGTAGCGCTAACATCTGGCGCTGGATAAAGAGTCCGATGTTCGCAAGATGGCGGTATCTCCCTTGCAGACGCTCGCTGGTCGGCTTAATTGGAGGGTGGGATTCGGCAAATGGATCATGGGGAACAGGGGCCAATTATTAAGAATGGATAAACACGTAGACAGATAACCGACGGCAGGGGGAGGTGAGGAGAATCGAAAAGCAGTGGAGGACCCAGCCATAAACTGACAAATGTGCCTCGGCCCATTTTCCATGCATATGTAGGACAAGATCCCGACTTTTGGTGTTGAGTGGACAGCAAGGCGTCTCGGCATTTTAATCGCAAGGTTTGGGTTCTCAACAAAAGACTTAAGAAGCTTAATAGAATTGGGAGTTTCAAGCATTTATCGTATACCTGTAATACGTTTCCTAAGGGCAATTACCACAACGATACGCCACAATGGCCAGCACGAGTTTCGACAAAATGCCACGGAAGCTGTGGGAGCATCCAGATCGCAAGAGCACCGTCATGTGGCGATTTATGCAGGAAGCGAACAAGAAATTCAATTTAAATATGCAGGTAAGCCAGGCTTTTGAACTCATAGTTTGCTTTGCAGATAAAGCGACAGCATATGCGCTGGTATGTGAGGCTAATATCACACAATTAGTCCTTCAAAGAGCTCTACAGCTGGTCATGTAAACACCGCAGCGACTTTTACCAGCACCTTTGGGAATTCCACCCCATGATCCACGAGGGCGCTTATACTCGCGTGGTCGACGAGTCCATTCCCCTCACCGAGCTGCCTCGATGGTTTGAAGGCGTGCGTCTCAACTGGGCCGAAAACGCCCTCTATACCCGAGACACTTCATCACCGTCTGCTGAGGCGCGCAACACGCTGAACAAAGAAGACGCCAAGATTGCATTCACAGAGGTGCGAGAAGGAAACACAGAAGTGCGACACGTAACATGGCGAGAACTCCGCAAAGAGGTCGCGACACTGGCGGCAGCGCTGAAGGAGAGAGGCCTGAAGAAGGGCGACCGCGTAGTCATTGTGGCGGGCCATTCGCTGAGGACGTACGTTGTGTATCTGGCGACGACGTGGCTGGGAGGCATCTTCAGCAGCAGCTCGACGGATATGGGCGTTGGCGGGCTGCTGCAGAGGGCAGTGCAGGTGAATCCAAAGGTGAGTGAGAGATATCGTGAGATGAGATGGAGTATGAGAGGTGAGATGAGATGAGACTAACATGCTTTGCCTTACTTTATAGTTTGTCTTCTTTGATGATGGCGCCTTGTACAACGGCAAGACGCTTGATCTGAGAAACAACATCCAAGGCATGATCAACGGCATGACTGAATGCGACCAGCTGCAGTCCTTTATCATCATCCAGCGCTTTGCCAAGCCCTATGACACAAAGGCCATCACCAAGGCTGAGCGGTTCGAAGACTTTGTCCAAGCCGGTGCCAACAAGCCACCTCCGCCTCCCGTCCGCGTTGATTTCCAGGATCCGTCTCTCATCGTCTTCTCCTCCGGCACAACAGGCACGCCCAAGGCTCTCGTACACGGAGTTGGCCCATTGCTCCTATCCATAACGAAAGAAATTCACATCCACAGGGGCATCGGGCCCTCAGACGCCGGTCTGCAATACACCACCACCGGCTGGATCATGTACCAGTCTAGTATCGCTTACACTTTTTACGGCGGACGCTGTGTTGCCTACGATGGATCTCCATTGGCGCCGGATGCAAAGGTTTTGCTGCGGGTTGCTGAAGCACAGAAAGTGACAATGCTCGGGATAAGTCCGCGGTGGATGGGCGAGCTCATGAAGAGCGGCATCGCACCGCGGGACGAGTTTGACTTGTCCAGCTTGCTGTCGGTGACGACAACGGGCATGGTGTGTCCGGATCAGATGTTTGAGTGGTTCTATGATACGGCGTTTCCGGCAAAGGTGCAGCTGGCCAACATCTCGGGCGGGACAGATATTGTGAGTCTTATATCCTCCTCAGTGACTTGACTATACCATATATGTACGAGCAAGAGCGATTTGTTGGGATATACTAATCATCTTATATAAACAGGCTGGCTGCTTTATCCAGGAAAACCCCCTCGACCCCCTCTACGTCGGCGGCTGTATGAACGGCAGTCTCGGCGTCCCCATCGCCACCTACGACCACGATCTTCCCGAAGGCAGCGCAGGCACTCCCCTTCCTCCAGGCAGTTCCGGCGATCTCGTCGCCACGGCGGCCTTCCCCAACATGCCAATCTATCTCTGGAACGACGGCCCCGGCCCAGCTCCCGGACCGAAATATCGCGCCGCCTACTTTGAGCGCTACGCCGGTGCCTGGGCCCAGGGCGACTTTTGCGTCGTCCATCCAAAGACGGGCGCGGTCCTCTTGCTGGGCCGATCTGATGGCGTGCTGAACCCCAGCGGCGTGCGGTTTGGCAGCGCGGATATCTATGCCGTGCTGGAGAGATGCTTCCCGCAGGAGATTGCCGAGAGCTTGTGCGTGGGACAGAGACGGCCGCAGGATATGGATGAGAGCGTCGTGCTGTTTTTGTTGATGAAGGGAGGGCGTAAGTTGGATAGAAAGTTTGTGGTGAAGGTCAAGGAGACAATTGCAAAGGAGTTGACCAAGAGGCATGTGCCCAAATATGTGTTTGAGATTCCAGAGATTCCGGTAAGTCATGATGCTCTCTTCCGTACACTCGACTTGTATCCCAAATTGGTCTCAACCATATACTGACGCAAGCCATTTAGGTCACTGTTAATGGCAAAAAGGTTGAGCTGCCAGTCAAGAGCATCATCTCCGGAAAGACGATTAAGCCAAGTGGAACGCTGCTGAATCCGCAGTGTCTGGATCATTTCTACCAGTACCAGAAGATTGAAGAGCTCGAAGAGCCGCGGGCAAGACTATAGAAGCGTAATTTTAGAGATTCTATATTTATTTCATATTCATATTATTAAGTGCACTTAGATGTGCTTTTGGATCAGCTTGCGGGTTAATATACTGTTACAAATTCTGGAATTACAAAAGCACGCCGACCTTTGCTCAATTTCCTCCTGTCACCCATACCTCCGCCTGACACTCAAATGCTCTTTTCTCCCTTTTTATCCTTTTCGACAAACTTGCCTCCATTGATCCCATACCTCCAAGCCATGTATCCAATCATCCCGCCAACGCTGCCAAGGCCCGCAGCTCCAACCACGCCGTGATATCCCAACTTGGCCGGCCCTCCAGCTCCTCTGATTCTCATCAAGCCAGTTGCCAACAACGCAGCTCCCATGCCAGCATAAGTCCAGTCGTCCGTTTCAAGCTGCCCTCGATTCTCCAGCAGTCTCCAGCTTCGGTCTTGCCACTCAATCGGCTCTCGGCCCCACATCCGCGCCGGGATACCGATGCCGCCTACAAGAGCCGTAGTGATGAGTGTGTTTCGCGAGACTGAGAGCAAGAGTCGCTCGGGGAGAGGCCCGGGATGTCGCCATCTGGGGATGGATTGGCGGATGCCTGTGATGGCGAGGCCGATGATGGAGCCTGTGGTTACGGCGCGGGTGAGGACGTGGGTGATGAGGATGGTGCGAGAGAGAGGCTGGTCTTCGGCGTAGGGCGTGTGTGGGAAGTAGCGAGACATGTTGTCGAGTTATGGAGGTTGAGATTGCAGGTCCACTAGTTCCCCTCTTGTGATTGTTGAGTTGCTGCTTCTTTCCAGGTAGCGTGATGAGGCTTGAGCCGTGTAAGTCCTGGAAGATGCTGGATCAAACTTGTTATGAAGCCGGTAGATGAAACCAACAGATGCTGCTCAAAAGATCGTGATGAAAACCCAAAGCTTCATCAAGCCTCAGCTGAGAGAATTTATAGCAACAGCTACAGCTTCCTGCGTGGCCTCAAACTTAGTCGCTTCTGTGACGCAAATCAGACGAGTCTCATTGGCAGCCTCATCCCACCTCGCATTCGCTTACCTGCTGACCTTTGCCTGGTAGCGCCACACGCCAGGTACCTGCTATTCCAAGGACGTCCCATCCAAAGGCAAGTACTCAGTACGCGCAATTCGGGCATCTTTAAAACGCCGTTAAATCCTTCGTGTCAATTCAATCTCAGATGACGGAAATGCGACTTTTGCCTCGCATTTGATCGTTCAAAGTATGAAGACACTTTATTTCTGTATATGTATTTGTTTCATTGGTATCAATACTGAATGTAACTAGAATCTGAGCGGAGCCTGCCTATTTTTAGGTGGGCAACGAGTCGTATTTCATAAGCTCATCAGCGAACTGACATGTACCTTACTTGATGCGGCAGTCGATTCGACATTCCTGTTTGTAATCGGTGAAGCAAACTTGCATTCAATTGAACAGATAATAGCCTATAGAGTAGATATATATTACACGAGTTGCTGACGAAAGTTGAGACACAAAAGAATTGTAGACTGTGTTAGCTTGTAGGCGCGCTGAAGAGACAGAGTCCACTGCCGCGGCCTACTAGTCAGCATCATGTTCTAATCTCCTGTACAAAGTATTTGTTCAATGAGCATCATAACCATGTGGTGAGATTTTACTCTTCCAGACACTCGAGAAGAAAATTGATGTAATCGACCTCTTGAACCAGCTACAAGCCCACAGATCACATTACATATTGAGACAGCTCGAACCTGTTTCAGCGTGCACCAACATGTGTGAGGTGTACTGTATTGATGGTAACTGCTGCTTTCACTGTATAAACACAGCATCGCTGCGTACTCACAGGAGTCAACCGACAGATCCAGTCAAGGGAAACGAATGGAAAGAAAAAGGAAGAAAAAGGAAGAAGGAGAAAACAAAAGAAAATGCCACCCTCTCGACAAATCGCGGGGTTAGCTCCGCCCGGCTCGACACCCTATTCGCGGAATCTCGCTGTTGCGACGCTGTCCGCAAATGGGATGCAATTCGGCCCGAGGAGCTCGTAGCTTCATCTTGCCCGACTTTTTACATCCAGGAACGCTTGAACAGCTCTGAAATGGCTCTTAGAAGACCAATCAGCTGTTGCGGAAACATGGCAGAATCTTCATTACCTTGGAACTTTGTTGAAACGGATATTTATCCGGTAGCTAGCAGTACAAGTGCACGCAATATCAACAAGGCTTCAGTCGAGCTCTCATCGACATCGTCCCGTTTAGGTAGGTGACGAGACAATCCCCCGTGCCGAGCCCGGCCAGTGACAGAAGGCTGCATTGGCTAATCTGGGGATGGCCTTATGTTGCATTTGCCATTGTGCGGGGAGAATGCAGCCAGTGATGCTTGTATGCAAGGTAGCTCTGGCAAAGTAGCATTGAGAAGAGCTCATCTGGGTCCCGACCTTCGGGACAGGTCCGGGGACAGGAACCGATGCCTATATATATGATATGCAGCCGTGCGATTGACGCGTCGTCTCTCGCCAATTTGATGCTTTGCTCTGTAGCACCTTCAATATGTTGACGCAGGGTACCGTCTTCGCGCTTCTCGGCGCCGTTTCGTCCGTGGCTGCTGATGTATACACCGTCCCTTCTCAGCCAAATGCCAATGGCGAGCCTTTCGACGGCTTCGTGAGCTACTCGATTGAGTTTGCATCATTTCCTGATTTCGCTGGTAAGCTTCCTGCTATCTCAATCTCATCAGAGTGAACCAATTGAGGCTAATCTTCTCTTCTACAGGCAACAAGTCGGCTCCAAACACCTTCTCGTACAATCTCATCAACAATCTCGGCGCACTTTCTGGTTCCAAGCCATACATTCGCGTCGGTGGCAACACTCAAGACTATGCACTCTACAATGCGTCGCTCAAGACCTCTCTGGTCGGAATCGTCGATCCCAGCAGATCGCCCGACTATCCAACCACCATTCACATCGGTCCCTCGTACTTTGAGTCATACAGCACTTGGCCTGGTGTCAAATTCTCCCACGGCTTGAATCTGGGCCTAGGTGCTAATAGATCAGAGGGATGGCAGACCCTCGTCGATACTGTTCCTCTGGCTTGCAAAGCTCTCAGCCAAGGAAATCTGTATACCTGGGAGTACGGCAATGAGCCTGATCTCTTCTCGACATCGGCTCAGGGTCCTGTGCGGCCTTCCACTTGGAACGAGAGCACATATGCTTGGCAGTGGCTCAATGGCACGGCTGAGATCAAGAAGCAGATCCAAAAGCACTGCCCGGCGCTCTCGCTCTTTGGGGAACCCAAGTTTATGGCTCCGTCTTATGCCGGCACTGGCAACCACCTCAAGGCGCCCCTTGCTTTCCAGGACGGCCTTGACAAGAACAAGGATATCCAGTTCTTTTCAACCCACAAGTAAGCCAAATAATGGTCCATCATAGTTGTCAAAGATATAATCATGCTGACAACATAAACAGTTACATCAGTGGTGCCACTTCTCCCGGCGTCACCTTGCAAGGAACTCTGATGAACCACAACAAGACCGTGAGCTCAATCCAGGGCCACCTCCCAGAGTACAACGCCATTTTCCCCACTCCAGAAGCACAAAAGGCCACTCCCTTGATCTTTGGCGAATGCAACTCTCTCTACAACCAGGGCAGACCAGGCCTATCCAACACTTTTGGAGCTGCCCTTTGGGGTATCGACTTTAACCTGTACGCGGCGTCGGTGGGCTTCAAGCGCGTCCACATGCACATGGGCACCAACTATCGTGTAAGTAAAAGCTCTTCGTATGCGCCGTATAAAAGTAACTATAGCTGATGCGCAATAAACAGTACCAAGCCTGGCAGCCAGTCGAGACAGACCTGGCTTCCAGAGGCACCAAGGCTCCTTACTATGGCAACATCGCCGTCTCTGCCACCCTGGGCGCCTCAAACCTCCTCCCCGTCAGCATCACCAACATTCCTTTAGCCGATGCCTACGAAGCCGCCTACGCAGCTCATTATACAAGCCCTCTGCTCAACGGCCATCTCGCCCGCATTACCGTCCTCAATATGCGTGGCTACAACACCACCGTCGACGGCCAGGGCCTTGATCCGCTCCCTAATCCTCCTCCACGCTCTAGCCAGAGCTACACTTTTGCCGTGAGCGGTGTCCGCAATGGTGAACTTGTTGGCATTCAGCGTCTGCTGGCGAATGGAAGCGACGCCATCACGGGCATCACTTTTGATGGATGGAGCTACAACTACGAGCTTGCGTTGGGCAAGCCCGTGAGATTGCACAATGTTACTGTGGGAGAGACTGCGAGGGTGAAGAATGGACAGGTTACTGTTCAGGTGCCTGATTCGTCTGCGGTTGTGCTGAACTTTCCGCTATTGTGAGAATAGAATGAGATTTGGAGTGGGACATGATTTATGAATAGTAATATGGATATGCTATAATGTCTATGCGATGCTAGTGCTTTCTTATCAAGTGGATTCTCTGTCCAATAGTATATATAAGTCATTGCTGAGACAACTTGTTGCTAAAGCGAGCCGTTTTGCTCGTTTGCTTGGCTTGTGTGACTGCAGGATTATTCTTCCTTCTTGCGTCTGTAAATAGGTGTCTCTTTATTATGAGCTTCTAGTCCACTAAGTTATCAGATCTCCAAAGCTGAGTATCATTTTGCCTAACGTCGTCAGGTTTGCCCAGGGTTCTTGGGAGAATAGGGGTGGCCTTCATATAAGCGAACTGATATGCCGCAAAATGGGGCAAGCCGGGGTTTTTTGATGTAAGGATCCTCGAAGTAAATTAGTTCAAGAGATTTAGAGAGCCGTTGTTTTGGGATAGGCAGAAGGCTACTCATACTTGGCGAATGTATGCCAGTGCTTGCTTCCTCGCGGAGTCAGATAACGAACCGAGATATTAAGCAATAGCTTTTCGCAATTCTTGGGCGATGGGATCTCCTCGGATCCTATCGTAGACTCCCATTCCGGCTTTCGGTCCAGCCGCAAGTGTATCGAGAGCTTCCGTGATCTTGAAAGGAATGCAAAAGAGTGTCATCTTCGGGCATCACCATTGAGTGCCAAGGATCGCTTCAGCTCATGAGGCAATGCAAACGGCTACTCATACTCAAGGACTGCGTCTTTAGAAAATCCACTTGAGGGAAAGAGTTTGAATGTCGGTACTTTCTGTATTCAGACATATACTAGATTGCAATCAAAAGCAAAATTGTACGTACAAAGCTTGCATACTGGAAAATAAAAGTATAGCACGATGAGGACGTTTGGAGCTGGTAGCACTTCGTGCAATAGCAAGCGACATGTTGCAGTTAGTGAATGTATAAACTGCTATACGAAAGGGCATCTCAACCAATCATGGGCGGATGGTTTAGTGGTATAATTTTCCCTTAGCATCGGCATTCATCTGAATAACCTACCGCATGGGAAAGGTCCGGGGTTCGATTCCCCGTTCGTCCACTTTTTTGCATTTATTGGGCAATTATTAATTCAAGCTGCTAATTGTGCGTTACTACATTTTTGTCTTTGGAGGAAACATTATCTGTTCGTTCCTTTCACTTTCCACTGCTTTTTTTTTTTTTTGGAAGTACGCAAGTCATCGATCCAGTCTTCCTTTCGTAACACCAGGTTGTTGTCCCCTGCTTTCATGTCAAACGCAGGCGTGCCCATATGGCTGGTCATCACGACGGAAACCACGATGGCTGAGAACAGTGCGTGATAAAGATACCATAGCATCCGTGTATAATTAGATTCTCCAAAGTGCAGCAACATGACTCCCATTCACATCTTGTCAACCTTCATCCATCATAGGACTTTGAGAGCCAGCTCAAAGAGATCAAAGAAAGCCTCCTGTTCCTTTTCAGCCTTTGCCAGCCCAAATCCGAATACCAGCGTCCGTCTCTCCTCCGGTGACCGTAGGGATATGTGGCTTGCAATCTGCGAGGCGTAAAGCTGTCCAAGCGTTTCTCGACTATCGCCTCCTCCACCAAGCAGCGTCTTTGGCGCGAGATGAGTAGAAGGGAGTAATCCATACTTGCCGCTCGGTAAAGCCATGTCAACAATGCCCGCAGATGTTCCCATCATAGGGACTTGAATCTGTAGCTGTATCAGCAATCTGTTTTCTCAGCATACAATGTGCGAATTTGGCATACCCATTGAGCCAATCGTCCTTCTTGGCTGATTGTAATCATCATCTTGTCGGAAAATTCTAACAAAGACACTTCTGTGGCAACTCCATTGACTAACCCAGAAGCTGCTCGACTCCGTGCTGGGAATGGTTCTTGTCTTATATCTAGCGTCGCCATTCTGAATTTCGTTTGTAAATATGGCAAAGATCCAGGGTAACTTGTATCTTGAGCTTCATGAAGCCAACTGAAGGCGCGGAATGGTCCCCGCACTACTCTCAATTCGGATCAAGACTTTGGCGGTCAAAGGCGGCAAAATCGGCGACCCACCAAAATTTCTGGTTATCGGCCTTGGTCCTGGCGATAGCGCTGCGAATTGAACGATACCAATGCAGCTCAGCATTGAGCATAATGTTATAAGAATTTTCCATCGCCAAGCCTCAAAATGGCAAAGTTCGTACCCAGACAGAGAAAGCACAGGGTGCTGGCTCGCGAACGAGCCCAAGAGAATGCCCGCCATGAAGTCGAAGACACCAACCAGGAAATCTTGCCGGCCGCGAAGAAGGACCTGGAGGAGAAAAAGGCACGCATGAAGGAGCAGCTGAAACAGGATGGCGTCAAGATGAGCGGCAAAAAGGCGAAGCGTCTCGAGAAATACATCGATAACAAGCTCCGAAAAGACGAAAACCGAGAATTGCTTGCGAAGCTGGCCGAGAGAAAGATTGATACGAGTCTGTTTTCGAGCAGTAGATCTCTTGGACAGGGCCGCGAAACGAAGAAGCAGGCATTGACTCGTGCGCTAAGGGAGCATAGAGCTGGAGTTGATTCTACATCGTCGGCAGAGAATATCATTTTTGAACAGCGGCCGGATGTCGATGAAGATGAGAGGGAAGACGAAGATGATGCAGACATGTCGGATGACGAGCCTGCACCTGCGCCTGTGCCTGTATCTGCACCGAAAACTGAAACCAAACCCACAAAAGCGGCTGTCAAGCCGACTGAAGAAGCGACAGCGGCAGCGGCAACGCCAATTTCTATTGGATCTGGCCTTAAACGAGCGCTCGAAGTAGATAACGAAGGCCGACCAGTCATTCAAAAGCGACAAAAGAGAGGGGGCCTAAAGTCAAAAATCTCCCTCGTCGCGGATCAACAGCCAGCTTCGGAAGAATCAGAGGATGACGACGAATGGAATGGGCTCAGCGGCGATGAGAAAGACGAAGCTAGTGAGGACTCCGAAGACGAATCTGATAAAGGCTCTGAAGATAATTCGAGCGAGGACTCCGAAGAAGATGAATCCGAATCCGAAGAAGAATCAAGCGAAGACGAAGTAATGGACGAAGAGCAAAAGAGCAATAGGTCATCCTCTTTCAAAGCATGGGCCCATCAGCAGATCAACGAGGCACAAGGATATCAGCCAGTAGACGCAGCTTCGTCTGCATTGGATATACCTAAGCCAGAAAACTTTGTCCCCAGGGCTCCTGAACAAGATCCGCTACCGATGGAACTACAAGTCGCCGAAAACACTTCAAGAAAGGTCTTTAGTGTAGGTGTTGTGCGAACGCCCGAGATTCAAGAGGCTCGAATGAAGCTCCCGGTTGTTTCAGAAGAGCAGAGGCTCATGGAAGCAATCCACAACCATGATATTGTCGTAATATGCGGTTCTACCGGTTCGGGAAAGACTACGCAAATTCCTCAATTCTTGTACGAAGCAGGCTATGGATCTCCAGACTCTCCAACACCAGGGATGATTGGTGTCACCCAGCCTCGTAGGGTTGCTGCCGTCAGTATGTCTAAGCGAGTCGCAGACGAACTGGGCGACCATTCAGGCGCAGTGGCTTATCAAATCCGATTTGAGGGCAACGTTGATGCAAAGACGGCCATCAAGTTTATGACTGACGGTGTGTTGATTCGAGAAGTTGCGCAAGATATCACCCTGCGAAAGTACTCGGCCATTGTTATTGACGAGGCCCACGAGAGAAGCGTCAATACCGATATTTTGATTGGCATGCTCAGTCGAGTGATTAAATTGAGGGCCGAATTATCACAAGAAGACCCCACGATCAAGCCTCTGAAACTCATCATCATGTCTGCCACTCTACGGATAGAAGATATGACTATGAACCCGACTCTCTTCTCAACGCCACCGCCCGTTGTCGAGGTCGAAGGACGTCAGCATCCAGTGACTATTCACTTTGCACGCCGTACTCACCCCGACTACGTAGAAGAGGCGTTCAAAAAGATCAGCAGAGGCCATAAAAAGCTGCCCCCTGGTGGATTTTTGGTCTTTTTAACTGGCCGAAACGAGATTCTGCAGCTAAGCAAAAAGTTAAAGGCAGCTTTTGGAGGGCCAAGGTCAGCTGAAGGCCCCAAAGTGCAGATATCTGCGACTGAAGCACCAGTTGAAGTCGAAGATTTAGACTTTGGCGATGTTGATTCACACGATTTTGACGATTTTGACGGTATCGATTCCGACGACGAGGGAGAAGGAGAAGACGAATTCAAAATTGACGAAGAAGATGAAGTTGTCCCCCTCAAGATGCAGATATTGCCTCTCTACTCATTACTTCCCGTCAAAGAGCAGCTGAGAGTCTTTGAAGACGTTCCGGAAGGCACTCGCAAAATCATATTGGCCACCAACGTTGCAGAAACCAGTTTGACCATCCCTGGTATGCGGTTTGTCTTTGACTGTGGACGCTCAAAGGAGAGGAATTATGACCGCCTCAGTGGTGTCCAGAGTTACGAGATTGGCTGGATTAGCAAAGCCAGCGCTAGCCAGCGATCTGGTCGTGCTGGACGTACGGGACCTGGTCATTGTTATCGCCTCTACTCATCGGCTGTTTATGAGAGAGACTTCCAAGAGTTCTCAGATCCCGAATTGCTCCGGACACCCATCGAAGGCATTGTGTTGCAGCTCAAAGCCATGAACTTACAGAACGTCGTCAATTTCCCCTTTCCAACACCCCCCGACCGACAGATGCTTGCCAGAGCTGAAAAGCTACTTACATATCTTTCCGCCATCTCCCCTAGCGGGCAAGTCACAAAGGTTGGAACGACAATGTCCATGTTCCCCTTGTCACCTCGCTTTGCGAGAATCCTGCTCGTGGGACATCTCCACAACTGTCTGCCCTATACCATTGCTCTGGTAGCTGGATTGTCCGCAGCGGAAGTCTACCTCTCGGAGGCTCAGGCAATTCCAGCTCTGGCTGCTAAAGACGACACTGAGATTCGTACCGCAGAGGATGTAATCGCCGAAGATCGACAAGCCAATGCCAGGCGATTGTTCAACCAAGTTCAGAAGAATTTCTGCTTTTTGGATGACAAGTCTGACGCCATCAAGTTGCTGCAAGTGGTGGGCGAATATGCGCATGAGCCGACTGAGAAGTGGTGCGAGGCTCACTTCGTCCGTTTCAAGGTCCTCAAGGAGATTCAACAACTGCGGAAACAAATCACAGACTTGCTGCGCACAAACATCCCGTCATTCGCGGCGCTCAAGCACCAGGATAAGCTGGATCCCCCATCACCCAAACAAGTCAGTGCCTTGAAGCAAATGACTGCAGCTGGCTTCTTGGACCAAGTCGCCATCCGCGCTGATCTCGCACCGAACCCGCCCGAGCAGTTCAGAAAGCCTCGCCGAGCCATCGACGTGCCATACATCCCTCTTATTCCATTACACAGACCGGGCAGCGGCGAAGATCCATGCGTTTACATCCACCCGACCTCTTCGCTCGCACATGTCAGCATCCAGGAATGCCCCGAGTACATCGTCTATGCCTATCTCCAGCGAGCCACGCCTTCTGGTGCACTTGACTCGGAAAAGAAACCGAAGACGAGAATGCACGCTCTTACAGACGTGACGGGAGGACAATTGGCCGGACTGGCAAAGGGCACGCCGCTTATCAGCTACGGAAAGCCAATCAAGGAAGTGAAGGCGCAGTCGTTGGGAGCAGATGGTGCCATGACGAGAGAATGCTGGGTTGTCCCGTATTTGAGGGCAGAGAATACTGCAGGACAGGGATGGCCTCTGCCGGCGCAGAAGGTAAAGCAGAAGAAATTGGCGGGCAAGGGATGGGTTGTTGAGTGAAGTTGAATAGTATATATCACATAATGGCGTTGTTGGATGGGTTGGGATGAATAAAAGTAATAGATGTATAAATCATAAGCGAGATCATGCTGCTTAAACGCCCAATGGGTAGCTTTCAACGCACAATGGAGATGAGCTAGAATAAAAAAAGTCATTTATATGACGCTTTGCTATGTATATCTATCTGCTCGCAGACTATTTCGACCCAACCTCGAACCGGGTATCAAAAACAAGAATCCATAACGCCGCCATTATCCTTTTATAGCCAAGAAGCTTCTGGTACATTTACAAATTAAAAAAAAAATCACATTGGCTCTTGTCTCATGACGCCGCAGGGGTTGCCGCCGGAGTCACGCTAGGACTCATCTTGCTCTTCTTCCTCTTCAGCTTCGGCATTGTAGCCGACTTTGGCGTCTTGTCCGCCTTGCCATCCTTTTTATCGTCCAGCTTTGTATTTATCATTGGAGGCCCGCTCATAGCACTAATTCCAGTCGGGGCAGCGGCGCCCTGAGGAGGCAACACCGGCTTGCGGCCCGTCGAAGAGAGGTGGAATTCCCCAGGCTTTCCAGTGATGGGGATCTCGTCGATGTATTCTCCTCCGTACCGTAGGTGGATCAGCAATGACTCCTCGGCGACCCTGTCCATGGAAGGGGCGTCGTGCTTTGCTGCTGCAGTAGATGCTGATTTGCCGGCCTCGTCGAGTACGGGCTTCTCCTCTTGCGGTTTGGGTTGGGTGGTGGGAGGTTGGCTTGCGGGGAGTGTGTAAACGTGGCCTGTGGATGGACGCCATTTGCGGGCTGCCTCGGCGGCTGGTAGAGCTTTTGCGATTGCTGAAGATATAGTCATCTGGGAGTAGAGTTAGTTCCTTGTCCTTGGAAAGCGTTTCCCCTCAGCAGTGAGCGAGTCCGTTGGTCTTGTCACATACAATTCTGGATGCCAGGATATCCGCCAAGGTGGGTGCCATGTAGATATTCTCCCCCACGACAAAAAACGAGGCGTGGACTGTGATTTCGTCGTCATCCTGGTATCGCTTCCGCCTCGTCTGCTTGCGAATGACCCAAACGCCCGTTCCCATGCCCGGCCCCGTCTCAGCAGGCTCCTCCCCCACGATGAACTCCAGGCCCGACATTGTCTTGAGACGCGTTTCAAAGGCTTCGCGCGTCTGGATGTAGTGGTACATGGCCATGTTGTTCATTGCCTGGGCCATGATGACGGCGTTGTTGGAGGTGCGCTCGAAGAAGGGCGATTCGGCAAAGTAGAAGAGGATTGTGTTGGAGTGGAGGCCGCCCATCTGGGCTACGATTTGGGGGGATCGCCATTGGATCTCGTCGAGGGAGGGGTCGTTTGGATTTGACATTTTGAAGCTGGTTGAGTCGGTTGGGGAGAAGAAGATGGATGATCCGAGGTGAGCTTGTAAATGGAGAGCCTAGCTCGTAGAGTAGAAGCTTTTAGTGGGCGGGCGCTGTAAAGAAGCGCTACGCAGTGTGGGGTATCGATTACAGCGGCCGGTGAGTGGATCTTTCAGTTCGCGTCGTGCCGTCAATTTGCATCAATCAATCTCTATCACCACCCATCTCTCAGCTGTCAAGTACTGCCGAGACTCCAACTAGGCGGCGAGTCGACAAAGTTATAAACATTTCACAGCGCATTCTTGCTATCCACGCATCCTATTTTTTCTTTCATAACCTAGACGACACTGATCATGGATCTCCTCTCGACGATCCGAAAGACCGGTTCCAGAGGTGGCGTCAACTTCAGCTGGGACGAAGTCGCCAACTCCAACCATCGCGAAAACTACCTCGGCCACAGTCTCAAAGCCCCTGTTGGCAGATGGGCAAAGGGGAGAGACCTGAACTGGTACGCAAAGTCTGAGGCCACCGCGGCGTCATCCAATGAGACAGACGAGGAGCGCCAAGACCGAGAACAAAAGGAAGAATTGCGCAAGATTAAAGAGGCGGAAGAAGACGCAATGGCGCAAGCACTAGGGCTGCCGCCTCCGGTCAGAAACACCTCTGGAGCCAATGCTGTGGAAGTTGAGCCGAAGCGACAAGTCGGTCCTGCGAGTAGACCGCCGAGAGAAACCGGCAGAGATGAGGCGAAACCGGAGAGGTCAAGACGACATGGAGACGACAGAAGAGAAAGAAGACGACACAGGAGCAGAAGCAGAGACAGGAGTAGAAGTCCCGACCGACGACGTGAGAGAGACTACCGGCGACGAAGTCCTGATCGAGACGAAAGGAATCGCGGCCGTGATCTCGAACGCCGACACCGCAGAGACCGCGATAGGAGTCGAAGCAGAGATCGGAGAGACGACAGACGTGATGACAGGAGAAGTGAGAGGCGAGACGAGAGACGACAGAGAGATCGGAGCAGGCAGCGGCATCGCTCGCGATCAAGGGAGCGCAGGCGACGGAGCCCTGGGCCAAGTTCTCGTCGAGATGATTGATGCGCCCTCTGTTCAAAGGCTGTTGATCTACAAGACTGTTACACACATGTACATTTTCTCTAGCATGTTACAAATAACAAACAAAGATACCCATATTAGATGCTAAAAAAACATAAACATGCGCCACCTTGCTCCCTATTCAAGTGTTGTCTGTTTGACGTATGCCAAAAAAACTAGAAGAAGCATATTTCTACATTTCAAGGTGCTAGGCAGCATGCCAGCGGTTTGCTGCGGCAACTACAGAGCCCGCCGTTTACTTCAGCGCCAGTCGGCTCGCTAGCCGGAGCCCTTTAGCGTCTTTGGCCGCTATAAATGATTGTTTGCACGTGCAACAGCGGCGAGTCGTCAACGTAAGCTCCCGAGTAGCATCACTGCCTGCATCCCGTACCTTCAAACAATCTCCCTCCATAACCCGATGCGGGCATCCAGCTCAACGCAAGGCGGTTCGATTTGATTCTGGATCCTTCCCTTGTTTGTTTGTCTTTGTTCTTCTGCCGTGGGTCTCGGTTCGTTTTATTAGCATCAGTAACGCCGCCTGGCTTGCTTGGGTTCATTTAGCGAGCGCCTCCAGATCTCGTTTGGGTCAGATTGCCCGCCTAACGTATTCGACTGATTTCCCCCTTTATAACACTCTCGCCTCTGTGTCACGAAGAATAGCAACATGTACTTTTAAACTTACATATCGAATCCGACATCCACCCGTCTCCAACCATGGCGATGGACTATTCGAGCCTCCGGGCAGCCGCTTTGCGCGACGGTGAAGATGAAGAGGCTGTGACCGTCGATACCCGCGCTCTGATCGACAAGGTTCTGGCTCGATACTCGGGAGAGTGGACAACTCTACGAGAGCTCATCCAAAATGCCGCCGATGCACAGGCCACGACTGTCTCGATCAAGTGGGAGACGCACCCGTCGACAAGCGTTCCTCTTCCCAGCAATGCGAACCGATCTGAGCTGCTGAAGCACACGATAGCCAACCACACGCTGCGGCGACTGGTTGTCCAGAACGATGGCCAGCCTTTTACAAAGACCGACTGGGGGCGCCTCAAGCGAATCGCTGAAGGTAATCCCGACGAAACCAAGATTGGAGCGTTCGGTGTTGGCTTTTACAGCGTCTTTGCCGACTGCGAGGAGCCCTTTGTTAGCTCTGGAAGCGAGGCCATGGCTTTCTACTGGAAGGGAAACTCTCTATTTACCAAGAAATCTCATCTGCCTGAAGATAAATCATCGCCCTATACAGCGTTTGTGCTAGACTATAGAAATACGACCACTCCCATGCCGAATCTGCTGTCTATAAGCCAGTTTCTGGCCACAAGTCTGACATTCGTTGCGCTGGAGAAGATGGAGTTTTGGATAGACGACCATTTGATCATGTCTCTTCACAAGAAGACATCGCCAAGCGTTGATCTGGCCTTGCCTCGTGACCTAGAACCGCGGACAAAGGACAACATCATGAAAGTAGCAAGTGTAGGTCGTACCAGCACTCAGATTGACGCATCCTTTATGAATGCGGTTGGATGGAAGCCGCAAGCAGCAGCATCTACGACGAAATCTTCAGACTCGTACGGTTCAAACGATGCACCCTCTCTCAAGTCCTTCTTTGCCAGATTCGCCGCAACTGCGTCAAACAGCAACCTCCTGAAGACCAAGCAACAGGCAGAAGAGAGCCAGGCACAGACAAAGATTACGGAAGATGTTACCAAATTGAACACCGCCACTATATTCCTTAGAGCCACCACTGCCAGCATCAAGACCCATGTATCATCTTCCTTCTCCGCTGAGCTTGAGCGTGCTACGAAGAAGCCGCCGCCAAAAACTACAAAGATATCTATTCTCACAACATCATATGATGAGGCGGAAGCTTCCAATAGCTCATCGACCGAAAGCGGCGCTTTTGCCAAAGCAATAGACGTATTTGCTTCCGTGCTGCCAAGCAAGAAGCCGGGTGGCCGAATCTTTATCGGGTTCCCTACCATGCAGACAACAGGCGCTGGCATGCATATTTCCGCCCCCTCTGTAATCCCCACCGTGGAGAGAGAGGCCATTGATTTGAATGCTCGTTGGGTCAGGACGTGGAATGTTGAACTTCTTCGGGCGGCAGGTATCATAGCGAGAATCGCCTTTGCCAACGAAATGGACGACCTCGACCACAGGATCCGACAATCGTCTGAAGCCGGCAAGAAGATATCTGCCGAGATTGTTGACAAATTCATGCCCGAGGCGCTGCATACGCTCAAAACCTTCTCCTTTGCTGACTCTACGCCGAGCAGCCAGGTCGGGCAGATTATCGAAGAGGCATTCTGGACATGCTTCAAGAAGGCTTCTATAGAAGTGTACTCAAGCCGAGGTGTATTGCAAACATCGCAAGTTCGGCTGGGTTCGGAAGAGTTGAGTTCATTTGTGGATAGCATCCCGGTTGTACCTCAAGATATGAAAAACGCTCCATTCGTCAAGAAGCTTATCGACTTTGGTCTCATCTCTCACATCACCGTGACTGATGTAAAGCAAGAGTTGGAAGCCAAGGCACTCACTAAATCTCAGGCCATCAATTTCATCAAATGGGCGGGCAAGAAGAGTTTGACCGGCGAGATCGACCCGGGAAGCAGAGCCGCTCTGATGGACGTCGCTGTCGCCACTCTAAGCGATGAGAATGATTCGGGTGAAATCGTGGCACTGGGCAGCATAAGCAATTACCTCAGCCTTGCAAAGATTCCTGCAAACATGCCTGTTCCTCCAACGACTGTCCCATTCGCTCTCATTGTAAACATCAGCGCATCTGAGCTGGAAGCTCTTGGATGGGAACCATTGGAGATTGTGCCATGGCTGCGTTACCTCATCGAAACGACGAACTCTAGGCTTGAGGAGGAGAGCGTCACTAGGTCGTCCAAATTTGCCGTTTCTGTTCTCACCGTCCTCTCCAAGAACTGGGAGAATATGACCATGATCAGTAGGGGCACTGTGCTGAGTCTTATCCAACCGACCCCAATGATACCGACCAAGCTGGGCATGAAGAAGCCGACGGAATCGTTCTTTGCGTCTGTCAAGCTTTTTGATGACTTGCCGGTCATCCAAGGTTGCGAGAAGGTGAAGGAGAAGTTCTTGGCCGCTATTGGTGTACGAAAGACGGTTGATCTGGAAACCATCTTTACCCGCTTGCTTAACGCCTCAGGAGAGGATGGCCAAAAGAAATGGAGTCATATGGAGCTTATCAAGTACCTTGCTTCTGTGCAGAGTGACATTCCCTCGGACGATCTTAAGAAGTTGAAAGGATCCAGGATCTGTCCTGCTGAGGCAGGACCTAAGGGCATGGAGCCTACAAAGGCCACAACGAAGCTATACAAGGTTTCGGAGCTGTTTGAGCCCAAGGACTCTCTTCGATCTCTTCAACTGCCCATCATTCAGTGGCCTGGGCCTCCGGGCAGCTTTCGTCCAAGCAGCCCTGAGGCTCGTTTCCTGTCTGTACTTGGCTTGCGAACCTTTCCCTCCGTTCCTGAGCTGGTGGACATGATGTCGTCGAGCGACCAAGCTTTGAGGACTTCAGCCATGACTTATTTTATCGCCAATCATCATACGAATCGGTATGCCGCTTTTGATCTCAGCGACTGCCGTAAACCCATCCTGCCGCTTCAGGGAAGCACCAAGATGGTCACGCCAGCTGCATGCTTTACGAATGAGAGAGCATCTGTACTAGGATTTGAAATCCTTAGCCGTGACCTTCATGATCATGCCAACGTACGTATCCATCTCCTTGTCCTCAAAAATACTCAGATAAACTAACAGAGCGTATCAGAAATTTGGCGTTGCTCGAGATCCGCCCATGGCCGAGTGCGTGAACCGTCTGTTGGCCAATCCCCCAAAGGACTATCAATCCGCTGTGACTCTCTTTAGCTATTTTGCCTCTCGGATCAGCGAGCTTGGAGACAGTAACCTTGCCAAGCTTCGAACTGCTGCGATTATCCCTGTGAAACGGTCGACTGGATCAGAAAAATCTGGTTCAAGCACGTCTTACATCAGTCCATCGCGAGCATATTTGGGAACGTCTTCCACATATGGCGATATCTTCGACTTTGTGGACTTTGGCCAGGATGGGAATGCATTCTTGTACAAATGCGGGGCGAAGAGCGAGCCAACCAAAGTGGAGGTTGCATATATGACGTGCAACGAGCCGGCAAGGCTTCTCAGTGTGTTACAAAGTCCTGAAAAATACTTGGATCTGCTCAAATCTTTAGCCGAGTCTGCTTCAACGTTACAGCGTGACAAGGAGCTTTGGCGGAGACTGAAGAGCTCTGCGTGTCTTCTCGCCTACAAAGAACTTGTGGCGCCGTCCAAGGGCGGCAGCAACGATTTGGATGAAGAAGAGGCTCCAATCAGGCAGTATCAACTTGCCGCTGCTAACCAAATCGTCGTTTTGGACGATATTATCAGCTATCGCCTTTTCAAAGAGTATTTGATATGTGCTCCTGAGGAGGACATTCTGGAGACGTTTTATCTGAAACTTGGTGCGACGCGGCTAAGCAGCATAGTTCAAGAGGATGTGCGCATTGGACCTCATACGGGACAGCTGCCGATGGCCGAGTCGCTCAAAAAGCATGTTCTTGAACGATCCAAGATTTTCTTGTACGAGTATGCCAGCTACCGTAGGGATGCTATCAAGCACGATGCGAAGTGGCTCGAGAAGAATCTGACGGTGGAAGTGGTTCGATCGGTGGCGCTTCGACGCAGCTTGCAAGGCCACAGGCAAACACACACTGAAAGGCGCTCTGCGGCCGCTACGTACACCAACCGATCATGGGTATTGTATGTGGCTGATGATGGGAAGCCAGACATGTACCAGGTTGGTCAAGCCATATGCCAGATGCTGCTTGACAGGCCGAACCAGCAAGCATATTTGTTCTTTGAACCGTTCCTCACGCTTGACCTTTACCAACTGAGGTCGCGTGGGTACAATGTTGACCGAATTCTTCGAGCAAAGGCCGCTGAAGCGAGAATTGCCGAAGAGGAGAGGCGCAAGGCGTTGGAAGAAGAGCAAAGGCAGATTCGGGAACGAGAGCAGAATTGGGCACAGCAAGGCCAATCTGACCGTTCCAAGAATCCGCAACTTCCACAGGCAGCCGAAGCTGCTCGAGAAGCTCCTAAATCTCCATCCATGCCGGGAGCATGGGACTCGGCTGAAGAGAGCCCACAGGATAAAACTGCCAATAACAGGAAAAGTAGGAGTCTGTTTTCCAATCTCAGCCGTAGACTGGGCTTTGATGCCCAAGATGACGACAAGAACGATTCTCGAGGGCAGGTGGAGCAGTTTATGGGCAACAGTTCCAACACCAACGCGGGGCCATCGTCTGGCAATGACGGGGCCGCTGGCAATGGGAATGGCCAGAAGGATGACGGCAAAGTAACGAACCCGGCCGTGGTGCAGCAGAATCTGCTAAACGCAGTCAATGCAACCCGGGCACATGGCTCCGACAGAGTCTTTGCTGAACCTCAAGTCAACGAGGTCAAAGAACAGGCAACATATTGCGACAAGACACCGGCTCAAAACATTACCTTTGTGGCCGAGGCTTCCAATGGGATGAAGGTCTTTGTGGCCAAGGATATGAGTGCCAACCCAGCAGCCTTTTTGTCGGCAAATCTGGGGGCAATCAATTCATTTGCCTCATTGCTCGTCGAAGTGGGCGCCGTTTACTCGCTGGCACCGAAAGTGCTGCATATCTTCTATGATGAAGCGGGCGGTACGATTGCTTTCAATACCGGTGGAAGCATCTTTTGCAACCTGCGCTTCTTCCTGCAACTTCATGCGGCGCAGGTTGAGGTGCCAAACGGGGCTGGCAAGGCCGAGGCAGGGACGTGGTGGTGGGTCGTGATGGCTCATGAGCTGGCTCACAACTTGGTTTCGACACACAACTCTGATCACAGCTACTATACGTATGTTTCCCCTTGAAGTTTGTAATGGACTTGAGCTAACAGTTTGCAGTGAATCGTTTATCCAGCAGTACATGGGCAAGATGATGGCAAAGACTGTTCAGTGGACTCGGGGTGGTGCGTCCAGTTCAGCTGGGCTTCCTTCTCAACCTGCGGCAGAGAGACAGTCGGTCCCTTCGGATCCTCCGCCCTCGTATAGAGAGGCGCGAAATGCAGCCGACTACATGTTTGGGCCCTAATGTCACGATTTGAATTGTACGGGTGTTTTTATATTTTTATATTTTTCTTTTCTTTTCTGGGAGTTAGATCGATGTCATGAATGATGGACGAGAGGAGTAGAAGTAGACAGGGTATAAGTCGCGATGACGGATTGACGAGCAACACTTGATTGGAATGGCCTTTTCTAGACTACCCAACTCTGCCTTTTGCGATTAGATGACACGCAGTTTATGAATATGATAATTACCGATAGACAATTTATATGAGCAGCTCGCTTGTGTCTTTACTTACACAAAAGTTCCATTCCCTTGTTGTGTGTTACTCCAATTTAATCCGTTAGTCCTGATACTAGGACTTAGAACGGCTGATTACCTAAGGCGATGCCGATTGTCGGCTGGCTGTAGCTTTGAGTTGCAAGTTGGAAAAAAAAAACCTTGTGGCTCGTTCTTGTTTGTTACACTTGATCGTATACCAGATATACCCCTCAAAATGGATCAATTGGAGGCTCAGGCTATTGAAAGCTCTTCTGGGAGCGAAATGGGCCAGAACAGCGGCCGAAAGAATGGAGGCAGCAGAGGGTATGAAGATGGTCTCTACTTGTGCATATTTTGAGACATGCCGCTAACAAGCATCGCTACAGACGACGGCCCAGCATCATTCTGCCCCCGCGCGATGAGCGCGACCAGCCAGATGCAAAGCGCAGGAGAAAGAAGAAGAAGGCGGCTCGGCGGGCGAAGAAGGAAGATGTGGATGTGGATGGTGATAGCACTAGCAGCAATGTGAAGACGGGCGCAGAAACAGCCCTGGTCAAGACAAACGGCCCGCTCGTCGATTTCGAGGGCCTCAGCCGCCCCAGCTTTGGCACTCAGGAGCGCCGAAAAGAAACAGCCGAGGGAGCGGCGCTGCGGCTGGAGCGCATGAAGGGCGCTGTTAGAACACTGCTAGAGTGTGTCGGCGAGGATCCCAACCGCGAGGGCCTCCTCGCCACGCCGCAGCGCTACGCAAAGGCCATGCTGGACTTTACAAAGGGCTACCAGGAGGACATCTCGGACATTGTCAACGGCGCCATTTTCCAAGAGGGCCACAACGAAATGGTGATTGTCAAGGACATTGACGTCTACTCCCTGTGCGAACACCACCTGGTGCCCTTTATGGGCAAGATGCACATTGGCTACATCCCCAACAACGCCGTGATTGGCATCAGCAAGTTGCCGCGCATCGCCGAGATGTTTGCGCGGCGGCTGCAGATCCAGGAGCGCCTGACAAAGGACGTGGCGAATGCGATTTTTGAAGTTTTGGCGCCGCAGGGAGTGGGCGTTGTCATGGAGAGCAGCCATTTGTGCACGGTGATGAGGGGCGTGCAGAAGGCGGGGAGCACGACGATTACGAGCTGCGTGCTGGGGTGTTTTGAGAGGAGGGAGAAGACGAGGAATGAGTTTTTGAGCTTGATTGGGGTGAATCGGAGGTAAAGGCCTTTCGACATTGTACTGTATTTTGCTTGGGAGGGATGGATTTTGTGCTTATTTTTTTGGTTGGTTTGTTTGGGCGTGGGTTTTGGTAATGAGCTAGCTGGCTGCGATATTATAAGCTGTGTACTAATGAATTGTTGATTTCTTTTGAAATGGGTTCATGTGTTTACTTGAGTGTCTGATTGTTGACTGAGACATGCTTGGGTGGCGTATAAAGCTGCGTCTTTGCTTGTTGGCGGGATGACCTGTGACTTTTGGCTTCTTTGGCCATATCATTAAGGCATAACTGGAATACCACGGCTTTCAATCCAGTAAAATAATGGAATGAATCGAAAATTATACAGGCCAGTCCAGATTTGATGGCCTATTTAGACTTACATGTACGGTAGGTAGCTTGGCCCGAGTCTCTGGTAGAACAGTATATCGCAGTGATTCCTCAGCACTTTGACAACAAAACGTGAATTTCTCAAGAGCAAAATGAACAATGTTCGTTAAACGCATGAAATAATTTTTAATAATAATAGAATTGTTATTTCAAAACCAATCGTCAAGAACAACCATCAGACCTTTTGTCGTTGCTCTCGCTCAAGACAGGTCACATGCTCCACCACGTGACTCCATTCAATGGCGGGTCTCCAACCTCATCATCCCAATTCCGATAGCCCAGGCATCACGGCCCATCCAAGCTCTCCAAACCGGCCAATTCTCCAACACCAGGGAAGACTTTCAATTCCCGGACCGCTCAATCTCTCCTCCTTTCAACACAGAGCAGCATCTCCACTTCATCCATCATGGTCCACCGCATCGCTTTCTGGAGCTGCTTCGGTTCGTTTCTTCCCCCACCCGGGCAAAATCTCTCTTTTGAAGCCTTCTCTCCCAGCTAACGTCTTCTGACAGGCCTCGCCGTGCGCTTCTGGCAAGTCGGCATCGAGATGCGCCCCTTCTTCAACCGCTCCTCTCTGTGGGCGTACCCCGTCTATGCGCTCGGCGGCGCGAGCTTCGGACACTGGCTGCAGGGTGTCGACGACAGACAGGCCGCGCAGCTGGGCGAGCGGAAGAGGGCTCTGCTGGAGAAGAGGGCGAGGAAGGCACAGCGCGATGCTGAGAGGGGACAGGAGGCTTAAGTTTATGCCGACTGAGGAGGAGAGAAAAAAATGTGCTTGGAGGGAAGAAATGTAATAAAAGGGACGGGGACATAACCTGATGGAAGGGAAAGAAAGAGCGAAATATCCGAATTGTACATACAGAGCGAGGAGAGTTTCGGAATTGATGTCTTTTCTCTGGCTGGAGATGAAGGAGGAAGTTTGAGGGACATGGGTTGAGATGTCATGTTACATGCCATTGGGTGGGCAAGCTATATGACTCAATGCATTGAACAGACTCAGAGACACAATTATACACGCATATACGATACAAGTCAGCCGTCATGTTCACAATATCAATTTTTGAATCTCAAACCAGCGAATTGGTTTATCCATTTATTCCTCTCATGATACCTCCTCGCTACAGCCTGATATTCCGTCCCGTCATAATGCTTCTTTGTTTTGTCTTGACTTTTTATTTTACTTTTTACAATTCCTCCAATTTTCGCAAAATTGCAGGCACCGATTTTGCCGAACAGATACCTAGCTCTGTCACCACAGCCGAAATATACTTGTCTCTCGTCGTGTCAAACAACAGCCTAAACTCTTCATCCGTGTTCCGCTCCGGATCAATCTCATTGTACGTGAGCGAATCTATCGACACACGCTCTGTGAAATTGATAGTCTCGCACAGCGAAGTCACTCGCATACCCAAGTCAAACGCGGCCGTCGCAACGTCGCATGTGCCTGCTCGCGCGTACATGGCTCCGTTGCTAAACATGGCCTCTGCAGCGACGAGAACAGTGGTGGACTCTTGGAGGTTGGTGCGCAGGGCGCCAAAGTCGGGTGAGTAGATGACGGGGATGCCGGCGGCGGTCAGCTTCTTGACGTGGCCGAGGCCGACTCTCTCAAACGGATCGTCGACGAGGATGACCTTGAAGCGCTTGCCGCTGGCGTTGGCTTTGAGGAGGGCCCTCTCTACGAGGTGGTGGTGCGCATATGTGAGGATGACGTCGTCTTCGGCAATCATGTCTGCTGCCGTGTTGACAATGACGAGATCGGCGAGAGTGATGCGCTCGTGGATGAAGCTGTCAATGGCCTCGCACAGCAGCTTTTTAGCGTCAGAGTCGGCCATGTCGATATCAATCTTGCTGATCTGAAGCTTAAGCCACCGGATGGCGTTTCCCATGGAGAAGCACATGGGCCGACAGGCTGTGAGATACACGATTTGCGGGTTGAGGACGTGGGAGGTAAAGTGTCGAGACAGGGTGGTTCCATGGGGTGTTGTGTATGAGTCGATGACCTTTATTTCGTCAGTTCACGGATTGTCAACATGTAAACTTGGGGCAGAGTTCATTACCTTTTTGAATGCCAGCAGAGTGGCCTCTAGCCGAGTGGTGCTATCACTGATGGCCATGGTGCTCATCTGCTGACCCAGCACCAAAACAGCCGGGTGGACGTCCTTGTCCGCATGCGTGATGTTGACGCCCTTTGCCATGGCCAGGTGGCTAAAGTAATCTGGAATCGACGGCTTCACCTCCTTGGGCGCTGCCGGCACAGGCGCAGCCGATCGCGGCGCGGGAATCTTGCCATGCTGGGCCGCCGCCTGTCCAGGCCCGTCTTGCTTTGGCTTCGGTTTGCTGCCGCTCTTTGCGTCGCTCTGGGCTGGTGCTCCGGCTGGCGGTTGGGGTGTGGCTTTGGCGGCTGCTCTTCTGGCGGCCTTTTCCTCCTTGGCCTTCTTCTTTAGCTCTGCGCCCGAGAGCTTCTTCTCGCCGGCGGGTTCTGCTGCGCCGGCCTTGGGCTGGTCTTTTGAGGCCTTCTTCTGGTCTGCCTGCGCGGCTTGGTCCTTTTTCTCTGCTGGAGCCTCGCTTTTGGGCGCGGGCTGTGCTCCTTCTGCCGCCATGAGGAGGGGAGTTTTGGGGAGTTTGCGATGGGGAGGGGCGATATCGAGGCGAGATGCGAATTTGGTGTACCAGTCACCGAATAGAGGGCCTTGTATCGGAGTCGCTCTCGACCGAGGCGATTGGACCAAGGAATCGAAGTCGCACAGGTTAGATGTCGTCGCAAGAAGAAGATGTCAAGATTCAAGCCGCGAGAATAAGAATAGAGAAATGCTGGCTCAAAGCAGCCCAAGGTAAAATGCTGGCGAGGTCGACGCAAGTCTGTGAGAGTCGAAAAGGTGGGGTCTTTGAGTCACTGCAAAATAAATCGAGAAGCGGAAATGCCCCGCGCTAAGGTTAAGATTTAGGAGCTGCGAAACTTTGCGAGCGAAGATTGACTTTACGGCTTGCTGCAGCAAGGTTTAAGATTCTGAGCTCTATAATGGAGATTTTGGACCAGAGTAGCCTTTGGAGTGGTGAAGCTGAGGACTAATTCTGGCAGTCAGCTGGTGCTACATGCGTCGCTGCAGAGCTTGGTGATGCGTCATGATGTTTTGTGCGGCTGAAGCTGCCTAGATCTTGATGCACCACAGATGATAATGTTCACATCTTGCTCTGATTTCCTTTGCCAAATGCTTCCCTTCATTTGCTACAGATTAACGTCTACAAGAACAAGATTTGTCCCTAGTCCACAACGAGCACAAGCAGCCTTGCCACAATGCATCCATCTCGAACGGCGTGAAGCCACAAACAGAATCCCGAGTATCGCCAACAACGCGTCTTATTACGCGCCCGATCACAACATTTCCCATCCCTCCCAGCAGCGTCCCCAATCTTATGCCTCGTTCACTTCGATCCTCTGCGCAGTCCAACGCTCACTCCCATCTCCAAGCCAGCCTCCTTCTTCACGCCAGTCCAGCCAGGGACCAACCGCAATGAAAGAAATAAAACAATTTCCAAAGGAAAATGGTGGGTGTTCCAAAAATTCCCTGGCCGGGACGAACCCAGCCAGGAGTGGTCAGTGTATAGTTTTCAACTAGCAAAATTCCTCTCTCAGCTTATCGCTTCACGGAGAAGGAAAACGCCCGTGCACTTGGATGGAGAAGGAAAGGAAAGAAAAGAAGTCTGAAAAATGTGGGAGGGCAGACGAGGTTTTATAGTGGCAGAGTGGGGCGGAAAACGGAAGATTAGGTAAGCAGGTGCCTGCCGTTTGCTGCTAGTGCTGCCAGATGAGCGAGACACTAGCAGCAGGCAGAGCTCAGCCAACAGGCAGCAGCAGGCTGAGGTTATTACTTGAAGCAGCTAAATTACAGATTTGCTGATGTTATGAAGGGAATGAAAAGGGTCATAAGCTGGTACTGAGCTGAATTCTCTATATAAGATTGCATTCTTTGATGTCCATATGCCTGATGCATAATTCCCACGCAGTCCATTATCGGCATGTGCTCTATGAGCTGTGCTTGAGACGAACCAAACTCGACTGCTGTAAAAGAAGACGCCGATACACAGCCCATGCCGTTGGAATGGAGTCAATGGCTTGATATAATGCTTGACGATGACAATTCTTGCCAATACCGAAACTTGTCCAAATAAATCCTTCCCAATCATCAAATCTCCATATCGGCTGCCCTTTGACTCATACCCGTCGCTATGGAGCATCCACGGCAGCAGTTGGTTGCCGCAGCTTAGCATCCAATCAACATAGCTCGACAGCTAAAAACTCTCTCGCTATCAACACAACCCTCTCTCCAATCAAGCATGCAAATGACATAAAGGACCAAAAAAAATGCTCAAATTCAAGCGCGCCTATTCCACCGGCTTCGCCAACGCCATTCCCCCGGCCAAGCTCAAATACGTGCCCACGTCCGGCACGTACCCAAAGGGCTTCCTCGCCTCGGGCGTCTTCGTCGGCGTCAAGCCCGGCAACACCAGCAAGCCGGATCTCGCCCTCGTCACGTCCGACAGACCGGCCTCAGCCGCCGCCGTCTTCACCAAGAACAAGTTCCAGGCGGCGCCGGTGACGTTTAGCCGCAAGATCCTGCAGACCAAGGCCAATGCTGGGCTGCGCAGCGTCATTGTCAACTCGGGCAATGCAAATGCCGTGACCGGTGTCGGAGGCCTGGAGGATGCGGCGAGCATGGCGAGGACGACGGACCAGCGGGTTGGCAGCGATGATTCGACGCTGGTGATGAGCACGGGCGTCATTGGACAGAGGTTGGTGATGCAGTTACTGAAGAGAGTTTAACAAAAACTGACTGTTGCAGGCTTCCTATCCAGAAAATCGTGGACCACATCCCCATGGCCTATCACCATGCCGGAGAGTCTCACAGGCACTGGCTCGACTGTGCCAAGGCCATCTGCACCACCGACACTTTCCCCAAGCTCATGTCGAGGTCCTTTGAGCTGCCTTCTTCGCCTGGCGTCGAGTACCGCATTGCGGGCATGACCAAGGGTGCCGGCATGATGGCCCCCAATCTGGCTACTATGCTCACCATCTTGGCCACCGATGCTCCCATTGCGCCCAGTCTCATGAACCCTCTGCTGAAATACTCGGTGGATCGCTCGTTCAATGCCCTGACCATTGACGGCGACACCTCGACCAACGATACCGTGGCTCTTCTTGCCAATGGCGCGGCTGGCGGCAAGGAGATTTCATCTGAGCAGTCTGCCGACTACAAGGCCTTCAAGGAACTCCTGACTGACTTTTCTGCCGAGCTCGCCAAATACCTCGTCCGCGACGGCGAGGGAGCCACCAAATTTGTCACCATCCGTGTCGTGGACGGTGCTTCCGAGGAGGCGTCTCGAGAAATCGCCCGAGCCATTGCTCGCTCTCCTCTCGTCAAGACAGCCCTCTACGGCAAGGATGCCAACTGGGGCCGTATTCTGTGTGCCGCCGGCTACGCACTTATTTCGCCTCCTGGCCAGCCTGTCAACGACGTCCCTGAGATTATCCCCGAGCGGACGAGCGTGTCTTTTGTGCCCACCGACGGCTCGGCGGAGCTGAAGCTGCTGGTGAATGGTGAGCCGGAGAATGTCGATGAGCAGAGGGCGAGCGAGATTCTCGAGATGGAAGACTTGGAGATTCTGGTGAGGCTGGGGACGGGTGACAAAAGCATTGTGCACTGGACTTGTGACTTTAGTCACGATTATGTTACGATTAATGGAGACTACCGGACATAGGCATGTAAAAATAGGCGAATGGTAAATAATTTTCTTGTTATCCTTTCTTTCTTTCTGATGAATGACTGCCACGACTTGTCACAGATATCCAGCCAACTTCTATTCCAAAGCTTTTCTCGTATAATTTACCGCCGAATATCCCAAGGCACATACCGCAATAGCGGAACATTTGCGTATCCAAAAAATGATCAACTCCAAACTCCCTCTATATCGACCCTTTTGCTTTCTTTTACTTCTTTCTTATGCCTCTTTTTAAGCACTCAAAGTGCCCTTGGTGCTAGGAACTTCTCCCTCCCTGCCCTGAACCCTAGTCGTAGCCATGCGAACCGCCACAGCCAGCGCCTTGAACGCACTCTCAGCCCTGTGGTGATCGTTGTCGCCGCGCAGGCAGTCGACGTGCAGCGTGATGCGCGCGGCCTGGGCAAAGCTCTGCAGGCAGTGGGGAATCATCTCGCAGCTGAGCTCGCCGAGTTTCTCGCGCTTGAGGCCCAGGTCGACGACGGTGTAGGGCCGATTAGAGAGATCGACGACGGCGCGGGAGAGGGCCTCATCGAGGGGGGCGTAGGCATAGCCGAAGCGGGCGACGCCGGTGAGGGCGCCGAGGGCCTTGGCAAAGGTGGTGCCGACGGCGATGCAGCAGTCTTCGGCGGTGTGGTGGTCGTCAACTAGAGGAGGAATATTAGCATGCAAGATACTAGTTGATATGATTGTCATGACGCACTATGGAGATCGCCCTTGCAGTTGAGCGCCATGCTCCAGCCGGCGTGCTTGGCCAGCGCGTGCAGCATGTGGTCCAGGAAGCCGATGCCCGTGTTGATGGAAATCACCTGCGACTTGCTGGTCTGCGAGGCGTGTGCGCTGGAGGCCTCGAGCAGGCGAGGGTCGGCATCCTGAGGGAGCTCGCCGCCGTCGATGCTGAGGGCGATTTGGATCGACGTCTCGTTGGTGTCGCGGGACAGGGCCGCAGCTCGGACGGGGAGGGGAGAAGCCATTGTTGGGGATTGACTGATGTTGTTTTGTGTCTTGACGGGAAATTCAGTTTGGGGGAGAATTGGCGACTTTTTATCTTCCAATGGGAGTCGTGTTAAAGTTAAGACTAATAAGTCGATGATGAGAGGCAGAAAGATTTGTCTCGCTCCTGTATCGGAGTTCGGGGTTGGTGGGATTTTTTTCTTAGTGGTCCCCAAGTGCAGGCATGATTTCATGTTTACAGTGGTGGCATTAGCACAATTTGTTGCCCTGGAAATGCCGTACAGCGGGTAGGGTCTCACTGAAGTCGCTGCATGGAGGGGTCCGTTGCGCTGAAGCTACCCCGCTATTTGCTCTAACCACCCCTGCAGCTGCTGTAAACGGACGCGGATCGCGGCAGGTCCAAGTTATTGAGAGCGCGTCAACATTGAGCTCCAGATATTCGACTTCGCTACATGTACCTTGTCCGCCAAACATCCCGCCATCCTACCATGCCGCACTGCTAAATACCTTGCTATACTGGTCTTTTCTTCTTTTTTGCCATTGTCCTTTTGTCAATATTTGATTCATTTTTGGACCTGATCTCATGCGACGTCCCGGCCGATGCTAGAATGGAGCAGTTTCTGAGGGACTGGAGACAGGATGCCCTCAACAAGGCGCAGTATGAATCGGCCATCTTTATTGGCGACAAGCTTCTTGCTTTGACTCGTGTGTAGTGCCATTGATCTTCGCAAAGGTGCACGAACTAATACGTGTAACTACTGGTTGCAGATGACGACAACGACGCCTTCTGGCTGGCACAGGTTCACTTTGCGACTGGAAACTACACACGAGCCCAAGCATTCCTCTCCAAACAAGACCTCATCGGCCGCAACCCAGCCTGTCGCTATCTGGCCGGTCACTGCCTCATCAAGCAATCACGATTCGAAGAAGCTCTGGCCGTCCTTGGCGAGCGCAACCCGACACACCTGATATCCAATGGCCCGAGCAACAAGCGAAAAGCTTCCGCCCAGCCTCGAGGCGGACGCAGACGAGACGACGATGCGGGAGATGAAGAGGCAGCGACCCGAAGATTCGAGGCAGCTATGTGCTTCCTCCGGGGCATTTGCTATGCGAAGCAAAACGCCTTTGACAGAGCCAAGGAATGCTACAAGGACGCCGTGCGGATTGATGTGCAGTGCTTCGAAGCCTTCCAGCAGTTGATGAAGAACTCGCTTCTGTCGCCGGACGAGGAGTGGCAATTTCTAGACAGCCTAGACTTTGACTCAATACAGCTAACGGGAGACCCAAAGTCTTCCCAGGAGGCGGCCGAATTCACAAAGATGCTCTACACTACTCGATTATCCAAATACAGGAACCCTGCCGCATTCGACACGGCCTACGACTCGCTGTCAACGCATTATCAGCTGGCCGCTAATCCTGACCTGCAGCTTGCTCGAGCCGACTTACTATATACACAATGCCGATACCGAGATGCATTGACGATTACCAATGCCATCCTGGAAGAAGACAAGTACAACTTTGCCATATACCCCGTTCACTTGGCCTGTCTATACGAGCTCAAGATGAAGAACCTACTATTCCTGATAGCCCACGATCTGGCAGACACTCACCCCGAAGAGCCGTGTACATGGTTGGCGGTGGGCATTTACTATTTTAGCATCAAGAAGATTGCAGAAGCCAGACGGTATTTCAGCAAAGCGAGCATGATGGACGCGCATTTTGGCCCGGCCTGGATCGGCTTTGCGCACACATTTGCCGAAGAAGGAGAGCACGACCAGGCCATTTCAGCTTACTCGACCGCAGCTCGCCTCTTTATGGGCACTCATCTACCGCAAATCTTCCTCGGAATGCAAAACCATGCTTTGAACAACATGACGATTGCAGAAGAATTCTTAAAGACTGCTTACGGGCTGTGCAAGTCAGATCCGCTGCTCTTGAACGAGATGGGCATCGTCAAGTATCACCAAGACAAGCCAAAAGAGGCTGTCCAGTACTTTACAGCTGCGCTCAAGGTGGCCGACGAAAATGATAGTGAGCCGTCAGCATGGCTTTCGGCGAGGGCAAACTTGGGCCATGCATTTCGCCGGCTGCGCCACTTCAATCGTGCTCTGGCAGAATTCGATGAAGTATTGCGGGCGGGTGGAAAGGATGCTGCCATCTTTAGTGCCAAGGGGCTTATTCTAATGGAACAGAACAGGCCACAAGAAGCCGTTGTTGTCCTCCACGAGGCCTTAGCCATCCACCCGCAAGACAGCATCGCAACAGAACTCTTGAACAAGGCATTAGAAGAGACGGCCTTGGTGGATGGCGCTGCAGAGGATGAGGCTGAAGACTTGGCGGATTTCGAGCAACATTTGGAAAGAAGGAAACTCGAAGCATCACATAAATTAAATGGCAAAAGGACAGGGCGCGGCACAATGGATAAAGGCAAGGGCAGGCTGGGTCGGCGAAGGACGATGTTGATTGACGATGAGGACGAAAGGGAAGAGACTGGAATGGATATGACTGATGACATTGATGACGAGGCCTAGGAGGCATACTGCGTACATCGGGGCCTGAATCAGGACATGGATGAGGTTGCGGGAGTCAGCGTGGCTAACCTGGGGCGTTTTGGCGATTGAGTTTGTTACGGTGTTTGCTTGAAATTGTTTCATATTGGAAGCAAGGTACAGTAGAAGGCGAAATGAGTGTTGCAAATTGATAACGATTATGACGATGATCCATTTTCAGTCGGATTGTGGCTCGACACCTCTATCAATAATTCAGGGACTATTACAGCAAATATTTTAAAGGTCCGCACAAGGGTATAGTTCAAACAACAATACTGCTCATATTTATAACCTAATCAAAACATCTGCTAACTGCGGTAGCTAGAACAAGACATAAAACAGAGTTGAGCTATAGACTCATGTCTCGACCCTCGTGGAAATAAGTTTGCTGGTTTGTGTTGAATAATTGCCAAATCTTTTCCTCCTATATATCCACCAAGATCAGCAATGGCTCCAGACTGTAACACTAAGGATAGAATGCACTTGAACTACAACTCAAATATTATGTACCATCACACAGCATTGTCTTGATTACTACTTGGTGTATGGTACAATGTTAGTGTCTCAAGCGCAAACTTATATCATATGCCTGATTATTGGCTCAGTCATGTTTGTTGGTTGAGATGATTTGCACCTTGGAGACTCGCGATACCAACCCAGTTCGTCATGTCTGCAAGTAAAAGGGGTTGATGAAACCGACTACATGGATAAATAAAGTTGACAATATTGGATAGGTATTGATTAGTACTTGGCTGTCAATCCATGTATCATGACCTGCTTGTCCTTATAGGCTAACTGGATGACTGGCATTGGACACTTGCTGCGCTTTTCAAGACTGGAACAAGCTGTCTCGTTTAAAGCCGTGAGTGGGATTCTGCTGCAGGTGCCAACAATAAATAATTATCCAAGAACAGTAGACATGGAGCATCCATCTGTGCTATGACTTGGTCTTTAGGAAATTGTTTGCGAAAACTCGTCCCAACAGTGGAATTGCTTGCGCTAACTTGCACTGGCTTCCTTCTGAGGCTCGCTTGCTCCAGGCAGGCCAGGCAGCCACTCCGACCATTAAAGTTAGCTGTCCCGATTGGCTCAAGATATAAAAATGCGCTTCATCTCCTTGTTTTCCCTTCATCAGCTGCCATCACCAAGCTCGTGGCCTTTATTCCTTCCTCTCTCTCTCATGTCAATGGAAATTGCACGGTTTTGAATGCTCTCGATTTTGTCTTCTTAGACCCACTGGCAGCTTCATCCACGAGCTGAGCCGATTTTCCTGAACCAACTGAAACCCTGAAACTCTCTCGCTGCAGCTTGCGTTTAGCTGCACCCTTCTTTCAAAATGAACATGGCAAATATGCTGTTGAATCTTGATCTTCTGCTGAGCCGCAATGGCTTTCCGTTCTCGGGCCAGCTCCAAAGCAACCGCATCGCCCGGCGCAACACTCCGTCTGGAGCTCACGATCTGGTCCTGCATCCGGATGTGCCCGAGAGCGAGCGCGACAAGAAGCTTTGGATTGTGGACAGAATCCTGGAGCCGCAAGCCATTCCTCATTTCATCGAGTCCATGGCGTTTGGAATTCTTTCCGATGGCTCCAAATCATCATTTCCGCCGCTCTCCGAGGACGTGATTATGCTGATGCAGCAGCCCATGGCAACGTGGGCGCCGGCTCCGTACAACACCAGCCATGACATACTTGTACAGCAGCTCATGACTCGCATTGGCTCCCACGAGGATGCAGATCGTTTGGTGCCCATCGAAAAGAAGCTTCATGCGATGAAGTCGAGGTTATGGGAAGGCGTCATGCCTCTTTCCGAGCGGCGCTGGAAGGATCTTTCTCTAGACTCTCCGCAAAACTTTCACGCGGCATGCCAGTATATTGCCGGTGCGACAAATGCCTTTCACTATCTGAATCTTCCTCCTGTCAAAGCTGCTCTTCGCGAGACCTACAATCTGATATGGGGACACTTGCGCCATTTCGAAGATGCGTTCAACGCCAAGAATAGGCTGGAACAGAAGCCAGAAGTCAAAATTGCGGCAAGATGGCACGAGTACATCAAGACGCACTTCAACTCTATCTCTGCACATGCCCACCGCTGGGTTATTAACAGCGTTGATCGTCTCCGCCGTCCTATCCTCGAAGAGCTCGCGGCTCATCCTCCATCAGCTGGGTCTGATATGGACCCGCAGCAGTGGGATTTGACAAACAAGCTCCATGACCTGTTGGAAAATGCAGGTCAAGCTGATTCGGGCATCTTTCTACCAATGGACGGATATGAAGGAGAAAGCCTTCGTTCCCAAGACGATGCGCCGCCACTTCCTGGCGCCAACGAGCCCTATCGCACGGAGCCCATCTCCTTTTCTGCGAATACCTACGCTAGAAAGGGCGACTACTACTTGAGACTCAAGTATCTATCACGGACTGAGCTATGGCTCGGCCACGATCGCTCAACTGACCAGCCCCCGGAGCCCGGCCTGCCGACTGGCTTTGATCTTATGAACAACACTGCACGGAGTGCTTATTGCCAAGTAATAGCTCAGGAGAAGACAAGACTTGAACTTCGAGGACCGCCAGTGCCCTTGGAACAACAGCTCTGGGTGGAAACAGCGAATCGATATCTTGGCACGCCGAATAACTTTGAATGGGGATTCGTGGCGTACCGCCTTTCTCACGACCACACGGATGAAGAGTGGGAGCAGTTCAAGACCAAGTTTGAGGCTGATATCGCGAATTGGGGCCATGAGCTGACTGGGGTTGACAATCTGAGAGGACGTTCGGTGATCCATTGGCGAGATGCCAAGGACCTGGAAGTCTCTGATGACGATGTCGACGCCCTTAGAACGTACGTATTGACATGCATACTTTTCCCTTTACGAGTAATCATGGACTAATCACGAGTGCATCTTGTAGTAAATTCCAGGAATTCCGCGAATCAGCAGACTTCCCATCTGGCGTTCACTCTGATATCCTCCTTGGTGCAGACAAGGGCGTCATCGACTCCTATCTTAATCCCACGCCGGAGCAGGGCGGCTTTGTCATGACTATTGACGCTGATTTCGATCCCAACTCGCCTGATGACGAGCGCTCGGAAGAGTCGCCGGGTTATAGCGGCGTTGTGCGCGTTCTTGGAAGCGTCCTTTGGGACGATGTTGGCGCTCTTGTCGTTACGCAGACGCAGCATTTGAGTGACTTGTGGCCATTGGCGATGCATCACCCGCATAACGTGTATGAAGGGCCGCTTGGTGAGATTTAGTGAGCTGCGTTTGGCTTTTACGGATCATCACTTTTGGAGATTCTGTGTATATTTTGTGATTTTTCTGCTAGATAATGCGTTTGGTCTGGATGATGTTGGAAAAGAACTTGTGAATAAGACCAGCCAATATATTTTGCTCAAAGTAGAAATGGTCTGAACAGTTGGAGAATGAAGTCAACAATCCGTTGCATTAAGCTTCTTGGCAGCTGAGCATTAAATCTTAGTGTCAAGCCGGGCTGTCCAGCTGACCGCCATCATGAGATCGTCATAATGGCATCACATCCAACAACTGATATAAGCAACATGAAGAGCATCACGAGAATTATCGTCGCGAATTGTCAATCCATTCTTTTCATGCAGAGAAAATGCATATGTGTGAGACGCTACTATTTGCGTGACAGATCACTTCGCATACAAAGGACTATGACCGAAATCGACAAGATCGGCCGCTTCATCGAGGCGATGAAGACAGTGTACGGCCCATTTGACCAAGTATCAAATGACGAGGCACCTGGCTGGAGTTTTCCTGACGATCCTGGAGCTGGAGGCCATCGCGGTAGGTATCTCTGGACGGACGCTTTTGGAGTTGTCAACTTCATCACGCTGTTTAAGGAAACAGCCAAGCCCAAGTATCTGACGCTAGCTAAGCGGCTGGTCACAACTGTTCACGATGTCCTTGGCCGAACAAGAGATGGACAAAAAAGACTTGATGGTGCTACGGACGAGGAACCTCTGAGAGGGGGGTTGAGAATCGGGAAACTGGATGCCAAGGGTCATGATGGCGATGGACAGTATCATCATTACCTTACGCTGTGGATGTTTGCACTGAATCGTCTCTCCATTGCTGCGGGCGAGACCGAGTATAATGATTTGGCTATACAGCTGGCGAGGTCGATTCATCCGCGCTTTCTCATGCATTGCCTCTCTGGCGATTTGCGAATGGTGTGGAAGATTTCCACCGATATGAAGAGTGTGCTTGTCCAGTCAGAAGGCCACCTCGATGCAGCGACGGGATACGTTGTCTATAAGCTACTCCAGAGCACAGCCGCGAAACAAGGCCATCGAAATGGCGTTCTGTCTCAAGAAGTCAGCGATTACTGGAACCTCATGACGCGAAAAGGCAGCCTGTCTCCCGGAAACGACTTTTTAGACTTGGGAATGGGCCTTTGGATGTGCCATATCTGGGCAGACGAGCCGTGGGCTGCGAAACTCTCAGGCAAGGCTCTAGTCAGAGTCGAAGAGCTGCTCGGTGAGGATTCGCCAGTGATGCAGCGAAGTGCATCCCACAGACTGGCCTTTCGCGAGTTTGGCACCTGCGTTGGCGTTGCGTGCTGGGACGTCAGTGATTATTTGGAGACTCGGGTGGCGGCTCTTGTGAGATTCTGGGATGGGCATTTGGATAGTAGACATACGGAGGATGAACTTAAGCCGATATCGCGGGTTATGTATGCGACGGCTTTGAACGCGGGAGGTGAGATTATTGGGAATCAGAGTCTGTTGCTTGATTTGCTGACGATTGAGTAGCGTTTCGGATAGGGTACCTTGAGGATGGCGAATGATGGAGATTTCGCCACGGGTTTCTATTGCAGTTTTGATGATATCATGCATATACCTTCACTTTTAGTAGCACGGCCACGGTGATGTGGCATTCAAACCGTTGTATTTGAGCTATAACTCGGAGATTGTTAGTCACTGATGATTAAAATCGGATTTTACAGAAGTCAAGCAATGAACAAGAAGCTATTGTTATACTGTCGGTGCTGGAGATAGCTGCGGGCAAGCATTTCCCAAAACTCCCGATTAGGCAACTATTCCACCCTATTGCCGGTCCCGGGTGATGCCGCCGTGCTATTGGATCGTCGACTAAAAGTGGGCGGACTAGCAGCTCTGGCCTTTATACCCTCGTTTTGCACTATGTGGCTATTTCACTATTTAAAGACGACGTTTTATCTTCTTCAAGCCACTAACTATACGATTCATACACTTATTTTCACTCAATTGATATCCTCATAAAATTGGAAAACATCTGCTCAAGGCACCTTTGTATTGGGAATCTCATCACAATGGCCAAGTTGACTCTAACGTCCACATATAAAATGAAGTCGGGGTACGAGATTCCCGTATTAGGCTTTGGGGTATGTCGCCATCCAGCGCAGTGTTCAGAAGATCACCTCGATTAACTATACACATAGACCGCAGCTGGAGCTAGCCAAGGCTTTAAAATCGGGCATGACAAGGCCGTCACCGCTATTGTCCATGCCTTGAAAGCCGGATACAGACATTTCGATTCCGCGCGCATGTATGACAGCGAAAAGGCCTGTGGAGAAGCGTTCAAGTTGTCAGGCATTCCTCGCGAGGAGATTTTCGTCACCACAAAAGTTCGCAAGGGCGGATACAAAGAGACCAAAAAGGCCGTTGAAAAGAGTCTTCAGGAGACGGGGCTGGATTACATCGACTTGTATCTCAACCACAGTCCATATGGCGGCCCAGAGGCGAGAAAGGGCACGTGGAAAGCTTTGGTAGAAGCAAAGCATGAAGGCAAGATTCGATCTATGGGAGTGTCCAACTATGGCGTGCATCATCTTGAAGAGACGCTCGCATACATCAAGGAGCTGGAGGGCGAGCTTGGTGAAGGGAATGCAGGGGAGATTAGCGTTGGCCAGTGGGAGCTGCATCCATGGCTGGCGCATCCAGATATCGTGGAATGGTGCAATAAGCATGGGGTTGTGATGGAAGCGTATTGTCCGATTGCCAAGGGACAGCGATTTGAGGAGCCGCAGGTGCAGGCTCTTATGAAGAAGTATGGGAAGACGGGAGCCCAGATCTTACTGCGATGGAGTTTACAAAAGGTATGCAATTGCTTACTGTTGAGAAATTCTTTGAGTGCCTTGTGGCGCAAATTCTAACACACACTTCTAGGGCTTCGTTCCTTTGCCAAAGAGTGAAACGCCGTCTAGAATTGAGGCCAATGCGGAACTCTACGATTTTGAATTGGCGGAAGAGGATATGGCAACGTTGGATTTTGACTCTTATTCGCCGACTACATGGGATCCTACAGTCAGTCCTCTTGATAATTAGACAATGTGACGGCATCAAATGATAATAAATTGAGAGTAATTTTGTACAATCATTTTTAGAATCATTGCTAGACCTTATACAGCCGTGATACGCTGAAAAGAGTTTATAGATTAATATAATAAGAAATCAAACTTCTCTATTTCTTCATTCTCCAATGCCTCTCCTCTCATTAGACCGTGGGCATAACACTCGCCTATCACAGTGAATCCGCTGCCAATATTAGTTCTAGGTAGCTGCTCAGGAACAGCTCGAAGAATAAAAGGCATATCACCGCCATGTAATACGGCAATCGTATCTCCAGCCATCATCGACCTTGGGCCCCAGCCAATGTACCCTTTACTTGACACGAATAATCGCATTTTGTTGACTACCAGTCGAACCATGGATGCGACTTTGTCAATACTTTCTTCGGCCAGTGCTCTAGATGCTAGGCTTCCTGGTACCATTACATAGCCTTCTTCTGTAACGAAAGGCTCTTCTGGCTGATTTTCGATCCTGAGGTGCCAAAACTTCGCGAAAGCTAGCTTTAGAAAGACAGATCTTTTTCTGTCTTCATTAAATTTGTCGGGCAATGATATTTTCCGAGTAATATCTGCGGTAAGAGCTTTCCAAGATGCATTTTGCATGGTGTCGTCGTCACCGAAAGGGTATGCTATCTCGCTCAACAACTCCCAGGCGGATATGGCAATATTAAGTTCGTGGTTGGATTCAACGATATCTGATGACTCATACAAGTTTGTTGTTTTATTAGACTCTGTTAGAAGACAAAAAAGATCATGGTTCGTTTACCTTGGCTGCAGTTATTGTCTTGAGACTCCGGTGTGCTTGATCGGATACAAGTGAACGAGTGGCCTGGATGTATATCTCTTGATTTACTAAAACATCTGCTGCAAAGATCGAAATCAGGGCATGCGCAGCATTTATTTCGAATACCACAGATTATTTTGTCGCATTCATCGCATCTTGCTTGATGAACCGAGGTGCTATTGGTAACGAGATGACACCATTGTTGCAGAGTTTGGGCATCAGCTCCTGCTCCATGTAGGTTGGAACTGTCACACCCTACATGTGTGACTGTATCGCAAACAACTCCGGACACGCTGAGAACTTCTGGTGTTGGAAAACACGGATTAGCTTTGGCATGCCCCGAAGCGGAAAATCGTCTATAGTAAAGATATTTGTCTCGTTCTTGTGCGTGGATAGACAAGCTGCTTTCCGTCGATTGCGTCCAGTCGGGACACCATGATGGTAACCCCTCCATGCGACCATTGTAGGTGCTAGTAAACTCGGAGGGACTTGCGTAGTGAAGAATTTTAAGTGACTCATTATGCTGAATGATTTTTGTAGAAACATGCAAGGTCCACTCTCTCAGAGAGAGCTCGTACCTAACAAGATCTGTAGGAACATCGTGTGCCAAACCCAGGTATGCGTACACTCTATCTCGAACATTGGTTGCTATACGACTCCTGTTATTCACGATGACATCCAGTAAACTTCCTTGACCCTGGGAAATGCTTCTCCGGCTTGATAATAGCTCCTGTATGATTACATAGGCCGAAACAAGTTCATTTGTTGACATATTATTTGCGCGCTCCACAGCATATACTGCCTGACAGCATTGGTCTCGAAACAGATGCCGATGCAGGGATTTGCAATACCCTTCGAGATTTTCAAGAGAAAAGCATCTATACCCGGTATAGAATACTAAATCTTTTGCCAGTACCGCTTCTTGGAATGTCCAAGCTCTATGCCACCAGCTAATTTTCGACAACGCCAACATGGATATGGGAAATTCGGTAAAATGTCTTTCCTGATTTTGACTGTGCCGGTTGATGTCGTGTAAGAGCTCTGGCGATTCAGAATTCAATAGCCAGACCAAAACTGTGGACGCTTGAGCATAAATTTTATCCATCATCCTCACTTGTATGCTCTTTTCATTGTCGTCTTTCTGGTTGATACATAGGGCGTCTACCCATAGTATACGTGTCATTTTGACATCGCGAAGGTGTGTAAATGCTTCAAACAAGCTATCTGTCACCGATAATTCACTTCCATCAAGCAGTATATGCTTAGTGTCGTTCGACCTCCCCCAAACGTATGATAGAGCTTCGTATTCAGATTTGTCCAGAAGGGATATAGTCCGTAAATGACATATAATGGCATCTCGTCGTGATTGCGCTGGACTTATTTCTATAACGCGAATTTCACTCTCAGCGGAGTTTAATGGCCGCCACGGATCATCTCTGCAAAAGATGCAATTTGAGTAAATAAGTCCGAGTTACCAAGAATTGCAGTAATCGTTTCGCTTACTGGCGTGTTTTTAAAGGCATACTTCTTCTACTTTAAGCATGTAAGGAAAAGAAGTCAAGTTAATGAGAATTTAAAACTACAGAATTGCAAATGTGTATTTAGGCCTAAATTGGAGTTGGGTATTTATACAAATTGAGCCCCTCGACGTAGTTGGTGGGTAGCTGATGGTTGCGCCCCGCTTGTCAAGGAGCCTCGTTGCCTTGAAATGTTGCCTTGAGATACATAGTTACATGTGTTGATGCATGATCTCTAAGTTTTACTATGACAGCCTTGCCTTGGTTAATTATTAAATTTGATCACAATAAGGCCAAAACAAGCTGGCGCTTGCATTTTAACAATTCATCTTAGTCCAAGAGGATATCGACCGCACTGCGCAAGCCAAGGGTCATATCGTTGGACCCAGTCATTGAGGTGCTTATAAACGAATATACTTTGCGGGAATAAAATGCCTTTTATTTCCATTGGCATTCGTTGGCAATATTGTTGGTGTATATAGAATTTAATTGTCGCTGTTAATCGAATGCCAGGTTCAGCTACTGATGATGAATGCTTTCATATTCTATACGGAACTCTATAACTAAATAAGGAAGCTGTATCTAAAGATTAACCCTGAAAGCGATTTCAGCCGTTTCCCCTCCGAGTTGGTCTATCAGATCTGCGAGTGCTCCGCAATCAAATTGGACGAGTTGGGCAACGAGTCGATGCAGCCACGATTAATATCCTTCACCTTGACAAAGCCACCTACTTCCATCAAGATGTCAAACTCGGCCAACAGGCTCTTCAAGACATGCCGCACACCATGCTCGCCGGCAATGCTGAGACCCCACACCCAAAGGCGGCCGATGAAGACAAACTTGGCGCCAATGGCGAGCGCCTTGAAAGCGTCGGCGGCAGATCGGACTCCGGAATCGAACATGATCTAGTTCAGATTTGGTTAGCCATAATATGTTTATGTGGGGTTGATGCAGGATGCAGCTTACGTAGATCTTGTCTCCGACGGCATCGACAATCTTCTCAAGAGCGTCAAGAGATGAGATACCTCCGTCGACCTGTCGTCCAGCGTGGTTTGATACGACAATGCCGTCAACGCCACTGATAAGTTCAACATTGTCAGAATTTAATAATGTGAAATAAAAAGGTTTGAGTAAACTCACAGCTCAACTGCCTTCTTGGCATCTTCCACGCTCTGAATGCCCTTCAGGCAGAATGGGCGTCCTCCACTGATTCTCTTCCACTGCTCCATAGTCCACTTCATCTTCTCCCAAGTAATGGCGCGGCCGTGCCAGATATTCTCATCAATCCACTTTGCACCCGCTTCCTTGGGGTTCTTGGCCGGGTCGATTCCTGCCTCCTTAAGACGCTTCTGGAAGACGGGGTCTTGAAGACCAAGGTCACCAGCTCCGTGCTCATGGTAAAATGCATAGTTTCCAGTGAACACATCGTTGTGGCGCCATCCAAGAGACCAGGTATCCGTGGTGAGCATACAGGCGTCGAATCCATTGTCAAAAGCGCGCTGGAGCATGGAGAGGCAGAGCTCGTCGTCGGGGCTCTGGTAGAGTTGGAAGAAGCGAGGCCCAGAGCCATTGGCCTTTGCAACGTCTTCGATGCTGTAACTTCCGGCAGAAGACAGGCAGTATGCGAGGTTGAGCTCCTGGGCTACTTTGGCCACGGACAGCTCGCCAGTGGGATGGTAGATGCGGTTGATGCCAATGGGAGCGAATCCAATGGGAGCAGATACCTTGTGGCCGAAAATCTCGGTTGCAGTGTCTCTCAGATTGGTGTCGACGAGCATGCGAGGGACAATTCGGTGTCGGTAGAAAGCCTGTCGGTTGGAAAGATGGGTCCAAGACACTCCAGCATTGCAAGAGGAATAGTACCAGCCACCCTGCGAGAGCTTCTCCTTTGCAAGCTTCTCAATTTCAGCGGGATCTTGATGAGTGTCAGTGAGAATCGCTAGCAAATGAGATGTCGTGAAAGTTTACCAGTGTTGAAGAGGCCATATTTTCCATTGTTTGCATCCCAGAAAGATTCTCGCTGATAGAGCGACCACTGAGGAGTGGTTCTGGTCTTGATGTTGGGGTTGTTGGGATCAGACATGGTTGTGTAAAGGCTTTGGCTTGATGTTTGGTTCAGTCACCGTGGATGTGGTTGCTGTTGTGGTTGCTATTGTTGTTTTGGATCATTGGGAAGGATGTGGATGTAGGTATATATAAGTTTCGTTTTGCCTTGTAAGTCTCAAAGTTCTTGTTGGTGATTGCGCCAATGACGCGCACAAGAGCTCCCGCACATCACTCAATTGCCAGTAGAGATGAAGCTTGAAACCCGAGTATGCTCCGATATTCTAATCCAATTATCAACTGAACTGTATAGCAACACATTGAGGTTGAAGTTGTCTAGCGTCAACCTGACATCAACGCGGCTAATCTTGCCCCCTTTGGTGATTATACGTATTAAAGTGCCCATGGTACAGGCTGACCTTGCTGGTCAATATTGCCACTACACGCCGCTGATGTCTCGGCAATGGCTTCCGTGAACTTGGAACTTCCAAAGCCACCATTGGCTTAATGGGAGGAAAGGCACGAAACTTGGTGTTTTCCTTGATGCTTAGTGTCTTCTTTCCCCATTGGGGACGCCCTCACAAACGGACATCCGCCTCCGCATTTTAGCTTGCTACGGCGGTATATGAGGTAATCGGCTAATAGAATTGCCTACGTGCAAAATATTGTAAGCATTCTAACTCAGCCACGGATATAACAGAGAAGAAGAGACGAAAGAGAGAAATTAAAAAAGCATATAACACGTCTGTGTACCTCGACTCCTAAACACGACGTTGAGTTGTCTCCATACACGGATCCACAGCCATCTCTGGGGCACATTTTCCGTACGGAGGACTCATTACTCAATTGCGATTTTACCTTATGTAAGCACATCTTATCGTCTTATCATCTTATCATATCTTATCGTCTTTCCATATCTATGACGTCAGAGGCTAACGTGATCTCAGATCGCCGCCATACCCGTACTGGCTAGCCTTATCGTCGGTCAGCTTTCCAGAAGGATTTTTCGCCGAATCTCTCGGCTGTTGCAGATTATGCAGTCGATAAATAATGCTCCGTGCCGTGCCGAGCCTTTCACAACCATAAAGCGACTATGCACGCACACGAGGAAGATTTGTCGAGTTGCTGATAGAAAAGCTTCACGATATTCACTTTTAGGAATTGGCGATTCTGCTCCATCGCAACCTCGCCAAACGCAGGATGCTGTTCTTTACTTCATGTACTAATAAACGTGGTTGTGGCAGTTTACGCTCGTTGCCATTGTGATTCACCACACTCGAAGCAGTCGATACAGTGTTCTGATTCCGCATAATGTGACATTCAACGTGATGAGTGCCGTGAAAGAGGAAAGAGAAAAATTGTCACGGAATTTGCCGCAGGACGGTAGCATCAAAGAGGAACTCGCAAGACGAAGAGCATGGTTATCTCATTTCCGCAACTGTGTCCTGACGAATCACCAACGCCAAGAGCCAAGACATCTGATGACGAGCCTCATCGTGGGCCGAGCAGAAAATTTCTTCTTGAATCCTTCAGTGGAGATCACGTTATATGGAACCAGGAAATACGAAGTTCCACGACGCTTTGCTGCGCGTTTAATGCTGTTCATGTTCCATCAGCTCAGCGCAGAGTGGGCACAAACAGTGGGCACCGAAGTGGGAACGGGACGGGCGTTTCTGGCAGCTTGACAGCCTCTTAGACGCGGCAGATGAAGGACTTAGTCTCGGTAGTGCTGGCCGGACATTCCGTGCCGAGCTGCGGTTTGCTGGGCCTGGTGGAGCGCTCGAAAGACGATCCATGACTCGGCCTGATCTGTGCAGCGCCAGAAGCGGCAATGGTTCGTTGAATATCCCCGATGAATTTCTCCGAATCAGCCTCATCAACACCGTGATGGCAGCCGCATTGAACAGGAGATGTGCCTATAAGGATCGGTCCAGTTCCACCTGATGGTCCAAACCACGGGACCGTTGATTATTGCCTTCATTCTCCAGCGGCCCGCAAAGACACCGAGATGGACGCGAGTGCTTCAAGGTTTTATATGGCTCTGTGGGACTATCCCTTTTGCCAGCCTTGGATTGCAAGCTCTATCGTCACTCATAGGAGTAGCTACTAGCTTTCACAGACTAGTTTATCTATCAGACAATTTCCCCGATCTCTAAATACCCAAGCCCTTATTCCTCCTGCACTGTTCGTGAATCACACGCAAGCATTGAATCGAAGCGTTTTGTGAATGGTTTGCGAGTAGCATCATGGGGTTATTCAACAAGAAACAAGCCTCTGCTCCCGTGGAGGAGCCCAAGCGAGGCAACTCGACCAGCAGCGAGGAGGGTTCTCAGATCCACGCTGAAGGAAAGGTCACGGTGCTGGCGTGTGCGCTGGGCGCTGTTGCCAGTGTTGGTGGTTTCATTTTCGGATATGTCAGGTAAGGCACTCCTCGATGACAGACACTCGATAGCAGTGACATCTACAATGGTGACACTTGATGTCTGCCAGCTTAAACTCCATTCTAATCACGCTTGCCTTACAGTGGTCAAATCTCTGGCTTCTTCCTGATGGAAGACTATGCCAGCCGCTTCGGAGCGTTACAAAGCGATGGATCGTACACCTTCAGCGCTGCTCGCCAGGGCACCATCGTCGGTCTTCTCTGCATTGGTTCGTTGATTGGCGCTTTAATTGCCGGTAAGATGGCAGATACCATCGGTCGTCGTCTCTCCATCTCCATGTTCGCCTTCTTTACTTGCATTGGTGTCATCATTGAGATCTCTTCCTCCACCCACTGGGTTCAGTTTGCTATCGGTCGTCTCGTCACTGGTGTCAGCATTGGCGCCCTATCTGTCGTCGTCCCCATGTACCAGTCAGAGAGTACTCCCGCCCTGATCCGTGGTGTCATTGTCTCATCGTACCAACTGCTCATTACCCTGGGTATCTGGACCGCTGAAATGGTCAACTGGGGAACCGAGGCCAGGGGCAACAGCGCTTCATGGAGAATCCCCAACGGTCTTACTTTTGCCTGGGCTCTGGCTCTCGGTGCTGGTGTTCTCTTCCTTCCTGAGAGTCCCCGATTTGCCTACAGCCGTGGTCGCGTTGATGAGGCTCGCCAAACCATTGCCCGGCTCATTGGCCTCCCTCCCAACTCTGATGTCGTCAACAAGCAAATTGCCGACATTCAAGAAAAGGTTGACGAGGAGAATGCGCACACTGAGGCGTTCAAATGGACAGAGATTTTCACCGCCCCTCGCATGCTCTACCGTACCACTCTCGGAATTGTTCTCCAGGCCGGCCAGCAGCTGACTGGAGCCAACTTCTTCTTCTACTTTGGTACCACGGTCTTTGCTGCCACTGGTATCAGCAACAGCTACGTCACCCAGATTATCCTCGGATCCGTCAACGTATTCTGCACAATCATTGGTCTCTGGATCATTGACCGCTTCGGTCGCCGTGTTATCCTCATGACCGGTGCTGCTTGGATGATGATGTGCTTCCTGTAAGTCTACTTCAACCTTGAAAGTGTCAAGACTCTGTATTGTACTAACAAACTGAAAGTGTCTACGCTTTTGTCGGCCACTTTGCCCTCGACCACGAGAACCCGATGCTCACCCCCAAGGCTGGATCTGCCCTGGTTACATTCTCCTGCCTGGCTATTGCTGCTTTCGCCGTCAGCTGGGGACCGCTGGTATGGACCGTCAACGCCGAGCTGTACCCCATTCGATACCGCAGTGTCTGCATGGGTATTGCGACCGCTTCCAACTGGTTCTGGAACTTTATGATTTCATTCTTGTAAGTTGTCACTAGCCTTTCAATGGTTGCAAAGACTCCATCTAACAGTCGCGTTTTCAGCACCCGATTCATTACCGACGACATCGACTACTTCTACGGCCTCATCTTCGCTGGCTGCTGTGCTGCGCTTGTCCTGATTGTCTTCTTCTTCGTCATGGAGTCCAAGGACCGAACTCTCGAGGAGATTGACACCATGTACGTGCAGCACGTCAACCCCATCACGTCGAGCAAGTGGACCCCGACCAAGCAGCACCAGAATGAAGTTGGAGATATCAGCGACGTGCGAAGTCACACGCAAAACTCGGAGAAATAAAGTGCTGTAGTCGTGTCGGTTGTTTCAGCCTGTACTCCAATTGCGCGTGTTTATCATGAGAGAGTGGGGGCTAGTAGCGAATTGCTAGCATGTATGATGGCATGTAAAATATGTAGAATATCATGAATGATCATTGTTGATAATAATAGTTAAATTTTCAAACGATTTCCGATATCGAAATTTGCTTTTCCTGTGCATGTTTGAGCTGATGTCACTTAGCCTGAAGGTGGTTTGAAAGAGGCTCTGAGTGGGACAGACTACTGAATGCAAGCATCCGATGATTTTATGGGGGAAAGTAATCGAGCACCTCAATTCTATGTATAGTTCAACATCCCGGCTATAGCTCAATCAAACACTTACTTTGTGTATTTATAGTTTAATTATTGCTATATGTCAACTGGACCATAGAACTATGTCTTCAATACCATCTTAGCTACGCAACGACAATAGCTACACTTAATATACTTTGATGTGCTGCTTAAAACTGCAAAGACAGTGCGGACTTCAAAGAATGGGCGATGGTGTTTTTCTAAATTGCGCGAGCAGCAGGGTTCTTCATAGTCGAACAACTCTCTCGACTTTATCTCCAGGTTAACCCAGCTATTTGTGAGCTCATCCTAACCCCCCCCCCCCCCCCCCCCCCCCCCCCCCCCATTGAACATTCACGAGTTATCTGGAGCATCTCGACGAGAAGCAATAGGCACGAATTTGGACTCTTACTACTTCCACTTACCTTGACTTAAAATGCTCGCGTTCTCCAATACCAAGTACCATTGGCATTTCTGCCTACACCAGCCTTTGGCCAACTGGCATCCGAGGAATCTAGCTTCTGGAACAATGTGCGCCAGAAATATAAAAGTTAATTGCAAATGTAGAAAGTAAAACTATGATAGTGGTAGTAATATACCAATAACAGTAATAGTTCTAATAGTCATTATAGTCGTCGTAGTCGTTATAATAGTGGCAGCAGCAGTAGTAGCAGCAGACCATTACTCCCGCTCATCACGATTACGAGTATCGGCAATGGCCGATCTTCGCTCGCATCAGTTCGTGATCGAATTCTGAGAACAAAGCATCGACGACCTAGTGACCTACAAGATCAACTTTGCAAAGCTCAAGCAAAAGGTGACAAGATCCATGGAGGACCCCGTCCGGTCAACAGATATCCTCGTCGACACCACTGTGGCCACCAGCGCAGACAAAGCTTGCCAAAGAGAGCACAAGACGATTCATTCATCAGACTGTGGCTTTTTGGCCGGATCTGGTCGATGCCCCTTTGCATAGCATCTTGGGGGCCTTGCTGTGATCGCCATAAAATCCCAGTTGTCATTGACGTAGACTGCCCCCTGGTGCGCATAGAGGCAGACATCGGAGAACTTCCAAAACAAAAGTTTTGATATCCGGTCGGGCGTCAAGACAATGTCGGACTTTGGCGCGCAGATGGTGCATTGGCAGCATTGCTGCGAGACGGATTTGCACTGGCCGGCCTTGAGGATGATGTTGCCGTCTCTATCTACCATTTCATGCCATTTGCTATTGACATTGACGCAACCCAGAAAATCTACCCGGCCTTCTTCATTCTATGGAGCCGTTAGCTTTTGGAATGGAATTAGAGAAGTACAGCGATTCGTACAGGAAGGCACTCCAGACGACTCGGATTTCCGAATTCTGGCTGTTTCAGATACAGGTATGGGTCGATGGTTGTTTTTTCGACAACATCGAGCAGCGCAAAGTCTTCAAGATAGAAGGGACTTTGCTTCGTCAGCGGATTGGGCTTCATTCTCGTTGGTGACTTTTTCGCATCTACGGCCGAAAGAAGAAGGAGAGCTGATACTGAAATGAGAAACATGATTCCCCGATGTATGTTGGGAACTCGGTTTGATCAAGGAGGAACAAATTATAATTTGAGTAGAAGACGATGAAGTAGTACAAAGTAATCCGAGCAACAGATGATATAAAAAAAAAGGTGAAAAGGTTACACGAGGGGAGAAGAATGAGTATGATCTCAACCTACGGCATCGCAATAAGCTCCCCAAAACGTATTTCGAGGTCGGTTATAATTCTTGGCTAGTAGCAGCCTCTTTTACAAAACGCCAAAGGTTAGATACTGTGCTGAATTGCCTCCACTAATCTAGATCGCATAGAAGTGGCTGCAACATATCTCCACCGAAGAACCGAGTGAATTACTGATGCTACTGATGCTGCTGATACTGATAGTAGCCATGTGCGCCTATGAAGAAAACACGCATCCCACATCTGACACGGTCATATCCTGGTAGATAAAATATACGCATGTAATGCGATGACGCAGTGGAAAAAAGAGTTCGTCAATCACGACGCATGCAGATAAATGAAGCCCTAGCCAAAATTAACGTACGAATGCGCCCATCCGTTTCCAATGCAGCTGAATATCTACTTGGAAACAGAGAATGGAGTCTTTGTACCAACATATCGAACATAGTACTCCATACCCGCAGACATTTTCTACGTTCTCGGCCAGTGACGTTTTTATCTTTAGAAGGACGAAAGAAGCCTCATGACGCTGCTGATAAAACTTGCGATACACACTCTACGATCTACAATTGAGCCGATTACTATATAGCTTTTCCAAGCCCCTTTCAGGAGGCTGCTGGTGCCTACGTGCGGTGTTGTGTGTAGAGTTTAGCCACATCGCCTTCACTCTATGCGAGGACACTTGGCCGAGATATCTGCCGGTACATTTTGATCCAAGGCTACACGATACTTGGGAGATAAGGCAAACAGTGGGTTGGTGCCAAGGCGCAATCTAGAGTTTTGGAGGCGTGTGCAGAGAATACGCGAACAACTTGTATAATCATGGCGGCGGGGTAATACACACTTGGTCATTTACCGCGCGCAGACGATGGATATCAGGCCTCGTATTGACGCATAAGCCCCGACCACAAGTAGGTACAATAAATGCTCCCCTTTCCCCTCCCTATCCAGACCACCAGTCCCGTCCCAACTCCTTCACCACATCCATCCCAAGCCTGCCACTGCATCATGACCATATCACACTGGAAATACCTGGTACAAAGGACTACTGCGGTCCCGGGGCGTTGATGAATGGCTGGTTGACCGGTCGTGCGTTCATCGACAAAACAAAAGGGGAGGAGGGCGATGAGGATGACGAAAAGCGACAAGGAGAAAAGGAGGCAAAGCCAGCATGTTTTCGTCTTCGCATCAACGGACAAGCCGCTGAATGCAATGGGCAAAAAAAAAAAAAAAAATACCGTGCCACCTGGAGAGAGTGTAATACCAGGGGCACGAGAAAACAAATCAAAAATTGTGCCGCAGTACTTACCAAACTAGCTGATCATCCCAAGGTGTTAGTCGCCTCACGCAGGGCCTTGGCAATGTCAACCCCCATCCCGACATCTTGAACGTCAGTGATGAGCCGGCTTGTCCTCTTGACAATACTATTATTACTGAAGAAAAAGAAGAAGAAGAAAAATAAGAGAGGAGAGGAAAAGAATGGATATTTATGCGACAGAGTACGTATTCACAACGAAATATGCTAAGCGAGAATTACGGCACGGAGAGATGGCAAGAACTGACAGAAAGGCAGGCACGCGCATGTCGAGCGCAGTGAATGGCGTGACCAGCCTGAGGCACTCACAACACGAGGAAGGGGAGGAAAGAGAACTGGGCACGAGCATGGCAGGAAGCGTCATGACGACCAGTTTGGCCTGGAAAGAGCTGCGGAGAAGAGATGGGCATCTCGTCAAGCAGATGGAAGAAGAGGAGAAAGAGAAGAGGACGAATCTTCATACCATCGACGTACGTGTTCCCCTTACTGCGTACTTAGGTATGCAATCAATGTATTTGACGACAATTGCTTGGTACATCACGGAAAACGTGTGGCGGTGGGCAGCAGAAAGGCAGGCGCGTGTGCATGTAGCATTAGGCGGATACGCTACAGATTCGAGAATGCGGCATGCCCAAGACAAGCACCCAAACGTTATTGTCCAATTTTATATCGGCTGCTACACATTTTTGAGCAGGGCCAGTTCGATACGTGAATATTGCTACCCACTCTGTGTGCTGCTGCTGCATTATCTAGGGAAGCATTCGGGTGTGCCAAGAAGGCGTCTTAAGTCACCGAGGATTTTATATCTGACAGGAGTGTTGATAAACCGGAAGCCCATCTATTTCTTAGGTCTATCGACTACGTGGCCATCTTGGGCTTTTGCTGGGAACGGCCCGCAGTTGCAGACGAACGTTGCCCCGATGTCATTTGCGGTTTATTACATCTACTATCGCTCGGTTTGCAGGACTATAACGGTGATACTAGATGGGCACAAGGATAATTTTTGCCCATGGGACGCAGGAAGGGCTGGAGATGTGCTTCCCACGTGGGACGATGGAAAAGGGGGGAATGAGCTTCTGATCAATTGACTCTGGGGATTTGTATCTGCCTGTCTTGCATCAATCTCACAAACTGCACAGATAGAGATCATCGGGCATAATATAAAGTGGCTTCTCAAAACACAGAGCGTAAATAAATTTTTTAGTGATTGAAAAGCAATCCGAGTACTTGGACTCGTACACAGCCAACGACAAGCGGCGCGCTTCACGCAGGTCACTGCAATAAAGCTTGGTACCAGGTAAGTAGTTTGATCCGTCAATCATGATTTGGCATTGCCGCTTTTTTCCTGTCTCAGCCTTTGTCATTCACGCGCATGCCCTTGTCCACTGGTGGTCAGAAGAGGCATGGGAAAGCTGAAGCATGGTCTATACTCAACGCGGGGTCCACCTAGCTTACTCCGCGAAAAGGTTCATCCAAAGGTTCTCCCTCGAATTATCGAGAAGAAATAGGAACTCAAATTTTTAGACAGATGCACAAAATAGATATCAGGCTCCATCGATCAGGCTGGCGGTGTACTTCCTGGAGTTCTCTGTGCTGTTGGCGAGGACGTCATCATCGTTAAGTACAAAAGCCAGAATATACGTATGTCCTATGCTCTCAAGCACTGTTGATGCTTCTAGCTATATTCGTATAGCTGTATTTTCTCACATTCGCCATTGACTGCTCCTTTTTTATTGCGGATATAAATTCTTTACTGCTACTATCTACTACACACTGGACTTATTCTATCCTATGGCCAATATCTTAGTAAGAGACTGATACTCGGCCACTATATATCTATGTCAACATTAATCGTCGCCAGGTCGAATTATTCACATATACGTGCCTATGCAGTTCGTTTAGGCTTCCGATTTGAGTACATCGTCTTCGCTCGAGGAAGTAACACGTGCCATGTGCCTATTTGGTGGCTTCGCCGTGTAACGCTGCGCCTCAATGAAAGCGGTAAGTACTATATGCACATGTACAGGACGTTGTCTGCCTTGCGAAAGCCTGATCGCGGCCCAACCGTCTTATTTGGGTACTTCTCTCAGCTGAATTTCTTTTCCTCGAGCTGTCACCAACAAACAGACAAAAGTTTAAGTACGGCAAGCCAATCTCTCCGATTTCGAGGAAACAGCCGTAGCCTCGTCCTGTCATTGCCATACCCCGACAGCATCACGAAAACGCGTTTTTTTGTGCTACAGCTGTTGCACGTCTTCCGTGCAAGTCCAAACAAACATTCCTTACAATGAATAATCGAACGAGACTTCGAAGCGAAGATGAAACCGACCGATTGTCTAACGCTGTTAAGCGACACAAAAAGTTTCGATATCAGTCTGGAGACTACACCGTCAGCTGGATCTGTGCACTTCATATCGAGACTGCAGCTGCGCGTGCCATGTTGGACTGCATCCATGACGACTTGCCCCAGGCGCGGAACGATATCAATACATATACACTGGGTAGTATTGGACATCATAATATCGTTATAGCAAGCTTGCCCGCCGGCCACTATGGGACGAATAATGCTGCTACTGTTGCGAGCAATATAGAAAGGAGCTTCCCATCTATCGAAATACATCTAATGGTGGGAATCGGAGGCGGCGCCCCGGGCAAGTTGGATCTTCGACTTGGCGATATTGTGGTTGGCAGCCGTGTGATGCAATACGATCTTGGTAAAATTGTCGGCGACGGCCAAATCGAGCGGACGGGGATTCCGACCATCCCTCCGCCGAAATTATTGGCTTACGTCGCAAAAGTTCGCGCGATTCACGAAGTGACACCCACTAGGGTGCCCGATATTCTTCAAGAGATGTATAACAAGTATCCCGAGATGGCCACATATGCTCGTCCGAACGTCCAAGATCGACTTTTTCAGGCTGATTTCGAACACGATTCTGCTGCAGCCAGCTGCGATGAATGCGATGCGTCTATGCTGGTGCATCGTCTTCCAAGAACAAACCTCCGCCCGAAAATCCACTACGAGGCCATTGCATCCAGCAATCAGGTCATGAAGCACGGGATCACGCGAGATAAGATCGCCCGAGAACTTCAGGTTGCATGTTTTGAGATGGAGGCAGCTGGCTTGATGAATTTCCCGTATTTAATAATCCGGGGAATTTGCGATTATTCAGACTCGCACAAGAATAAGCAGTGGCAAGAATACGCAGCAGCAACAGCGGCGGCATATGCCAAAGAGTTTCTGAATACCATACCGACCACTAAAGAGGCAACGAAAATGGCAGTGCAAGCTGTTGAGTCCAGGGCTGGTAGGCTATGCTGGGTTTCTCCTTATCCTACGGTATCATCGCTAACAGTGGTATAACAGATGAAGAGCCTTTGAAAGATTGGTGGCAACAGTTTTTAGGCACTCTGAATTTCGAACAAATCGATTCTCGCCAATCAAACATCAAAGCTGCCTATACAGCAACATGCAAATGGTTTCTTCAAAGCCCTGAGTATCTCGCCTGGATTGACTCAGCAAAGCTTAGTGAGCATCATGGTTTCTTATGGTTGAGTGGCAAGCCTGGTGCTGGCAAATCGACAATCCTGAAATACGTTTATACACGCGTGAGAAAAACACTCAGCACTACGAATGCTGTGATTTCGTTCTTCTTCAATGCCCGTGGTGACGTTTTCGAGAGGTCTCCAACAGGAATGTATCGCTCATTGCTACTTCAGCTTCTAAAAAGTTTTCCTGATCTCCAGGAAGTTTGTGAGGATTCGAATTTTGTTATACAAAATGGCAGCTGCCCTTCCTCGGATGCGATTCAAATCCTTTTTCGAAAAGCAATTTCAACGCTTGGAAATCGCTCGCTTACTTGCTTTATCGATGCCCTGGATGAATGTGATGAGCTTCAAGCTCGTGAGGTGGTGCAGTTTCTCGAGGACCTAGGGCAACAAGCGGTCCATGATAATATTGATCTGCGAATTTGCTTTTCTAGCCGACACTATCCTTATATCTTTATTCGAAAAGGCATTAGGCTTACGCTTGAAGACCAAAAAGGCCACGAAGAAGACGTGGAGAGATACATACAGGGAAAACTTAGAGCCGAACCTGGCCCTTTGGTGAAAGAGGTCCAAGCCCAAATTCTCCAAAAATCAGCTGGAGTATTCATGTGGGTCGTTTTAGTTGTGGATATCCTCAACAAAGAATTTGCACGAGGCCGCATGTTCGCAGTGAAGAAGAGACTTGCAGAAATACCTGATCGACTCAGCGATTTGTTTAAGGATATTCTTACACGCGATAACGAAAACATGGAAGATCTATTACTCTGCCTTCAGTGGATGCTATACGCTAAACGACCGTTAGTACGAGAAGAATTCTATTTCGCTGTCTCGACTGGATTATCACTGGACGAAGAAGACGAGGACCCCATCAATAATTTTTTGTCTCCAATCCCGGGAGATGTAATGGACAGATTTGTTGTCAGTTCTTCAAAAGGACTAGCAGAGGTTACAAAGTCGAATCAACATACTGTTCAGTTCATTCATGAATCCGTACGCGATTTTTTAATCAAAGATAATGGTCTCCAAGAATTGTGGCCCGAATTCGGCGATGGTTTCGAACAGTTGAGTCACGACAAGCTCAAGCAGTGCTGCTATAAATATTTTGAGCTTGGGGCTACACACCTATTGGATGATGATGTTCTTTGGAAAGAAAATGAAAAAATTAAAGAACTCAGAGTATCTGTATCAAACCGAGCGCCATTCCTCCAGTATGCAACTCAGAATGTACTATATCATGCCGATACAGCGGCAAGCAACATGCTTCAAGACACTTTTATAACTAAGTTCAGACTCAGAGATTGGATTATTTCGAACAACCTATTCGAAAGATATAAAGTACGGCGCTATACAGTGAATGCGAGTTTGTTTTATATCTTGGCAGAAAAGGGATTTTCGGCTCTGATTCAAACACAGCTTCGTTATGACACGGACCGCTGTATTCTAGGCGAGAGGTACCGATATCCCATTTTCGCTGCATTGATTAACAAACACGGTGATGCCGTTCAAGCTCTTCTAAGGCAAGCTGCTTCGCCTGCCAAAGAAAGAGACGACTCGGCTTATAAACATGAGCAGTCATTTACATGGGCAGTTCACAACGGCCATAAGCTTGTCGTTGAGTGGCTTATTGAAAGAGGTGCAGATGTGAATCTGAAGAATCACAGTGATAGACCAGCACTCTTGATAGCTGCAGGGAAAGGTCACACTAGTATTGCAAAGCTACTGATTGAGAGAGGCGCAGATGTCAACTTGAAGGACACACGCACACCCCACGAGACCGCATTGATTATAGCTATTGCAAAACACAATAATACAACAGCAGAAATGCTTATTGAAAAAGGCGCAGATATCAACACTTCGGATGTTCACGGTCAGACGCCCTTGTTATATGCTACAAGGGACGGGATTCAGAAAGATATTGTACAACTACTTATTCAGGAAGGCGCAGATATTAACGCCAAGAATGACGACGGCCAGACACCTTTGATAAATGCTATTGAGAACTACGCTTTTCGAAATACCGAACAAGAAGCAAAAGAAACTATACAGCTGCTTATTGAGAGAGGAGCAGATATAAACGCTGAGGATAACAACGGCCAGACGCCGTTAGTACTTGCTATTAAGCAAGAAAATAAAGAACTTATTCAGCTGCTTGTTCAGAAAGGGGCAAGTATAAATTCCAAGGACAAAATTCATTATACACTATTGATACCACTGGCTATTAAACTGGAAACTACTACAGACTTTATACAGCTGCTTATTGAAAAAGGGGCAGATATCAACGCAAAGGATAGCAGCGATCAAACGCCATTAATACTTGCGATACAGCAGGGAAATATAAGCATTATACAGCTGCTTATTGAAAAAGGGGCATATATCAACGCAAAGGATAGCAGCGATCAAATGCCATTCATACTTGCGATACAGCAGGGAAATATAAACGTTATACGGCTGCTTATTGAAAAAGGGGCAGATACAAATGCCTTAGCAAAATACAACCAAACACCGCTGCTATATGCTCTAGATTTGGGAAGCAATGATGATATTATACAGCTGCTTATTGGACAAAGCAAAGATATCAACGCAAAGGACAGCAGCGATCAAACGCCATTAAAACTTGCGATAAAGCAGGGAAATATAAACATTATACAGCTGCTTATTGAAAAAGGGGCAGATACAAATGCCTTAGCAAAATACAACCAAACACCGCTGCTATATGCTCTAGATTTGGGAAGCAATGATGATATTATACAGCTGCTTATTGGACAAAGCAAAGATATCAATTTTGGGGATGATTACGGCCGAATGCCGCTGTTATACGCTATGCAGCAGCGAAAGGATGACCATATTATACGGCTGCTTATTGAGAAAGGCGCAGACGTTAATGTTAAGGACAGACGTGGTAGAACATCACTGTTTCTTGCGGTCTACAGGATGAATTACAATATTGCGCGGCTGCTTATCGAAGAAGGGGCAGATGTCAATGTAAAGGATATATACGGAGACACACCACTTCAATTTGCTATTCGCATGAACGAAAACAAAGTTACACAGCTGCTTATTGAAAAAGGTGCAGATTTTAGCGTTGTGGATGATAAAGGCCGGACAGCGCTGAATATGTCCTTTCAAATGGGTAATGATTTCATTACCGAGTTCCTAATTGAGCGAGGCGCAGATCCTAGCTCAATTGGTCTCGGAGGGACTACTTCTATAGAGCGTTTGGATATGCCTTACTCGAAGTCTTGCGATCACTAGATGCTTTTGATGTCGACAACATCTTTGCTGGATAGTAGCTAAGATAGTGTAATTGATGAAAATAATCTCTGCTGTTTCTTGTGGTGTAAAGAAGAGCCTTTTTTTTCGTCTTATGGTTTCTTTCTTATCCTAACAAGTGTCTAGACATGTCTGCTGAAGCTTCCTATCTCCTAGTATGCTGCGTACTATTATCCGCTAAGTAAAAGAAACGCCATTCATGAACTTCATCTCACTATATGGGCAAACTTATCATACGATTATTGTGCCGTCTGCCGAGGACAACATCAGCTCCGCGTGCGACTACATAGTTTTCAATGTGTCCCCACAGCCGTAGTTACAGCAGCGACTTGTTTCTTGAGGGCAAGAGGCTGTGCCGGCTAGATCAAATGACTCCGTAGTTTGTTCTCGCTCTATGGTTATAAATGTGGTGTGACAAGCTAGGTTTCCGTAAATATGTTTGTATGTGTGTGAGTCATTTCAAAAGGGTGCATTTCCGACTTGTTAATGATTTAACATTCATGATTCATTTTGCATTCATTTTGCTTACACCAATTTTAATTGTTTAATAATACAAGTTCTTATTTTACGCCCGCAATTATGAATACTTTGCTACAGTTCTTCATCATTAGTGTCGTATATCATTGTTACAACTCATATATCAAAAACCTAGGAACTGTTTTCTTGCCAAGTCATAATAGAACTGCTGATAGATTCTTTGCTTTCTATTACCCGCTCATCTACCATTTTATGAATAGCCGAATAAATTACCGACTAAAGCCCCATATGATACGCAATGTATTACTGTATACTAGGCACTTGATAATAGTTCTGGCATTTCTTTTTATTGCTAGGAGGAACCTGGAATACTTCACAATGGCTATTATGTAAAATAGGCAACCAGTCATTAATCAGATAGTAGCCTAAGCATTTTCATATCTGCAACACGTAAACAGGAGCTTGGTGTTTTCCCCAAAGGTGGCTGTTAGACGAATTGGAAAATGTGCGTACTAAAATATGTCCTATTACCCATTTTAGGTACAAGATGTCAAAGGAAATACTACATCGCTAGTGGCAGCGCATACAACCAGGACTTGAGGTAAAAATAAACTTATACTGTGTAATATTACCAAATACTACTTACTTGATTCGCTGCTTATTTACGTAATTAACCAAGGCTTTTATTACCAAGGAGGCTGTCCCGCATATTCAAAATATATTTCGATAATTGGGTTATATATCCTTGGCTCCACACACTGTATTGCAATTCGGGTAACAACATTCTTATAACTAACCTAAAGTAAGCATTCCCTCCATTATATCAGGCCACCATCTGGCACTGCCGTATTAACTCTAGCGTTACACGCACATGTATGAGCGCTGCTCTTTAACACCGAGTAATCTCTTTCTTCATATTGATAAATCACTTGAAAACAGCTGATTCCAGTATGTGCGCGCGCACGCCCGTGAAATACAGCGCGCTCGGAGCCGGGACCCGTCGAACACAGTGCATTTGAAGTGAAAGGGCTTGAACGCGGGATGATAATATAATGCTCTTTATATCACACAACACTAAACTATTTGCAATCATCAAGCTATCAATAGCCCAGAAGTAAGCGTGATATTTTCATATAAGCTTGCAACCATTTTGATACCCTGGTGAGGTACATTGAAAGCAAGTGAGCTTTTACTACGGCCGTAAAGGTGGTCTAGTAGTCTAGTTACTCGAAATGGAAGCAACAGACATAGTAGGTATATACTACCTTTAGTAGGTATAAACCAAAAGGGAGTTCCTTTGTCTATAGGTATATAAGATATAGTTCCTACGCTACAATCATATCTACGCTTTAATATCAACAGTCTGCTCCATTCCAGCTCCAAATTACAAACTCTCTACAATTCAACTATCAAACTCAATATGTTGCAAATTACAGTCTTGTCGGCCATTATTGCAGTCTTTTCTATTTCACAGCCTGTTTCAGGCAGTTGGAATTTTATTTCCTTTCCTGAAAACACGGACTGCCCTGATGGCGGTATTATATTTGAATTCACCGGAATGGGCAACCGGAGCTGCAGTACAATTGCTGAAGGCCAAAGGCCCATGTCGTTTATTTTCGAATCCAATGCCGGCGAGGAGCTTGAGGTCTATGCTGGAGGTAGTAGCAACACTAATTGTAACCCCAGCGACGGCCGACAGGTTTTCCCAAGTAATGCTTGTGGCGGCTGCTGCACCCTTTTAGCTGGTCCACCTACCGCATCATTTGATATCATCAATGCCGAGGGCCGTATTACTATCGACTTCAAAGAACTTCAAATGTATGGTTCGTTGAATGGAACGGCATAAGTTAGATGTCTAGCCTCAGCAATTCTCGAGCTATCCCGCTCTTTTCAAATGCAATTGTAAGTATTGCTTCAACCTGTAAAATAAATGTCATTATATCGGAGACTCATTTACTATAGTTTATGCTAGCATTATGTAACATTCAACATCTTACATATCGCAATTCAACTTTATTCTAGGCCTCTACATCGCTCGTTTACAATATACTGTTGTGATTTTCATCTTATTCTTCAACATATATCATGTTTTGTACTCTCTATAATTAATCCATGTGACATTCCCCGCTTGCTCTATCTAAGATTGAAAAGCATAGTTATTCATTAGTACCTATTCTTTCCTATTATTGTGTTGGAGAAAACAAAGCTATAATACTCCACATGCTCTTTTCGGCCAGAAAATCGGCCTATAACTTGAGTCTTACTAACGCATTGATTACAAACAACATTATCAATGTATGTATTCTCGACTGACAAATGCGTCTGATGACTAAAAATGCGCGTAATATTTCGTATTAGCGGAACAAGACCGCTATTGGTGTTTTAGTTGTATCAATTTCTTAAATCAGCCTATGTGAATGCTTTCTAGACTTTTAGACTATTAAATTAAGAAATGAGGCTAATGTTAAATCTCGCGGGATCTACATAGCCGTGAAGTCTGCCATTTCATGCTGACTCCAAATAAGTCGCCGAAAGAGTAACGCAGGACGCCAAGACGGTGCTAATCATCCGTTACGCTATAACCTCCGATACCTTCGTGGTCATATCGGGCCAAATGTACTACTCTCGTCGGTTCGTTTCCATATATCACGGCTAGTTATAGATTCTGGGACAATTAGCTGCTTAAATTTGGCATACTATTCGTTATGCTGCTATAAAAGTATTCCATCGTTCACGTATTGCCTAGCACACGCATCTGGGTTTCGAATATGGTTCTATAAAATTTTCGGTGGCACTATATCTCATAATTGGTTTTCTTCATAATTCTCTCATTTTGTAAATAGTTCCTTCACGCAGTCTACTTCAATATTTCAGCAGTGTCAGCATCATAAAGTTCGTAAAAGCTGGGGATTGCGCCAAACCGCAGTTTACACTCCACTCTGATTTACTAGCCGAGGCAAATTTGCATTTACTTGTATTTTCCTTGGAGCATCTTTTCAATCCTTCTAGGAGGGGCGTGGATACCTTCGTGATGATGTAACATTCCCCGCTCCATATGTGAGATTAAAAAGCGTAGGATCGTGGTTGTACATTAGTAACAATCCTGTTTTCACCAAGTGGAACAACACGAAGTAGACTTTTCAATAAGCTAAACACAGCGTGTTGAGTTCCTTCAATAAAGCGAAGTTTAGATCCACAAGCGCTAAGCACTGTTCGTTACCAACAAAAATAACGGGTATTTAAGGAATTGAATACCTGCCCTATCACCTGTTGCTTGCCTTGAGAGGCCTGACTCAAAAGTAACAGCAGTCATATTCTCTTCGAGAACTCCCGCCATCCATCATGTCTTTAAACACTCTTCCTGTTGTCCAAGTAATGGAGTTGCCCTCTGGGCCACCAGAGTACGAGGCGTCGCGAAGAACTTTGCTTGAAGAGTTCGCTACCAAGGTGCCAGAGGAACTTCGACTCTCCCCAGATCTGATAGAAAATGCCCCCAGAAATGTCACCGACATCCCCCGACAATGTGGCCTTTTGTCGCCGGATGAAATTGATATCACTGAAAAATACGACGCTACTGCTTTAGCAGCACTCATCAGAGAGAAAAAGTTGACTTCAGTGGCTGTTGCAACGGCATTCGCCAAGAGAGCGATTATAGCACATCAGCTGACCTCTTGTCTTACGGAATGGTTCATGGACGAGGCTATTGAGCGAGCCAAATACTTGGACGAATACTTGCAATCCACAGGAAAGACAGTTGGACCTCTCCATGGAATTCCCATCAGCGTCAAAGACGTCTTTCCTGTAGCTGGGCATTGGTCAAGCTTAGGCTTCCTGGTGGCCAGGTTCAAAGACAAGGAAGACTGCCAGATCGTATCCATATTGAGAAATGCAGGAGCAGTTTTCTTTTGCAAGACCAACCAACCCCAAGCAATAATGCATATTGAGAGCACTTCTTTCTACGGGCGCACGTTGAACCCTTACAATACCGGTTTATCGTCGGGAGGATCTACAGGAGGAGAGGGGGCCTTACTGGCCATGCGAGGTTCCGTTCTCGGCCTTGGAACCGACATTGGTGGAAGCATTCGAGTCCCTTCCAGTTTCTGCGGCATCTATGGCTTCAAACCAACCTCGTATACTCTCCCGAGGAAGGATATTCTGCCGATGGGAGCGTTGGCGGAACTCAGTATTCTGGCCTCAATAGGCCCAATGGGCACTTCTTTGAGAGACCTGGATCTCCTTACTTCAGTTGCTCTCTCATATAAACCACATTTATCAGATCCAAGGCTCATTCCTATTCCATGGACGGGCCTTAACACAGCACCAAAACCTTTGCCGCTGAAGATTGGTATCATGATGAATGACGGCCTTATCATTCCACAACCGCCAGTCACTCGAGCTTTAAACTGGGCAGCGGAGAAATTAAAGGCCACAAATGCCTTTTCTGTCAAATCTTTTGAGCCATACGAAGTAGCTACAGCTCTTAAGAACATGCATCTTGCGCTTTGGCCAGATGGCGGCAAAGGTGTAAGAGAGGTTCTAGCTGCCTCAGGCGAGCCAATGCTTCCTTTGACTCAATGGGAGTTGAAGGATATTGATGGAGCTGAGCTCAAACCAATGGAAATCTTGCAGCAACATGTCGCCCGTGATAATTTTAGGTCTGACTTTGCGCGCCACTGGGAGTCTCAGGATGTTGACTTCATTATCTGTCCCGCCTCTGTTGGTCCGGCCTGTGAGCATGAAACGGCGTTTTATTGGAACTACACGTGTTTCTGGAATTATGCCGATTGCCCTGGCGTTGTTTTCCCCACGCCTATCAGAACTGGAGCGAAAGGTACTGAAGGCTATGCAGCGGACACTCCTTCACCACTCAATGAACAGGATAAGCATGTCCGAAAGCTGTGGGAAGAGGGTGATTTTGAAGGCGCTCCTATTGGGTTGCAGATAGTGGCCAGGAAGCATCACGATAATGATCTGTTTGGGGCCTTGCAAAAGCTGCAGTACGCTCTGGAGTTACAATAAATTTGGTGGTGGGGGTTATGCATGAAGGTGTACGTACATGAGGCAGTAAACGTTGCTTTATTTGCGTTTTGACTCCAGCTTCTCAGTATAGCAACTCAATAGCTGTTCAATTCGATATCACCACTTGATAGCAATATTTGTACTCTGCAGAAAATCGCATTGCCTGAGATATTTTTTATGTCCTTCCTTATCTACACCAATCAGATGTCTCAATTTTCTCGTATTGTAAGTCTGCTGATGTATTCTGTTCATGCCAGCTCGATGAAAGCTCCCTGGGATGCAATTCTAGACCCAACCTGGATTCATCTATATCACTGCGACGCAACCCTGCCAAATTCTCTCAGTATTTTGCACTTCATAAGCTGGAATATTCCAAATCTTTCGCTGCGTTAGACCGGTACACATCCCTCGTCACCGATATATTCGACCCCGCAAGTACACGTAGAAGAGGAGAGCGGGGATACGCTCTTTGATAACACTCATACGCCCTAAATGCTACTCTGTTGTTTAAATGTAACCATGCTGCCGATCCGTTTAGTTCCATTGGCGTCAAAAACAAGGGAATAATGTATTTCCTCGTGCTCCAGATAAGTTGAGTCGTAAGCGCATATAAAAATCACGGACACCATCGTCTTTACACATTAGCATGCCTACCTTCCTATTTACAAGGAGAGTTTTTTCAAGGCCACAGAAAACGCCGATATTACATACGTTCCTCTCTATTATACGCCCTCAAGTTCGCTTCACTGGTCCAGCTGGCGCAAGAAGCAGTCCGCACTCAAACCCCCAGCCGAAGAAATGGTTGCTCACAGCGGCGGCTGCCTTTGTGGCCAAGTTCGCTATACGTACGATGCAGAGCCGGTAGCAAAGGTCAGTATTCTATTTATACCCGCCCAGAAGCATGCAAACAGCTAAACTGAGGTTGCCTTGGGGCCCCATCACAGGTTCTCTGTCACTGCAATGATTGCCGCAAGATCAGTGGCAGCAGCTACAGCGTCAACTTTCTCATCCCCGACGCAGCATTCCGAGTAACTGCCGGTACGCCAAAGGTGTTTAGCAAAGTCGCTGACTCCGGAGCCACCATCGTCAGCTACTTCTGCGGCGACTGCGGGAGTATGATGTGGCGCGAGTCTCCCAGCTCTGGCCCCAATAAAGTGCTCAAAGCCGGGACTTTGGATGACAGCGACAAGATTATTTCGACTGCGGGAATTGATGCCGAGGCTTTTACGCGGTCCAGGATAGAGTGGGTGCAGCCTATAGCCGGCGCAAGTCAGAGGGCCGGCCCAAGCCAGAAGGCCGCTTAGTTGGCTGTCCTTCTCAGAGTAATCGATGGCACACAGCGTTGGCGCTTTGCACACTTGTTTTTGGGGGTACCCTATGATAGAATGAAGAGAGAAGAAAAATATGGCGGTTCCAGTGAGAAAAACAGCGTCGTGAACTGTAAATCAAGCCGCGTGTGACTGACTACGCCCAAAAATAGACAACAGTATTTTTAATGCCTTGCAACGGCTAGATTATTATAATATCCCGTACATAAACACACTTGCGTAGCTATTTACATTTCGCACTTTGGCCTAGCAGTTCAATGAACGTCCCCATAGATATGTGGCTGAAGCTGAGCATTCTCTTCCGTGGTTATACTATATCAGGTCTCCACACTGTAGATGCATGTACTTGTCAAATGGCAGGGCGTGTTTGACCATATCGCACCCTAGACTAGTAGAAACTACCAATGGATCGAGCCATCGTCGGTACAGCTATATATTCCTTAATAGTGTTATTCTTAATGATTTTTTTTAATGATTCTTTTTAATAGAGTTTCTGATTGCAAAGACTGCGTACTACCATGTCTCTGTCCCCGTCAGTCCGGTATGCCCGTCTTGAAGGTAGTCGCACATTCTTGTCACAAACAAACTCCCGGGGCTAATGTTTCTAGACGTTTCCCTGATCCTGCAGTTTATCCAGTCTGCAGCAGAAGAGCAAGCTCCTGGAACTAAGATAGCCGCAACCGAGGATAGGCTCGCCAAGACGCTGCATTTTGGATCACCTTCAGATCCAGTGTCACAAACAGGTGGTCGGTTTGCATGGGCATTGCTCATATTTTCTCCGGATCAACAGCCTGCTGGGTTGCTGATTTATTTCCAAAATTATTCGACCTGGACGGCTGCCCCTGGTGTGTGCCTGGAAGAGTTATACGTTGTGCCTGAATATCGGCGCCATGGATATGCGCAGATACTAATTGAAACGATGGCGTCTGCGGCGGAAGTAGCAGGTTGCGTTAAAATGGACTGGGTTTGCCTTTTGGACAATGAGAAAGCACTGGGATTCTATGACAAACTAGGGGCAAAGCGAATGAATGACTGGACCGTCTTGAAAGTTGACAAGGCCTGTATACGAGAGCTGGCCGCTAGAGGGAAGGAGTCCGGCGCATGTCCCGAGCTTCACAGTGCAGGTATCTGATGGTGCGCAATTATAAGCAGATTGTCAAAGCTATGGTATGTATCTAATAATTGCAAGTGCTCGTGTGTATAAAACCAGTAGTCAGTCTGTGCTCTTACATCTCTTGCTTTAATTACTCAGTAACGACGCTGCGAATGTGCAATATACAAAACTATAACTTGACAAATGTCAAAGTTTGGACTTGCAGCAAGTTTGTAGCATCGGATTCATGAATCGGCGTTTATTCATTCATTCATTCAATTGTTTTCATTGCTTCTATGACAAAAAGCTTTTTTACAGGATATTCCTTCTGTATATGTATATTTCAGCCAAGTAGTGCCTATATGACGCCTAGGCCAGCCCACCCCCCAAGAACATTTGCGATGCCACAGTTTTCACGGCATTCATGGCTGCGAGATAAAGACCGGGCCCTACACTGATTCTCGCGACGCCCATTTCAGCCAATTCAGCTGTGGTGAGGGAACCAGGTGCTCCAGACATGACAACCGCGACTTTACCGTCCAACTCCTTGACCAACGTCTTGACAGTTTCACTGGTTAGACCCTGGCCCGCACCGCCCCAGTAGAAAACTGTGGTTGCCCCAGCCTCCAAAAATGCTTTGCCGCGCCTAATGGCTTCTGCGAGTCTAATCTCGTATGTTAAACCGGGAGTTGGCAAGAGGCGGAAGGCGTCGCATCGAGCATTGAGGACAAAATCCGGAGCACCAGCTTTTTTGGCTGCATCAAGAGCGCGTTTGAGTCGTTCCACTTGATCCTCGAGTGTGTATAAGGAGCCTGAGATGCCCTTGTCAAACCCGGCAGAAGGAATGCTATCCTCGATATTGGCACCGGTAGCTCCGTATTCAACGACTGCGGTGACAACCGCTGTGATTAGGTCGCCGTATCCATCTTGAATATCCACTGAAAGAGGAAGGCCTGCTTGCTCAGCGAGGGGAGCAATCTTGGAGATGAGTTCGAGGTTTTGCACCATAGAAAGCTCCTCATCTTTAATTCCCAGTGTAGCAGCAATAGCGAAAGATGCTGTTGCTAGTGCTTTGACGGGTTTAGATGACTCTGAGTTCAAAGAAACGATGGCATTTAGAGAGGCGACGTCCCAGACATTGGATAAAACGAGAGGAGACCCAGGCTTATGAAGGGCCTTGAGGGTCTGAGCCAATTGGTTGGTGGAAGCCATTTTGCATTAAGATTCAGGTCAAATTAGAAGCAATAGAGAAAAGGATATCAAATTAACAAAATAGAAAACGAAATACCATGCTATATATACTGTGAAATCTAAATTGAGAGCACATAGGTATGGATTGACGTAGCGTACAGCACATGTTCCACGCAGAACCAATATCGACAGCAACACACTGAACTATTACCCCACCATGCCACCATCACTAGCGGACATGGAGAAGCGACTTTGGCGATCCAACCGCTAGGCTCACCATGCAAGCATTTAATGCGATTCGCCCCATGCATGCAGACAACCCTGGGCTTAATTCGCTATGGTGTCTTCTCCAGTGATGCATACAAATACGTGAAACAGAAATTACTGGTACACGTAAGATTTGGATAAAGTCTGCGAAATGGGATACCAACCGATGCAGCAACGCATAAGACGAATAGTTGCCGAAATAGGTAGCCAAATCTGAAACATCTGTAATTATCTTGAATTCCTAATGGATAAATTAATGAGTCTCGTAACGATAGAGTAGCTATGACTGTCGTGCGTGATGCCTATTGATTGTGAATTTCACGGTTTGTTATCTAGGTATACTACTTCGAGCTAGAACAGCGCTCAGAGCTGGAGTAGATAAAAGACCGAAGCACAAGCTGAGCGGAGAGTTCAAAAGTCGTTGCCATGGTATTAAACTTGAATATAGGCATCTTATATGCTTCCAATATCACCAACACACAATGATGATGATGTTGTGCCAGATGAATTTCTTCTTACTGGCCCCAGAATAGAAACAATTCCAATTGCCATTTACAGAATGATGCTCTTTTCAGGTGGGATTTATTCGATGACTAAGCATGAACGCCCACGTCGATGAAAATCATTGATTGGATCTCATCTTGAGTACTTTCGCTTCAAAACTGCTGCCATTGGATGGATTAGATATGCAGCATGCCGTATTTCGAAGCAACATCCGAATAAGATGATTCTGAATCTCGTATTTGCTCCTGCATATGCTTTATCGCAAACTTTGTGCTGCATTGGACATGGCCAACCAGCTCTCGACTCTCAGCCCTTCACTTACACGCAGATTGGCTAGTGCTAATGGACTCTTCAGACAGCAGCGAAAGCATGTGATAATAGGGCATGTTCTCACCAGATTCTTTCCCAGCAGTCATCTTATTTTCTTAATTCCAAAACGCTTTTCATATTCTTCTCCACAGATCACGGCATGTCCGTCACTCTGCTTGTCCCAAACCAGCAACAAGACACACGTCTCTCATCTCAGACAACAGCGTCGGTAGCCAAATCGGCTTAGCCTCTCGCCGTCTCTAACACCAGCTCCACGCCAGTCAGCTTAGCATCTGCTTTTCCACCCATTTTCGCCTTCACCACTTTTTTCGTCGCCCGTGCTACAGTAGGAATGGAGCTATATGCATCTTTACCGCCAGATTGATACTGTGCTACATGAATGCTAAGGAAAACAAGAGAGAAAAGAAGCCACGAGTCGCGTGACGGTCTCCCGAATTCTGCAGCTGGACCCAGAGCCATCGACGGCATTGGCTGCCATCTTCAAGATCCGGGACCCATTGCAAACGAAGCTATACCGCCCTACCAGCCCTGTTTTGCTTGTGATGCTGATGTAATGGGCCATCTGGATGTCTATTTGCTGGCGAGGAAAGGGGCTTGCGTCACTGTAAATGCTGAGCCTCAGGAACCTTGGCGCATCATCCATTATTGGCCTTCTTTTTTCCACAGCCAATTCTCTTTCTCAATTCAATTCCTCCCCCTAAATTATACTTTTTTAATATTCAACCCCCCCTAAAATTCGTGTTTCACTTCTCGTATCTCGAGTCTAGATTTCTCCGTATTTTCTCTTTATTTTCCCTTGTCCGCCTCTTTCCCTTCTTTTTCTTCATTCACCTCGACAACGCTTGTTTCGCCAATCTCGAAACTTCTTCCACGCTCGATCGATTAGGTCATCGCCACTTCCTCTAAACAACAACACCAGCTCGATCACACATTCGCCACCATGATTGGAGGCCCAGAACCCTCTGCGACCTCCAGGCTCTCTGCCTATCTCTCCAAATTGAACCCCGTGCCAGCTTTTCCCGAGTATACCGGACCGTTCAAGGTCGGCACGCTTGACGTCGAGATTCCAGTCGCCGATCTTCCTTCACCAGCTCCATGTCCCGACAATGCCAGCGATATTCCAACAGTGCTGTTCCGAGTCTTTTACCCGGCTGTCGCAGAGTCGAACGAGAGGCTGATTAGCTGGCTGCCTGCGCCGCAAAGACACTATGTTTCAGCTTACACAAAGTTCATGGGCGTTGGACACACGCTGGCTGAGCTCCTCTCGTATGTTGCCATCTACTTTTGTTCAACATAGAGGTCCAGACTGACATTGCTGTGACAGATTCCTCCCCCGACATCTTCATTATACGTCAATACCCGCGCACAAAAACGCTACATTGGCAACCCCCGAGACCGAAAACAAGCGATGGCCGACCATGATTTTCTCGCATGGCCTCGGAGGCAGCCGAAACTCGTACTCATACATTGCTGGATCGCTCGCCTCTCATGGAGTTGTTGTCATCTGCCCTGAACATCGAGATGGAAGCTCCGTCACTACACATGTTCGCGTTCCTGGCCAACACGGCCGCCTTGCGCGGAAAGTGATTCCATACAACCGAATCTCCCACGAAGTATCGCCAGAAGTATACGAGGCGAGAGAAGCGCAGCTGAGGATCAGATTGTGGGAGATGGGCCTGATACACGAGGCCATTTTGGCCATGGACGCCGGCCGAGATTTTACGAACCTCAACCTCACTACACCGAGCTTGAGCCAGTTTGTTGGCCGCCTGCATGTGAATGAGCCCGGCAGCATCATCTTTGCCGGCCACAGCTTTGGCTCCACTACCATATACCAGCTCCTCAAAAGCACCTATTACGCTGCTGTTCCAGAGATTGCTGGCATGGAAGCGCCATTGTTTACTCCTGCAGAGGACAGCAGCATTCGGAAACAGGTGACAGAGAAGAGCGTCACTATGCTCCTGGATATGTGGTGCATGCCCCTGCTGTCTCCTAATTCCAGTCCTCTATACAATGTACCGCTCCCATTATATGACGATGTCCCCTCAGCAGCGGGTGGAAACGCTCTCTTGGCTGTTGATTCTGATGCTTTCTTCAAATGGTCTGAGCATCTCCACGCTACGGCTCGACTGTTATCTCCCGATCCAACGGCCAAGGTTGTGACCCCCGAGATCTTTGAGAGACCCAGCGGCAACAAACTTGCTGAGCCCAACTTCTTCTACGTTGTCAACTCGGCTCACTTGAGCCAATCTGACTTTGGCATTTTGTTTCCCCTCTTGACCAAAAAGGTGTTCAACGCCGTCGAGCCAGAGCGTGCTCTTCGGCTGAACCTGCGAGCACAGCTGCAATTCCTGCGAGCAAACAACATTCCCGTAGCGAGAACATGGATTGGAGACCTCGTTGATGGCGCTCATATGGACAAGGTGGACCTCGCAAAGAAAGATGCAAGCGCGGATGTGGTCGCCGACGGATTGCATGACGACAAGGCCATTTTCGACAGAAGCGCGAACAACATTGTTGACAGCTGGAAGTGGATCGACACTATCGGCATGGGAGAGTCAGAAGAGAAAGAGAGTGGCAAATCGACGACGGAGAAGATTGAGCAGAGTGAGGAGCAGATGAAGGGCGAGCTGGAGCCCAGCGAACAATTGACTGAGCCGGCCGCGGTGAAGGGCGTTACTTTACCTCAGGGCCATGGCTGGCGCGAGATATGAGATTAGCCGCTGGTGGACGATGCTTGTGAAGGGAAAAAGTGATGATGATACCCGGTGAACACTTGTTGTGTTGTTTGGCCTTCTACCGGCCTGTTTTGATATGCGTGTACCAACACAACAACTCTTCATTTTTCTCTGTTTGTTTAAATCCGATTCTTCCCTTTGTTTTTCGCCTTCTTTGTTACTTTGTTCAAAATCTTGCCTGTCGCACACACTGTATTTGGAGTTGAGGGCGTGTGTATGTTTTCGAGCGCTAATTATAGAACGGGATGGATAATGACCAAGGAATTAGTGAGACATAATTATATCTTACATGTACATAGATAGACATATAGCAAGTTTCATTTGTTGCAATTCATCTTGTTTCTCAATTGGCCATCCATTGGCTCCTTGATATATTAAATTACGTGATTCCAAGATGATTTCCTTAGGCTGGCCGCTTTGCTATGCCAAAATAGTTTGTAGAAATAGCTTCTACTAAAATCATTCGTTATCAATGCCCATCATTTAAAATTTGATAACTTTTCCCAATTCCGTCGCTAGCACGCTATCATTATTACTCGTACATCCAGAGCCTTCTTTTCGCCATTATAGCTCCTCGTTGGGATACTTCTTGGCAAACAGTCCCAGCGCCTTGATCGTAAACGTGTACTTGTAGTTTGGGTAGGAAATCATGGTAGATTTGTTGAAAACGCCCTCAATGTTCTCCTGGAGCCACTCGCCGTTTGCCTGTTGTCGGTCTGTGAGGAGTTTAATACCTTTCTTGATTCGCTCCATGTCGGGGTAATCGGCCTCGAGTAGGGCAATCAGGGCCCATGCAGTTTGCACGACGAGAGATCCCGACTCATGCTCAATGTATGTCATGGTTTCAGAAGCCTAGAATTTGTTATATTAGCGGAATGATCCAATCAGATTGTGGCTCTGGGCTGCCAAAATGATGTTTTCTTACCCGGTAGCTCTCAGACCATCCACCGTCTTCGCGCTGTTTCGAAATGAGGAAATCGCACCCTCGCTTTGCAATCTTGCTGTTGGAATAGTTTTCTCCAATGGCAGCCATACTTTGCAGCGCAAACATTCCGGCATAAGTAAAGCAAATGCCCCAGCTGCCATACCAGCTGCCGTCAGGCCTTTGGTAGCCCTTGATCCAGTTGGTAGCTCTCTTGATGAACAGGTTGATGTCGTCAGTTCGGTATTCGGGCCAGTGCTTGCGGAATAGGGACAGCACTGTGACACATGCTGTTGTGCATTCGGGGTAGTCGTATTCAACCATGATTCTGCCAAATACTTCTGCTGCGTTGAGCAATTCCAGGTACTCGCTACCTCTTCGCTGCTCATATGATGAAACGGCGCCATTGTCGTTCTGATACAGCAATAGCGTATCAACGGCATCGAAAATTCGCTGATCTTCAAGAAGTTGCGGGTAACCCTCTGTCTTCTGTAGTAAGATGACAGCCTTGAGCGCTTCTGAGATACAGTCGCTGACACCGTATCCCTGGTCTTTGTTGCTAAATGGCCAGCCACCTTTTCGGGGTTGTCGGTAGCATTTCTCTTGGTCTTTGCAGTTCTCTCTTATCTGCTGGCGCTCTAGATACTGAAGCGCCTTCAACAGCATAGGTCGCCAGCGCTCCTTGTCGTGCAGCCCTGACTCAACCACAGCTAGGATAGCAAAGGCAGTATCCCAGCACTGGACGCCGTTTGTGCCGTTGCATAGCATTCCTTCATCTTTGACCCACAGAAATTCTTCCAATCGCTCCCTGTGCCTCCGTACACTGAATGCATCTGGGCCATCCCGAATATAACATACGAGCATGTTCATCGGAGAGTTGACCGGTGCCAGGCCTGCATAGTCTGTATTCGCATCTTCCATGTCGACAAGCTCACTTGTCCATTGCTCTCCTCGTTCCTTGATGAAGTTGAAGCGGAGGTATGGATTGTAAACATTGACCAAAACCCAGTTGACGGTGTTGAGCAGCCATGACTTTGGGTTGTAATTGTCAATAGGCGCAATGCTATTTCTGTGGCTCGCCCAGTTGATCTCTGCGTGTGGCGTGACGAATAGCTCCTCCTTCAGCCCCCGGATCTCATCCGTCTCTTCACAACTCCACCTTTTAGAATAAATGTAACCCATAGGCAAAAACACTTGTCGGATGTGAATCCACCATCGCCACGGAGCGATTGGGACCCAATCTGGCAGCAGCCAAATCTCAGGAGGCACGGGATTCACGATATCCCACTCCACTACGCCCAGGACTGCCAGCCAGAATTTACCCCAGTGAGGGGAATTCACAGCGCCGCCCAGCTTATGCAGAGTTGCTCTGGCCTTGACCATGAGGGGCTCCTCAGGGTCCACGCCAACGAGTCGAAGGACGGTATAATTCATAGCGGTACCGAGCACTGTGCTTTCTCCTTCAATGTGTAGTCCCCAGCCACCATCTTTGGGGTGCGCTCGTGCGGTCAGGTAGTTCTTTATCTCGGTCGCGTAGGCGTCGGGGATGGGCGTCTTCGTTACGTACCAAGCAACGACAACGCCCACCAGAAGGAACATGGGCCCGCCATATTCGCAGCCCCAGTGGCCAGATGGCAATTGGAGCTTTTCGAAGAAGGAAAGGCCGTTCTCAGCAGATTCAAGCGCTGTCGTGGCTTTCGGCAGAGCGGGGAGATCCTGGATGCGACCACATTGTCAGTATTGCAATCGGCTGTTGATGGTTTCGATGCTGTTGAGACGTACCATGGGCAGATTCAGGTACCATTTTTCAGCATAGCTCTGCGGCCACTCCTCAGCTGCCTTGTCGTCCTCCAGATAGTGCCACGTATGGCGACTCTCGTCGTCCTTCATTCGCCATCTCGTGAGGTCAGTCTTGCCACCAACTTTGGGTCGCTTGGGAAAGCTGTCCGCAGACTCGTCAGAAGCTCGCTTGCGGGACTTGACGCTGCCGATATCTCGGCCCGTTGCGGTGACCATCTTGATGAAAAAGGCTCTGGTTGCTGTGAATGGCCAATTGATCAGAGGTTGAAAGTCGGGAGCCTTTCCAACGCTTTATAGAGGAGAAAAGGTGCAAAAGCAGATCCAAATTCAGCGAAGGGGTTCAATGTGTTTAGCGTCATCCAAGAGTCGCTCCACGTTTCCCGCTCGGGCAATTTGGCGCTGCTAGCGGTGCTTGTACCTGAACGGTGACATCCATTGGCCTACTGGCAGCCAACCTTAGGGGCAGTGGCGCTAAAACGCTGCGAGATTCACCACTAGTAATGCAGCTCGTATTCGTATGCGGCAGTGTCAACGGGCTCGTTTTTTGAATCGAGTCCATTTCGCCTTCACCAGCCACTGTCCGCTGCCTTGCACGACTCCAATTCACGGACTGATCAAGAGTCCGGGACTGCGAACGCATCATCTGCCTGTTTATCACATGCAAATATCCATGGATTGGGCAACAATGGACGTCGTACCCCGCGATGGAGAGCGTATTGTTACCCAGCCTGGGAACACGACTTCGGCGGGAGCAGTCATCTCTCGAATTGAATCCATCTTGGAGTCTATCCTGGACTGTCTGGCCGAAGGAAAGGAGCTCTGCATCGATTTTACCACAGATCGGGATGATCAAACCTCCCAAAAGATCCGATTTCCAGGAAAGTGTGCGCAGGAGGCCACAAAGTTCGGTATGCACTATTGCTCAAGCGAGTAAATCTTGTGTTCTGCGTCTCATCTTGTGATTCCAAGCTCGGATACTTCTCATCTTACAGCTCGCTCACGACGCTCTGGTTTCGGGGATCGTATTGACCAAGCGGTTCGTACAATTCGTTTGTGATACTTCTTTCGTGTTGCTAGATTCTGACATGACTATCGCGGTGAAACAGCCACATCTTCTATCAGCACCAAGAGTTATTTTGCAGCCAGAGGACGGTGGACAAGCTTGTAGACAGCCTTGCCCTCGCACTTGGCATCCACCGTGATGAGTTGAATATTGTATGTCAAGTGACGACGTAGCCGGTTGCTCACTCGAGCACCCTTCTAACAAATCTAGGTCGCATCTTCAAAGGGAGTGTTCTCAGGATCTCTCAGCATTCGCCTTCAAGATGATAGAGTGATTGGTCCCGCCACAGGTGATGCGGTTTGTAAACTTGCTTACACCGCTTGTTGTCTTATTCTTAATACTTGACAGGGGATCACACTACCAACGACTGGATCAATTGCCACCTTGAACTGCGAAGCCACTCGATGGATCCTTGTTGTTGAGAAAGACGTTTGTGCAATCTTTTTGTGTCTTCTACTTTTTTGATCTGCTAACTCTTCTAAGGCGGTATTTCGTTCTTTGACATCTTCATCGTTTTGGCAAACGTCTCGTGTTGGTCCAGGCATCATAATAACAGCAAGTCCATCCAATGAAAGCTTTTTGCTTGCTAGCTAACTTGATATCTTGATATCTGGGAAGGCCAAAGGGTATCCAGACATACTCACATGCTCGTTTCTGCAGCTCATCCGCGTCAATTGTCCACAGATTCCAATATTCGCACTAGTCGACTATGACCCTGATGGGCTCAATATTTTCCGCTGCTATCGATTCAGATCCAACACTGCAATTCAAGAAACAGATGTCACGGCTCCAGGTATCTGCTGGCTAGGAATCAAGTCACAAGATCTATTAGAATATGAGCTTTATCTCAATACCTTGATAAGACACTCTTCACCTTCACGCAGCCAACAATCACCAACGAGTCAGCCATCCCAAGAGAGCAATAGCTCGAAAACATCAATCTCGTCCACCGATTGTCGTGATCCAGTTTCATTACTTTCAACACGCGATCGCAAAGTCGCCGTTGGGATTCTAGAAAAGCTTTTAGACGTCAAGGATGACGCCGAAGTTGTCAAAGTTCAGAGGGAGCTTCAAGTAATGTTGATGATGGGTGTCAAAGCCGAGATACAATGGCTTGATGAGGCGGGAAACCTCGCCGATTGGCTCGACTTCAAGCTTGGGCAGCTCCTTGTATGAATGCAATGCTCTTTCATATCCGCAAAAATTGCCACATGAGAGCCAAAACCATGTTGATGAGACGAGTACAATTCTTCTATATAGCTAGTCCATACGAATGCTATCCTAATAGATGTCGATTTCCGTGATCCAGTTCCTAAGATGGTCATTTCCATTTTCCTCGGTCGACTGAACTTCAAATGATCCTACTCGTATATACGCGCTATGGCCGTCTTGTTCTGATCTCTCCACTATTATACTTAAATAGTGAGATTTGACATCAAGGCATACCAAGAGATCCGGTGTCGCTGGTATTGAAGAAGTACTTGCATGACAGTCCATGGTAATACCGACAGCCTCTACTAAACCAAAAAGCGATGACCATGAGCTCACAACCACTTTGTAGAAATGGGGCTTACTAAATCTGAAAGTCACCAATGGACCTTTTACGCGAATCTCTCGAAACGGCTGCTGAAGTCCGGAATAGTATCAACGACTAGAAGTTGTTCAGATTCAACCCATCAAGCCAACGATGTGAAATTAGAGTCGATGAGATAGGGGGTATATGGATCATCCACCAGCTCAATTCTGATCTTTTAGGCCAACGTCAATCGGTCGAAACGTTATAAAGCTTACCGTTTGAAAGAAGCGTCCGCCGACAAATCTCGTGGTTTTTATTACAATTGTTTAGCCACAGCCTAGCGGTTGTAGATGGTATTTCCATACCAAATCAGAGAACGAGCCTGAGGAAATGATTCTACGTTGGCATCCATATCTGCCTCTCTATATCTCAATGGCATGTTGACTTATTTTACGTGTCTGCTCATATCATTGAGGATACTAACGATTTAAACCGGCGCTCGCACATGTATCCACCTACCCGGAAAAGACGAAGGAACCGCTGCGCACAGTGCAAAAATCGCGGGGCAAGACTTTCACACAGTCCCCTCCACCAATGAAGAAGAGTGCTAAAATTTTATCTTTGCAAACCAAAGAAGAGCGAGTGAAGTCGTTATATCACAATGGCGCCGAATCTCACAGAAGAAGAAATCGACGATCTCGTCTACTTCGCCAGAGTAGGCGAAGATGCGGATCTTACAGAGACGCTGACGGCCCTGTCAGAGCGCGAGAAGGCGTCTCCAGCGGAGATTCTGCTGGCCGCCAAGGATGAGGGCAAATCAACGACTTTACACATGGCGGCGGGAAATGGCCATCTAGGTAAGAAAATTTCATACATGTTTTCTGACAGTGTTCAGTACTAGCTGTGAAATTGTCACAGTCGAGTTGGAGAAATCTGGTGGTAGGAATTGGGAGGCTGATGACATGTTCAGAAACTGTTCGCAAACTCATTCAATACTTTGATGAGAGACCAAAGGAAGAGAAGAAGACTTTCCTGGACGACGCAAATGAACATGGAAACACCGGCATGCACTGGGCAGCACTTGGAGGTCATCTGGATATTGTCAAGCTTCTCATGGAGCAAGGTGCTTTGCCTGCGCTGGCCAACGAGCGAAACTACGTTCCCCTGGACTTGGCCTACTTTAACGAACACAACGACGTTGCGCAATTCTTTCTGGCATCTGCCGGTATGCTGGAGGAGAAGAACCAGGAGAGCGGATTGAACGGTGCCGTGGAGGCAGTCAAGCTGGACGAGGCTGAGGGTCAAGGAGAGGAGGAGAACCAAGCTTCTGCTTCATGAGGAGTTGGAGGGCGTTTTATAGACGGGAGAAGAAAAATTATTGTCTTTACGGTTAGGCGACGACTTGTCATGGCGGTAGGCACATTGAAAGGAATGGACAGATAGGGATGGGTCTGCTGGAACAAAAAAAGGATACTATATTTACGATGACCTGGGTTCGGATAGACTTTGAAGAGCATTGCCGCTCTAATTTATGAATTTGCACTAGCATAATAAGCAGCCCAAGATTGCTCGCGGATTTAGTTTCGGAACGAAAAGTGATGACAGCCTGGACTGATAACTGCTAGTAGAAGCAGAAGTAATAGCAAATCACAAACTCAGAATGAAATTGACATTTCCATCTAAAATACAACCTCGATACCAGATAAGTGTTACTCCAAGATTGTCTCCATCTGTGAGTCTGCGGTGTTCATGTTCGGAACCCAGAGCCGATGGAGGATGCCTGCCAAGGCGCGTTTGATACTGGGACTATGCTACCGACAAACGGGAAATACTACCACGTAGCATAGGTAGTGAATGGGCTAACGCGGAGAAGGGGAGATGGGAGATGTACCGAATCAAGAGCACCAGAGGTCCGGTTTATGGAGCAACATGGAGATGGAGTAATGGGGAGTTGGTGGGCAACATACCGTCGATATGACTGACCCCCACCAAGAGCCAGACGGTTTTCCCCAGATAGGTGGTCGGATTTCTGCACCGCCACTGTTATCGGATAAGCTCCAGCTGCTGATAGCGCTGGAATGTTCAAGCCACTCTTGCCACTCCGCTGAAGCCCAGAACGCACTATTGGCGTTATCTCGTGGTCTGCTCCGCACCTTTGTCCGTCAAGCATCGCCATCAAAGCCTCGGTGGGGGTCAACCCCAGAAACGTCGAAACGTGGGATTCCTTATTTCCCCAGCTCTGCGTCCCCGCGTAAGTGAGCCGCGCCGGAACGGAAAAGACCCTTTGGCATCAGATCCATTGCCGATGCGGACGCTGATGCTGCTGCTGGCCAGGGTTCGCTGCAGAGAAACGCTCGACTCCGCTAGCAAAAGCACACAATCGCAGGCTGGCTTCGTCGACGGGGGCCGGCAATGAATAGATGACTTGGATGGAGTCGCCACAGACTGCGAATGTCTTCGGGGCCGCGATCTCGACGGGCATCGCCGCGCGCACCGGCTCGGGGTCCAGCGCGAGCACCAGCGCGAGCAACAGCAACAGCAACAGCCACAGCGGCGGTGTCACGAACTCGGCGTCGTACAAGCGCGCCAGCAGGAAGGGCGCGCCGCGACGCTTTGTGTGCGACCACGCCGGCTGCGACAAGATCTACTCGCGAGCCGAGCATCTGCAGCGCCATCAGCTGAACCGTAGGAGCCAGTCGCCGGTCCCGTTTCCGCCCTGCAGTACTGACATGTGCCCCAACAACAGACAACCCCAAGGAGATCTACCGCTGCGACGTGGGCGACTGCGACCAGAAGTTTGTGCGGCTCGACCTGCTGTCGCGCCACAAGAAGCGGCACACGGCCTCGTACACGCCGCGCAACCGCATCCCCAGCTTCGACACCGGCGGCGATGCCACGATCAAGTCGCCGCCCGATCGCCATAGCGTCGCCGCCCAGCCGCAGCCACAGCCGCCGTCGTACAGCCAGCATCACCACCATGTGTCGACGTCCGGGCCTCACGACGCCGCCATTCTGCTGACGCCCGACTCCAACACGGGCTCGACGCCTGGGCCGCTGAGCCATCCGCTGACGACGGGCAGAGCAACCCACCCGGCCACAACCTGGGCGCCGTCGCTTGACGACCGCACGGCTTCCAGCAACATCATGCGACACAGGCCGAGCTTCTACGCAACCGACCCGTCGGTTCTGCCCGAGTCGTCTGGCATGGTGGACTTTGGGGGTGTTGGGTATCCCGGCGACGACTCCTTGTCGCAGGGCAACTTTGCAGCTTGGCTATTCGATCCCCAGACGACTTACAGTGATTTTAGCATGGCGGGTCTCCCTTTCCTCGAAGGAGGCCTGGAGTCTACGTTCAACAACAATATCCACTACGACTACGAATCCCTCAACAGCTTGTCGCCCATGGACCAGCCACACCGACTCTCCGAGTCATCATCAGACGACTGGATCACGGAATCAAGGCGGCAAGAGCTGCTTCACTGGTTTCAGACCTTTCGCAAGAAGCAGCCGCGATACGAGCCATTGATGCCCAACCTGGTCCTCGAAAGCGGCGGCGACTTGCCTGCGCTAAATGTGGACATGATGAGAGACTGTCTCAAGGAATTCTGGGATAATGTCTCGCCTCGACTCCCCATTATCCACCAACACACATTTTCTCCCAACCGATGCCCTATTTTACTGCTTCTTGTCATGATTTCTCTTGGAGCAGCATCATTACGCGGCCGTGACATGACGGGGCAACTATCAGAATATGGCCCATTTGCAGATGTCATCATTTCTTGTGCCCGATGGGAGATTTTAACCTCTGATGACTCTGCACCGCCTGCTAGTCTTTGGGTTTTACAGGCTCTCTTACTTCTCGAATTCTACGAAAAGCTGTATTCGTCTAGAAAACTTCACGAGAGGGCGCACATCTATCACCCTGCATTTTTAACGCTGCTCAGGCGCGGAAGTCCCTTGATTGGCAGGACGGGCAGTGAATCTCCTCCTGAGCCAGATTCACTAGGACCAGATCGAGAAACCCCAAACATGGCGTTGGATTCTCGGACATGGTGGGCTCGATGGGCAGAGACGGAGTCGATGCATCGAGTGGTGTTTGCAGCATTTATGCTCGACGTTATTCACGCCGCCATGTTTGGCCACGCGGCCGACATGGCGCCTCACGAGATTCGACTGCCGCTCCCCTGTGACGACAACCTCTGGGCGGCAAATAGCCCGGATGTCGTTCGCCAGCTGGATGCCAACTTTAGAATGTACGGTGTAAAGCAGGTCTCCTTCCTAGACGGGCTAAAAAGCGCACTGCATGGAAAGGAAGTGAAGACGCATTCGTTTGGGCGCATGATTATCATTTCGGGTCTACTGAGCGTGGGCTGGCACTTGAACCACAGAGAGACACACTTGAAATGGCTAGATATCCGAACACCATCGATGGAGACGCAGGAGACTTGGCGGAAATTGCTGCTCAGAGCGTTCGATAATTGGAAGGGCAGCTTTGACATTGCCATGTCAGACTCCATCTCCGATGCTCCTGGCCACCGGGGCATCCCAAATGGCCCTATCAATAGCGCCTCGGTCCTCTACCACCTCGCCCACATAAGCCTTCATGCCGACATTGTCGATTGCCAAGTTTATGCCGGCGCTAAGCGTCTTCTCGGCCGCAAAGTCTCATCTAGGGATTATACCAATGTTATCAAACGCATGAGCACCTGGTCAAACCAGGGATCGACCCGCCATGCTATCCTCCACGCTTTCAAGCTCCTCTACCGCGTCGTCGTCGACCCTCACCCTCGACGTCGAAACAGTCCTCACCCGCCCGAACACGCCGCCATGCAGTATTCTATCCGGAACGAGCCAGACCCTCACCGACCGTGGATCATGTACTATGCCGTGTTGGCCATTTGGGCGTTTGTGCAAGCGTTGGGGCGCCCTCCTGGAAAGGGCTTTCCACTACCAACGTCACAGCTTGGACATAGCAGTTATGCACGCATGGTGGACTACGTATCTAGTGTTGCTGCACTACAGGAGCTCGATGAGCAGTCGTCAGCGGTTTTATATGAGGGCTTGCCAGATTTACTTGATGTGATGGTGGACATTTTAGAAGAGGCAGATACGGAGTTACTGTCGGAAGCACGGGAACGATTAAAAGTGTGCAAAGAGATGCTGTTGGGAGGACTTCCTCGGCAGCTGCACTGAATCATTTGCTTTTAATGCACCTCCTTTCCTTTTTCTGGATATCGTACATAACTATAATTTGGATTTTTTGGAAGTAGAAGTTGGCGACTTTGTGGAGCAACGCGGCGGGCTGCTTGATTTTACTGGGCGTTTGTTAATGGGAAATACCTGGGCTGTACTTGATCTACTGTACATATTCAAAGCGTTAGTGCAGCTATCGTTTGGGTAACGAATGGAATGTTTGACATCTCAAAACAAACCTATGCGTTCGTTTGCGTTGAGTGCTTTGTTCGGCAAATGTGCAATGATGAAGGTGTTCATGTTCAATGTTGTTCATAATTGCTGCTGCACACTGGTAGTCTTTGTCCTCTAATGGCGATTCAAGTTCTTTTCTGGTTTTTCTACCATTCTTTTTTTCCTTTTTTTTTTTTTTTTTTTTTTTTTTTGAATTGAAGTCGGACAGTTCCATAGGCTGAACTAATTGTGATATTTTCTCGCCAACTGAATCATATTTGCTATGCTATTTGTCTTCTCAAAGGCGTGAGAGAATATCGTGGTTGTACAAGTCCAGTTCTCCAATTTCACAATCACAACGCAAAGCCTGTTCATGATGAACTGAGTCTCAAAGAATTATGAACAGAACACCGTATCGCCATGATTTCGTAGTGCCTTTTTCCCTACTTAAGTCGTCGCCATCCCCCAAGTGCCTCTACTGTCTACGCAATAGCAAGTCCTCAATCAACAGCCCTTGATACGCACCATTGAAAGTAAATACAAGCCTCAAAATCACAAAAACCAACATCCTGATCTGTGCTTCGTCTTCCACCATGTCTCGTACGATTGGTCTAATTGACGACCCTTTTTTCTTCGACCTCGAAGCGGCCATCAACAACATGATTGGTCTCGCCGTCAAATCTCGTCTCGCTGATAATCCCCGATGGGTGACGCTTGATCGACACCCCGATTTGGGTGAATCTGTCTGTTGGTGCGGCGAAGAGGAAGAACATTTCTTTGGAAGTTGTAGCGACAGGCTGGATCCGGCATGCAAAGCCCGCCCGACTGTCAGCCCCAACGCCAGCCTTTCCGCCTGCCCTCATCCAACTTACCAGGTAAGCTTTGATCACACCTGCTTTTGCTTTCAAATCAACGGTACGATGAAGCTCTTCCATGAGCGCTTTCTCCGTCCTCGCATGGAGGCTATTCTCTCACCTAAGTACACATTCTCTCAAGGCGACCCAGTAAAGGAGTTGAATAACGTGCAAATCAAGGCCCTCGAGAACATTGTCACCATCTACAACAGGCGTGTCCACAAGACCCTGCTGTGGGCATTCGCAGACCAAAAATACGAAGCACTCGCCCGATTTGTGACGGATATGCAGCGGAATGACATTGTGAGTGAAGCAGATAAAATGCCTACCCGCATTCCATGGCATATCGAGCGAGTACATGCGATACTGGGGTGGCACAGAAGATCTTTTGATGACTGCGTGGCAGAGCTGAAAAGTGCAATGGATGAAGCTAGTCGCCACCGAATCAGCTCAGATAAGTCGGTAGCTGCACGTATCGTCGATGGAGAAGTATCCTTTGACGGATAAGGGTTATAAAATCTGCAAACGAAGAAGCGGTGTTGGCAAAGGCGACGTTGAAGGGGTATTGAAGAGAAGAATTCGTCAATGGAGTATGGAAAGGAGCAACATGTTTGCTGTATTTGAGAAGCTTGGTATTGCAAATGAACGACATATTTTGAATGGATTAGCATGCGGACACTAGAAACAAAAAGAAGTTAGCATTCGAGATAAATAATAGCAACAAGAGAAATGGGAATACATATTACATATCTGGAGTGCCAATAGTGAGTGTTCTATCTTGCAACTGGTAATGCATACAACCGAGAAATGGAATTTCTTTGCGTCCTTCTTCCTTGTTTTTAAACCCAAACGTCTTAACTTAAGGTACCTATTTATATTGTCTTTGTAGCTAAGGTTCTAATTATGTATTTACTGTCGTACTAGTGAAAGCAGTGTAGGTCAAGGTACATGTAATATACCCTACCAGCCTCAAAGGAATAAGATTAAATCGCAAGGCTGCGGCCCGCAGCACTAGTGCCTACAGCTGAGTTGTATTGTCTTGGCATTATTTTCGGTATTGAATTCAGATGTATTATTCGCTGCTTTCGAACTCTCCCTGCAGCCGTGTGTTACATCCAGGTCCTAGCGGGATATTGGGATGAAATGTTCTTGTGGATGAGAACTGTGCCTACTTCGCTGCTGAGTTGTTTAGGACGTGGTAGGATCTATATATGTTGCGAGTAGCCGCCTTTCCACTTCGCACAAAGTCGGTCCTACACCTCTGCTACGCGGTAGTCTCATTCACGTACCATGAACTTCACTTTCACCGTTCCTGAGGGTTCCATGAACCATGGTAATCCAAACTTGCTGTGCACGCCCGCGGAATGGTACGACCTTATCATCTTCTTTTTCGCCAACTACTTCGCCCATGCCGCCTCTGTCATCCTTGAGCCGGGCCAGGGCTCTGCATCTACCGGCCTATATATCCTACTCGCCCTCACTCTTCCTGGTGCTGGGGTTTCCCGTGCAATTCGTGCAATTTTACGCCATGCTGTAACGGAAAGGAAGAATCCCTTGAAGCGTGCCGCTCGGGCCGGCGCGCTTTGCATGGTGTTGAAGAAACCAGAAGATGGGCGCTACGCGCGGTTGTTGCGTCGCCAGATGCAGGGAGGAGAGCGCCCAGTGGAGATTGAAATCGGTCAGACTGAAGAGAAGACGACTGAGACTGAGACTGAGACTGAGACTGAACAGTTAGCCACAACAACTGCCAATCAGGAACTAGATGAGGTCTCTGCTGTTGCCAATGTGGACGAGGAGCGAAAGGAAGCGCAGGGCAGTTCAAAGTCTAGAGTGTTAGTTTTACTACTCGCTTGATTGCAGAATCTCGAACCTAACTCGGCGCATATAGCTTCTCTACCCCATCGTCAGACTCTCCTTGGTGGGACCCCCCAGGTGGCTACACACCAGTTCCGCTAGCTACTGATATCCACGGGGAACATTGGCTTTGCGATAACTCGACATATTATCTCGCCATGGTGCCACCTATAGCTTCCATGAAACTCGATTTCGACGCTAAAAAAGACGGTGTTGTTAAACAAAGACCAAGCAATCAACAAACACCAAGCAATCAACAAACACCAAGCAATCTACCAAATGCTGTCATTGCGTCATCCTATAATCTCCCTAAGCTGTTCATCGGTTTTATTCAAGCTATATGGGCAGTCATCACGATCTACCGCACTCGAGGGGACCAGATCTAGCAGTATGGATACGCCGCGTTCGGGCTGACGGTTGCTCCGTATGCTACCATGTCAATCTTGAATACGTTGGCGAATATGTTAACCCCTGACTATCCATGTATGTTTCTCATCAGAACACCGATGATGAACAAGGCAGAGGAAGAAGGGGAGGGCTTTTTCAAAGGGGCACTTCATGTTGAATTGCAGGATGCAAGTCCAGTGATGGTTCCGACAGACGATAGCCCTTCGCTGCCAACTTCATATGAAGACAAGCCGTTAATGACTATGTGCATAGCCTTTTTCTGCAGTCTGATTCCGCTCGGAATCGTGGGAGGCGTATCTGGCTTCCAACTGGGAAATAGCTCACAGACGGAGAGGGGCGTCACCTTGCTGTGGCTTGTGGGAGGCATCGTCTGCGGAGTCGTGTATGGATTCGGAGACCTCACTTTCATACAATCCAGGATGAGAAGAGGAGGAAAGAACAATTTAGGTTATACACTCTTATCATATTTTTTGATTCTGCTGTTCATAGGCGGTCCTATGATTTGGGGACTGGTCGTCGTCGGAATGATGATTCGTAAGTTTGGAATTTGTACCTTGATTGGATAGGAAGATGTCAAGGACTGGGCCTGTCACGGCTGAAGTCAAAGAACCTGCCGATAGCTTCAATTCTACGTGCTGATTCTAGTCATAACTACGCCTAATAATGAGCCTTTCTTGATTTAGAATAAACGAACTTCTTTTGTAGCCGAGACAGCCAGCTGATCAGGTTCCAAGGAGATAGTTCTTCTTTCCATATGTAGATAGCCCTCGACAGGGATACCATCAATCAACTATTAAAACCGGGATATATGGAAAAGTTTTATCACGATATGTTTGCAAATAAACAAACACTTGTATTAGAGTTATTACATGTTCGATACACTCCCTTTTGATGACTCGCCTTTAACTTATATCCCCCCCAGGCGGAAAAATTGGCGTTCATTCAAACTGCAGCTCAAAGAGTGACTTTACGTCTCTCTCATGGAAAATCCTTGGTGAAAAAGCCATTCACGCATGCAAAGCCTCTCAATTGATCGATTCCAAGAATCAGTTCCATTTGTACCACCACACTGACCAAAATTTCCAGACTCTCTCCACACATTTCTCTGAGAGATCGGATAACCCTTCACAATAATGCACCCTCCATGTTGTGCCGTGGCGGAGGTTTCTTCCATCTCGAACATGATCTTAAGGTTGATGCTTTTTAATGATGGCTGCAGAATTGAAAGGGGCGATGCAATACTGTCCGATTCCCAATCCTCGGTGATGACTGGCGTGCAATACATGATCTTATTATGCTCTCGGGGCAATGTCCCTACGGCAGCTCCGAGCCAAGCAAGCTGCTCTCCAATTTCCGCAATCGAAACTGCAGCTCCGTAAGCTTCCACAATGAGTTTACCATTGCATTCGTTAATCATTGCACTGAGTTCCGTCCCGTCCAACATTGTTTCTAGAGATAGGTCAGATATTAATAATGGTTATTGATGCTTCTCGAAATTCTAGAACATACTCATAAAGGCACACCCTTGCCGAACGCAAAGAGCACCTGTAACCAGCTCGATGATTGCCTCTCCTGTCATAGGCCAAGTCTGCCGCATGTAATTACTGCAAGTTGCTCCCTGAACATCTAATTCGGAACCAGTCAGGGTGAAAGCCGTCCTAAATCCTTCGCCTGGCGGTTCTTCGGGGTTTTGCGTTTCAAAAAAGAAAAGAAGATCACATTCAAGCTCAAAGGTAACAGCAAAATATGGACGAGATGAATCTTCGCTGTAGTCAGGAGCGGGCGGGAACGCAGACATGATAGTGTCTTGGATTTCTTGAATGATGTTTGGTCCTTTTGAGGCAAGACAAAACTCCCTCCGAAGTTGGGTGCGTAGCCATCCAGAGGCACGGGTGTTAAAGACGAATCGCCAAGGCTTATCCAAATTACTTTTGTCTTGCATAGATCCGATATTTAAAAATTCCGTCGCAATGTCACTATAGAAAACTAGGTTGTTAGCTAATAAGCCTTGAATTGGAAAATGGCAACTTGGGATTCGGATTAGTAGTTTGCAATCTTCCAACGTGCGTCAATGATCTCATTATAGCCGTCAAGTCACGCACCAGCTATGCTCATTAATAAAGGATATAATATCTTGGTGAATGAGGTAATCAGTATCATAACGAAGCCTAGAAGCAAATCCCTTGAGCAAACGGGGCAAAATTGCTGTAACACTTCCTCGCGTCTCCTGGTCCGCACACCACCAGCTTGTACGGACTGCTTCGAACAAATGTCCTGCTACCTCTTGTATGTAGCCCTGCTGTTCCCAAAACGTCATGCCGTATTCGGTCATATATTCAGTGTCTGTGACCTTGTTGTCATCCTCGACTAGTGTCTCTGCTGACATTGACTGCGCCATGCCTGGATCGTTATGCTTCCCTGGCTTTTCCGTCCAGACATCCATTGCTAACTCTGGGGCGTATCCTTCATCTGTATATGCGAGTTTTGGAGTACTTGGTAGCTCTTTTTAGCGCTATTGCTAGAAGATACGCTGGGGTTACTGTAGGATTGAATATGTATCACAAATCTGTCAATCGTCATAGATATTGGTTGTGTCTATTATGTCTTTTATACTCCAAGGCTGCCGCGTGCATGGCGACCTTTGCATGTCAAAAAACTAAGCTTAGCCCACAAAGAATCATTGAAGCGTGTTTGAGATTACAATGCTCATGAATTTCACTTTTCCTTGCGGTTCTTTGTGTGTCAAAGCCATGATATATTCCTTGACTAGTGCAAGTCTCATTTTGCGTCTTTGCATCGGGATTCTGTGGCATATCTTTGAGACTAAAAATAACTATCGAAACGTCTTTGAAGAACTTTTCAAGGGGTATCTTCTTTGTATAATTTGCAATATGGTATAGCGGCACTTGTTCAACATCTTATCTTATTCAGGTTCCAAGGAAAGCAGAAGCTACTGAAATAGGCTCACTCCCCATCACAATGCCCAGTCTTCCTTCAACAATCCTATCCATTCTTTGACTGTTACAAGCTCACCTCCCACACGAACACCCTTGACCAACTCTCCGCGTACTTGGACCGTGCCCTCTCGTGCTGCCATGTTTCCTCTCGGACTGTACTTTGGGATCGCCAACCATTCATGGTCGGAACTGCATACAATCTTTTTCAGTCTACTAGCCTTCAATAACGACAGGCAGTCGTCGCAAAATCCCAGATCCCAGCAATATTTGCACGTATTTAATGCGCGATCGAAACCCCACGCTGCGCCACATGTGCCGTCGCAGGTGAACGGAAAATACTTTGCGATATCGTTACTGTCCAAGGGTGTGATGGGAGCCTCTTCAGCAACACCATTAGCTGAGTTTTCCTTTAGTGTGAGAGCCGACTGCAGAACATTTAGTGCCTTTTGAATATCTTCCTTCTTCTCTGAATTTTCTGATTCATCCTCCTCTTGACTAGAGGCCATCCGTGCCTCCAGTTCTTCTTGAACAGCCTTGATTCTCTCAATCTGCGTGGCTCCAAGTGGGCATTTAGCTTTTACAAACTCAGTGAGCTCATCAATTAGCGGTTGCTGAGGCCCTCCTTCGAGCATAAATGCTTTAGTTACAACGTCCGTCTCAATAGGCTCAAGTAGGGACCAAGCCGTCAATGCGTTTAGATCGTCTCCGCTGGCCAGCAAGCATTTGGATAAAGTATAAGCGGCCCAATAGTCGTTCTCGTCAGTTTCGTCAGACAAGTTTTCGACTGAAATCCGCACGTACTGCCTCAGTTGCTCTTTAGCCGCCGCTCGATCACCACGAAGAGCATAGTACATGGCAAGGTTCGTGTCGGCTGCAGTTATCCCAAGTATTCCGCGAAAGCGGAAACTCTGGCTTAGTTCAATCAACTTAGAAAGAGTCTCTGGAGAGCTCTGTAGCTTTATAGACTGCTCAAAATAATGAAGGCTTAGTTGATGGATAATAGTGTAGTGGAAGGAGGTGGCTGAGTTCCCTCGCACGCCATCGTCGTAAGCCCTTCTGTAAAATTGATCCGTGATGTTGTAACAATCGGTCCAGAGAGATATGGCTTGCGATAAAGCCTCATCATTCTGGCCACCGTTATGGATAGCAGCCACACCGCGGTGTAGCAGAAGTACCTGGAGTTTGAATTCTTGCTCTTGCTCTCGGGCTGCGTTGATGGCTTGATCCATGGCTTCTAGCAAGACCGCCATGCAGTCCTGTCTTAAGCTGCATACGAAAATCAGACTGCGCAGCGGACTTTGGTAGCTGTAACTCTCTGCTTGGCTGAGTAGCGTTGAAGCGAGCCGAGAGAGGCCTGGTTGTTTAGAGTTAGACTCGTTCATGGCAATTATAAGCTCGTGGGTCTTTTCCTCAGGACCAGAGTCAATTCGAATGTTCAATATCCCACTGAGAGCATCTTGGTTATCTGGGCAGGTTTCCAAAGCATGTTCATAATGTGATATAGCTCCCTCGGGCTGTTGTAGTTGAGTATACCAATTCGCAAGGCGTAGATAAATGCGTGTCATTTCTTCGTTATCCGGCGACTCGGCTTCTTTGACCAAATTAAGCGCCTTTTCCATGGAGGAGCACGCGGAGAGAAGCTCATCGTTTTCGTAGTATGAATCAGCTAGACCTTTGAAACAGCCAAGGCTTGGGTTTTCTAACTCGATAGCGCGTGTAAATTTTGAGATCGCCAAGTTGTATTCAGATTGCGCTTTGGCAGTCTCTCCCATTCTCTGATACCAAAGAGAATCGAGGCTTGTTGGCAATAAAGTATCTTTGCACCATTTCTCGGCTCTCTCCAACTCTTCCAAGACGCTAATTTCTTTGCCTGATTCTTCTTCTAGCGGATTCTATCGAAGTTAGCAAGATGGATAGTTGTATGCGTTCAGGGTGGACCATACCAGCGTCAAAAAGCGGCGCAAAGCGCCAAAGCAATCATTAGTATCCCATGTACGGTCTTGTAGCCAACGGTATGCAATTTTCTTCATCAATAGAGTGAGAAGTTCTCGATTCGGACGCTGGCTGGCGTTGACAGTTTTGAGCCAATCTTTGTCAAGTCTCCCAAGATGGCCAATTGCGCCTGGATCCTGTAGCCATTTTCGCAAAATCTCAACTTTCTTATCTTTGCCAAACCAAGTAATAGACTTGAGTGACTCCCAGTGCCTTTCTATGACCTCTCCAGAGATGAAAAGAGAAAAGAGCCCATCGCCAATTTCTTTTTTGTCAGATGCAAGAATCTCATCGTAGCCATCTGCTTGGCTTAGTTTATCCAAGTGAGATGGGAGTCTTCTTGCCAGGTAATCTCCTATAGGCCTTGTCCTGACATCCGGTGAGGATGTAAGATAACGTAGGGCCTGCTTCACTATAGCAAGGTGAGCATCATACATGTTGACCTGGATTTCCCTCGTGACATGGCTCTTTTGGTTGGACATAGGTTCGAATTCGAACTTGTCCACCATAGACTTTTGGAAGAGAGACCAGAGGAAGTTTTGTACTGTTGTGATGTCCGCATTAGTTACAGTGATGTTGAGTGAGATTTTGGGTGCATCTTCGCCAACCCTTGGTCGTTTTCTGTCTTTGATGACAAGCGGTTCAATAGCCGGAGAAAGAGCGAAATAACTGTAGTGCATATAAAACAATTTAGAATATTTCCCTCTCAGCTTGTCCTCTAGCTTCTGTAGAGATGCGGTTCCAAAACGGAGGAACTAAATGATAATAACTTAGAATGGCTTCTCGTTTTCGGGGTTTCGCCAAAGCATGAGGTGACTTACCCGTGCAGCTTCTAGTGCATCAGTGTCAAAATATTCAACGCCATAAACAATCCATATAAGGAGCTCATTAAGTTCTTCGATAGACTGCGGTTTGAGGGAAGCTTCCAGCTCGCTGACCACGTTTTCTGAGATTTTCATTTTATCTTGGTTACTCTCATTCAGAATGTTATCCATTTCGGCCTCTGATCCATCCGACATGATCAAGTCTTTGATCTTGCCTAGAGCAGTTTGAACTTTGAGGAAATTTCCTTTGGCCTCAGTAAATAGCCTATCGTGGACTTTCGTTCGCAGTCTCTTGGGTTCCTCTTCATCCCCTTGTAGAAGGCTTGACTTTCTCAGCTCTTCGTGGATATAGGATGTGATATCTGGGCCATTGTATTTCTCAATCTCAATATTTGGAGCCGGTTGCAGCGATGCCCTCTGGAAATTGTCGCTTCTTCCACTCGCAATCACCCTAACTCGAGCCCCATCGGCGCTAGCTGATACTTGGCTTGTAAGAGTCTCCAAAATGTCGAGAAAGTGATTTGCAGCTTCAACGTGGCCTTCGAACAATCCATCTAGGCCATCGACTATGATGAAATAAACAGTACCCTGTTTAGGTGCTCCAATCTTAAGTTCACGCCAGAGGTCTTTGCAGCTTGTGTCCCTAAAGTACGCTTCGCTGTGCTTATCATCGCAAAATGTTGCCATGGTATTTGCAATTGCCGAGTCTTGCTCTGCAAGCTGAGATGCAATGTGCTTTATTGCAGTTGCTGCCGGTCGTTTGTCTTCGTCTGCTTTTCGAGAGAAAAGAGGAAAGAAATAATAAGCTACCATGGCTCGAATATTCGACTGGCCTGCAGATTCGTGGGCGGCCTTGAGCTCCTGGGCTATAATCGACATCACGCTCGATTTGCCCGAGTGCGCCTCTCCAGTAAGTAGCAGTAAGGGGCTTGCTTCAGAATCGGCCTTGTCAAACCATTTCTTGTAGTCATCTAAATCGCGAAGCCAGTTTCCACTCCCTGTTACGCACTGTTGCCATATCTTCTTGCAAACATATTTGGAAGCATTGATAGTCTTCTCGTCGATGGCAAACTTGCTTCGAATCTTGGCGAGATTCTCTTGCCTAGTCCTCTCTATGCTTCTCCTTGACTCTACTTCTTTCAAGTCTAAAATACCAATGGCGATGTCATCAATCTTCTTTCCCGTCTCGCAGGCTTTACCCAGGATGGCAGTAAGATCAGCTTTGGCACTTAGAGCAACCTCCAGGGTCAAGGTCGCCTGAACATTCTGCTGTCCTCGAATAAGCTTCTCGAACTGTTCGATCTCATCCTTCAGACCAGAGTCATCCTTTAGCAAGGCCTGTTTTGTCGCTGCTTTAAAGCGACTCCATCTGCTCCCTTTCCGAAGAACTATTGACAAGGCACATATATCGACAAAAGAGATCATGACTTTGTGTATTGCGGTATTCAGTTCCGGATCAATAGAACTAAACAGTTCTATCCTCTCATATATCTTGAATTGACTGAGAGTGGGACCAACAATACCGAAGACGGCGTCGATTGTACCATGAAACTCATGGACGGATTTTGGGACGTCAAGCAAAAGTGACACGGCGTTGAAGCAGATACTAGCAGGTTGAAATACCTTATCAAAGTTAGGAGGGGACAAATGTGAAGAAGGAATGGTCTGTCAAAGTTACCATTTCAGCTCCTTGAGCCGCCACTCCACCTAGTAACTTTAAACATGATAAGATGGTTAAGCCAATCTCATTGGCCCGTTTATGATTGTCGTCTGAATCGGCTGGAGAAGTAGGATCGTATCGATGTTCTACCATTTCACGAACATCGTCGATGGTTTTCGGCGGCTTAAAATCGAGAGAATTTTGCGTGCGAGCTAAGAACCGTCCCCTGGCCTCCTCCCACATATTTTGAATACTTGACTCGGCCATCACGGCGGTAGTTACCAGCCAATTTACGGCCACTGATGCTATGCTAAAGGGATTATTTAATTATAACTCATTTTGCTGGCTCTGGCATTATGTTAACAGCTCCACGGAATATAATCCGGCTATAAGCGCAATATTGGGTTTAGTCGCGTGACGGGTTGCAGGTCGTGCATGAGTTTGCAGCCGCCGGGTTGAGCCGCATCTATTCAGCAGTGAACCAGAAACAAACCCTGCAAATTAGACCTTCCTATCTGAAGGATTATGTTTCATCTTTATATGGCATTTTTCGCCCCCACCCGACCATCTCTCCAAAGAATGCCTCGCATGTTGGAAAGCGTCAATCGCTAACCATGTGCTCAGTTGATCCTTGCTGCATGTGACAATGGCCTAGTTAAGCTTCGCCTCACAACCCCTGACTGTAGGGCTTTCTTCACCTAAATCATTTTAGTAAGGTAGATGGGCAATGGGGCAGGTGACGGTTGCATAGCCTTGTCGTTACAGTTGAGTTTCTTCAACTATTCAGCAACAAAGTAGAAGCAAATTGCACATTATCAATTTAGCAGAGCCAATGCATACTTTGGAGATACGGGCGCCAGTGCTTACGGGCTCCAATTTTCTAGGAACTGAGGTTTAGAACCATCAACCCCTGAACCGAGACATTTATATTTTGAGTACCCAGGCCGGGTTTTATCATGTACTGCATTTTCCTAGCCACATTTATCCCGGACAGTCTGTTATAAAAGCAGCTTGCTAGGATTGTGAACTTTTTATCAGCACTATGAAATCTTATATAGAATATTGTTCGAAGAATGAATTCTCGCGCTAGATATTGCTGAGGCTTGAGGTTCCTACTTAGCGAAGAGACGTAAGTTAGGTCTGCGATAGTTAGCTTCTTTCTCGTGCGTCAAAATGATACGAAATGGATTATCATGCATTCTTTTGTATCGTCTCATTAAATTATCATTATTCGGGCTTCCATACATGGTATCTTAATTAAATCTGAACAGCCTGTTCTCTCCTTCCGTATTTCCAGTACGCCTCTTGCTTCCAGCCTGTGCTTCATCAAACTAAAGGTTGTGTTGGCCTCCGCTGGGTCGACCTTGATCTCCGCAAGTCCAACATTCTGGCATGATGACAGCCAATATTTGGAGTCATGTCTTCTTAAAAGAGCGAAGACATCATCACTTTAATATTGGATTAATGACCCTCTTTGAACAATTTTCCAATCTCTTTTTTACCTGTGGCTTACAGATCTGCGTTTAGGCGATTGTGGGTTCCAGTTTCTGCTGCGACTGCTTGCTCATGTCGGCGTACTGACTTAACTGATATCTAGAGTCTGCTCCGGTTGTCGCAGCAGAGACTGGCGGCAATACGGCCTCCATCTTCCCCTCGTGTGGTTGGTGCGCAACACGCTTCTTGCAACTTTCGCAGTGGTGGTCCAGATCAGAGCACCAATTGCACACAAACGGTATAAACACAGGGAGTATGCCACAGCAGAGGCAGCAGACAGCAGCCGCAAGCCTAGTCATGTATATATTAGCAAAGGGTGACCAAGGTTCAGTGCTTCAATTCTATGAGTGGCGTAACATACGATGTCTGGCTGGTAGATTGATGGCGAACTTCAGTTTTCTGGCGTGATTTGCAGTAAGGGCAATCAATATAATCGGGAGACTCCCCAAGATTCTCCGGTTTGACCACATAGTTCTCTGGCTTCATGTTTTGCACCATGCTCGGTTGCTTGGTTACAATTCCTGTGCTTTGCGATTGCGCAGGTTTAGGGGAAGTATTTGCTGTGTTTAGCGTCATCTGGCGGATCTCGTCCTCTTCTGATGTAACAGTATTCAACTTCTTTTCTGTTCCTGCCATGTTCGGTGTCGGGGCTGCCGTAATTCCATGGGTTTGACCATGATAGGCAGAGTTGAGAGTAGCATCTTGGGCGTCCATAGTGTCTTCAAAGATGATATGGAGAGGTTTTGACGAATCTAAACAACTTCAGAGATCTTTGCACCGAGGGAAAAGAAATCACCCCAAACGGCAAGAGCCTGAATCCTTCTTTTTATCCCCATGCGATCAGCGGGCACGTTGTTGTTTTAAATAGAAACCGGGGCAAAGTAGGTAGCATGGGCATAGCTAGCGCACTGAAACAGCCCAACCAACAGCCTCGTTGCCAGGGCCGAAGGATTCATTAGGACAATCAGGTCATACACAACTACAGGGAAGATACTCGGTCTCCCGAAAACGCGAAGTTCGCGAGGCTCTTGGCGCGCCGTCACTGCTGACAGGTCGCTTGGAAAACTTGGAAAGCCCCCTGTACGCGTCTGAATGGATGAGCGATCAAATGCTTAGAAATACCGATTTGAGAAAACTGAGCGGGAAACATATTAGAAAGGAAGCAGCCCTAAGAGCCTCATTTTATAGTTATTTTTTTAAGTACAGGTACCCGCTGTAACGCTTTGGCCTGCGTTGTCTCAGTGAGCGATTAATCCATCGGCTGTTTGGGGTAACACTGACGCTTATACTAGCAACCTAGAGTTGACTCCATATTGGCGGTAACAGCAACATTCGACACCATCCTGTTGGTAACCCCTATGAGAACAGTAGGCCTATAGGCTATAAGTTGGGGTTGATACTATGAGCTAGTACCGTCGCGACAGTCTTCTGATTTCTATTCCAATTTTATTCAGCACTGGAAGACGTTTGCGATATGAATTTATTAAATGTCAAAACTCTACGTCTCGAGAAGTGCAGAGATGGTACGCCCTATGCGATATTGTCCCACCGATGGGCTGATGGACAGGAGTTTCTCTACGAGCATATCACAAGCGATATGACCGAAACTCAAAGAAATGATCACCCGGGCTATGCTAAAGTCGCTGGTGCATGTAAACAAGCACGGCTGGACGGTCATGGCTACATGTGGATCGATACTCTTTGTATCGACAAGTCATCCAGTTCTGAACTCAACGAAGCCATCAACTCAATGTTCAAGTAAAGGGATACGGTCATGTTAGGCAATGAATTTTATGCTAATGAGACTTCTAGCTATTACAAGGAAGCACAGGTCTGCTACGCGTATCTCGCGGGTTTGTCTCATACAATAGACCCTTACATAGCAGATGAATTCGCCACCCATGAATGGTTTTCCCGCGGATGGACACTTCAAGAGCTCATTGCACCAACAGAGGTCCTCTTCTTCACCGACGGTGAAAAAAGGGAGGAAAATGGCGATTCAGATGATTGCTCGGAAGACGGGCTGAAAAATGAGCCTGTACAAAATGAATTCATAGGCAACTGGGTATGCCTTGGGCGAAAATCCAGCATGTGCGAGAGGCTTTCTTCCATCACTGGCATAGACAGCGGTATTCTCTCTCACACTCGCGATATGCGATCAATCAGTGTGGCTAAACGCATGTCATGGGCATCCAAACGAATAACCACGAGAATTGAAGACCGCGCGTATTGTTTGTTAGGACTTTTTGACATAAGCATGCCAATGTTATATGGAGAAGGCGAGAAATCGTTTATTCGACTACAAGAAGAAATCATGAAAGAGTCAAACGACGAATCTCTCTTCCTATGGACAGACGATGGCGCAGACCCAAATGCAGTTGCAGGCCTTCTTGCTCGATCTCCAGATCAGTTCAAAGCATCGAGTCACTTTTTCCCGTACTACGACTGGGAGCCACGAGCGCCATTTTTCAAGACAAATCAGGGACTTCAGATCACGCTCCCTCTACGTCGGGTAGAAGATGACATTTACGTTGCCTCTCTAAACTGCTGTCAACCAATGAAGACGGACGGTTTTGCCGGATTGTGCCTGAAGAGAATGACCAACTTCACTGATTCCGATCGATCGGGATACCACGACCAGTATGCGCGCATCAAAACCGACAAAATCTTATCCATCGATAGCGCAGCGGATCGAGGAAATGTTCAAACATTTTATGTTCGTCAGTCGACAGCTTTGCCGCCTTCGCTCCATGTGTATCCGGAACACATTGTGCAGCTTCGCCATGGACCTGCTTTGGATCGAGGTTACAGACTCCTAGGAACCATGGGACGGCAGACATCCAACGCGTTGAGTATGACCTCTTCGTGGGACTGGGTTCCCGCAGGTATCCGAGTAGCTTTCCAAGTCCCAAAAGACGCAAACTGCTTGGCGGCAGTCATTGTCATCGCACGCATGGATGATACAAAATTGACTGTACTGTTGGGCTCATCTGCGGACCCGGGACAAGTTGCTTCTCATATACTCGATGGATGTGATGAGAAGAGGCCATTCGGTGAATGGGAAAGCTTCTTTCGGCCACAACCACCGGGCAACGTCAGCTATTTACAAGACGAACATGTCTGGACGAGCATTGTCTCAAGAGTTGTTGATGCACGCAAATATTTCGTCGTGGATATTGTTATTGAGAGGATTCCGTCCATTTTTTACGAGATAGTAGATGTACTTGAAGAAACACCACTGCGAGAGGCCTTGACCGTCGTTGATAGATTTGCTAGGGTAGACACAGCTACTTCAGAGTCACCCCTGGTAGAAAAGCTTCCGCCCAAGGCTGGTAGATTTAAAGGTATACTAGGTCGTCGAAACGCTTCCAAATAGTAAAAGTTGGAAGTGGTTAAGGTGTAGCATCTTACAAAAACTCGAATAAACTAGCTTTGAACATCCTATCAACGTAGAGCCTCAAATGAGATCCATGTCGCCCAGCTCAATCTGTACTTGGTCCAGATAAAAGAGCTTTTCTCGTGTATAATAGGTATGGGCGCGATGCGGCAGACCGGCATCTCGAAGAGAGAGAGACAGAGCTCTACACTACCTTCTCTAGACAACGGCATAGCCGGAGAACCCGTAGTCAATATTAATAGCCATTTTAATATTCGTCGAAGTTATTGAGCATCATACTGCTCTTAAAAGTGGAGATTTTGGGAATCCTTCGAAGTGTTCGTAATTCAATGACTCTTTTCTTTTGTGACTCAACATTCTGCAACTAGAGCCACAAAGTTCCAATTTCTTGACGCCTTTAAACTTGCGCAATTGCGCTAAAATTCAGCTAATACCACTATGTTATCTATCATATGACTACATGTATTTTTAAGATTGATTTTGGCTATTATTTCTCTGGCACACTCCTACTGTCATCCGCAAAACAGCACTAAAGCCCCGCCTCTACTACAGATTGAGCACGCCCGTCAATAATACACATTAACTCCCTTTAACAACTAACTTCGTAGAGAATTGTTTTATCTTCTTTAAATCTGTATTTTTACAACTGCCGTAAAGATTCAATACACACCAACCAACCATATAAATGTCTATTTATATACTGAAACTTTTCTCTCAGCCCATCTGCCGCGCCACCTTCTCACCAGTCTGCATGTCATCTTTGTGCTTAAGCACTTATCAGTCGCTATTCCCAGACAACATCCAGGCTGAGGATTTGGTCTATACAGATTGAACAAAATGTCACCGCCAAACGAAGAAGATGGGCAAACCTTTGCTCAGCAGATCCTTGACGAGTTAGCGCATACAGCCTATGCTTGTTCGGATTTGACGAAACTAAGCGGCGGAACAGCCAATTTCTTGTATCGCGGCACCCTTCTCAAGCCAATCGAAGGAGATGCAGACGACACAAGAGCAGCTCAAACTGTCGTCATTAAACACTCGACGGATTATGTTGCTGTCAACCGTAACTTTCCTCTCGATGTCACACGCTGTATTTTTGAAGAGTCTATGCTCCATGCTTTAGATGGAGTCAGTCACACCATCATTACTCATAGCGGCCCAGCAGTGGCTACGACACCGCGACTCTACATGTTTGATCGAGACACATACACTCAGGTTCATGAAGACTTTCTTGGTGCTACCGATCTTACGACCGTTTTGCTATCCGCCAATGTCGATCAGATACTGCCTGAGTCTAGTCGCCAATCCGTTGGCTATGCCATGGGTTCTTGGCTGCGCTTCTTTCACAAATGGGCTTCAGAGCCAGCCCAGGCTGCGCTTCGAGAAAGAGTAGGGCCTAACAACGGCATGCGTCAACTGAAATGTCTTATCACCTATGATAGCTTCATCGAGATTCTCGAACGCCATCCTGAGACTATAAAAGGCCATAGAGAGATCTTAGAAGCTGTCAGAACTACCATGAAATATGAGTTTGAGCAACCGCCAACAGATGGGGACGAGATCCGTGGGCTCATTCACGGAGACTTTTGGGCTGGCAAGTAAGTCAAAGCGCATCTCGAATTACTGCTCCGCACAAAAAGAAAATACTCTTTGCTTAAAACATTAAATCTAACCATGGTCTCTGTCGCTTCAACAACATAGTGTTCTACTCCCAGGTAGCTCGTGGCAGGAGGTCCAACAGTCTACCCAAGATCCTCATAAACTCTTCATCATCGACTGGGAGAACGCTCAGTTCGGTCATCGCGCTGTGGATATTGGTGGCATGCTGGCCGATCTCTACGAGCGCAAACACTTTAGAAACGTCGACGGTAGTATTCCCATTATACAGGGATTCATAGAGGGCTATGGTCCGCTGAGTGAGGAACTGGCATTTAGCGCTGCCATTCATGCTGGTGTGCATCTCATTTGCTGGTATTACCGACGAAACCGTAACGATCCTTTGCCATTCCCTTTGCCCAAGGTCCTGGCTGCCTTGACCTTGGGGAGAGATTTCATTCTCAAAGGGTGGGCTAAAGACAAGAAATGGTTTGAGGGTTCCGTTTTGGCGCCTCTATTTTCGGAAAATCAACAGTCCAGATAGAGTTATGCCCGCAATGTGTAATTAGCAGATACTATATTACATTGTCTAGATTTTTCTAGTCGCTCATCCTGAAAGCAACTCAGTGGCATATCAAAAGATATTATATAATCTACTAGCTCTTGTCTCAGTTTCGTCCGAGCTATGAAGGCTAACAGCCTTTGATGACATCACCGCAGCATTCGTCTCAAGAATTGATAGAGATGGCTTCAGTCGGAAGTGGGCAGTTCAACAAGCCTCCAGTGATGGGTTCTCCAATGTTGCCTGCCTCGCAGAAGTCAACACCTTCTCCAGTGCATTGAGCCTTGTAGCTGTGGCTATTGCTGAAGTGGTAGATGATGTTCATAATGTTGTCATCACCTCCGTTTACTTGAATGCTGTCGAGATGGCTGAAGCTCGACAGTGACCCACATGAGAAATCGTCTCCAAAAGCCTCAGTGAAGCCCTTGGTACCATCGATGTCCTGGGGGTCAACAGAGCAGGGTTACTGGTGCAGCTTTGAAGAAGTTTCGAACATGATAAACAAAAGGAATCATGTACAATAATGCCTCAAATTTGTAATGTTTCACACTCTACACAGGTTTTACTATTACTATTCACAAATAATTTTATACTAAGTAATAATATAACTCACATCCACTCTAGGCAGAGCGAACGGGCGCTTGTTCGGAGACATTCCGCCCTAGCTTTACGTTGGCTTGTTAGCGTTTTATTCGTTCGGCATCATGTAAACATATGAAAGACATATGGATTCTTAAAACTCGTCTTCAAGATTATTGAAGTGGAGGAGCACGTACCCACAACAGTTCCGGCCTGCCGGCGTGGCCGCAATTATCCAAGAAACCCTTCTCCTTTGCGATTAGGCTCATATCCAAGTCGGCATATACGATACCTTCTTCAGACGGTGGTAAGTCAGTTGTCAAGAGACGCCCATCGGGGCCGTAGATCCGAGCATTACCACCGCCAGGACGATTAAACAGAGGCGTTCCATCAACACCCAGCTTATCAATAGATGGCTGTGAAATTACAGAAGTGGAGTGGAGAGTAAAGCATTGAGCCTGCATCGAATATACGCTTGAGAAAGCCGCAACAGCTATCTCGTGTCAGCATAGTGTGAGACAGGTCAGAGCAAATTTACCTACCCTCATCTGCCATTGAGTATGGAGCCGGCCCTCCTGGATGAGGTGCGACAGGCGGCCAGGCAGAGCAGTGAATTTCTTCGCCCTGAGAGTACGTATTGTATACGATCAGTGGGTTAAAGTGGTCCTATAATAATAACTCCTTTAGAAAAGAGGTGTCGCAAAACTAAGGACGAAAAGAGCCTGCAAAGTACTTACAGCGCAAGAAAGCTGCCCAACTCTTCCAACGCCAGTTGTTGCAACATTGTTAAGAGAAGGGCCGTCTCCGTCTCCGAACAACGTACGCTCCATATGGACAGGTTTGAGTTTTCGCCTTGACATTACCAGCTCGCCGGCATTGTCAATAGTACACTGGCCAATGTATAAAGAGTTGCCTTTGCGCTCAGCATGACCGATACACACAACGATGTTGTTTTCAGCTGCGCAGGACTGCAGTTGCTTCATCTCTTCCGAGTTAATAGAGAGGGAGTTCTCAGCGTAGCGAATGTTCATGTCGAAGTCCATGGCGCGTACCCTTGTCCTTGCGTTAGCATAGGCTTCTTTCCTTGTCAAGAAGTGAATACATACCAGATCCATACTGGATATCCTGGAACAAATGCTTCAGGAAATGCAATAATTTGAGCGCTGTTTGAGGCTGCTTCCTTGATTAGACTGCATGTCTTTGCGACAGTAGCCTTTAGGTCAAACCACACAGGCTCTGCTTGGACTACTGCCGCTTTCACAATCCTGGGTGTTGAAGACATAATCTGTGTAGACTGTTGATGATGTGTGTATAGGCAACTGGGAAGATAGCTGCAAAGGGGTATGGTTTGCCATATTTATACAGCTCAGGCGAGCCACCCTGTGTGGTCCACGAATTTACTAAAGAAATAGCCTCGTAGCTACAGAATACTAGTAAGCTGACATCGATCATTTTTGGATACAGATTGCTAAGCTATCTGCTTCAAAGTATAGGATATGAACATGATAGTGTATACTTGATGCGTAAATGACAGACCATGCGGTCTTGTGCTTACAGGTGGCTTAGAGCGGTGGTTGTTAATAGTGTTTTCAAAGCTCGGCGCCATTAATCGAGTAGTGAGGGGCGTAGACCCACCATCAGCTTCGCACCATCTCTGCTTTAAGAAATGCGTATTCCGCAACCAATCAGAGTTTTGATTGCATGTTCAACCTCTTACGTTTCCATGCTTCCTACCCACTATTTACAAATAAGCATAGGAGATCCGAAATCCAAATGATTATCCTTTTAGTAACAGCACTTGCGGTTCATTGAACCGCGCCGATATTGCTCAATTACACTCATTCCTCAAAGTGATGAATTCAGTGATCTGGCTGAGTTGGCATACTCAGGGACACCAGCCCCGGGGTTCTTGCAAGTATGTAGAGAATTCTGAATGGATTAACCAGTTGTGCTTTCAGGGAGGAGCCACTCCAAATGTACACGAAACCTATGTGAAATATCTGCATTGAGACACAATTTATAGCCGGCATGGCTGGAATTTCGAAAGACTATAGATCCTGGTTCAACTTGAGATTCGAGCACTTCAATCGCGGCGGCACCAGTTATGCCTTCTGGAAAGTTAACAACTGCGCAGGCTGCAGGCTATTCATGACACTGACTCATTCTACAAACATACTCCGTAGTTTTAGACTAAGTCCTACCCATTCTAGAATCTTGGCATTGAGAAAAGGCATGTGGTTGAGTAGCCCTACACGCTGTCTAAAGACAATCTCAATGAAGAGGAATACTTTTTTTTTATACAAAACTTGATCAAAACAGAATTGGCCTATCAATCTGTGGTCTGTTGTTGTCATATCAATTAGCTTCTTTGCAGACTTTAACCAAGTAACTGCTAGAAGGGTGAATTGGGCATATGCTGACCTGGGAAGGGAAGATGTGGCTCAACTGTTGCTCGATAACGGTGCAGAGATTAATCTCGCCCAGCCAGTTTTACAACATCATAATTGCTATATGATATCGCGAGTGGCATATCACCAGATCATCTCATGCTTAAGGTCAACATCATCGTCTACAGCCGCAGCGAAGTGATGGTAATTTTATTATAGGCGATTTATACATTGTGCACAATTGTATATTGTATCCGAAGAAAGAAATGATACAATAACTATAACATAGTGCTAAATCGACATGCTTATTGACATGCTATGCTAGTGTAATATGGCCGGAGGGCCAGAGAGTTGAGACGAAATCAGAGGTCTTTAGGAGTCGCATTATACATTCCTGTGGAGCTAGATATTCTACTTTATTTACATTTCCAAGTCTGAGCGAAGTATTTTGCATCGTTTCTCTTTCTGTATTCCATCGTAGTCAGAGGTGACAGGAGTAAACACAATGCTCAGACTCGAATAATCGGTATTCCATGATGCACTAGTCCACCGATATCGACCGCTCGCTGGAATTTGGCCTGTAGCATCTCGACTCTGTTCCTCCAAAGCCATAAGCCGGCGCCTCGCCAGTAAACTAGCCTTGGTATCCCAATTAAATGAGGACGACGTCATCTTCTCGAAGCTGTCTAATGCGTCAGAGCGGATGGCTTTATCTCTGCATTTTTGTGACACAAAGTTCAAGATCGGAAGGGTATAAATGTCCAGCGCAGTTTCGAGGTGCGAAAATTGCTTCAATGCCCCTCCGAGAGAGCAGGCCGTAGAGGCAATCTCCCGAAATTTAGAGTTGAACTGATCGTATGCCATTTCTGTTGCATCGAAACAACAGCTCATAAGGATAAATACAGCCTTTTGACCCATATAAAACGTGTTTAAGAACTGGCATACGATGGGGGTTTTCTCCGTCTCCAGTTTCAGCAGAATAGCTGATTCCCAGTCCTGAAGTCGTTCAAGGAAGATGGCCCGATGGGCGAAGTGGAGCTCGAAATCACCTGTATGGTTACCAAATTGATGCATTTGCATGGCCTTGACAACGAATATGACTGCCCGCGTGATGAAGCTATTCCACGTGGCTCCAAATTCATGCATATCGGTATCAGCCCCTGGAACGCCACCAGAGATTGGCCGTGATTGCAATCTGGACCAGCAGGCTTTCTGCATTGGGAAAAATGGCGAGTTCAGACTGAGAAATATTTGGAATCGGGGTAAAATTCGTTCAGCTTGATCCAGCCCCTCGTCATTAGAAGGCGCAACATAAGTGTGAACTCCCTGTTCATGGGATTGCGAGTTTATCTCATTTGCGAGTTGGTCATGTTTCTGTTTTAATAGTTCGACGCTGCTTGTCAGCAACCGATCCGCGCCTTTGGTGTTTCCGATCAAAAGCTCAAAGAGAAATAGCAAAAACATGTTGATTAGCACGTTCCTGCGTGAAATGGTGTGAAACTCCTGTCGCATCCTCATATGGAGAGTGGTGGTGGCTTTGTCATGGTATGCTATAGCAACCTGATGTGCACTGCTACCACGCCCCTCGAGCAGCTTCACTGTTGGCTCGGGGTTTGGAGAGCGCAACGACAGCATCAAAGCCCCGATACTCAAAACAGACCACCGCACACACTCGTCTCCCATGGATTCTCTGGGTATGACACGGTTCCAGAACTTGGTGCATGGAGTGTATGAAAAGTCCTGGAGCATCTGGGCTCTAAACATGTCAAAGTATAGAGCCTCGTCGGCTTCTAGATAGCTCACCCTTGGGCGAAAATGGAGAGCTCCTGCGGTAACTGCATCAAGTGCCGCCTGTCTCGGAAGAATTGATCTCTTATGGGGCGTGATGCCACCATGCTGCTTCTCTTTGGGCACATCATAGTGGCAATCTCGCGCAGACTTCTTGCATTGACTGCATATCGGCTTCTGCTCGTTGCATTTCCGGTGCCTGAGTTTACACTTTAGACCAGGTAGGTTAGCAAAGCTACATGTACCATGCAACTAGGTTAAGAAACGATCAACCATCAAGACGTAGTAATAGTTCAATGCTTTCTACCCACTTGGACAGCAGGTATACTTCATTAAACAGTTGTTGGAAGTCATATGCAGGTTGCTTTGTGAGGTACATATACATGTATACATACCGGTATGCAGCCAGCACGGCTCTTGGGCTTACCCACGCGCGTATGCTTCTTACCAAGGATGTTGCGCGGCAGCGAGTTGACGAGCGCTGTAGAGGGAATCATGGTGTTGTGCCCGGCTCAACAGCCAAGCCGATTGCACCGAAAAGTGATGCAAGAGGGAACTCACTAGATGCAGACGTCGAGGGACAAGCGATTGGGAAAGAATACGCCGAGCCATAAGGGGTACTAGCCGGTATTTTAGTGCGAATGTAGAGCTTACATGCACTAAAATAGTCAAGTTGGGGTTGACTCAGTGGCCATGACAGGAGAATATTGTATGGAGTGGTGTTTACTAAACAACTAGACGGCTACGTATAGGTTAAAATCGCCATTCTGTTTTGACAAGGTGCTTATTATGGACCTTAGAAAGCTGAGAGCTGTCCATTTCAGCGACATGTTCTATAGAGAGCTGATGGGATATTTAAAGTCTCTCGGAGCAAGAGAAAGCCAAACCTTAACAGGTAATATTAGCGTCCCCGCATATGAACATGGCGTTGAACTTGTGTCGGGTTATGAGGCTTGTTAGCGGATCGCTACGGGCGAACCCAAATGAATGAATTCATAAGTTCACAAAGGTAATGTTACGAAATCGTAGATAAGTATTATCGCAACTCAGTGATCACAACACATATACCTATAAACAGTAAGAATATAGCTCTATGTCGTCCATAAGGCAGTTGTGTCAGGCCAAGTACGGCGTAGCCTTGCATCTACCATATGCCGCTTACCCTATTGATCTTGAACACTCGTTTTTGTTTGATGAAATCGGGTGTTCCACTGCTGCTGGGTCGGACTACCTGAATATAATAAGGAAAAGAGGCCAGCATGCAATTTACCTCTTCAACACAACTAAGTTGGGGTCACATTGGCTAATTTCACTGAATGTCTTCATATGAAGCAGCCGGGCCTACGTTTTTGACCTCGAAAACTGTTGATAATTTCTCAAGCAGCAGAAACATGAAATACACTCGCCCATTATTGACCAAGCAAGCTGGTGTGGCTACTGTGAGTACCAAATTCCAACCTAACCAATGTCTCTGTTTTCAGGAAGAATAAAATCTCTACTCAAATCTTGACATGCTGTATCGATCGTCTTCTCCAAAAGGTAGAGGCTGCAGTCAGCAGAGCGGCCCCGCCGCTCAGCCTGGACACGCGCCCATCAAGTCATGTCTATGCACCTACCACAGGTGTGTATCTATCCTACAAAACGCTCAGGCGCGTGTCAAGAAACGTATACCAGCAAGGTCTTATGATGCTCCCAATCAGCCAAGATTGCTGTTCAATAACGCTGTCTGATAGGGCTGTAGTGGGTATTTCACTTGGGTTGCTTTCGGGACCATATTGAGCCGTGTACACTGGAACAGGTCGCACAAACGTGTGCTGGCAAGGTCAGCTATGCAAGGGGCTGTGGCAGTGCATGCCAAGGCAGAACTTTATGCGGCTCCAATTCACCAGGTTACGTGAAAAAAAGTTCTTTTTTTCTTCTTTTTCTTGGTATCAGTTATTTCCGTTGATAATACTGCTGCCGTATAGCATATCTCTGCCTCGCCAAAGCTTCAAAACTTTGCCTTATTTTGATAGCGATGCCAATGAATGGCTCAAGGACCTGAATCGTCTCCTTCCAATCGGTCTAATTAAGGATGCAGATGCTCGACCAATGAAATCACGAAGGGACCTCAGTTGCGTTGTACTGATGAGGCTGTATCTCAGGCGGATGATTAGGCACTCTTGATAAATACAATGCGGGCTGTGTTACCATCGATGAGGCGGTGAGCGGTGAGAAAAAAAAGGTTTTCTCTAGCTCACGGTTTTTGTTTATTTATATCATCTTGCTGGCCCTCTCGACAGTCGTTTCGTAGTGACCATATGTGGTCATGAATTCGAGAGAGACGATGCAGCGCATACCGAATTCGCATAGCTCTGACGCAGCAAAGCGCCATATTGATCTGGACGACGATGTTGATCGTCATGCGATATCCAAGAGGATGCGCCTACAGCCTGAGCATACGCAGGAAGAAGCATCATTACCATCCGGAAAGCAACAAGAATGCTATAGCGATTTGATCTTCAGCATAAACCTTCCGGCTGCAACAACTGAAGACGCCAACACGACCCAATTTGAGAATCAAATGGACACAAGTGGGGATGAAACACCTCATTCTTTCCAAGAAGAGTCACTGCCAAGCAAGTTTTTAAGATCCGAAATAGACGTGCGATCTGTTAACATACAATTCGTATAAGTTGCAGTTACTCCAGATTCTTGCGACGGCATGTCGACCACTCCGGCCACTGTGTTGGCAACAAACGATGGAGCTGAGCCTGATACTTGCTTTGGCGTTGTAGGGTATACCCTCTGCGTTTTTTCCATGCCTCTTCCCTAACTTTAAATTTCAACAGATTATTGCAACAGCAACATCTTCTCTTCAATACGAAAAAGGCACAACACAGGTTCCAGTAACCCTCAACGCTGGAGATACAAAAATAATTGTCAAGTCTCAATACGATCAAAAATATGTCGGAATTATCAACAACGCCATACTAAGCAGGCTACTTCGGGAATTCACTCTCAAGGCTGATGCCAAATTGATAGTACCAAAAGCTTTGCGAAAGAAGGCTTCAAAGAGCTCAAAGAAATTGACTACCTTTGTCTACTCACCCACAAATTGCGACATTCGGATCGTCTTATGTGGATTTTCCACTGACCAAATCGCTATTGGGAATGTTCTTGCGGATGCTGGCTTTTATTTCCAACATCCGTCATCTTTGGAGTATGGTAGCAAGATGCAGTATTGCAACCCTCACTACCTTCTTCGACCAGGGTCCCAAATGCCAGCACTAGAAACATTCGTAGAAACTAACAGCGACAGAAGAATGGAGCAAAAGTTGCTTGATGAATCAACCAAAGGACGATTTATGAATCTCTTTGATGAAGCTGGCGATATCGATACGAAAACAACTGCAGAGCCTAGTAGTCGCCTCAAATCGACAATGAAAGAGTAAGTAATTCATTGGATGACAAATATTCTGAGCATTTTTATACTAATATTAACAGACATCAGATTTCCGCACTTACATGGATGATTGGGGTTGAAGCTGGGACTATAAGAGATGGGTTCCCCTCACTATGGGAACTTTCGTCGGATTCAAGCTCAAACAAGTAGCATATTGTCACCTCACAGCCTATATGATCAACTGCTGACATTTATTATCAAGGTATCGGCATAAAATCACAGGAAGTCTGGTAGCTCGCCCAGAACTAGCGCCTGGTGGCGTTTTAGCAGATGTAAGTGAGAAAGGAGTGCCATTAAGAATGACGATAGTCGCTAATTATAATTTAGGAGATGGGGCTGGGAAAAACTCTTAGCATGTTAGCTTTAATATGTTCAACTTTGGACGCCATGGAGACCGAAAAAAATGAAAGCGAAGAGATGCTACCCAGACAATCCCGGACAACGCTCATTGTCACACCAAAGACAAGTAAGCAACATTGTGTGTTTGCTATTCTCTCAGTGTGCTCACCTCTCGCTAGCCATACATAGCTGGCAGCAACAATGCGAAAGGTTCGTCAGCATTTCATGTTCAACTAACAATTATTAATGAAATCCAGTCACATCCATCAAGGAAAGATAAAAACTGCCGTATGTCTAGGCTCAGACCGGAAGAAGTCGCGCAACGAACTTCAAAGCTCAGATATAGTTTTCACCACTTACGAAACGATGAGGCGAGATTGGGCAGAGAAAGGTCCTTTGTTTACCCATTCATGGTATCGTGTTATTCTTGATGAGGGCATGTGTAAAAATTGAGGCACCATCAAGCTATAAGTGAAAGTTTTGCTAACAATTTAATGTTAGCACACCATATCAGAACTAGAAAGTCGCAAACGTTTGAAGCTGCATGTGAACTTCAGGCTTGGTACCGATGGTGTTTAACTGGGACACCAATTCATAATTGTGTTGACGACTTTGCCGCACTTCTGAGCTTTATTCGTGTGCCGTTGTTTGCGAATAAAAAAACGTTTGACTTTTGGATAACAACGCCAATTAGGGAGAAAAGCTCATACGGCCTGCAAAGGCTAAGTCTTTTGATTAAGAACACATGCCTACGCCGTACGAAGAAGTCAACAGAGTTGTCAGATCAGCTCCCTAATCGACGAGAAGAAACAGTGTGGGTAGAGCTGTTACCAAGAGATCGTGATTTGCATAGCTTTTTTTACAAGGAGGCAGCCAAGATTGCATCAGGTTTCTACCGACATAAGACTGAGAATTCGACCTCAAATTATCCGACCAGCAATATTCTGAAGTTGATCATTTTCCTTCGTTTGATCTGCAATCATGGAGAGAAGCTTCTTCCTCCATTAGCTGTTGGCGCTTGGAAAGCAGCAGAAGGCAACGCTTTTGACTGGCAAATAGTCCAGGATTTTCAGCAGTCATGTGAAATTTGTGATCTGGAAATCAGCGACCCCGAGAACCAGTCTGTAATGAGCCTCGACATGTCATTTCCACAGGTCATATGCCGAGCATGTCTCGCCAGTACTGGAAAAATCGAGCATAGGAATTATTCAACAGACTTGACTCGTTCCATATCTATCCCGAGTGGGGATACCGGAGAATCATACTCTACAAGTAAAATACAAACAGGGCAACATTCATCCAAGCTTTCGGCTTTGATCGATAACCTTCGCCAAGAGCAGTCTTGTTCCGACCGATACAATCCAATTCAACCCATTAAAAGGTAGAGAAGACTCAAAATGCCCTTTATCCAACCACGAGCTTGCTAACAACTTACAACAGTGTCGTTTTCAGCTCTTGGACGAAAATGATAGGTCTAACTCAGCAGTGCCTCGAGGCCAATGGTTTTGTTTGTGCACGGATTGATGGTCAACTAAGCCTAGAAAGACGAATGATGGCGATGAAACAGTTTAATTCGGACCCTAGATGCACTGTTATGCTTGCCACTATAGGTAGCGCTGGTGAAGGGTAAGTTTCTTACACAGACATGCTCTCGCAGCACTGCAGAGCTCTATGTATTAACAAATACACCAATAGGGTCGACTTCACAGCTGCCAACAACGTACACTTGCTGGAGCCGCACTGGAATCCGATGATAGAGTCTCAGGCCGTTAATCGAGTCCATAGAATAGGACAGTCGCGAGAGGTTCGTATAACCAGGTATATCACGAAAGATACAATAGAAACGGTGAGCGACTTTCTTAAAGCGTTCCCAGCTCATATTATTCAACGCTTTTGATGCATACATACACCAATACTAATACAACCAGTATGTGCAATCGAGACAACAAGACAAGCTTAAACTTATTCAACAGTCACTGAGCTCTGAAGAATCTTCTCAAGCGGACGTTGATGACAAACAATGGAAGGTTAGCAATTAAACATTTGATTGCCTCACAAGAACATTGGCTGATAAGCATAGAAACTGTGTGATTGGTTCAAATGTAAGACTTAATAGACTTACAGGAATCGGGACAAGTGGGATGTATGAAGTTGTACAACTCAATTAGGTCTTTACTGTGTACAACTGAAACGGGGGGAAGCTTAAAAGCTTATGCAGGGCTTGAAATTTTGAGTAGGTGTTAATCTTAGCTTAATAAACCCTTTTCGACTTATTGGGACTCTAAGCAAGACATCAAGGCCACTGAATTCCCCTTTCCCTATCTTCCTTAGCCTTTTGGACCAATTCATCCCAGGAAACACCAAGCCACTTTAATGTAATGCCAGGATCTCTCGAACTGACAAGTCCCCTACTAGCGTTAGGATCTGCTCCCTGATATAGCAGAAATTTTGTGTAATCTGCAGCTTCAGCAGAGTCTGTGTAAGAGGCAGAAGCGAGTGCCGTAAAACTGTTTTTATTTTGTGTCCAATCTACAATAGCGCCGTGTTGGATTAATACTTGCGCGAGTCGTATAGAGCATGTTGTTACCGCAATAGTAATTAGTAATCGGGAAATTTTCGCAGACGGTACATTGGCAAGACCATGGGTCGACCATGCGTTGATAAGATAGTCCTCCCGATCTGAACATCGTGCAGTTGCTTTGATCATGTCGGGTTCCAAATATATCGATAAAAGAGGGTGGTGTTTTTCCACATTATACTCAACCACAAAACGCTCAATGGTCCGAATCAGTTCCATCGATCCTGTTGCAACCGAATGAACCAGAAGCTTATTAATGTTATAATAGATATTCAAACTTTCATCTCTGAGCCTTTGTACAATCTTGCTGGCATTGTCCGACATGAGAAACGTCAAGAACTCGAGCTTTTGTGCATCTATGCAAGCGAGCAGGAACTGATGTAGTATGTCGGTATTGATATATTTCTCGGCTCTTTCATATATCAACCTCGTCATTGCTTCAGTTCCGGACTGTGCAACAAGGTTTAGCAATTCCTCCTTACGCTCGTCCGGAAGCTGTTCGAAAAAGGGTGGCAGCTTTTCGATAAGTTTTACATTGTCAGTTGAAACAAGGTCGAACAGAAAATGTTGAAGCCCATCAGTATCCACATTGGGTAGCAATGTCTCGTTACTCGGCTCATCAGCTTCGGATTTTGCGTTATGGAAGTTCAAGTGCTTGTCTCTCATAGCTTTGGATAGAAACCCGATCTTCGAGTATTGGCATGAGGGAACATCGCATTTCCAAGCGCCATCGTGACATTTTCTGTGCGAGCCTCTGACGGATGGAGTTTCAAATCCATGCTGGTAAAACGAGCAAGAAAAGAAGTCGCATTTATACAATCGCTGGCCGTAATGCCAACTCAAAGTTGAGCATAAGCATTGATCAGGATGTTGCTGCGGGTCACACTGGTATTGATCGAATTGTGTATACAGCATCTTTGAGATAGTTGACGTAGTAACGGGACTCAGACCAATCCAATAGTGGTCTAGATAGGCTGTCAATATATAGTCAGAAACACGAGGAAGCTGGATAGTTCACCTTCTTCGAGATTGTAAAGGGACGATGAGGATTTCTGTTGGAATTGTGCAAAGCTCTGAAGTAAGCCAAAAAGGTTTGGATCGTGAGATCTGATTCGCTGTAGCTCCGATGGATACTGCTCCTCCTTCAATTCTTCGTGCCCATAACATTCTGGCTTGCCTCTCTCGTTGCAGAACTTGGTGAGGGCGGCGATCAACTCTTCCGATATGTCTGTATATCGAGTCAAACGCAGATATTGGATTGTCAGATTGAGCCAAGTGTTTGCAGCGTAATAATGCAGTCTGTAATTGCCCCTTTCTATGCCCATTTTGACATCCTCATTGCTAATATCGGGAGAATGGTGATCCTGGCACAGGTATTGTACACAGCAAATTGTAAGGCTTAGGGTCGCTTCGATTGGATCAATGTAATATTCAACTCTATGGCGACTGTGTATATATCTATTGCAATAGCGGTCAGCCTAAGATTCCAGAGAGATTAGTGGATAACTCACTCTTTGACGGTGAAATGTACAAATTGAAGGTGGTCGCCCACAACCTCAATTATGGGACCACAAAGGCGAATGAAGTTCAGTCGTGAAGAGACTCTGTATGTACCACTGATGGTCACTACCAGAGCTTGCTCCAGCTCTGGTAATGTTAGAGGAGTAGGTGAGCAACTGATCCAACCGAGAATAAGTCTACACTTCTTTTTAATAACGTTAGACTTATTCTCAATTTTTGCGAACACTCTCTCGTATCTGCAAATCCATCAGCTTTCCACACGCTAATAATCATAGGAAATCCATACGCTTCATCTAGACTCTCTGGAAGCACCCTGAGTTCGTCGCGAATCTCATCCACATTGTCTAGCTCTTCTATGCTGTTTAGCACGATCCTGGCGTAAAGAAACATTCCTATTAAACAGTAAGCAATGGCCGCTAGTATTGCGAGCATGACAAGTACCCTTCGCTTTTAAAGCCAGCGGCTTAAAGAGGTCTTCAATCTCTGATTTGTCTGCGGGTAAAAAGTCGCGAGCTGAAAACCAGTCTTTCGCCCAGTTATCGATGAATGTTTGGATACTTGTCATATTGTGTGTATCCACCCGAATTGTTGATGATATTTGGCTAAGAATTGCCGAGATATCGTGCTCAGCTCGACTGCTTATGAACAAACGAGTCTTCGTGCAGACTGTAGTTATATCGCAAAGGTTCTTAAGGAGCCTCGCTCTTTCGAAGCTCTCAATCTCATCAACTCCATCAACGATGATGCTAACCGGATCAGTAGAGTTAAGTAGCGTCTGCATGACTCCAACAGCAACTTCAAGGTTATTGCTTAACCGTTTTCTACTCGAGCCACAAAGAACTGCTTGAAGACGTTCATCTTCTGAAGCCAACTGAAATATTAAAGAATGCATAACTGACAATGCGGAAGTTGTGTTCTTGTTGGTATGGCTGATGAAAGCGAATATAGTCTTGGTCGAAGTAACGTAGTCAATGGCCATACTGGCTAGGTGAGTTTTCCCTGTCCAGCCTTTAGTACCGTATGGTAGAATGATAGTGAAAGAGTAGAGTTTGCAAACCTGCTCCTGGGATACCACATAGCCATAGCATCCTTGTTGAGTCATCATCCACGTCTAGCCACTTCTTGAAATCACTGTCTTGTTTCAGCCAATTTCCCGTTCCCGCGCATACTTGACCTCGTATCCGATACAGATCAGCACCATATGACTGAGGAGATATATCAGTCTTAATGACATTATATTCTTGACGCATGTTACTCTTTTGCGTTGCCTTAAAATGGGCAGAAGCGCGTTGTCTGTGCTCATACTCTTCCCGGATATGTTCCAAGGTAACTTTGGTCCTCATTAAATTTGTGCTTCGCCCAATGTTGTCGATTATGAGTTTTATTCTGTCTTTCTGTGATGGCCATACGGCCTCGAACATGAATCGCCAGTCTGTTGTTGTCCAGTCGTCAGCTCACTTTTGCTACTTTTATGCCAGGCTTGTGACGTACGAGGGGATGTAAAAAACTTTAGAGTCACAGCGTAGAAATCGAGGATATCTCTGAAAAATAGGACAAGGACGTCTTTTATGTGTTCATTATAGCCGAACATTGTAGCCATGAGTTTGAAATCGGGCAACAAGCTACCGATTTCGGCTGCTGTATTGATAATGGCGTCCATGGACTGGGTTAGTGAAGCCGTCCATTGAATAAGCAACTTGATTGGACCCCAAATCAGCGCAAGCACATCAGGCTTGACTTGGATGAAGGTATCGATAACGTCTGCATAGCTTCGGAGCCCTTCAAGAAAAGGTCTAATCTTCGAGAGGTTCCGAATTCGTCCCTGTTTCCCTAGCTCAATTTGAAGCGCATCCGTTTTATCATAGACCTCGTCGATGGATTTTGTTTTCAGGATATCGGCGTACAATTGATCGTTCTTGAGCTTGGACTTGAACTGGCGAACGGCTTCCGTAAATGCCAGCTGGATGGGGGTGAGATCAGGCACCGTCGCCATAATTCCCTGCCAATCTGCTTTGCTCGTCTAAATGAAGAGCTTCAGATTGAATATTAGTCGTACCGACGTTGTATTAGGCAAGTGAAGAGATATAAATAATGCAACATGTACCATGAGAAGATTCTCAACAAATCTGGACCCTGGCTATGAGAATTAATGCCCAATTCTCTTGACCGACATTTCATCTATAGCAGGCTGGGCAACAATGTGACATTGTTAGGCAGACTTGGGGGCTGAGTTGGAGAACAACTGCCATTGGTGAAAAGCTCCAGGAGGATCGCCTTGGTGTAACTCGCCATGCAGGCGCAGCCAGCACACACAGCCTTAATTAATGGGAAATTTGAAGTTCCACTGACTCCTGTATTCCAAACCGGTCTAATTTTCCGCCGATTCAATGTCTGGCAGCCTTATCTTTTGAGGCGACCGATAAACCCAATATAATCTATTATGTTGAATGAAGTGATCGCGTATGCTCCAGCAATATGAAGAAGACAAAGAATAGTAACTGGCACTGGAGATGCAGGATTTATTAAGCCATTATAGTGCTAGTAGACTTCAGAAGGTAACCGGGTCTAAAATAAACTATGACATTAGGAGAGCATCTTGGAATGCAATTTAATATATTTTTTATAAGATGATCTTCTTGGGTGGGCGATTCTCTCTCAACCAGACAAGCTAGCGATTCAAAAATCTTATAATCTCTCCAAATTAGTAATTCTGGAAAGGCGAAAATAATATTTCAATCAACTAGAGATATCAACGTTAGTAATATTCAGTGCAGTGGGAGAACAGTAAAAGAGACAGCGTGAGAGTCTTACCCATTGATCAACATTCTTCTCATTGGCCTTATACTCTGAGAACTTTTCGTCTAGTCTCTCTAAGAAAAGTCAGTATAGATGATAAGCACATATACGATTTTGTTTGAAAAGCCTACCTGAAGTGACGAATGTTGTTCGGGAAAGGTCTTGATTATTTCTAAGGGATTCTAGAAATTTCGTAGCAGACTTTGCTGTCCCTATCTGACCAATCATAAATTTCACAGCTATTATTAAAATTATTAGTCGGAAATAAATAAGACGAAATATGCAAAGGCTTGTATGTAACATACTTTGAGGAGGGTAGTCGTTTTTCTGTAGCTGCCGTTCGCATTCTAGAATGGCATTAACAAGCATAGACGGATCTTCAGGCTCTGGCATGCCATCAGTAATAATAATAATCAGTAGCGGTCGCTCAAGTGTCCTGTTCTTAATCTTTTCATATACTAGCGGTTGGAGAATCTTGGACTGTAGGTTTGTTCCAATGGGGGTGTCGCCGCCAGGCTGCCAGGTCATGGGCTTCAGGATATCCCTAATTCCCTCAAGAGTCAGGTTGGTAGCATTGTCGACGTCTCTATTAATAAAGCGCAGTGCAACACCCTCGCCCTCTGGGAGAACCAAGGTGGTCACCTGAGTGATGCGCTGGATGAGTTCTTTCTGGCTTTCCCAGCGCCCTTCGCGCTTCATCGAGGTGCTATCATCTGTGGATATCGCGGTTAGACAAAAGATGGTACGTGAAGCACCGGTTTGGTGTTTTAGGATAACTTGCCACAGTAGATGACTTGCTGGTATAAGGATACTTGGATCCTTTTTTGCAGTAGCTCTTTACCCCCGAGATCGTTGGCAGGACTTTCCTCCAGGCTCGCAACTTTCTTAGCAAAGTTCTGGATAAAGTCTTTCTTCCCCTTGAAGAAACGTTCTAGGAGTTGGCGGTTCTCAAGATACTGGCCAATATTTTCCACAAATTCTTCTTGGGTCGGCTCTTCACCTTCATTTATTATCTTGTTCCAAATTAATACACCAGTTCATCATTGACTGACCCATGAACTCCACTCACTTTGTCTATATCTTCGTTTGACTCCGTATTTGCTTTTGGTACCATGAAGAGAGCCCCCTTCACAGTCTTTTTCACCCAATCCACAATGTAGAGCAATAAATCAACAACCTTGGAAGCGAGTAATCCAATGGCTGCTTTTTCTTCGTTCACGTCAAGTGCAAGAGAGATGGCAGGATTATTTGTATACCTGGCCATCTGCTCTGCTGTTAATCCCTCTTTATTTTTTATATCCACGGAAGCTTTGGCTTTTCGCAATAGTCTGATTGATTCAAGATCTTTGTTTTCAATTGCGAACATTAATGGCGTCTTCAAACCCGCGACATCACAGGTCGAATCAACAGAGCTCGGAGAAATCTTTTTCAGCAGTAGCTGGATGAGTCGAGCCCGTTCTTTTTTGGCCTTCCATGCAGCGAGGAGAAGGGGGGTCTCTTTATCTCTAGAGAGGCCATCAGCCTTGGCCCCTTTCCCAAGGAGTTCTTCAACTTCGTCCGGGAATCCTTCAGTAACGGCTATCGCCAGTGGTGTCAAACCCGACTCAGAGTTCTGCTCCTCAAGGATATCTTGGTTGTTCTTGATGTAACTGTCAAGGACATTTCCAACGAGAATTCCCTGTTTAGCATCCGCGTGGATTGACATGATGATAGCCCGAAAATTGTTAAACAAAGTATTTAGAGAATCCTAGCAATCGAGTGCTTGTTGACTTAATTGCTCTTTATTTCTCGTGGGAAAATTTGACACTTATAAGCTGCCGATACAAGGACTCCGAGCTTACTCCCAGCCGATGGTAGCTTACAGTACAGTGAATCTTACAAGACACTGTGTTGGGCAGTATTGCGGCTCAAGCTGTCCGCAGTGTGATTGTGTATATCCAATCGAATTTATGAACTCCAAAGTCATAGCTAGCGGGGTAGACCTCCGGCCAAACAAAGACGCACATTCTGTTCTTTGAATTTATAGAAAGCAGCTGAAAATGGCACTATAAAAAGCTAATATGCATGCCTATCCTATCAACGATGTTCAAAAAGCCCACTTCCTCTCCATTGGTTCAAATCATGCATGTGAGGGAACCTTTACGAAGTAAAGGGCTGTGTCGGGCACCATTGCGGCTTCAGTTGCCGCGGGTTGCCGCAGGTTGCTTTGATCTATCCAATTAAATGTTGAAACGTTTTAATGGAAACTGTCGCTAACCAAGAAGAGGTGCATATTCTTGCTCGTGGGCTTTTGAAGCCAGCTGAAAGCAATTGGTGGTGGCCGATGCGCGTGCCTGCTCTCAATGATTTGTCAAAGCTCACATCCTGTATCCGTTGAAGCCGCGCGTGCAAGGGAGAATATGAAAAGTGATGTATGCGGGGTTTTAATATTGATTGTACGAGAATATGAACGATATAACTCTTCAGCACCTTAGCTGAGATTGGCATTCACATCGTTCAGAATTGCTTCGAGTATATGCTTACACATGTATTGATCTCAGTATGCGGGCTTCCCTACGCTTACTTAGCTCGAGGGCGGCACAGCTCTTCAAATCATTGGATGTCCCAGTCCTTGAGCCTGGACAGGCTGAGTACGACCGTGCAATCGCGACTTCGAACCGTCTGTTTCGCTTCTCTAGACCCGATTGCGTGGTTCAGCCGGAAACAGCAAAGCACGTTCAGGCTATCGTTAGAGAAGCAGCGTCAAAGAATATCGATCTCACTATCAAGTGCAATGGTCACTCTTATGCGGGTCACTCTACTGCCATGAAAGGCGTCTCGCTTGACCTAAGAAGAATGAGGGACGTTAATCTTGATATGAATTCCAATATTGTCACTATGGATGCCGGCTGCCAATGGGGTCGGGTCTATGAGACACTCATAAATGGGAGACATAACGGATACATTATAAACGGCGGACGCTGTCCTACTGTAGGAGTGAGCGGATTTATTCTTGGGGGAGGTCTTGGCCCTTTTACCCGAAGCTTTGGAATGGGCTGCGATACTTTAGCCGAAGCGACGGTAGTTACAGCGGATGGGGATTTGGTAACAGTTAAAGAGAGTGATGATAGGAACTCCAGAGAGGGAAAGCTCTTTTGGGCTCTCCAGGGAGCAGGCGGTGGCAACTTTGGTGTTGTGGTCCAGATGAAGCTAAAAGTTCAGAAACTACAAAACCTTGAAGGTACGGTAGTCGCAGGTAGGTACCAATGGTCGCTAGGTGAAGATGGACCATCCAAGGAAGTCATTGAAACAATGAACATATTCTACACATTCGACTGGCCCAATAGTATCACTATTGACAGTACCTGGGCGTGTGATCTCCGGCAAAATAAAAAAGAAGATGCAATTCGGTTCAACATCTCATTTGATGGCAGCAGACTCAAGTACGAAAGGGTTATCAACAAGCTCACCAAGAAGAACAAGGATGAAATGCCTGAAGTGCATGAAATGCTTGAAAATCTCAAATCTGCATTCAAGCGAAGAGCACTACCCGAGAAATCGACACGTTTTCTTTACGAGACTCTTGTGAATCAATGGCTGGAGGAGACTGAACGATCTTATCCAACCAATCAATCCTATGAACTTTACAGCTCCTTTGTGTTCAGGAATGATAAAGAAACTATTCAAAATGTCACTATCGCGATTAGCAAATTGATGGGAGAATTTCGACAGGAGTTTAAAGGAGAGGAAGTAAACTTCCTCGTCACCTGGATTCATTCTGGCGGCAAAGCAACAGAAAAGAAGCCAACCGACTCCGCATTTTTCTGGCGCGAAGCCGTTTTCCACACATATGTCACGGTGGAATGGATGGACAAGTGGATGGAAAAAGACATGAGATCTTTCCTGGCCAAAGTCAAGACAGCTCTGAGGCCGCTCTCTCTTAAAGGAGAGGCTGCTTTTGTCAACTTTCCCGACCGCGACTTTCCAACAAAATCTTTCGAGAAGGCTTATTTCGGCGACAATTGGGAAGAGTTGCGCCTCGTGAAAGAAATGTGGGATAAGAATAAGTTGTTCCGGTTTGCTCAGGGTGTTCGCCTGCCAGGTGACCCGGAGGAAGACCCAGATGAGGAGAAAGACAAGACTGACCGACTCGCAAATGAGCAATGGGAATCTGATAGAGCTCAGTGGAAGCCTTATAGATCTGGCAATTTCGAAAGTGGCCTTGATTATTTGGAGGATCTGGGATTTTAAGGACTAGAGCAGTCACTCAATGTTATCAGCAACACGTTTGACTAGTATCTAAATTTAGATGCACTAAGTCAAGCATTATTGGATGCGAACGAATGCTACATGTATGTTGTTGTGCCTTCCTTTATGATAAGAAGCAATTTGAATTGAAGTTTTCAGGTCGATTTGGTACTGCATTCTCGAATATTGTTGTGGAGTGGATTTAGTTGTAAATAATGTCTATGTCTAGGTATCTGGTATGAGTAAAATTCTCTATGCCGTGTTTCAATTCTAGGCCAAGCATCTTCGTTCACGCAATTATCTTACAGTTGATCGTCTTGGAGTAGTCCGATGTGTCCAAGGTTATCCTCACGATCATACGCCAATGTCGAACCGATTTGTCATTTAGCAATCTCAACACTCTTAGTGGCGCCTAGAAACGAATGGATCGTCAGTACTGTTCGTCTTACATTTTCACATGCTTCTCTTTCCTTCTGCTTTTTCTTTCTTAAGAATTAGAAGAAAAGGGGAAACGCGAAAAGACTTACCGAGAGCCTTCTTGATATCGCCATAGATGGCGAACTGTCCAGCCGTGAGACCGCCAACCATGAACAGACGAGTGGGAAGACCAGCGAAAGAACCGCGGACGCCAAGTTCTCCTGCAATCTTGGCGAGGCGGGAGAGGATGCCCTCACCCGGCAGGCCCTTTGTCTTATTGACCTTGGACAGCATGGTATCAGCCGGCTGAGAAACGATCGCAGCAGCGAAGCCAGCAATAAGACCGGATCCCAAGTTGACAGCCGTCTGGGCACCATTCGACAAAGTAGACTTGTCCACTTGCGAGAAGATTGCTTCAGAAACCTTCTCAAAAGCAACAAACTTGGTGACGGTATAAGGGACCCTGCGTAACCGTGTCAATATCAGATAACGGCGGGGCTTAGATGACATACTGCTTGAACAAGATGGGGACAAATCCAGAGTAAAAAGCTCCGATGCCCTCCTGTGTTAGAATCTTGCTAAATCCACTGACCAAGCCTGTGGCAAAGCCAGGGGTCGAAACGAGACGGATGCGGGTTGCCTCAAGCGGACTAAGAGCGATGGAGGCGAAGAACTCAGCCGAAGCAGCGGAGACTGAGTAGACAGCAGCCCTGTTCTTGCGGGCAGTTTCGATGCCGAGAAAGTCAATCGACTGCTGCTTAAAAAACTCGTAGCCACCGAACTTGAAGGCTCCCTGGATGAAGTATCCCGCAAATGTCGGGCCGAAGCCAGTCAAAAGGGCGCCAGCGCCCTCATTCCGGATAACCTGCTGGAAACCACCAATCATGCCACGGTTGTAAACAGTAGGCTCAAGCTGAATCCTCGTTTTAACGCTGTATATCCAGTAGGTTAGTCAGTTCATTAGCGAGCATGGCTCAATAAGGCTGCAGCAGCGTACACATCGACAGGAGTAAAGGCGCCATGAGTAATGGAGCATCCCAGGGCGCCGGCAAGAGCAAAACGAGAGTAAAGGTTGATGCCCTGGGGCCCCTGGGCCGGTTCAGCGAGAGAGGCGCTCACTGCAGCAGCCATTGTGATATATGGTGCTGGTGTTGGTGTTTTGGTTGGTGTTGAGTGAGTCACGAAGTTGAGTCTTAAACGGCACGCGCGATTATCTCAACTCCTTTTTCGCCAAGTACCTACCAGTGGAGGTATGATGAAATAGACGACAGGGGACTTAGCGTATTCATGGCGGCTCAAGGCGTAAGCGCAGGCCTCTAATAAATGACCCGCGCGGTAGGATTTGCTCTATCGTGAGACTTATCAAGGCGTACTGTAGCTCTCTTCTGCGTGGGCATGTATCTATGTATGTATGTATGTATATGCTCAGCAACCCTGTAATGTAAACTACGCAAACTTCACTGTTTTCGAATCTGGTAGGCCAGACACTAAATTCAACTTTTTAAAAGACAACACCAATGACAACAACACAAGTATGACAATTAGCTCGCATACTACATGTATATACTGTATTTTGAATGAGTTTATTCTAGAATTACTGCGTCTTGGGCGAGAATACAAACGTGAGATACTTGACTCTTGGACCCAGGCCCGGAGCTATGTAACTAATGTCCGCTACGTCCGTTAACTCCAATCCTTCTCTTGTCGTATAAGCCCGCAATTAAGGCCCTCTAACTAATAAGATTTCACAAGTCACTGAATAGTTTGTCTTGCACCATACACGAATTATACTTTTAGAAGAATCCAAAGCTCATTGCGGGGAGTTTTCGTGGTTCAGAGTTGTATCCCATCCACATCCCTAGGGAGGTTGCGATCCTTATACAGTGGGTCCACAAAAGTGAAGATGAACACACTAGTTTTCATGTTGCCGCAGTAGCTTCACCTTCACCATACTAGTACTCTCCGCCGGTAGGTATTTCTATAAACTACTAATGGCTGGAACCAAATGAAGGCGGGTTAATCGTCTGATATTCTCTCTAAAGCAATGTTCGTCCTGTAACAGCTAGTTCAACTTACGTCATATCTGCCGGCAGGATGTACGCCATGCATGAATCCCCCCTCTCCCTCCCCTTTTCCTTTTCCCCTTTCCATATTGCCTCTCTGCCTATGTACAAGGAAGTTTGTCGCACTTTGGTCCAATACCCAACGAGACTTACTGGATCATCAAGTTTCTTGTGCCTGCTGAGCATCGCGCCGACCAAATAAACCTACTCCATCTATTGTAAAAATAGCATAAATATTGAGACATCTTTCAGCCTATCTGTTAAGTTCCGAGAACGCCATAGTGGGTGTGCAAAATATGTGACTTGCCATCTCGAAACTGTAACAGGCCAGTTACCATAATTGTGCAATGTTTTTAGAAAGATCTTATGTATTAAAATTTTTATAAGATGGTCAAAGAATAGAAAGACGTTTAAAAACTTTTGCATTGATCTAAACAAAATACTACAAATTAATAAAGAAAGAAATCTCGATCAAAGATGATAAGATGTCACCAAAAACAAAAAGTTTTACTCAGTTATGCTGATACTACTGCTGAACATCTCTTTCTTTCTTCAATATCATCGCTGAAGAGCTTATTACGTTTAAAAAAAGTATAATACGCCTGTCTCCATTGAAAGACAGACGGGCAGTGATTAAACAGTTGTCAACAAGAAATAGGCCCCGGCTATGCATAATATCCGCTCTGCCAATCTGGAAACTCAACCAGCGGCTTTTACACTTAGCCCCGGACTAGGTGATCGTTCACCAGTTGTTCTTTCAACAAGGTATCTACAACCTCATGTGCTATAATTACTAGATAACTTCCTTTACAAAATAATAAAATGTGCTTCATCACTCCAATATCCTCTACAATCATCATGATCCTCATCATTGACAAGCAATAATCAATCAATTTCTCCTTCTGCTCCTTTCCTTCCCTAGAACAATCTTGTCTGCTTCTTATACAATCGTTTTTGCTTCTTATACAATCTTTTTTGCTTCTTATACAAGATGGCGTTCCAGTTTCATACTACTACCTTTGGTCAACTAGTACGCCTTCTTTCTGGCAATAAGGTCTTCCAGTATCCCGACGAGATTGACCCATTGCTATGGAAGAAATTCCTTCGCCAAGATGCATCCCAGCATATGAACGGCTCTGACAAAGGTCTGAGCAAAAATGAGAACACCGAAAATGGTGCCCTGGAGAATACTACACTTCATGATGGCGAACAGGAGATCCTGCTTGTAGAGTGGTACGGGCCTGATGACCCCGAGGTAAGTCATTTCACCTCCAGCCTCTACAAAATTCATCCACATAATTATACAGCTCTAATACAAATTCGGCTTGTAGAATCCTCGGAACTGGCCATTAAGATGGAAAAATCTCATGATTTTTCAACTTTGCATCCTCAATTTTGCCGTCTACATGGCAAGTTCCATCTATGCACCAGGTGAACAGGGTGTCATGGCAGAATTCGGAGTCAGCGAAATTGTAGCCACTCTAGGGCTCTCTCTCTTCACTCTGTAAGTCAACTAAACCCCATGTCAGATCTCAAATCATAATCACCCCCCGCTAACCTCTCCTTTTCGTTGCCATCAGTGGATATGGCTTCGGCCCTATGCTATGGTCTCCTTTATCCGAAATGCCAAAAATTGGACGTAGCGGCATCTTCTTCTGGACCCTCTTCGCCTTCATCCTATTCCAGCTTCCCGTCGGCTTTGCCCCAAACATTGCAGTCTTTCTCGTCTTTCGCTGGGTGACGGGCTTCTGCGGCAGTCCATGCCTATCAACTGGTGCTGGTACGATTACCGACCTATACGACCCCTCGCTCGCCTCGTACTTGTTCTGTATTTGGGGAACAGCTGGTTTCTGCGGCCCTGTTTTCGGTCCCATCATTGGTGGATATCTAGCCCCAGCTAAAGGATGGCGCTGGACCATATGGGTTATCACATGGCTTTGCACAGTTGTCCTAGCCGCAATGTTCTTCTTCTTCCCTGAGACCAGCGCAGACAACATACTCTACAAGAGAGCTAAGAGGTTGAGGAAGGTGACTGGAAACAGCCGACTCAGGAGCCAGTCCGAGATTGACGCCGCACATTATACGGCAAGAGATCATCTGATCGTCCTCGGCAGGGCTTTTACTTTGACCTTCTCCGAGCCTGTAGTTCTGCTTATGAACTCGTACGCTGGTCTCCTGTATGGTGTGTTGTTCATCTGGTTCGAGTCGTTTCCCATCGTATTTGGCGGCATATACGGCTTCAACCAAGGCGAGCAGGGTCTAGTATTCCTGGGCATTTTCGTTTTTGCTCTCATCTCACTGGCCTTCTTTCTACTATGGATCAAAACTCACATTGCCACAAAAGTCAACGAGCCGGGATTTACGCCAGAGATGATCCTTCCTCCGACGTTTTTAGGATGCATCGCCCTTCCAATCTGCCTCTTCTGGTTTGGGTGGACATCGCGAGCGGATATCCACTGGATTGTGCCCATTATTGGATCCGGCTTCTTCTCTGTTGGCGTGGTCACGCTGTTTAACTCACTGCTCAACTATCTAGGCATCTCATACCCCAGATACGCCGCGTCCATATTCTCAGGGTCTGCACTGTTTCGCGCTTCGTTTGGTGCTTCTTTTCCACTTTTTGTGAGTAATAGAGCTCTTGTATCTTGTTTTCTGTCACTGACGCGAGGCATGTTGAAGGCGCGCCAGCTTTTCTCTCAACTCGGCATTGGCCCAGGCAACTCGCTCCTTGGCGGCATTGCTTTGCTTTTTATGCCGGTTCCCTTTATTTTTTACAAGGTGTGTCCGAATCATCAACATAATTACTATGATCTAAACTGACCGTTAAGCAGTACGGGGCAAAGATCCGTCATATGAGCAAGAAGACTTAAAGGTCGACGGCTTTATGTTCTCCATGTTGCAGCAGATAATGAACTGAAACCTGAGATGCATGTCCATGTAGCATCGGCGCACCTTGATTGATTCAAGCAGCATGTATTTTTGCCTTTCAAGGAACAATTTATTTTTGTTATCGTTTTTATCCTATCCTACCAAATCATCGCTAGATATGTACATCGTATATACGTCAATTCATATACAGCCCTTCAAGACCGAATCAACCTTGTTCTTCTCACATCACCATCACCAACAAGCCAAATCGCCCCATAAATCACACAATTTATGAAGCAACAAACTTGAAGCCCGCACCAGAAGACTCCGTGGCGCCATTGTTGACCAGAGATCCATCGCCAGCCAGCGTAACCCACTTGCCGTTGCTGCCAGCCTTGATGGTGTACACGCCGCTGGCCGCGCCAATCTTCTGGCGGATCGTAAAGACCTCCCACGAAGAAGCCGTGGCACGAGCAGCCTGAAGGGTAAAGTTACCAGACGAGTCGGCGGTGACGAACTGGTTGTTGCTGGTGAGCTTGAGGTTGCCGGCGTTGGGCGTGTAGGAGCTGACGAAGACGCCGGCGTTGGCCTGAGAGCCAGAGGCAACGAGGTTGGACGAGGCAGTGGAGGAGACAACCCATTGGCCGGAGGTGGCGGCCTGGATCTTGAAGGTGCCGTAGGGGTTCTGGGGGAAGTTGGAGCCGCAAATGGGCTGGCCGCTGGGGTTGGGGCGGGTGCCGATGAAGAAGAGCTCGTTGGAGAAGGTGTTTCCAGAGCCTGGAGCAGTGTTAGTTGATTTGATTTCAGATTTGTTTCAAAAGAGAAAAGGGAGAACTTACCCCAGGTAGTGAGGTTGGCGCTCCAGGCAGCGGCAGTCTGGGGATTGGCGTTGGAGTAGGCAGCAATCAAAACGCATCGCCTAAGTTGACATTGATATTAGTATAATCGAGCAATAAGCCATAAGAGAACAGCAGAAACATACCAGTCATCGGCAATGGTTGGGTCGACAATCTCGTTTTGAGCATACGACCAAACATTGTTCACCCACTGAGTGTCATACAGCGCCTCGTTGATGGGCGTGATAGGCAGCATCTGAATGGCTGCAATCTCGCTCTTCTCAGCGCCCCAGAACAGCCAAGCACCAGACTGCCAGTCCTCGACATTGCCCATCGTAACCAAGTTTCGGACGGCGGCCTCGGGGTAGGGGTTGTTGGGATCAGTCGAGCTCTGCTGGGGGTACAGGTGCCAGTAGACCTGGGCGCCCTGCTGCTCAGTCGCAACGAGCAGCTTGGCGTAGTTGACGTAGTCCTGGGAGAGAGCAACGGTGGCCCAGAGGAGGGCGCCGTAGTAGCCGTTGATGGCCTCGCCGGTGGATTCCTGATCACGGCTGCCGGCTCCGTTGGCAATACCAGAGGCCCAGGAGTGGCCTGCGAACCAGTCACGGCAGCGGGTGACGGGGAAGTAGGGGTCCTGGGAAGAGGGGTTGATGATATCACTATTTATTTGGTTAGAAAAGAAAAGATGTGGTTTGAGGCGAACAAGAAAAAGACATACCGAGCAAACCAGTTGATAAAGTCCTTGTGCTGAGCCAGCCACGAAGAGTCGTACTTAGCAATGACAGCAGCAACAGTCAGGAAGTATCCGTAGTGGAAGTGGTGATCGTTGTAGTAACCGTTGCCGAAATCAATGCCAGAGTTGGCTGCACCGGCCTTGTCGACAACACCGCCCCAGGAGGTTTCGTACGCAGGGAAGGCTCCGGTGGTAGGGGCAAACCAGTTGTTGAAGGACGCCTTGAGGTAGTTTGTGACATTGGGAATGAGAGCGGTTTGTCCCACGGCTTCACTGTAGAGGGTATAAAGGTTAGCCTTGCTCATTTCATAGATGAGTTTCGAATGGATCTTACGCAATGAGGGCAAGACGGGCTTGGGCAGCCAGAGTGCCGCCCCAGTAGTAGAACTCGTTGGGAATGGGCGCGTTTGCCACGTTCAGCTGGCCAATCTCGTACTGGAGACCCTGGATAACAGCAGAGTTGCAGGAAGAGTCGAGGGCTCGAGGAGGGTTCCAGGTGATGCTGCTCAGGTTATACAGCAGCTTCCACTGGTTGCCGAGAGTTGGGTACATCCATCCCTATGTTTCAATTGTCAGATTCATTTTCCATCTTTCTCATGATAATCTTTGGGTATGCCAACCTTTGTGGTAAGATAACCCAGCGACGAAGTAGGAGGAGAGTTGGGGCTCTGCAGCGACAAACGGTGGTGCGGCCACGTCAACATCAGCAGATTGGCGCCGGCTCCGACAGTGGCGTAGTTGAAGATGAGAGTGCCCTGCGTGGTGGTGAAGCTGTAGTCGAGGCTCACTCCCGTCGGGTAAACGCTGGAGTACTGGTCGAGGAGAGCCTTGTGGCTGCTCTGAACGAGTCTGACCACTCGCAGGACGCCGGTGAAGGTGCCGCTGGCCTGGATGGTGCCGACGGCGCTGTTGGTGGCGGTGGCCTTGAGGGTGATGGAGGAGAGCGCGTAGATGAGGTACGTTGTGCCGGTGGTGTCGACGACGGTGAACTCGGTGCCGGTGGCGGAGACTGAGTCTGTGTTAGTCAATAGTCCTCAGACTCTTGGGGCTACAGGATACTCACCACTCTGTCCGTTAGCAATGGACTGTCCGTTGAAAGACGCAATGCCGCCGTTCCGCGACGTCAGCAGCGGCGTCGCAGCATTGTACTGAAGCGTAATGTAGGGCGATCCCGGAATCAGAGGCGACGTCAAGGAGGCGCCTCCCTGGAAGTACTGCACCGTCACCGAGTGCGTATCAAACGCCGTGGCCTTGTGATTGGCAAAGGCGCCCGAGTGCTCGACGAAGCCGGCGCGCCAGTCATTCTGCGTGGGCTGCTTGATGGACGTGCCGTCGAACTGGCGGCTGTTGCTGACGCCAAAGTTGATGCCGTAGCCGTCGAGCTGGGACTCGTACGGGAACGGGCCCGAGGCGGTGCCGTTTCCTGGCGTTGCGGCGTATGAAGCCCACCACGAGTTGGTTGGGTACTACAAGTAACGAGTCAGTTATTGAGCAATTGTAGGTCTCAAGTTAGTTCTTTCTTACCGGAGGCTTCAATCCAGCAAAGAATGAAGAAACCGGAGCTCCATCCGGCGCAGTCTGGACGGTGCCACCAGAAATGCCCGAAGGGTTGCTCGTCGCGATAGGCGCAAAGACACCGCGCTCAGCCAGAAAGTTGAGCTTGTCACTGCTCGGCAGGGCCGCGACGCCAATCGCAGAGGCGATGACGAGGTTGAGAAGAGAGCCTAGCATCTTGGAGGAGAAGACAGGCTAGGGAAGACCGCTTTGCTTGGCCACAACCTTGGAGATTCTCGTCGAGGGGAACGAGGGGCGGACAGGGCCTCTTATATCAAAACTCGATGGCGAGAACCCCCCACTGCATCACTCGACGATGTCATCTTTCCATTTCGGCCATGGGTCTCTCAGTCTTGCCTCCCTCGTAGCGGAATCTCGCTCCGATCTAGGTGCAACCCCGGCGGTAATGGAATGCCGCGCATGCTGCACTCTCATCTCGTTCTCGGCGGTACTCGACATCGTCATGGGCGGCCGGGTCTGGCCATCCGAAAGCAAGAAGCAATGGGAGGGATCATACGGCTGTCATGTAATCTAACTAAGCCCTCAACACTCCCTGGCATGTTCCGAAAGAGTCGTAGCTAGGTTGTCAACTACACGCAAAACAAAACGTGCTCAGGGCCAAGCATGGATTAGCAGAGCCGGCTATGCGCTCGCATTGGCATTATCCACTTCGCCGATGATCCCGATCAATCTCGACGTTTTCTGCCTGTTTGCGACTGGGGGGCCGGTGGCAAGGTCTAAAGCATATTTAGATCGGACCGAAGGTGAAAAGACGTCAAATCTGCTGAATCATTCGCAACCTCTTTCTCTGCCCAAGATGGAGCGTAGAGACAGTGGAGATGTTCCATCAATTGGCGTTCGCGGAATTTGCCTTTCCTGGAGGGACGTATGCTGGCATGATTGTTCAATTTATCTCTGGCCATCTCTGCGTGTTTTCTTCATGCCATCACGCTGTTTCATGCTACCGATTACTATTCCTTAACCCTAGTCAACTTCATCTTGCCCCTGAGGTGACTCGTCGTAGCAAGCGGAAGAAGCGTGGGGTTAACGGCGGGCTATTTCCTCCGTCCTGTCTTGTGATACAAGGCAAGAGTGTAATTCAAGAGTGCGGGCATTATGGAGCCATCTACTGCCCTGAGCAACTGAGATTAAAAAAAGTAAACTCTTCACTATAAGCACCTAGCGCTCCTTCAAAAGCTACTAGACAAGCTGTTGTGCTCAATCCCGCGGCCAAGAAGCCAAGAAGTTATCCAATTGCCTAATTGGGTAGCCTCCCGGCTCGGGATGGTGGGCCTCTGAACTGGGGGAGAAGACATGGGGTGGCAGAACTGGGGAGATCCGTCTGTTCTTTTAGGGCTCAACTGCACTGTAACCGGCTGACGGAAGACAATCTATTTTGATACACCCATATGCTGAAACATATAATAATGCGAGGAAATAGAGAAGCTGTTTGTTTATAGAAGTTGCTCTGTTTTGCGCACATTTTGAGTGATTAATGAGAGCGAGCAGAGTAGAATGAGTAATCAGCCAAATGGCAAATGGCCATGCCTCGGAGCTTTTATTGTCAAACAAGGATACGGGGGAAAAGAGCCAAAAAACAAGCATGCGTGACTGTTTTCTTTCTTCCCCACAATCGGCCGCTTCTCAAGGCCTTGTCAGTTGCGGAGATGGAGGATGGAAGCAGCACAGCCAGCAGTCGCGCATTTCGGCTCCGCATCTCCCCGCATTCATTGGTATCCGAAATGTCGGGATGTTGAGCATGGCAGGTTTGGGCTGGAATGTCGCGGGAGAGAGTGAATCAGGTAGAGCACAGCGAGATGGTTTTACTAGGATGCACAACCGCGGCGGTCATTGTCTAAGCAGATTATCGACATATCCCAAGATGAAGACTACATTTCGTACATGTATCTAGCTGCCGAGTCAGGAATATACATGGAAGCACCAAAGACACGCGATAGAGGGGGCTGTTTCAGCGAGGAAATTACAGCGTCCTGCAAAGGCAACTTACCTTTGAGAGGTCCCTATTCCCGACTACTATATTTGAGGCTCTGTATCAGTCTACCTATACCACTCATACATAGTCCATGCCCATCCAACCCTATAGGCCGGGGAGTCGCGGCATTTATTGGTTATTTTCGCCCAAGTTTGCGGTATCGAAGCAAAGAAACTGCCAGTCGTTTCGGCCGTGCGAGTAATGCCGCGACGCTAACATTTTTGCATCATCTCGGAGCCAGGGGGTCTAAGATACTCTTCGGTACTAGCAGCAGATGGAGTGCGCATTACCCCATATCTTGTGACACTTTGTCTCCCCACAGGCTGGCGGGGGACCAAAAGCCCGCCAATAAGAGGCCAGACGAGGGTGGTACTGCTCTCCTTTTGACAAGCGGCAGTTTCCCCCAGAGAAAGAAGAAAATCCTTCAGTAATCATTACTGGTCAGTTGTGTAGCCAGGACTAGGAGGGAGCTGAGGTTGCGGCAACCTTCCGAGACTTTGACTAGAAGACGGATAGACGGCAAGCAATACAACACAGCGCAGGCAATGCTACCTACGATGTTGGCTGTGGCATCGTGTAATTGGAGGATATGGGAAAGAGCCGTTGCGATCAGTTGATGTTCCTGAAAATCGTGGAAGATCTTGCCGGCATTGAGTTAGCGGAAAAGTCTGGAGCTGATGCGCGGGGCCTGACCCAGACTGGTATATTGAACGGGCCGAATGGTATGGAGATGGGATGCTGGCATACGGGCCTACTTGAAAGTGAAAGAGAGACGGTTTAGCCTTGGGGGAGGCCTGATGCATATCAATCACGTGGATGGCAGAGCTATGAGTGTATATTGCGGGCGTGATGTCTTTCTTTTTCTTTATCATGGTGATTGTGTCATTGAAGCTGACTCTGCTCACGAAATGAAATGACAGTAAAAGAGCGCAATAATGGAAGGCGATTGGCGCGAGGCAGAACTGGCACTGATCATTATCGAGAACCATCTGCTTGCTAGTAATGGTAGCAAGGCGGGGAGAGCCGTAGACCATCCCCGAGTTTACTCCATTGGACGTTCAGAGTTGCAAATGAGGTTATACCCGTAAGATGTGACGGCATCGGTAACTCTAACGACTGCTGATGTCGCATGCAGTCTCGCAACTACTGTACCAATGCAGTATCGTAAGGCGTGATGAGTGAATATTTGCCATGTCTAAACTGGTACATGCGTTGGGTTGTCGTAGCTATGATCGTAGTGATGGAACGCTGTTGATTGGTATATGGGCTTTGTAAGCTCATCACCAATTCTTAGCAACTAGGCACTTAATCGAGCTGCAAGGTTTCAACAAGATGGCGTCTTCCCACGTTTTGTTTTTGCGACTCTTTTCACGCTTCACATTATTCCATTGGTCTTTGTGGAGCGTTGAGGTTGAGTAGCTATCTTGCACGGGAGTCCCGATGCTATTCTGTGGCTCTTCTTGACGCCTCATTAGTATATGGCAAATAGCTGATGAAATATACTCGGTAACATGGATTTTGGAACGTAATCTCTGCTGCCATCATTTGTCTTCGGCATGGTTTTCTGCCACACGCCTTTGGGAAAACGAGAACGCAGCTTCGATTGCAAGAGGAGACTTGGAGAAAGAAGAGGCGCTGAGTGACAAAGAGTATGAAAACAGAAAATACTGCTCCATAGGTAATATTACTAAGAATCTCGATTAGATCAGAGCTTATATCGACCACTTGATAGACGGTCCTAGCCGTTTAGGGCGTTTGGCAGTCCACGCATCAAGACGGCATTAGGTAAGATCGACGTATGCAGGAACTTTTCTTGGCAGCGGCTCTCAATGGCTTTGAAATGCCGGTACTTGGCTACGCTCTTGTTGTCAGTAATTGTTCGTCAGCTACTCTCGATTGAAGAGTGTCGTAAAAGGGGGATGCCACGCAATCGTGCGTTTTGACTACGAATTATAGCTCGGAGCGCACAACTGCTGCCCGAAAAAATTGCCACTCTGGCACAATAGAAGGACGAAAGACAAGGCTGACGAAGATAAGGCTATGGCGGCATGGTAAAGTTTGCAAAGCAGCGATGGATCTGCGCTACACGAGTCGTCCCGATCTAACGGTCTCAGCGCTAAAGATGTTGTGTATGCATCTTGAGAGCAAACAGGCTTTTGAGCATCTTGAAAAAGAATCCTTCAGTCCATCAATGCCGTCTAGCACCCTGGCAGTTGTCTCAAGACAACGAAGCTAGTCTCGGTTCAATCATGGCGTGGACCTGAATGAGACGACATCACAGGCCAACATGCTGCCATACCTGCCATATGACGTCTTTTTCAGCACTATCGGTGAGCACACCAGGCTTAGAATGGGCGCAACTCGCGATACTTGACCCGAGAAGCATAAGCTCGCGGGCTTCAGGCGGCTGCTACCGAGGTCCCGGGCTGGTGACGGTGACGGCATGCAGATTTGGCACGCCGGACTTGACTCGGGGATCGTGGTGGAGCCCGACCGGAGCAAGATTTGGGGGAAGAGAATCCGGGAGAGCCGAACGCCGGGCCGGGACACGGAATCTTGAAAGATTTGGAATGGCAAAGGTGAAGCTTTACAGGATGAAGAAAGAAAGTGAGACTTCACATGGTGATCATTGTGCTAGTTTTTTTTTTCTTGGTGGAGAGAGTGGTGATGCGGAAATAGACGTCGATACGATTGTGCGTACAGCGAAGGTAGGTGACGCCGCCCGGAAATACAGAGGACACAAACTGAATCGCTCACCACTCAATCGTCAAATTCCGGAGTAGACTCCATTCATTCCCCAGGTTTTGCGTATAGAAACGGGAGATCAACTCCATTTCCGCACAGACCTCTATTCAGCACTCTTTCATTGCTGCCATCAAGTAAACCTATTGTTGGTATTTTCTACACTCGACTGGCCGTATAGCCGCTTATTACGCTGTTGCATAAGAAATGACGTAGTTTGTAGTTCGGCAGATGAAATTGGATGCTCCCAAACCAGGCTGTCAGCCCCTGCACTGCCGTGGGTATAAACAGGAAATAAAGGCCAAACAGATGGAAGCCATTTTCATCCAAGCGAAGAAATTTAGAACAATGGTTGTGGCGTTATCTGAGCCAACGAGAAGAGAGGAGAGTGAAAAATTTCAGTGGTCCACCGATAAGGCTGCGAGCCGTTTTAGCGGGTCTCTGAGCCAGCTCAGTGGAATTAAATCCGTGGCCTCGGAATCAGTAATCTTGAGCATATGGATCTGCCGTCGGCTGCGAATTTGATGCTAATCCACGCCGATGCCCTGAGTCGTTCATTTGACTTTCATTTGAGAGAGCTGTAGCACTGGAAATCCTTCTACTTTGATTCGTGTTTCGACGCCTCACCCGCCAATTTGATTCATGCCCTGTCAAATCGAGTCTCCCGTTGTGCCTAGTCCATCGCCTCATTTGTATGCAGCCTGCTCAGCTCGTACAAGCGCGTACCCGCTGCTGTGGAGAGGTGACAGACCCCCCGACTAGCTGCTGGCCAATGTCTTGGACGCTCACACGATGTCCTGCTGCTTTGTATCGCCAGCCAAACACGTGCAAGCCTCTCCGAATGCCGGGAGGCTGAGTCCGACGGATTCTACTTTTTGCGCCTTGCATATATTCGCTCGGGACGAGGACCAAGGACTAGATATGACGGGGTTAGTTGATTGAGACTCACATGGTGGTATATAGGAGATGCAGCACCGATGCAACATGGATTCATAAAGATGCAAACAGTTGCAGCAACTTGTGGAAAGTCGTTGTAAGTCAAGACAACTCGAGTCTCTGACAAACGCAATTGGCCACACACGTTTTCGCTACTTTCTTTCTTCTTTATTATTTCTCACACATAACCAAAACTACCAGACTGCACGCACAAAATATGCCATTCAGCTGTACATCGTGATACACAGTGGTAGTTGCATTCAGCTTTTAATATAACAAGAAAGTCAGCGCTTGTCGGATCATCGGCGCCGCTCTACCTCGGGTCGTCGGCATCTGCTGCAACAGCACGCCTCTTGTCGCCTTTTGTCCCTGCCAGGTATCGCCATTCGTCAGTGCGCTGCTTCCAGTGGCCCGTCGCTGCAAATGGAGGGCCTGGACCAGCCAGAGGGTACCTGCGTGTACCCACTAGGAACCGCGGCGCCAAAAGTTCCTCAACCGGTACGTGAGCGCCGCACGCAGACAGAGCTCCATCTTTTTCTCGTCCTCTCGTTTCTTGCTCACAGCACATGAATCGTCTGCTCCTCGTCTGCTTCATTCCACTGTAGCTCTTGAGCCTCCACTAACCCGCATTGACCTCCCGTCTATCCAGCTGCTCTACAACTTTGAGCTCTACCCTCCCTATAAGCCACTTGCGCTGCGCCCGTCCGTGTCCACGCCGAGCCACCCCCAGTTTTTCCGAGACGCCTCCAGCTCTCTCTCTCTGTCCGCCGCCTCGACGCCGTCCAGCCTCTTCGCCGCAGCCTCTCCGTACCTGCTCGTCGATACGCAGTCGCCACCGTCGCTGTGCTTCTCGCCGTCCTCGTCCCTCTCCGGAGCGTCGTCAGTCGCCGTGATGGACCTCGACCCGCCGCCCGGGGCCGAGATGCCGTCCTTTGGCCTCGCCGGGTCGTCGCTCCCGGAGCCTCAGCCCGGCGCTGCCAGCGCAGACGGCCCCGGATCCCTGCCCGTCGACCGCCGTCCCAAGAAGTCGTCCATGACATGCGCCGTCTGTCGCTTCCGCAAGGTTCGGTGCAACGGCGCGCGTCCGTGCTGTGGCAATTGCCAGCGCCTGGGCTTCCCCTGCTCCTACGACGATGCCGACGTCGACGCCTGGTCTCTCTCGCTGCCGCGGCGCCGTGTCAAGCAGGCCTGTCTGAGCTGCCACAGCCGCAAGGCGCGGTGCTCCGGCCACCTGCCCTCGTGTGAGCGGTGTCGCGTCCAGGGCATCGAGTGTGTCTACCGGCCCAGCAAGCGCGCAAAGCCGTCGTCACTTACCAAGAGCCCCAACAGCCCAGATCGAGATTCAGACCGAGAAGGCGGTCGAGACGGCCGCAGCCAGGGAGAGAACCGATATCAGAATGACGGACGCAACGAAAGCCCAGCCTTGACTGACCAGGCCAGCTCTGCCAGTCCTGGGCCGGATATCACCGAAGGGTAAGCTCTATATGGCGACATTTCTTTGTAGGAGCCGTGGCCGCTAACTTTTCAGTCTCAGCCTTTCTATAGACGAAAGCTTCGACTCCATCGTCAACCGCGCCTTCGACCTCTTCTTCCGCTACGTCCACCACATGCCTATGTTCACCTTCTTGCATCGAGCTTCTCTTATGGAGCAATATCAGGCCGGCAAAGTCGAAAGGCCTCTTCTGCTAGCCATTGTCGGCATCACATCATGCCTGACCAACATGGGCCCCGGCATGCGCGAATATGGCAATCTCTGCATCGATAAAGCCGAGGCCCTTCTTCTCGCCGACTACAGCCGCCTGTCCATTGTCAAAATCCAGGCACTCGTCTTCGTCATCAAGCATCGAATTCTCTGTAACAAGTTCTCCAGCGCCTTTGTCCTCCATAGCTTTGCGTCTCGCTATGCCACCGCGCTGCGTCTCAACTACGAGGCGCCACATCTTCGTTTCCTGGCGCAGGAATCTCGTCGACGCCTCATGTGGGCCATGTACTGCATCGATACCAGTGTCTGCGGCGGGTACCCCGACTTTGTCCTCTGGAGGGCCGACCAGATCCATGTGAGCCTGCCATGCAACGAGCGCAATTTCGAATTCGATCTGGCGCAACATACCGAAAAGCTCGTGCCAGATTCGCACCAGCCACGACCACCACTTGCCGAGGACGTGGGAACATTGGCTCTCCACGCGCGCATCTTATATATCCGCCAGAAGATTATCGAGTTCACCAGGGTGGCACAATATGACCGCGGCATGGAGCCTGCTGAGCTTCAAGGCCGAATTCTTGCCTTGGACAAGGAGCTTAGCGATTTCGCCGCCAACCTACCAACATCTTTTCAGTTCTCCGAAAACTCCCTGCGCCTCCGCGCCTACTCCCCACGAATATGCGTCTTCGTCATGATCCACGTTTGGTGGCGCCAGTGCTACTGCGACCTCTACCGCCTAGCCTTGGCAGACGTGAACGGCGGGCTGCCGCAGTCTATGCTGGAAATGTTTGACCAGGCCTTTCTCGATCACTGCCACAGGCAATGCGTAGATCATGCCCTAGCCCTGACTCACATATTCTCGCTGATACAAAAGCTCGATGCCAAGCCGGTGGCGGATATCGACCTCGCAATGTGTGCGTACCAGTGCGCTCGAATGCTCATGTACCTCTTCCAGCTCGATCTCTTCAGCCGCTTTGGCATCACGGCAGAGACAGTCATGGAGCAGGCACAGCTCTGTCTGCAGACCATCAAGGACTGCTGCGTGGGGCCCGCGGTGGACTGCATCGTGACAGACCTTGAGAGGCTGATTAGCCAAGGAAGAGCCGGCTCCATCCAAGGCAATAATATGTCGTCGCAGACGATTCCTCCAAATGCTCAGTTTGCAGATGGGTCGGATGTGATGAACGCTTCCTCCTCGGCTGGCATGCAGCCTTTCAGCTCGCCTGCCAATGCTGCCAACAGCGCCGTCTCGCCTTTTACTCATCCTGTCATGACAGCGCCGTGGATGTCAGATAGTGGCTTTGCATCAACCATGGACCAGCAAACGCTGCCGCCCGAGATGCATGCTGCAGATCCTAGCAAGGGCGAGACGCCCGAGCTATCTGCACCCCGATCAGACTACGCCCAGTCAGACCTAAACAACGCCTATGACGGGGCCTTTGCAGGGCTGGGACTCGATGACGGCTTTGATTATGCCATGGGAGTGGACATGAATCTGTGGGCTACCAACGGGGGGAGCTGGATGTCGCAGGGCTTTGGCAACAATACCTGGCTGTGAATAGAGAAAGAGGAGGAAAAATAAAATATCAGATATTTACGGATTATGGTGTATATACAGATGATTTTACTCAGAAGCGGCACAACATGCGTGTATATATAGATACCTTTTTGCGTGTGTGCCATGGGGGTCTTGAAAACCAAAGCGAATGAAATGGCGTGGGGGCGGGATGGCGCAATAGGGACAGCGCCAGTAGGAAATGATAATGACAGCGCTAATGAAAATAAAAAAGAAAGAATTTATGCAATCATGAAGTTGTAATATCATTTGTATGCCTTCCCCTCTGTGTATCCATCAGTTTTGATAAAAATAACTCGAGGGAATTATCGATGGGTGATTGAGATGTGGTCAAAGAACGTGCTTGAATACAGGTGTAAAGTAGAGCATGGGAATCAATAGAGGGGGAGATATTCCGACTAATACTTATAGGGAGAAGTCATCCAGCACCCTAATTTCATTATCCAACACCTCAACAGTAGCATAATAGGGCAGCCAGTTTATATATTAAATATACAGCTGCCAAATACTTATTAAAATAGCAATAGTAGTAGCAGTAGTAGCAGCAGTAGCAGCCTAAGCTACAGCTGGAGTGCTAAATAACATAATCAGGGTGCTAGACAACTTCTCTCCTTATTTTTGAGGTGTTGGATAACAGAACCGGGGTGCTGGATAATAGCTCCCTACTTATTGTGCCTTCAGCATATCCAGTAACTGTGTGAGCTGAGACCTTTTTGATTGACAACGCATACTTTTTTTTTTATAATTTCAGTCTTGAAGCTATTCACAGAACGAAAGTTGTCACCTCATCTATCGGTTCACTTTTCATTACGTGGCTGCGCTGATCTGGGGCATTTCAGCAGACAATAGCGCTCCAGCCGTCTTTTAGCGCTCTCAGTCCAGTGGAGCGACGGGTCTAGGCTCGGCTCTTAGCGATCAACCGTCATGCCACATTGGGCTTAGCCGCGATGGTCGCTTGATCTTCATCTCCTCGACTCGAATCTGCCTCGCTGCCTTCGACCCTTCACGACTAATTAAGGGCCACGCCAGCAGGTCACACAAGCAACACACACAAATGCCCGGGCGGTTCTATCTATTGGCTGCATGTCGAACTATCGACGGCCTCGCGATGGCTCATTGGACGGTTCCAGGATCCTGCGCAGGGCTGGCTGCAAGGCATCCCAAAGCCTCGCCGCACAGCCGCACCCGAATCCTGCTACCGGGTCTCAGATTCTGTGCGTAGGGCGAGTTAGAGGATAGTTAAGTTGTCAATGGTAACACCAAAATCGAAATTGCTCTGAAAGATAGATAAGTTATCAACGGTACCAAAATCGAAACTGCTCGAGGCTTGTTCTTCAGCTCGGCCATGCCAACTGAACAATGCGCTTGTTGGACGCCAAAACACTAGAGTTGGTCGACATCCTCGACGACGACGTCCCTCCCTACGCCATTATATCGCATACTTGGGGCGATGAGGAACTTACGATCCAGCAGCTGCGGCGACTGGGAAGACATTCGCATCTCGCGTCCTCTTCTCCCAAACCATTGGATAGAAAGAGGAGAGCCATTCTCTCGAAAAAGGGCTACGTCAAGATCTCTGGTGCCGCTCGACTAGCTGTCAGCCGAGGGCTCAATTACCTCTGGGCAGATACGTGCTGCATTGACAAGACAAGTAGTTCTGAGCTGTCCGAGGCCATCAACTCCATGTATCTGTGGTACGAGCAATCTGCCGAGTGCTATGCGTACCTTTCCGACGTCGAGCCGCCGGCCACCCAAGATGGCAATGCATTCGACAAGAATCTCCGCAATAGTCGGTGGTTCACAAGGGGATGGACGCTCCAAGAGCTGGTTGCACCAAAGCTCGTTCTCTTCTACGCCAGCGACTGGAGCCTCCTTGGCCAAAAACACTCTCCCCCCAAATTCGCAAAGATCATCAGCGAAATCACTAGCATTGATGAGGAAGTGCTGGACGGCACCATCGACCCCCTTCAGCTGAGCGTGTCTGCTCGCATGGCCTGGGCGTCTCATAGAAACACCACCAGGCTCGAAGACACTGCATACTGTTTGATGGGACTGTTCCAAGTCAACATGCCGCTTCTGTACGGTGAAGGAAAGCGTGCTTTTACGAGACTTCAAGAGCACATCATCCAACGCACCGACGACCAGTCCATATTTGCGTGGAACTCATTTGACGATTTAGAAGAAGATCCAGATGCTCTTTTTGGCTTACTTGCACAGTCTCCAGCCCAATTCAAAGATGCCGGCGCTTTGCAAGTCCTGCCGCCTTTACCTGTGTATGCAAGTGCTCCATCCGCCATGACGAATCAAGGCCTTCGCGTCCAGCTCTACCTCGTGCCACGTACATTCACAGACAAAACTGTCATGGAAGAAGACTACTTTGCCATCCTGGACTGTGTTAAGGGCGACCGAGATGTCCACCTGTGCCCCGCACTTCATCTGCGGCGGCTCTCAGAGGATCAGTATGGAAGGCTGCGGCCCAAAACGAAGCATTTCAAGCGACCCGTGTCCTCTTCATACCAGGGAGAAGAGGGCTACCGCTCGGTATACATAAGGCAACAGCCGGTATACTATCACCTTCCACAGTTCAGACTCTCGCCTCTCAATGTCGAGTCAGGACTTGGTTTTTCTGATGGTGCTCGGTATCGGCTGTTCGACAAGTACCCCGCGCGCTACTGGAATTCTGCCACCATGACACTCAGCGTCCGTTACTCTCCCAAATTACAAGCCATGGGAGTGTTTAGGTTCCAGAGCATTGACAAGTCTTCCGAGAAAGTGGACGTGGTCGTGGGTTTGCGGCGCTTGAACACGATGGAATGGGAGGGATGGTGCTTCCAATTGGCATATCGTGACGAGTCTCTCGAGCATGTTTTCCAAGAAATCAACAAAAAGATTGAAAAAACCACTCGCAAGTCCAACAATAGCGAGATGACTTCGTCAACTCTCCGTGACTCTCTTGGAGAGGACTCGACGTTGGCGAGCAGCGCAACGGTCGAGGGCGTACAGCTTCAAGGACGGCTCTACATCTCCATCTCAGTGATCCCAAGAGCAGAACTTCTGGCTGAGAGTGCGACATTTCAAATTTCCACGAATGCTATAGAATTATCCAGATGCAATCAGACAGTAAAGTCCACATCCTCCAATTCGGGGGCGAGAGCAATGACCGAAGTATACTGCTGGTCTTCTAGCTCTCAATTTGGGCTTGACCCCTCGTCTCCTTTGATGTGGATGGTCCAGCCTGTTCGAGTGACGTCTTTGTCAGGAGACGGTGCTTTTATGAAGCCCCTCTACGATTTCATGTCACAACTTCAGCAGAAAAAAATAAAAGGCGGCTCAAATAATACACTGAGTGCCATCGAACAACTAGCTGAAGCTTTGTTCCTTAGAGATTTAGACCGGGCTATGACGCTAATTAAATTCAAGGTACCCGATATTAATTCACGAACCACTGATGAGTATGGGTTTGCACCACTGCATTGGGCTGTTGCAGGTGGCTCTTCTGACTGCATTACGCTGCTCCGAAAGAATGGAGCCGAATGCAAGATATTTACAGAGAGCGGCCTGTCGCCTGCTCACATTGCCGCACTCTGTAATAATTCGGTCTGGAGTGCTCTGGCACATCTCAATGATGAAGGAGAGGCCGCATGGCTTGCAAACGAGAGGACGTGGCCCTTTTCGGAGACGCCGCTGCATCTGGCTGCAGCATCCACCCCTGACACCGAGCTTGGTGAGCAATTCTTTCAAGAGTTGCTGGATTGGAGTTGGGTACCCACTGGACCGAACCCTCGAAATATTTTTGAAGAAACTCCGCTACACAGAGCCGCTGCTGGGAATAACGCGAGTGCCATTGAGGCTCTAGTCGCTTTTAGCCCTTGGGGTTTCAACATAGACAATGTGGATCAGTACGGACGGACTTCGCTCTGGCATGCCGCTGCTGCAGGCGCCTGTAAGGCTATTAAGTCGCTAATACGCTTGGGGGCATCTGTCAACCTGACAGATGATCTGGGGAGGAGCCCTTTGCACGCAGCCTGTAGGGGAGGGCACGACGATGCCGTCAAGTTGCTTCGTCAACACGGTGCAAGGTCAGACATCGAGACCAACTCCCTGAACTTATTGCCAATGCATCTTGCAGCCATGTTTGGATATGTTGATTGCTTGACGCTTTTCCTCGATCCCTCGTGGCGAATTGTTTCTCAGGCCAGTCTGGACAAGGCGGTCCAAATAGCGGCCTCGTTCGGGAAGCAGGCATGCGTGGAGAGTCTTTGCCAGTACGGTGCTAACCCGTATGTGGCTTTTGAGTACTACTTACGACCCAGTGATGGCCATGCTGTTGTGGTCGAAAAGGAAGCCGACGCATACACCGCCGCACGTTCGGAGCAGCAGTGGCATATTGTCAGCTATTTCAATACTTCGAAAGCACTAAGAGATCTGCAAAAGCGTGTATATCCTATCGAAGGACAGCTCGGCACGGACAATTCAATGCCGTCTTTCTCTGCTCCTATCGATGCGCTTCCGCCCAAGGGAGAATCGGAACCAGCTTATATACTTTCTGAGCCCTATTATGGCAACCCAGCTCATGAAAACGCCCCTGCCCCTGACACAATGCCTCATGCCAGCAACAATCCCCATTATCCCATCGCACCAAACACAGACACGCCCCTGCATGGCAACCTGCCGGTTTCTGTTTCACCTTACGCGCCTCGGCAAAGACCGCCACAGGCCTATGAAAGTCTTGGTCAACAGTCGTCCGCCAACCTACCAGCCCGGGCGAACCCTTGGTCTTCCGCGCCGTTATCCCAGTCTAAACGGTTGCAGGAGCTGGTGAATCCACAAGGTGGCTACAGATACCAGAGCGCTCCAAGCCAAGAACGTCCAATTATCTCTGTATACGCCTCAGCACCGGCGGCGGAGAATTGGCCTCTTGGCCAGGGTAATAGCTATGGAAGAAGTGCATCAGGTCCAACGTCGTGGTTTCACGCGATGTGGCGCCACAAGGTACTGGAGAAACGACGAGGGCGATAGACATACCCAAGAAATGATTGACCGCGATCATTCGCTATTGTATTGCTATGTTGTAACTCACAATTTTTTTCGAAACAAGCTGATAAGCTTATGAAGCAAACGATACAAGCTAGATATGCGTGTTTCGTCTTGTATAGACTGTTCGAGTAGTCGAGGTCGTTATACCTCCTTTTTGCCTCACTCAGCGCACAACAACACGGCACGTTACTCGAAGGATTTTTGACTTTCTAGACACGTGGCTAAGAGAGGGCCGGGATGGGACAAGTACCCTGCTGCTGCCTGAACCAACAACATCCGCGTCATCTCAATTACATGTCTCTAAATTTATCTCAATGGCCTCAAAATGTCAGGAATCAAGCATTACGTGTCGTTGGCTGCCGTCTTATTAGCCGTTTTTCATAATACAGTAGCATTGCAAAAGACTGCAGCGTATCCAAGGATTGCAGCGTATCCAGAAAATCCAGGTCCCGATACTGGCTTGCCATTCACCAGTAACTTGAGCATCATGGAGTTTATCGATATGTGTACTTCTCACATATATTTTGATGGTTATGGTGAATGTCAGTATCTCTCTGACGATTCGATACGTCAAATCAATCTCTACAATGACTTATCCTACGGTGAAATGGATAGATTTGGGCAGGAAAGGGAGAGGGTCAAACAGGAAAAACAGGAAAAACAGGCAATGGAAAGAGCTGGGAAATCACGGCTGTTTGACGCCCTGGATAACCCAGCCGCAGTTCACCAGCTGATTGTGGAAGGGGAAGACGCCAACTATGAAGATTTTCTCGGAGCAACTCCACTGCACTGGGTATTCTCACAAGAGACCCCGAATCTAGAATCTGCGGATATAATTCATCAAAATGGAGGGAATATAGATAGCCAGGACTACCAGGGAAACACGCCTCTCGAGTATGCCGTTCGCCACGCAAAGACCGCGGCAGGGGCAGAGTGGCTTCTAGCCAAAGGCGCAGATCCAAACATCAAGACGAAACAGAATCTCTTGCTATTTGCCTCGTCTCAAGGCAAAATCGACATCCTTAAGATGTTGCTGGAAGCTGGGGCGGATCCAAACACGCCACGACACTTCCCGCCGCTCTTCTCCGCCATGGGACTAGGAAAGCTTTTCAACGAGACGGTAGATTTATTTCTCGCACACGGGGCCAATCCTGTTGCCCGGACAAATGGGGATATGACGCCTTTGGCCTATGCCGCTCGCCACGGCAATTCTTCTGGCCGCTTGAGCGTGATTCGCAAAGTGTATGAACAGGCACAGCGTCGAGGCACTCCCTATACCGCAGAACAGCTGGGCAAGGCTCTTTCTGAATATCGTGGCATAAACTATCCCCGAGACTTTTTCGAACAGTTTCTGGAGTGGAACGTGGATGTGAATCAAAAAATAGCTCGCCCACACGGAGGCTTCACTCGGCCTTTGATTATTGCCTGCGGCGATGCTGGCGTTGACATGGACGCCGTTCGGCATCTGCTAAGTTTGGGGGCGGATCCAACTTTGACAGATGACGATGGAAACACTCCGCTTCATGCAGCGATACACACAGGAGCACCAGATACGGCGCTGTTCTTACTAGAGATTCTTGACGCCCAGGCGATTGACCAAGTAAATAAGCATGGCCAGACAGCTTTGCATTTCGCCTGCGGGGGGGTTCACCCGGATGCTTTCAATGCCCGCTGGAATAAGAGATTCCTCCTAGTCCCTGAACTAGGAGGCTTTTTCAAAGACGAAGCGGTGCGTCAGTTCAAAGACACGACTATTATTACTCATCGTGCAGAAACTCAAATCGCACGCCGCATGCGCCTCATCCCGGCTCTGCTCAGCAAGGGGGCATCCCCATACGCGCAGGATTCTCCCACAGGCGCCACGCCATTGCACTACGTGTGCAGGCTTGGAGTTGCTGAGATTGTGACTGCTTTCCTGCAGGGCTGTTCTGGGAAATGCCTGCAAGTAAAGGACAATCTGGGCCAGACGGCATTGCACTGGGCGGCCGTATACGGCAAAGCCGGCGCCGTGAAGGCGCTCCAGCAATGGTCCCAAACAGAACAAGATTTCGTAGGCGACGACGGAGGACCGTACGGGCGAAATCTCCCCTGCGTGGCGGACAAAGATGGTCGCCTGCCGCTTCATCTTGCCGCAATGAAGGGCCACGACGATGCCATGGATGTGTTGCTAGAGTACACTCCCGCCACGCACTACAAAGCCAAAGACGTGGACGGCCGCACGCCTTTGTGGTATGCCGAGGAATGGTTCGAAGACACAGACTATGGGAGCTGCGTTTTATATAGAGACGACGACTGTGCGGGCAAGATTCATAGGAAGTTGGACAGTGTGCGCGTTAATCCGCGTTACTACTATGCTTTTGCTGCTGTGGCTTCTTTGGTGGGTGTGGCGGTCATCTTTCGGTCTGCTATTGCTGGTGCTGCGGGTGCTGTTGTTGATTTGGGCTGTAGGCTCTGTGTGAAGGCGTGGGAAGGGGGAGAAGTTGGTTGGCGATGGGGGCTGGTTGCGTGGCGATGGGGAGTGGTTGCGTGGCGATGTGCTGTAGCTGGTGCTGTGGCTGGGTGGCGATCTATGCGAGATGAGTTTCACAAGAGCCAGGAAGGATACAAGTCAATCTCACAATGATAGTATTTGCAGCAGACACATGTTTACATATATATTTATACATATGCTGCCCTGGGCATCATCGCCCAAGTGCCGTGAATCTGATCTGCTGTCTGTAAACTATGTATAGTACAACTCTTCCTTGATGCCTTTTATAAAAACAAAAGGCTTTCCCATCTCAAAATGATTCCATCATTAATGCTTATAAAGGCCATGCATGCAGGTAATGTATGCCAAATATGCCATTTGTGCAAAAGCAAAATGAGCAAAAAAAAAAAAAAAAAAAAAAAATACACAAAAAAACAAATAACTTTTTTTGTTTGTCCCTCCCTTCCTAAAAAAAAAAAAACGCCATGAAAAGTTTCAAAAGATGCCCAAAATTGTTGGTCAATGCTGTGATGTGTCGAATAAATCAGAGCGACGAGGTGTAAAGCACACGGGTTCTCTGTCCAGATGCCGAGTTGCATGTGAATACTTTTAGAAAAAAAAGTGAGACATTTGGCTGGCCAAACAATGATAATGGCAATGACAAAGCAAGAAGTAAGTAATTCATGTTGTCCCTTTTGCGCATGTGCCTGTCGGCATCTGAAACTGCAAATCAAAAAGATTGTGTCCTTCACATGTCTTCTTGTGTTGGTACATATGCATTGCTCGCAACAGTAAATGCCGCCGTCATGCTCTCGTCATGTACTCCGTTGCATTGTCGCGAGGCAGTGTCCCTAATTGGACAACAGCGGTTAAGCTCAACTTGTTGACAAGTAAAAAGCCGCGCATAGCTCGATGCTGCTGCCGCAGTTGTCGTGAAAGAAAAACAAATTGGTGGTGACAATGCATTACTCATAGCGGCCCACCGAGGGGGTGCCAAGTCCATTCTGCAAAAAAACACCAGCATCGTAAATCATGAAAAAAATTATCTCATGAGGGCTGCCGTTGAGCAGAGTATATGTGTGGCTCATACGAATCATCCAGAAGGGGTTGCAAAGCGGGCTTGCCACTTACTCTCCTGTATGGCCCTTGGCGTTCCCTCTTTTCTCCTTTTTTTTCTTCTTCGTTTCTTGTTTTTTTTTTTTTTCGACTTGTGCAAGACTAGTTGAATATAGACGCAGCCTCAAGAATCTTCAAAAACGCCGAGTTCTGAATCAAATAGTCGCCGTTCTGGCCCTCCAAGTGCCCCCCCTTGGAAGCCTGTTCCCGAAAGCCGCAGCCCTGCATCTGCGCAATGATGTGAGCCGCCGCATCGCAAGACATGGTCTGCGGCGCCTCAGACGAAAAGTCGGCATCGCTCGGCGAGGGGGCATTCATGTGACTGGAGCTTGGTGTGACGGGCCCCGTGCTGAGCCCCGTTGTCGAATCGTCCGAGGTGATGGTGGTGTCCGAGTCGTGGCCAGAGCCGCCATTCTGCTGCTGCATGCTGGCACTCGCCAGCACGGCCAGCTTGTCGACGTGGGCGTGCTCCGGGAACAGCGTGGCCACCGTCGACGCCCGGCCCAGGCTGGCGATGCTCTCGGCCGTGGCAATCTTGGCGGCGTAGTGCTCGGCCTCGGCGGCGTCCTGGCCCTTGAAGCTCTGCAGGAAGCTCTCGACGGCATCGACGCCGACGCCGTTGTGGGCGAGCAGCATCTTGAGCCGCGAGTTCTCAATGGCCACGTCGCGCGCGGCCTGCTGCATCTCCAGCGTCGCAGCCACGCCCTTTGTCTCAAAGTCCTGCAGCTTCCTCTGCATGCCCTCGACGTATTCTTTCCGGCGGGCCCGGGACCGGCGCTGGTTTTCTCTGATGCGGATCGCTGCAGCACTTGACTTGGCCGAGCTGTCGGTTTCCTGCTGCATGATTGTCAACAAAAAGGAGGCAGATGTTTGATGTTGTGGTGTTTTCGAGTTGGTGCGGAAAGGTGCAGATTTGGCGGGAGAAAGTGAGAAGTGAGAGTGTGTGAAAATTTGGTGACATGCTGCACAAAAAAAGCGTGGGGGGGCCAGTGACATGTAGAAAAAACACAAGAGGAAAAAAGACATACCTTTGCTCTGGGCATTGTGCAAGCTCAATTGCGTAAAAATGCAGTGCACATAAAAAAAGAGAAGAAAAGAATACAACAAAATAAAATGAAGGAGAATTGCGATTGGCCAAGGCAAATAAGAAAGATTCAATTGCAGCTGTGGTGGGTGGTGACAAAAACTCATGCAGAGTTCGTTCAGTTGACAGGAAAAAAACCCAGGGCGAGTTAGCAGAAAGAGGGACAAGAAGGATTTTTGTCAGCAGCACAAAAAGTCGCGTGCGCGCTTCCAGGCCACTAACACTAACAGAAGAGCAGTTACCGTGCTACAGAGACACTACACCAGCAGATTCTTTTTTTTTCTCTCCTTACTCCATCGTCTGCAGCAACAAACACCGAATGGGACCTGAGCAAAAAAAATCTGTCACTAAAAGGCACCGCCAGCTCCACCGTCGTGGCCCCAATTACGGAGCCGCACTTGCGACCAAACGGGCAATAACGGCTGCAGGCTAGCGAGGCACGAAAGCTGCGCGTCATCGTCTATCCAGGCCGTTTCATTCGTCTTTGCAGATGCTGAGAGATCCGGGGAGGACGATCAATTCGAGTTGGGTGGCCATGTCAGGTGCCCCATGGAATTGGCATATCTCTGGCAGTATAAGTAAGCATTTTGCAGTAGCAGTAGAGAAATGGTAGTAGTAGCGGTTAGACCTGCAGTGACAAACAAAACAAGCCGTCTCTCTTTAGTTCAGGACGATCGCCTCCATAATTCATAATGAAAAAGAAAAAGAAAAAAAGCAACCGAAAATTCCAAAACGCCATCCCGCAATTGGTCCCTTCCACCCGCTTAATGCCGAATAAAAGAGAAAGAATAAGAAAAATAGAAAAAATACCACGCTAGCATGTCAAACCAAGCGCCTTTTTTTCACCGAAACAGCCTATTCCGCGTCCTCGTTGAAAATCTTTCCACCCCAGTCCCCTGCTGCGCGTGCCACAGTTGCTGGACCCCTACTCCTCGACTCTCGTGACACACTTTGTAGCGTCGCCAAGCCTCTCGCAAATGGTCCGGTCGGAGTGGACCCCTCTTGAGGTCGACCTCTTCTTCAGTCTTGTCTGCCGCTGCTGCTGCTGCTGCTGCCTCCTCGCTTGACGGCGGTGGCGTTGGCAGGTCGCTCTGCTTCTCTCCGGACAAAACCCACTCGGCCTGGACGTTTCGTGCGCCCTCGATGATCTCTCCGGCAAAGAGCTTGGCCACTGCCTTGACGGCCGTGGCCACCATCTGCGGCACCGACTGCGAGACGGTTGCATTGACAACCTAACCTTGTCAGCTCATCCATCACCTTGTCTTGTCTTGTTTCCTCTTCTTCACTTACCCTCTTCACAACCGCATCACTCAACTTCGCCGCCCGCCAAAACTCATACCGATCATACTGCAGCGGATCAAACGCTTCCACGAGCATAGCCCTCAATCTTATTTCCTCCTGCTTCTGCTCCTGTGTCCGCGCGACCGCGTCCTCCAGCGCCATCTCCGCCTTGTCATCATCCTCATCATCCTCCAGCTCCTTGTCGCCGCCCGGCCCGCTCGCCGTCGTAGGTGCCTTGCCCCCAACAAGGCTGGGCGTCTTCTCCGTAGCATCATCTCCCCCCTTTGCATTCTTCGTCCTCCTGCCGCGCTTCTTTCTGCCCGCCGTCGCGCTGACCACGCTGCCGCTGACATGTGACGTCGCATCGACCGACGGCGACCTTGGGTACGGCGAGCCCGAGCCGGCCTCTGGCGGGAACGACGTCTGCCGCAGGGGGTGGATCGGGGGCTGCGAGACGACGGAGCTCTTTCTGCGCTTTCCAGGCGGCATGTTCACGTCCATCGTCGACGTTCGCTTCTTGCTTGTGATCTGGATTGGGGACGGGTAAGGAGGCGACATGGCCGACGGCGACGCGGCATATGGAGGCGACGCCATGTTTGCGAAGAGTGCTGAACGCTGCTGACGAAAAAGATTATGCGCTGATGCCTCCAATGGCGACTCGAGACGTGTTATAAAGGAACTGCAGCTGCAGATGCCGATAGAAGCCCAACCTTGCGATTGCGATAACGCAACGCGTTGAGCGGGATGTCACGTGAGGCAAAGCTCCGCACCTCCTTCACCTCCAGATCGCAGAGCAGCCACGCGGTGACTAAGCTCTATCAGGGATACTACTAGTAGTACGGAGTAATCAAGCTGACATCAAAACTGTACAAGCATGTCAAGGTCATCTCAAAGACTACGAAGTCGTATCAACATTCCCATTCACAACGCATTTATCGGTTAAATTTCCCCTTGTAATTTCTGCAAGTAGCTTTGTTTCTACCTGACGGAATAATTAAAACTATCAAATCGTACGTAACTAGAAATTCCATTAATAATGTTCGCGCACACGCGTACACACATATTCGCCATCCCCTTGATGCGTTGATTTCATTCCTCCCACAAAGTGTAAGAAGAAATAAAAGAAAAATATTCCCGACCTCTCTTATATGCGCCAAGGAGAACGTTTCTCGAAAAAAAAAGAAAAACGTGCCAGAAGAAACATTAAAAACAAAAGCACACTGCGTCGTCCTGGTATTACAAAACACATAACAAGTCCCTTCCAGGCAGCACCCAGTACCAGAAACTCCAGATCCCTCCCAAAAGTTGGAGACGAGATTATCCTCTCTCAAAATAGTAGTACGAATAAGTGTGTGGAGAAAAGAAATGAAGCCTTCCCAATAATGAAAATCGTACTACTCCCCATCCAACATCGCATCCAGGTTGTTTCTCTCGCTCTCTAAAAAGTCTGCTGTGACGGGTCCGTTCGTCATCGTGATATCTTTCTTCTTTTGGTCTTCGTCTTCATCTTGATTCGTCATTTCCTCAAACATTTGGTCCACCTTTCTGTCGTCGTGTTTCATGCCTTCGTCCATATCCGCCGGGGTCATGGACCGCCCATGGTCGCTCATAGACCTCTGCCTGTTGTTCCAGATATCGGGTCCCCACATCTTCTCGGCCTTTTCTCTGCCCAGCTCGGTGCGAGCAAAGATTTCAAGAGCCTTGTTCTTGTCTGCTTCCGTCTGTAGATCCATATCATCAACTTGACCGTACAGAAGCCGATCTTCAAGCGACATGGTCGAGTCGTCTGCCGCCAAGTGAGGACCTCCTCTCAAGAAGCTAGGATGCAGATTGCTGTCTGAGTCTGCGGAACCCATCTTAATGTCACTATCTGAAGGCGAGTGAGACTTCTCGTCTGGGTGCCCGTGCGAATTAGCCGAGATGCTCGGAGTTGCCGAGTGGGAGCCGCGAGGGAAGTACGTCGCCGGTCCATATGCCGAATTGTGCGGGTTAGGCACATTGGGCATGGGTGTCGGCGCTTGAGCCGCAGCAGCTGCCGCCTCCGCATTCGCTGCCTTGCGTCGCAAACTATTAGCCTTGCCTTTAGCATGCTCAGGAAGGTCGTCTGGATTGTCGACTCCGTATTCAACGAGCATCTTCTGCAGCTTCGTGGGGCGAGGTTTGCGCGTGCTCAGAGAGACTTGCAAGATGGGCGGTGCTTCCGGCGCGACAGGACACCACTTGTGAAGTTCTTGCCGGAAGAAATTGGTCTCGTACGACAGCAGAATTTCTGCGCCTTCCAACTTCCGAAGAAAGAATCGCTGTGTTTCGGCCTCGGCTTCTGTCGAAAGAAGCGGGTTGCAGTACTGAGCAATCTTGTCTCTGAAATTTTGCGCATTGTCAATGATTTGCCGCAGAACCTCTTCTTCTTCCGGCTGAAACGGTAGGCCTAGTATCTCGTCGGCAAGAGCAGTGAGATCTTCAAGCTTGGGTCGAGCCGCATCCCGAGGAATCTTCATTCGCCAGTCGCATATCGGGCAGGTATACTTGTCGTCCTCCTTGACCTTGCCACGGGCAATCTTAAGGCACTTGTAGTGGTACCTGTTGGCAAATATTGTTTAGCTTTTCTTCCATTTATTTTTTTTTTTTTTTTTTTTGCGGGCACAAATCATCAAAACTTACCATTCATGGCATAATTCGCACTCAATCATCATACCAGCCTCAATCTTTCGACAAATGCAAAACACCTGCCTCGATCGATCGTCCCACCTGCCGGATCCCGCCTCTGGGCTAGCTTCCCTGGATACAGGCTCTCCTGGAAGACGCGGCGTGTCGTGGTCAGTGTCGAAGCAGTCAGTGTTTCGCTCAAGAACGTGTTCCAAGTGGCTTTTCAGAATATGCAATGGCGCGTTCGACTTTCCAAAGAGCTTTTTGCCCTTGCGCATCCAATCTTCATGTCGCTTTCTCTCATTCTCTAAATCGACGGTGCCAGTCGGCTTGGAATTGAGATCGTCTAGCTTTCTAGTGATGTCGACAACTTCCGAGTACTTGGGTCGGTTTCTAAAATCGGGATCGCGGCATCGCTCGGTGAGGTCAATGATTTGGAGATGCGCTTCGCGCTGCTTGTGGAGTATCTGATCGACAGCGGCCAGAGTGTCGCGAGAAACAGGCAAGACATTGGCTTGTACCTGCGATCTAAGTGCCTCCAACTGAGAATAGTGAACAAACTCAGCGTGTGTCAGTTCTCGGGCCTTTGCTTCCCAGGCCTGGCCTGCAGCCAGCTTGTCATGATAGTACTTCAAGTGGTCGTTGTAGTTGGGGATTTCGAGCCGCTTTCCTTCTTCAATGATGTCTTGTACCTCCGTCATTCCTAGTAATACGGCGCGGTTCGTCCTGGCCTTCTCGTTCCACCGTAACTCTTCTAGCCTCCGAGATAGAGCTTCTAGCTCTGGGGTATCGATATTGAAGCCGCGCCCCTCTTCGATCAACTCTTCAATTGTTTCCACTGGAGGGGGGACGTTTTGCTTGAGCGCTGCAGAGGCATTATCTTGGAACAGCTTCAGGGCGGTAGCCCGTTCCTGAAGCTGTGCTATCTCAGGACAGTCGAATCCAATGTGCTCTGCCTCTGCAAGCAGTCGGTAGATATTATCTACGTGGCGGCTTTCTTTTTCCTTCTCTTTTGCGTCGTTATTTGCGCTTCCTCGGCGTCCAGTGGCTTGCCAAGCTTTCTCATTCTTGCGGCGGTTCTGCTGCTTTCTAACAATGTAATTGGTAGCTTCCTCGACCCAGTCATTACATCTATCAACAAACTCTTTCAAGATAGGCAGAGAAGGAAGCTCAAATGGGATCTTTTCGCCCTCGTGCAAAATAGCCCGCAGAATCTTCAGAGACGGACTAGCTTCCTCTTCCAGAAGCTTGTCATACTTCTCCTCCCACGCCTCGGGGGTATGCGCTTTGTCAGACGCCTTTTGGTATACCAAAGTCATGTCTTCATCGGTTTTCCGGTAGACTAGCGTATGCTCTTCGCCCAAGAGCCGCTTCTCTTCTGGCATGTCGCAGCAGGAATGGCTTCCCGCGTGGAAGATGCATAGGATTTTGCCTGAACGGTGGCACTTGAAACGAGACAGGTATGCAAATGTCTTACAATAGCTGCAGCACTGTTCTTCCTCGTCATGGACATCAGTGTCGTCGATTTTGAACGCGAGTGGGCAGGCGTCTTCGCTTCCCCCGGTAACCTTGCATCGATGAGGCGATGCTTCGTTATGCTTTGCGAGGAATTCGTCTCTCTGTGCTCGTTCACGCTGGTGAATGCGGTCGAGAGCTGGTGCGAGCCATTTTGCTGTTTGAATGGTGAGACCCGAGGATGCGCTTCCCTCGGCAGCAGTCCATAGCAACTCATCGTGAGAAAAGCATGGTTGGCGGCGGAACTGCTGCAGCCTTTCCACTCCAGCCTGTCCAAATTTCTCCCAGTCACAAGGGGCAAAATTGACAGCTTCATTGAAGTTGAAGCCGTGGTTGAAGCCGGCGTGGTAGGCCTGAGGAAACGTAATGACCAGCTGACCAGCTCTCTGGTCCAATGCGTAGACGCGCACGCCTGCCTTTTTCAGCTGCTCGGGCGTAAGGAGCGTGACTAGCTGAAAGAGCAAATCTGGCTGAGTCTCGAAGAGTTCTGGCACGGCCTCTTTCATCGCCGTCTCAAACTTGTCTGCGTCTTCTCCTGGTATGCCATACCACGTCTTCGTCGCTCCCAGGTGCTGATAATTGGCTGAGTAGGCATAATGATCTTCGTTGTGCCAACAAAATGTCGAAAAAATCATGCCCACGTAAACCCAAGGGACCGTCATGCCAGAGATGTCGGATTTGATGTGTCTAAATAGACTGTCTGGATGAAAGGGGAGGACGTTGAGGTTCCATGGATCGGTGGCATATGGATTATTCGGATGCTTTTCGATTGTGGGGAAGCCGGAACCGTGTGTAGTGCAGTGGATATCAGCGCCATATTCAACCTCGACAGTCTCTTCTAAATCGGCAACCAGACGCCAGAATTCTCTTTCAACATCTTCTTCGGTGACTGGCCGGTGGCACTGGAGAGTGTCGTCGAAGGGCATCTTTTGCTCAAAGTAGCCCTGTTTGAAGTCGTTTGCCTTTTGTTGAAACTGCTTCAACGAGTATAGGCCTCCCTCTTCGAACCCAAACTGGCCGTCTCCCACCAAGCACCGTGGGCAGTTCCATTCGGCGTCCGGTTTGCGCTTCAACGGGGGATCGAGACAAGGGCCGTGGTACGCATGATCACAGGACTCACAAACAAGCAGAGGGCCGCTGTCTTCGCCCCGTCCACAGTTTTCGCATTTTCCTCCGGCGGCAGCGCCTTCTTCCCGGGGAATTCGTGGAACAGACGGGCGAAACACGGTCATGTGCGACCCGGCTACCGTAGGTACGTTGTCTTTCTTGAGGCGCTTACTGCTACGCCGGCTCGCGCTGTCAGCATCATCTCTGTCGGTATCCACCTCCTTCTTGATTCCGTCTGCCGGGCTCGCGGTGCCCAGTTGGCGCTTCAGCGCGGCAGCTGAGCTGAGGCCAGACGGCCGAGCCTCGGGAGTGTTTCTCGCAGAAGTGGCAGGACTGTCGTAACGTTTGGGGTCTGGCGTGTAACTCTTGTTCTCGCCATTGGTAGGACGATTTACACTAGTAAATCCCGAATTGACTGCCGTGAAACCGCCGCTGGTATTGATAGCCGTGAATCCACCAGGAGCAGGAGCTACCGGCGGCGCATCGGCCATGGGCGTGTCTCGATCCACCTCCTTTTTGTTACCAACGCTGTTCTGGAGGGCATCTGACGCTTGCCGAGCAGGCGATGTCCCTCGGACACTGCTCGGAGTGTTGGCAGAGGATCGCTTGATGGGTGTCTGTGCGGGGCTGGGAGTCAAAGGACCGCCGTACTCCTGTTCGAGCTGCTGGTGTACTCCGGGTTTTGCCAGGCGCAGATACTCTTCGTACGGACAGAGCCATCGTTGGAAGGAGTTCTTGAGTGATGTAGACAAGGATGACATTATCTTGCCACTATAGCCAAGATCTCTTCCAATCTCGGCCCATTTCTTCAGCTTACACACCTTGTCAAATCCGCCTCTAGATTCGACAGCTTTTTTCAAGCGATACAGATCAAGCGGCTTCTTGTCGACATATGGTAAGCGGTGCAAGTTGCTTCCCTGCTGCTTATGAAATTTGGCAAGGCCATCCAGATACGTAAGATTGGCGCGCGTGCCTAGAGTAATGAAAAAAGTTAATAAGCAAAACTGGCTTCCAAGATCTTGTCTATTTTTCCCTCCCTGTTTTCGGTTTTCCGAAATAAGAAGGTGTAATGGAGAAACTCACTGCCTTCAACAGAATTCAATTCTTGTTTTCGTGTCCGAAAGTGGAATTTCTACCAATCTGTCAGTCGTTGCATCATCGTGCACGCAGCGAGTCAGTGTAATCAATACGCGGATGCGTACCTCGGTGTCAATTGCAAATTCAGGGTTCCATGAATCCGGGGGAATAATCTTGCAAATTCCATATTGAGAAGCCTCTGGGGCGATTTTATTGATATACTGCAGGGGGTCACGCCAATCGTCTTCTGTCGGGCAGTAGGTCGGGGCTTCCGATATACCATGTGGGCGTGTTTTCTTCTTGAGCGGTTCTCGCACCGCTGTAGGCTGGCCGCGTCTCTCGACCGAGGTCAGGTCCAATGGCGCGCTGACCATGGCGCTCAGTGGCACGGGTGGATTCGAGGGGTGGTAGCCGTTGGAGTTGACTTTGGGCTTCGGCTTCGAGGACGAAGGGGTCGCAGACGTCCCAATCGCAGGCGAGCTGCGCGAGCTCGCATTGGCACTACTGGTGACGGCCGCCGCTGCGCTGAGGGAGGCATTCGGTGCCATGGCGCAAACGGATCCCGGGGCTGAGAATTCGGAGGCGACAGGCGTGGTTGGTGGCAGGCGCAGGCTTCCGATATTGCTGTCGTTCGATACGAGGAGGGAAGGGTCGGCCAGAGAGGCTCATATAAGGAAACACCTGTCGTGAGGGCACAATCCGCATCGCATCATGTATGCGAGGGACTATAACGTCTCGGGACCACCAAATCGAGACGTGATCAAAGGCAGGCCGTGGAGTCTTGTTTTGTCTAGGCCGATATAGAGAGAAGAAAAGAAAAGAAAAAGGCGAATCGTGGCTCGACTAACAGAGGATGAGTACTTGGAGTTGGAGAGGAAAGGACGGTTATTTCTTAAAACAAGTGGTCAAGCACAGTTGGAACATGGAACATGGCGCCAAGTCCCAACTAACACGAAGGGCAGAGCGCACGCCGCGGGAGAGACATACATATAGGACACAAACGACTGGGGGCGTTTGTATTGTATTGTCGAGCCGCAGACGACGATTCGATGGCAGGGCCACGGGAGCCGCAGAAGCAGAGAGCCAGCAACGGTGATGCGAGTTCTGCGAGTCTCGTTGGCCCTCGTGGTGGTGCAGATGCCGGAGCGAGATTAGCTCTGGAGAGTGGGAAGCGCACGAGTGGGAATATGGGTCGAGGCTTCCGGCGAGAAGGTGCGCAGGACGTTCCTGGCGAGAGACGCAGAGCAGAGCGTCGAGCGAGAGGACTGGCAGTACCCAGTACCTTGCAGAGCCCGTGGGAGATGCGCCCGGCCAGGTACTGGCGACATTGCCTCGGCGAGCCGCTAGCACTTGCCCTGCCGGACGAGCTGCTGCCAGTGCATGTACTTGAAGTGTGCAGCGTACCGGTACAAGTAATACGGCCAGTACCTCTGTAATGCGCTGCAGCCAGCCCCGGCAGGAAGTAACCAGCCAGCCAGATGGTCCGTGTGGGTGGGGCCATCCATCAGGCAGCCAATGGGCGGCCGCTGATTCGATGGATCCCAGGCGCTTTTTCGCTGGGCAAGTACCGCTGCTACGCCGTATGCGGCCTATTGCTCTGCCTTTGGACTGCGCGCGCGGTACGGAGTACATGCAGCAGCACCTCTGCACAGGCAATGCTTCCAGTGCGTCTTGCGCGGCGATGGGTACTCGGGACTTGCGGAGACTTCCAGTGGCTCCCGACCAGGCTCCCTCAGCCCCGGAGGCTCCCTGTCGCGTCCAGTACTCGGTACCTTGGCCGCTTGGAGACTGCGCCGTACCGGTACTTTATATCCGTGGCCCGAATTAGATTGAGACTCTTGTGCATGATGGAGTGCATCCAGGCGGGCTCGCTCAGGGCCTTTTGGCTCGCTGGGCGGACGATCCGGTGCGCTCAGAAGCTCCTCTTTTTCGCTGCGTCTGCCTCTCGCTCTCGGGGCCGATGCAGTGCTCCCACCGGAGGCACCGATCCCGACAGCACAGCGCGAAGAGGCAGAGGCAGAGGCAGAGGCAGCGCACAGCACGGAGGGGCGTGGCAGCCTGTAGCCAGATATCATCAATTACTCACGGCCGCATTACGTCAGTACACATATATTGATCATTCTCTACCTCTGGCCAGCATCCATCGCTGTTAGTTTTTTTTTCCTTTGCGGCGTTTGCAATGGCGCCCTAGACGGCAATGGAGGTACAAGCACAGTTGCCCACCATGCAAGTGACACGCCCCACTGCAGACGACATCCGGCCGGCCTGGCCTGGCCTGGCTCTAGCAGTCTCTTCCAATTGCCTGCGCTGAGCTGAGCCGCTTGTTTGCTCGCAGCCTCCCGCTATTTTTATGCCCGAGGTTATCGCTAGCAGGTTAATTTTGCAAATGGAAGAGATTTATGTGGGCTGCGTTGGTGAGAAGGCGACTGACTATTGCATTAGCTTCCTCTTAGTTTTCACAGCGCATCACATGCATCGTGATTTCCGCCTCTCATCAATATCTCATATCCAATATTGTCAAATAGGCACAAGATGATTGAATATGGTTCATAGCTAGCAGCTTCTTATACGACAGCTGGAGAGAAGAGAAGAAAAACACATCATGCGAGTCAAGGAGCTGGCTAGGGCAATAGGGGCGGCACAGCAATCCAGATGCTGATCCGAGCGACACAATACCGAATTTCCGGAAGCACGTCGGTCGTGTGTCGAGTCAGCCGTCAAATCCTTCGGTATTCGAAAAGAAAAGCCCATCAGCAAGGGGCGCTTTTCCGCTATAAAACAGGACATGGAAAAAGACACGGAAAATCATTGTCGCGCCCGCAGATAATTAATCACAAATGCCCGTCATTCGATTTAACCTGGCATTTATTCCCAGCAGTACCGACATCGTACTGCGCACACTCCTGCTCTCTCATGCTCATACAGGCCAATATGCTCCGGCTAGTCTGCTGCCGCTGACCACGCTGCGCCCATAATCTCCTCCCTCCTCAGCTAGAGAGACAAATCTGATATGAGTGGTTGCACCGACAAGGGTCAGACCCATGGTGGGCAGCTACCGAGCCAATCAGGCGTCGATGAAGTTGAACGGCCGTGTCCACAGCCCGTAGCTGGCGCAGCAGCCTCATGCAGAAGGATCATTTCGATGAGACATGCTGGCTAATGAGGAAAAGAAAAGGTGATGAATACCATGTAATAAATGACAGTTGTAAAGCAGAATAAGAGCTTGCTAAAGCGGTAGCACTCGGTTCGTGCGACTGTAAATACAGTCATGGTGCCAGTTGCAGCGCATGGGCCTAAATCCACGTACTACCTACTTGATGGCATCTATATTACTCCCTACTACACCAAATGCACCAGAGCAATTAAAGGAGGCCTCGTGTCTCGTGAATGCGGCTTTTGCACGCGCCTTGCCTGTTTCTTTCATTGTTCCGAGCCCAGATTACCGAACCCGCGATCTGCGACTTTGAGGCGCAAGATGAAAAAAATCCCCCACTGCCATTGTGCCGTCATCACCCCCACCATCAAGCCTTGAGCCTCCTTCGAGGCGCAAGCGAAGCGCAAATCATGCTTGGATCATGGTTCAGGGAATCCCCGGCGATGAATGATCATCAGGCACCTCCACGTTTCCATGCAATGTGTACGTCAATGGCTTCTCCAATATCAGCTGCTGTCAAAAAGAATGCAAGATAGTCCAAAATCCGCGCAACCAAAAATCTATACTTTAAACCATCAACGCCCAGCTCAAAGAAGCTCCGGAAAACCCCCCATTGGCTCTATCATGCTTCCTTTGCCGCCAGCCGTCTCTTCTTCTTCAGCAGCTTCTCCACCTCGCCAGCTCCGCGTGTCCGGAGACTCAGTTCTTTGATCATGTCTCCCCATCGAATATTGCCTCTGCATGATGGGCATTCGCAGCTGTTTGGTAGAATGGCCTCGGGGTCGTCATCGCTAGCCAAAGCACGCTTGCTCCAGCAGTCGAGGTGCCCCATTGCCTCGCAGCCATCATTGGGGCACATTGCGTATAAACCTTGGTCAGGCTCCATTTCCTCGTGGCAGTGGATGCATTTGCCCTGTCTTTCGAATGATACCACATCATGTGCCTTTTCGATGTACTCCTTCATCGGCCAGTAATCCAGAGGCAAAGAGTGAATCCCCCATGATGTCGTCGAAAGGTCGGCGGCAGATGGACCAAAGTCGCTGAATATCTCCAGTCCGGCTCGAACAGCCGTCTTGCTTGTTTCTACCCGGTCTATCCAGGCTTCGTGAGCGTCTTTGCTAAAGAAGTGCACGTTCAATGGCCATCTTGCGAAGCTTGGTACGCTTGTAAGGAGGTGGATATTAGGAATAATAGAGTCAAGAGAATGCGGTGATCGTGCTGGCATGCCATTCTTTTTCCGCCGCGTAGCCACTGTAATGCGATCTTCTTTTGGTATATGGAGCGTAAGGTGCGGGTTGTTCAGCGCCCATCTTGTAAACTGAGTATCAGTATCTGAGGCAACCCCAGGAGATGCAGGGTAAGGTTATCCGGCGTTGCAAAAACCTACTCAAACTTCAAGGCTGCTACCGAGCTCGGGAATCCAGTGACAAGCACAATCATCTCCCAGGGCCGCAGACTCTCGCGCGATGTCCGCACCGCACCGCCTTTGGCCTCACCATTGTGTTGTTTGAGCCGCCTTGGTGGATTTGGCGTGGATCCCACGTATATCGATTTGCTTCTCACCGTGGAGCGCAAAACGTAAACAGCATACAGAGCAGGCAGAGGCTTGGCCAGACTTGACATGCCTATTCCTTTGTTACTATATGAGATTCAGAACGATCTCTCGATAAGCACCGATTCCGGGTATGTCATGTCTGTGTAGGGTAAAAGATGTTGATAAACGCGGTCCCAAGTGTTGTTTTAGCAATGGCTGAGTGACGATGACTAAGCACCATTGTTCCCGACATAAGAGGTACTACTACTCAAGATGAGCGAGCTTTTGATATCTCAGAACATTGGAATTTAGTATGTAAATGCTAAGAAATTTAACTAAAATATTCGTAGCTACCTAGATATCATTAGAATTAGGTACGCTTTGGTTGCATCAGTATAGATACAGAATGCAGTGCGTAAATTGTACCTCAAGCGTGCTCCTATATCCTCTCTAGACCTTGGGAACTTCATCTTCCTGCTGGACGCGGTAATCATTTAGCTTCAGACCCTTCAGATTCTTCAATATCCCATCAATTCCTGGCTCAAGCAAACTCTTTACGCTGCAAGAGTGCCCAGCCGAACGCTGGCGGTAATCGCTTGGATTGTACCAGGTTGGCGTTCGAAATCCAAGCAGAGTCTGCTTAATCTGCATTAAACTTGGGCAAGGGCGTGAATTTAGGAGCTGGGACTCGCTGATTCCGTGCTCGTGCATTGCTTTGATGAGCGTGCCGAGAAGCATCGTAGAGCATCCATCTCCACAGCTTCTATGTACCTCGCCTTTGATCAGCGCTTCACGAATTTTGTCTACATGGCGTATAATTCTTTGTAGCGAGCTTGCTCTTTTTTCCTCAATGGCATCTGTGTGCCGTCTGTCAGCTTTTATCCTCATCATGAAGGCAAGTATGGTCTCAAACCTGATACTGCTGGCGGCAGCGGCAAGAACATGGCATTCACCGGACCTTGGCTTTCCTTTATACCTTGCTCTGTCATCTCTTCGAATATCGCGGCGTCTGAAAAGACCCATGATATGAAGATCCAGAGCGTAGTGAATGAGCTGTATGTCGTTGGCAGGTAAAACTTATTCTTATGTATCCAGCGACGGGCAAAGATTTCAGTTATTTCGTGACACTTGTAATAATCTACAAGGATGCCAAAATGCGCCAACGTTTCTGGGTGAAGATCATCGGGAAGCTTCCTATGGCGGCCATGAATAATGTTCATCAGGAGGAGAAGCGCCTCTGTGTTCCACTCCGTGGCCGATATCTCGTGACGCACTTGTAGCTCTGAATCAGATGTGTCTCTATTCTCTCGTCTGGCAATTTTCCTAGGCCGCTCATCGAGAACGGTGCTCTCTTTCCAGCATCCGGAGAGCATAGCATCAAAGACAGGCGATGCGAGACTCAAGTGCCGTGAAGAGAGCAGGAATTGCACTTTTTTGACATTACTAATTTCATTCATCAGTACAAAGCTTACAAATGACTGCTTATTCGATATCATTTGCGCAGCGTCATTGCCGTTTCCAGCAACTGGTTGGATCACCTACTCGCTCGCATTGGGATCATCCATGCTTGCTGTAGGCTTGCCCGACTGGACGCTCTCATGGACATTACTATCAACTTCTGGGGTGGCAACTAGAATGTCTCGCTCTGCTCTGCGCGCGCTCCGGGCAAAATCGAGATGATCTGGACGTCGGAGGGTGAGCAGCACGTCGCCATGAGGATCCAGCTCGAAATATTGTTTCTGCATGTTGACGCCAAGCAGTATAAATTTTGGATATGAAATCAATTGTTTGGCGCAAGTGAGGGGCGTGATCCAGCGGTGATCAGCTGGCCCTTGAAATTTAAACAGTAAAATTGTCTATGCAGGAATATCTTTGTGCAGTGTTCTTCTATGGAGAGGTAGGGATCATTAAATAGAAGAAGCAAAGCGCGTTACAGCAATAGGTAGAAGTCGTGAGCTCGTACCTGGCAGACACTAAGCCACTTTTGACAGAGATGCAGATCTTACTATGGGCATGATTTTGATAGACACAAAGTAGAACTGCGACACTTGACACTTTCTATGATAGCATATCGTAAACAGAGTACTCATACTCAAAAAAACAGATGTGCAATCTCTAGATAGCTCAAGGGTCAAGTGGTGAGTAAAGGTTCCTCAGTGTAGAATAGAAAGATTGTTTGCTAACGGCTAGCAACCAGTATATGCTTTATAGACGGCATTCTCCCAATTACATTATACCAAGACAATTGCCATGTATTCCGAACAATTTGTCCCTTTCATCCCGAATTGTATTCCCCACAAACTCCCCAATGATTAAATATGTAAAACTTATAGCAGACCCTGCTTCTGTAAATCGTAGTAGACCTTTTCCGGCATGACATTTCCCTCGCCGTCCTCCATCTGCACGACGCTGCCGTCATCAATCTTGCCCCTCCTCTTTTCCTTCTGGATCTTCTCCCACAATCTCATCGCCTCGTCAATACCCGTGATGTCCCTGAATAAGCTGGTGTTGGCAATGCCCAGACACTTCAGACCATATACGTGGCGTGCCTCGTTGAAATGCTTGTCAAAGGCACGCCTGCCCATGTAGACGAAATTTCCACAAATCTCACAGGGGAATTCCACACCCAATCCGTGTAATCGATACAGCCAAAAGGGAATGGGTTTTCCATCCCATGCCAAGGGGAGTTTGAGAGGATTGTAAATCTTTTCCTCGCCGTCTTCCCCTTCGCCGTCGGCCTCTTCTGTTGGCTCATGTCGGGTCTCAGTCATGTTGAGGAGGTTCTCTAGCTCCTGCTGGCGTTCTCTTTCTGTCATGCCCTGTTTACGCTCAACGTTGACACGAGTATCGCTTCGCTCAGTGCTCATGGCGCCGGCCAATCGTTTGACCCTAAATTCGCGTTCTGCCACGGCTCGCTCCTTTAGCCTGGTCGCAGAAACGGTCCCTTTACCAGATCTATTTGCTTCTGGTTTAGACTCTTCTTGCCGTCGGCTTCGCTGCTCGGCAGCCTTGATGTGCTTTCGTCCCGTGAGATGGTTCTTGTAGACGTTTTCGTTGCTGAATTCTTTCTCGCAGTCGTCGCACCATATAGCATCTCCCGTTCGCTGTTTGGCTGGATTCGACGCTCCCTGCTCTAGACTCCATCCCTCTACTTCGTCCTTGGTCCAAACCTCTTCGAATTCCTGGTCGAAAGTCTGCATAATCTTGTCCACGTTCTCTAGAGGTCGAGTTCGTCTCATGAATGACTCAAGATAGCCACTCAGATCACCAACATATTGGAAATATTGATCTGTCAGCTTCTCGTTTCGCTTAACGCCTGCGAAGCCAGGGGCAAAGTTGTCAAACAGCTCCAGATACTGCAGATACGTCAAACGTTTTACGTTTGGCAGATTTAAAAAGGCTTCGTGGCAGGTATTCAGATCAAAGAATCTTCCATAAGCCTCTTCTCCGGAGAAAAGAGAGTCGACAATGGACGGCAATGGTTCTGATGGATCGCCATGTCTTGATAACTTGTACCGCTGCTCGGAGTTCTCTGCTTGCTCGTTGGGGTATCTTGCGTGATGGTCTCGAACGTCCTTCCACTGGCGATAAAACTCTTCGAAGGGGTCTCCACTGCCAATCTGCTGGATCTCTTGTGCCCTGTTGCCGGATTCGTCTTTGTAGATGTTGAGTAGGTTTTGGGACTGTGCTTGGATCTGGTCTAATAGCTGTGCGACTTCGTGATCGCGATTGAGTCTATCGCGGATCTGCACCGGGATACATCATTAGCAATGTAAAAATGAAGGAGCGGGTTGGGAGAACTCACATGCTTGGGGTCCTCACGGATGCGATCTGCGATGCCCTGTTCGAGGCGCTCCAGGTCCTCGTGAATGTATCTCTGTTCTTCTAACACCAACATTTTGTATCCGACCGACGCTTAGAGAAATAAGTGGTAGAAAAGAGAAGAAGCAGGCGCGATATCAAGAGGAAATCGCTTCCAATCAAGATATCAGACAGTTGGGTTGGTAGCGTTTGATGACTCCATAAAAAAACACCAGAGCTGGTCGCGTTTTGGAGAGCCGGGGCAAAAGTGGCTTATCAGTATTGCCGGAGTATTGCCGCCGCTAGAATCGTTATCGATCGAGCCAAAGTTTTAGAGCCCAGATTCCCCAACTGCTAACCTGACTTCATCCCAAAGCTGCCGACAGGACCAGCGACATATCGTATCCTTCTCCCCAAAATTACACACATCTGCATCATGGCTGAAGGCGCTGGAGGAATTGACCGCAAGGCGGATGAGAGGATGGAGTTTTCCACCTCCAAAGAGGTGACGGTGCATCCGACCTTTGAGGCAATGTCGCTGAAAGGTAACTGACCTACTGCTACTGCTACTGCCAGCATTGCGGGCATTGTATCGCCCATTTGAAATCGCGCTGACGAGAAACCCCCAGAGAACCTCCTTCGCGGCATTTACGCTTACGGTTACGAATCACCATCCGCCGTTCAGTCGCGAGCCATTGTCCAGATCTGCAAAGGACGCGACACCATCGCACAGGCCCAGTCTGGTACCGGAAAAACGGCCACCTTCTCGATCAGCATGCTGCAAGTTATTGACACGGCCGTGCGCGAGACTCAGGCCCTTGTTCTGTCCCCCACTCGAGAATTGGCTACCCAGATCCAGTCGGTTGTCATGGCTTTGGGCGATTACATGAATGTGCAATGCCACGCTTGTATCGGAGGCACAAATGTTGGAGAGGATATTCGAAAATTGGATTACGGCCAGCACATTGTATCAGGCACACCAGGACGAGTTGCGGATATGATTCGACGACGCCATCTCAGAACGAGGCACATCAAGATGCTGATTCTGGATGAAGCAGACGAGCTCCTCAACAAGGGATTCCGAGAGCAGATCTACGATGTCTACCGTTACCTACCACCCGCGACCCAGGTCGTGGTCGTCAGTGCCACCCTGCCCTACGATGTGCTCGACATGACCACCAAATTCATGACCGATCCCGTCCGAATTCTTGTCAAGCGTGACGAACTTACGCTCGAGGGTTTGAAACAATACTTTATCGCTGTGGAGAAGGAAGACTGGAAATTCGACACGTTGTGCGATCTTTATGATACGCTCACTATTACCCAAGCCGTCATCTTCTGCAACACTCGCCGGAAGGTTGACTGGCTCACAGACAAGATGCGCGAGGCGAATTTTACTGTTAGCTCCATGCATGGTGATATGCCGCAAAAGGAGCGTGATAGCATTATGCAAGATTTCCGACAGGGTAACAGCCGAGTGCTCATTTCGACAGATGTTTGGGCACGTGGCATCGACGTTCAGCAAGTCAGTCTGGTCATCAACTACGACTTACCAAGCAACCGAGAGAACTACATCCACCGAATTGGTCGTAGCGGACGATTTGGTCGCAAGGGTGTTGCCATCAACTTTGTGACTACAGAGGACGTTCGCATCCTCCGAGACATTGAGCGTACGTTCCAGAAGCTCCCCACATATTCCATTTGACAGGCAACTAACATGCGTGACTCAGTGTACTACTCAACTCAAATTGACGAGATGCCGATGAACGTCGCAGATCTCATCGCGTAATTCACCCTCCTTCTCGCATGGAAAAGATGCATAAGGGAAAAGTATAACTGCGGGCGCAACATAATTGGGGCGAAATACAGAGCCGAGGACCAGGGGCAGGCCCGGCTCTTTAATTGTGGAGGAAAGGGGTAGCAAGTTTAATCAGGTGAGCAACATTCCTCGTGACATTTTGCTGATTTCGCTAATGATATTGAGTGCGTAGATTGGTATTCTTTTTTTTTTTTCTTTTTGGGAACCGAGTCGTGTTTGGATGATGGCTATGGATCTCATTCGGAGTATGCTGCAATTGTCGCCAAGTAACAGATGTATCCATTAATAAAAGCTCAAAAGAAACACGCCACATTGGTGACTCCTTGAATCAGACTCGTAGTATTCTCATCGCAGTCTTTGTGCCTCGACTCTGTACAATGGCTTGTTAATGCCTTGAACAGAAATTAGCAACATCTTGCTGATGCCCTTGCCAAGGGATGTATCGTCAGTTACCTTGGATGAGTCGCCTCCCCGTAAAAGGGGCGTTGAGACAATGAGATATAGGAGTTGAATTCTTTAGGCGATGTTTAAACATAAGGTATGATTGGCTAATATAATGGTTCATACTCTGTACAGCCACAAGTGTTGCATTAGATGTTCACTGCTCGCTGATAAATACACATGCTGAGAAAGTTCGCACGAATATCGTGAACGCGCATATCCACATTGTTGATAGAGGATATTTATCGATACATGTCTGTCTCTTCCATGAAGAGGCGGCAAATTGTGCTATCCAGTTTATCGACAGATACAGCCTGGCATCTTCCCGAATGCTGTGAAAGAAAGGGACAATTGGCCCCTAAATAACTAAAGAATTCGGGGACAAAAGGGGTTAATGTGAAATTGTTAGGGAATCAAGTGACTGTTCATCATACCTAGGTAGTTGACGGCCCCTGGGAGTGTCCAAAATGCTGTGAAATTGTGAAGTCATCCAGCACATAAAATGAGGGGAAGAAACATAAGAAGATGGCAGAAAAAGGCAAATGTAAAGTCGCTGACAGTCAATCAAGTAATATTATCTGTCACATTTGTAGGCCTTGGGGAGAGTAAAAATGCTGTGAAGCTGAAGTTTTGTGACAATGAAAGCAACGGTTTAGTAACAGGCAAATGTAAAATCGCAACGGCCAATCAAGTGATCTTCTCGGCCCCATTTATAGGCCTTAGGGAGAGTTAAAAATGCTGTGAAGCAGCTGTTCGGTAACAGGCAAATGTAAAATCGCAACGGCTAATCAAGCGATCAGATCTGCCACATTTGAAGGCCTCGAGCAGAGTTGAAAATGCTGTGAAAATTAGTGTCGCATGGGACCTTCCTCTTTTTATTGGGCCTTGGGCAGGGTGAAAATTCAGTGAAGGCCGGAGGCAGACGAGGAGTTCGGACGATATTAGAGTCAAGCATATTGCACTTCAAATGGCCGCATCGCTCTCGTTCAATCGACATATAAAGCGGTGACATATCCAGTGACATCCCACCCTCGTATACAATCAGCGAACCCTTTAAATAGAACCCAAAGGTTATGTTACCCAAAAATAGAAGGAAGTAAAACTACGAGTTACTACCTATTTAAACCACTGCCAATGAATTATCAAAGAAGCTCAATTCCCTTGCCATTCTCGGCAGCGGTCCCAGATTAATGACCTTCTGGCACCATAAGCAGCCATCAGTTGCTGTCCTCTCTCCAAATATCCTATTTTGGAGATTGGTGTTAATATCATATCAAATCTTGTTTTTGATCTCCGCGAAATGAGAGATTGTGATTAGAACCACGGGAGAAGGAGGAAGAAGACGCTCCCTTGTATGGTAGGAGATTGCCTGTACGTCATCAAGATATAGATTTAGATAGGGCTCTGATGAGAGTTCCGCTGTACTTGAGATGTGATGTAGAACTACTGGGTATCGCTCTTGAATCTGAGATCTATTTGTAGCAATACTATTATGCTCTTGTTCCTTCGAATGCTGATGAAGAGTCTCGTCATCATTGATGCTATGGACGTTTAATTGGCATGTCGCTTCGGTGTAAAGCGGGCGCATCACCGATATTAGCAGGTAGGATCTCGGCTGAAAGGCAAAAGATGGGTGTACCTGAAGTCATCCATGAAGAATTGCTACTATAAGCTTGAGATCGGTTTAAAGAAGCATCCTTTTTTAGCATTCCATGTCAAGAGAGCCTTGATCTTAGTGGTGTTATCTATATGTATGCTGCGCAGAGGAGATGTGATTATGTCAATACACGTACTTACCAGCACAATTAGACACAACTCATTTCCCTGCTGCACACCCAACCAACATAATTAATCTCCAAAAGTTCGAATTATACTTGTCGCTTATAACAAGCTTCATAAAACTGCCCTCGCGTACAACGTGGCAGGCGATATTTCGCAAATTCGGGATCAACTCCCGGGTAGCGAGAATTCACAGTCACAAGACATGGGCGCATGCACCAACAACAGCTCATTACGGCACTTCTGATGCCAATCTTAATTAATCAACCGCGATATTGCAAGAGGTGGCACAGCATGTGATCACACGGCATGCTCTCAATTGTCTCAAAAAAATAAAAAATAAAACTTAGATAGCTTGTGAGCGATGGGCGCCCATCTCGGGATTTTGTACGGCGCGTACAGCGCGAATGGAAGCAATCGTAGTGCTACACCCTCATTTCGTAGAGTCGCAAGGTTCGAATTGAACTGAAACATACTGGTGAACATCAAATGCTGCATGGTAGCATTGCTACAGTACACCATTCTCGTTGCGTCGCACTGACTAACACGCAGTAGGCATCTACCCGCGTGCAACGTCATTTTAAATGACGACTGCGACTCTACCGCGTATCCTTCCTGGTTTGAGCCTCACTTTTTTCGAGAAGAGCATGGTGCGCGCTATATCGCACAGGCCCCGAGTTTATTCGCTACCATGGCCGGTTTGCTGGGTCCCGAGGGCGGCAGACGGTAACTTTTGCCGCTCTAGATCACCCCCAAGCTTGCCTCGTGGGAAAGGGCTGAGAGATGAGTCTCGATTTGCGCGAGGTACGTACTGTACTTGTTGCATCGTGTTAGTTGAAGCACCGCTCTCTGCATGTTGGCTTGAAGACATTTCCCCTGTGTAAGTACGTACTCATTGTAGTAGGTAGCCATCTATTGCGCGAATATAGCTACTAGCAATTGCACGGAGTAGATTATGCCAAGCCCGTACTCTCTCGCAGTCGCCCAAATCCTGCAGAGAAGCGAGTGACCAATGAAGAGCATCTGCCACTTCAAGCTTTACCGAGTGGAATGCCCACCCTGCGGAGCTGCCCTGACAAAGAACGGATACCGAGATTTGTTTCGCCGGGTGGGTAAGGCAAGCCCCTCTCCTTACGGGGACTCGGGATGGCTCGCCGTCGCAATGTACTTGTATAGTGTATACACAGGTCCATAGACACGTGAAAGTGGAAATAGGGAAAAAGGCAGAGAACGAGAGCAACAGCACCAAAGAGGCAGGGAAATGCCCTCCCCCTGGGCTAGACGTTTGAAGGAGACGGGACGCAGCGCTGCCAAAACGCTTGACAGGTCAACTTTTCGCAGTGATTGGCATGAGATGGGCCGTCCAGCGTAGCACGCTGGCACTGCTGTAACAGGAGCATCAATCTATCTGCACGGAGTTCCAGAAAGCCTCTGTGGTGTCGCTTCCGCGGAATTAGAGCCAGTCCCGGTGCAGGAGCTCATGTATGCCTGCTCGCTTCATGTCTGTCGCCCAACATCGAGTTTGAGCATCGGCGAATTTGCTCATGTGGGCCGTGAGGTCGCATTCTGGTTCATCTGCATATATTAAACGTTTCCATCCACGGAGCGGGCTCCGGGTTGCTGGGAGAAGAAGCCGGCCATGTACCCACGTAGTACTCTGTACTGTATGGGAGGAAGCAGAAGAGGTCGCTTCGTTGCTTTTGCTTGTTTCGGCCTAGGTGGCCTGCAGCTCTTGTAGTTTAATATCCGCGGTCCTGCTAGTACCAGTCGAGTATGGTAAGCACAGGTTCGCTCGGTGTGATGCTCCGCCATGGCTCTTTTCGGCCTGGGCTGTGGGAGAGAGTCCGAACTGCGATCTGGGTGCCTGTTTGCTCGTTCTGAGGAGCCATGGCCAGGCGGCTGAGCATGAGGCTGACGATGGCCATGATGTCGATGGTAGCAGGAGTAGTCAATACTCAAAACTCATCACCAGAGTCCAATGGATATGAAGAGGAAAGCTGCAATGCCGGACCGGCGACTAAAACAAGCATGTCTTGTTTGTAACATGGCATCATTTCCCGGGATGGTCTTCCTGGATTAGGCAGGGCCCATATTTGACGCTGTGGATATTGGGCAGCCCATCACAGCTCAAGGGTATCAAACAATGGCCAAGAAGTGAAGTTGCACCGGCGAAGCAACTGCAGAGAGCCTCTTGCAATGCCGCGCAATCAATTGACTGCCATCTCTGCCCCGGTTTCCTGTTTTCTCACTGCTCAATCGAGTCAATTAAGCGCGGAGACGTTACAGTGATGGTTCGATGTTTCTGCGTTTTGAAACGGCAACGTATCGTGACAGGTCGCTCTGGCAAATATCAAGGCTGATCGGGAAAACTTCTCCATCGCCCAAAGCCACCCAGCCTGTCGAGATTGAGAAGCCCTTGCCCTGGGCACTCTTGTATCAGTATCGCCATCCACTGGCCGGGGGTAAACAACTTGTACTAGTAGTAGCATATTGGTGCTAGAGTGACCAAGTGCAAAGCGGGTGGCATGATCCAACGTCGATTGCCTGACAGCAAAGAAGCAGCAGCAGCAGCAGCACAAAAGGTCCCCAATATCGCGCGTGTGCCACAGCATGGATGAGCCGCACCAAGGCAGGCCAAATTATCAAGTGATGAGATGAGGATCGCAGACAGGCAGCAGCCAAAGACAGCCTAGCCCGAGGAAAATAAAATGACGATTACGACGGTACCTGCGGTAGCCCAGCCCGGGCCGTGTACCTGTGCGATTCCGAGGTCACTGCCGCGCCGCCGCGGGTTGCTGCACGGTCCCTGGGCGGTTCCCTGTGGGCGGCGCGCGTGCAGTGGGCGACGACAGCCGGTACCAGGAGCATACCTGGGCGGTACGTCGTCGGAGACAAGGTACGAGCACACGCGCGTGGTAACATCTCACTTCCGGAATGTACATCCGTACCTGCAGCGCCCGAGGCAGGGATGGGAATTACTCGGTCTTGTGTGTTTTTTTTTTTTTTTTTTTTTTTTTTTTTGTGCAATTCCCTCGTTGATTCTCTCTCTTTACTCTACAAGTACTCTTCTTCTTGTGGTCTTGTGTCAGTGGTTGGAGGGGGCTCCAAAACTGGTCGCCGGCCGAGGGACAGACAAAGAAAACAGACGAAAAGAGATGAGACGAACACTTCCCTGTATGGCATGGCTGACATTGGACGAATTGGTACAGAGCTGCAGCAGCATCTCAGGGCACCTGCAGCGCTGTATCAGCACGTGCAGACCTGAAGTGCTGCTTCCATTGACTTCCATGCTCTGCTTTGCGATGCTCAGCTCAGCTTAGTGCATGTCTGCAGGACTGTAAGTGCGTGCATCAGTGCCAGTGCTTTTTCTACATCTTCCGCTTCCAGGCAAAAGGTGCATCGCAGCTGATCGCCAGGCCATCGCCAATCGGCACCACGACCGCCCGTCAAAAGGGCTAGAAGCTGCGACCTGGCGCTTGGACTGCACCGCCCAGAGTCCCAGAATCCCAGAGTCCCAGAGTCCCAGCATCCCAGAATCTCTCCAAGCGCTGGGACCGTCCAGAGCAAAGGCCATCTCGCCACGCTCTCCGGGCAGCCTGAACCTACAAGTATCTGCAGTATGCCATGGTGGCCCCTTGGCACTGGCCCTCTTCTCCTCGTCCCATCGCATCGCATCCCGGTCAGCCAAACCAATCAAAGAGCCACTGCTGAAGGAACAAACCCTCCCCGCTGGTCTGTATTGGGGCGGACCGAGTCCCCAGCCGCTTGGAAGCGCGAGAAGGGGTCCGAGTCTGCCCAAGTGGCGTCCGGGATGCTCGACCCCTGGCCGGCGTGTCTTTTTGGTCTTTGGGGGAGCCACCCAACGTTGCCCGCACCGCTGGCTCTTCTCTCCACGCCGAGAGGCCACTAAACAAGTGGCTACGGGTCAAAGACTCAGGGAGCACGAGCACGTCCCGGGGCCTGTGACGATGGCTGCTGCACACTGCTGAGGGGAGAGCGGCATTGAGCTCTTTGGCTCTGTATGCATTACTGACCACCGTGGTGTGTAGTACATGCTAACAAGCCCCATAAGCTGCAGGTGCTTGCACGGGCATCTTACTGTACTGCGGATGAGAGAAGACGAGACTGATGCGGTTCGCGTTACGTTATGCTGGCAGATAAGGCTCTTGGACTGCGTGCAGCTCAGCGGGCTAACCAGAGCTCGGGTGCTGCTAGCGACCTGTAGCGTCAGACCTTGCACGTCCTGGTGCCATTAGGCGCCCTGTCGACTCGAGTGGCGACGGTAGCCACAGCGGTGCTTCTTTATACGGACGAGGTTGCGGATATCGCAAATCGGGATGCTAGCCGCGACGTGCTAAAAGAGGCCCCGGTAGCGCGCACTGGCGGAATGGAGCTCGTCGCTCGTCCTGCAGTAGGTGCCTTGCCGCAATCAGTGGGTGGCGCTCCAACACGGATGCCAAAGCTGCTGTTACAGGTCAAGTGGTGTTTCTGGTGTGCTGCAGTGATAACATACCTGGCTCATTCTTACTACAGACATGCTGCACTTGTCAAGTCACACACAGCCTCCTCCACCGGATCGTGGCGGCAGCACCAATGAATGATAGCTCTGGCTGCTAACGCTCCAACGCCAGGCACAGTGCCGCTATTAGCTGCTAGCTCAGCCTGCCCCTGTCGCTGTAGCCCGGACGCCGACTCGTCGTACCTGGCAGCTGGTAACCGCTATTGGGGCCAATCTGGGATTCATGGGATGCTGGTCTGGTCGCTCTTTTTTTTTTCTCGCACCCCCGCCGCTCTCCTTGCAATTTGTAGCCGATGCGATGGGCGGGTTCGTTCCCTTCCAGTTCCGGCTCTTTGGCAGCTCGAGTCGGGGGTTCTTGGGTTCTGACTTCTGGGCGGCGACAGTTCCCTAAAATTACCAGGCCGGGGGGTGTAGAATAGGTAGTGCGTGTAGGTGCTGGGCTGTTGAGCTACGGAGCTTATGTACAGTAGAGCAGCGGGAAACAAAAATCTTGTGCTTGGGATCGATATTGGCATTTCTTCTCTTCTCTTCTCGTCCTCGGCTGTTACCTTGACCCTCGTGCGTTGCTGTTTCTGCCGGACACTGATTCTCTCTCTTGTCCATCACTTTTCTCTTCTTGATTTCTGCACTTTCTCACGCTCAGCTCACCTTGTTCCGTTGATTCGCAGCTCCAGCAGCTGTCAAGTACCAAGTACCTTGCCTGCCTTGCACGAGATACCCTTTTAGCCATCCAACCACATTTTGCCTGTCCTCATCCTCATCCTCATCCTCCTCGTCTTGCCTCCAGTCATTGTATCGGTCCATCTTTCTGCGGCTGCCCGTATCGGGGCTTCTTGTTTGGCATTCGAAACCCGAATACATCGGATCCGGTGTCCGTCATCGTCGATTCCTCTCTATATCGAATCACACACGCAGATACACGCAAAAAGAGAGAAGCAAGCTCTACCATATCCGCCCACGAGCAAGAGTCTGCCACCACCATCCTTCACTCAAGCCTCTCCCGGCATAATCAGCAACCATGGGTCTCTTCTCCCGTAAACAAAAGTCCCCTCGAGAGTCGGGCATCCTCGAGTCTCAGTCCACCACCAGCTTCGGGTCTTCCACATTCCGAGGCCTGACCAACAACCGCGTGTCCGCTGGCAGCATGTTGACGCCCAATACGCCTCTATCGCCGCTGCCCTCCCTCAAAATACCCAAGCTGGACCTGCCCCGACCTCCGGATCCAGCGCTGGACCCGGCCGGCTACCTGCGAAGCTTGGGTGCAATCCGAGACAGGGCCAAGGTCCTGTTAGAAAAGGCCGAAGACAACAAGCTGGTCCATTTCGATGTTGATATGAACAAGTTCCCTAACGTGGTGACTTTTGTTTCAGGGCTTATCAAGGTACGTTTGCTTGCTTGCTGAGAGATGGAAACCTTGGGGCGGTGGATATGCTATTTGGCTGGCATAGTCAAGCTGGGCTCGAATTGTTTCTCTTGCTCTGCGCTCTTCACCCTCGTGCAAGACAGTGGACTGTTCAAGACAGTCTTTTCGTTGATTCGCTTGCCTCTAAACTTGCCTTTCCATTGGATTACGCTACTCATCATCTCCTCATCTGTATATCTCGGGCGAATTTAGACTAACAAGACATGCCTCTATACAGCGAGACCACGAGGCTCCTTTCCAGGACATTCCCAGCCATGGTCGCTATCAACATTTCTGCATGGGCGGCCGAGACCGGATCGCCGAGCTTCTGGGGAGCTGGCCTGACAGCGTCGACACCACAGAGCGCTGCCGCCGCCTTGTCGACCTCTTCTTCATCAGCGTACTGCTGGATGCCGGTGCTGGAACTACGTGGACCTATAAGAGCGCTGACAATGGCAAAAGCTATAGGCGCTCTGAGGGTATTGCAATCGCCAGCTTAGAAATGTTCAAATCGGTAGGTTTTAACCCGACAAGCCTGGAATGCATTTTTTTTTTTTTTGGAAAAAAAGACTTGATTTCTAACTCGGCATCATCTAGGGAATATTTTCCGCAAGCCCAACCAACAAACATCAAGTTGACAAGACTGCATTGGGAGCCCTTTCGGTAGCTAAGATTGCCTCGGGCATGCAGTCTGACCCTGACAACGAAATTGTTGGCTTGGAGGGCCGAACCGAGGTTTTGGTCAAGCTGTCAGAAGCTCTTGCAGAGCACCCAGAGTACTTTGGCGCTGATGGCCGCCCTGGCAACCTGGTTGGTGAGTAACCATCTTAATCTTCGCCTTTACATTCCCAACGTCGGTGTGCCATTCTAACCATATTTACAGACTATTTGCTGTCACATCCCGCAACACAAATGTCATCGATCCTCATCGTCCCCCTACCAGTCCTGTGGACCATTCTAATGGAAAGCCTTGAATCCATCTGGCCCTATCGAACAGCAATCAACGGTGTCCACCTTGGAGATGCCTGGACCTGTGAAGCCTTGCCCACCTCCGGGCCTAATTCGTGGGAATCCATCCTGCCGTTTCATAAGCTGACGCAGTGGCTTGCATATTCCCTCATGCAGCCCATGCAATCCTTGCTAAACATGTACTTTTCCGGAGCAGAGCTATTGACTGGCCTGGCCGAGTACCGCAATGGCGGCCTCTTTGTCGATCTCGGCGTTTTGACCCTTAAGGAGGTTGACATGGCCCGCGGATTGGCCAACTACAGCGAATACTGCAAGACGTCTGGCCTCAAGGTGATTGAAGTGGCTCCCATGTTCCCGACTTCGGATGATGTCATTGTGGAATGGCGCGGCTTGACCATTGCTCTGCTGGATAAGCTTTGCGAGGAGATTAACCTGGCGCTGGAGTCGGAGCTGGATGGCCACGAGATAACCATGGCACAGCTAATGGAAGCTGGCAGCTGGAAGGTAAGGAGAACACTCAACACACTCAACACACGTGGAAGAAAATCAACTAATTATATCAATAGGGAGGTCGTGAGATTGCCGAGATTAATCGGCCAAACACAAAAGAGCCGCCGATTTTAATCGAGAGCGACGGAACAGTATTCTAATAACAGTCGCGGCAGCGGGTGTTCTTCTCTTCTCACTCACCCCGTTTTATTGACCGAAAAACTACTATTTAACTGCTCACCAAAATTTCACCCTCCTTTTTTTTCTTTCCTTTTTTCCGATTTATATATGGGATGGCACGCACTGATTTTTGTTTTTTGGGCCTGTTCTTTGTTTGTCTTGCGATGCGGAAATGATGAGCAAATCTATTGGTGGTTTCTATTTTTGTTTCTTTTGTGTTTCCAATCTCCAATTGATTGCGATTTGGTAGATACTTACTAGCGGAAAATCGTACAAGAACAGAAAAAATGGAAAAAGGAAAAAAAGAGGTTTGGGACCTGTGTTGGAAAAGAAAAGAAAGCAAAAGGAGAGTGAGACAGACACACAGAGAGATATTATGGGATATTTGCTTTTTCTTGGTGCTACTATGGCGGAGGAAAAATAAAATAAAATCATAACGGGCCTTGCATTGCTTTGCCCGTTTTTTTCTTCTTTCTATTATCTGGCGTTTTCTTCTTCTTTCTTTTTTAGACGTGCTGTTTTAATATGGTGCTGGGGTTTTTGTTTTTAGGTCATTGATCCTTTTCAAGCTCCGGCAACTGGGCTGAAGGATTGAACCCCCCTCCCCCTTTTCTTTCTAGATATGGTAGATTGACTGACACTTTGAATAGTAATAGTTTTGTTTTATAAGTTTTTTAATTTGTCGAGAGTGTTTCTTTTGAAATGCTTTGGTCTATTTGCGAAAAGAGTTGTTTTTCCCACTCCGCCCCCTATTACCTATTGTACAATATCTCAGCTCTGTTTTGAAGATTTTTCTTTTCCTCCCCTATCCCCGTTATTTGATGCCGTCTTTTTTATCCCATCTTCGCCTCGCTCGATACGTTCTACGTATGTACCTAGTATATACTGTTACACTGGCGAGTTTTATAGATAGTACATGTACAAGAAAGGGTTGACCCCCCCCAAAAAAAGAACCTCTCCTCCCAACAGCGCTTTTGACTGCTGCCATGTTGTAAGTTCTTTCATCTTTTCCTCTTTCCAAATCTATGTGGCTGCTTTTTTTCTTTTTTCTTTTTATTTCTTGCTCTTGTATTTCAGCTCAAATTGCTCTCGCTCTTGCTGCTTCCGCATATCCTCCAGCTTGCGAATCATCTCCCTGCGCTTCCTCTCGGCCTTTTCCTGCTCCGTGCCAGAGTACGTGCCGGTGTAGTTGGACACGGACTCGGAAACGCCCTTTTTCATGTCATCGAGGCTGGTGGTGAGTCGCTCCCGGAGGCCGGTGAGGCCGGGGGCCTCGGAGCGGGGCGCCTCGTACTGCATCTTCTTCTGGGGGGCGGCGGCGCTGGGGGCTTCGTCGACGGGGCCGGTGGGCAGGCCGAGGGAGCGGCGGACGGAGGAGATATTGAGGATGAGGGCGGTGAGGAGGGTGGAGCCGCCGAGGGCGACGGTCATGAGGTTGACGGCGGCGGAGAGGAAGGTGGTGCCGACGAAGCCGACGGTGCCAAAGATGTACATCATGGGCTTGAGCATCTTTCGCTGCTGCTGGGGGGTGTGCTTTGCGTTGATCTTTGGGATTTGGGTCAGTACTGGCATGTAGAGATGGGGCGTGACGAATTTCAACTTACCAGAAGAGCACCCATCATGAAGGCGGTGCCGGCAGCAGGAAGAATAAAGTAGGGGTCAGTGGCGGAAAGATCGGTGAACCACAGGAAGCCGGCAGACTCCAGCGAAGGCACGGGGATGTGCACCATGCCGCTGACAATGCGGAAGAGGCCAAACGTAAAGGGGATCTGCGCAAGTGACCACATGATGCCCCAGTTGCTGATGCCGTACTCGGACCGCAGCATCTTGTTCAGCACCTGGCCGCGCTGGCGCTTCTCCATGTCGCCCTCCTGGAAGCCCTGCTGGACGAGCTTCATGGCCTCGTTGGATCGAGGGTCCTTTCTCATCCGCTGCATGATGGCGTTGAACTTGAGACTCTGGATCTGAGGGTAGAACATGAGGGTTCGCAGCAGGACGGCCGTGGCCATGATGGAGGCGCCCCAGCCCAGGCCAGACCACACGTGGACGTGCTCCAGGGTCCATTGCATGGCGGACGTGAAGCCCCAGCCGTAGTCCAGTCCAATCGCGTGCAGGTAGCCGAGATCCTCGGGCATGTTGAGGATGTCCTGGCCGTTGATGAGGGCCGAAATCGAGGAGAGGTCGACATCGGAGGCGGCGACGGCGGGTTCGGTCGCAGAGGCAGACACAGCGGCGGCAGCATCAGCGGGAGCAGCAGAGGTTGCGGCAGAAGCCTGTTCTACGGATGCCTGAGTAGCAACGGCATCGCTGGCAGTCTCTGGTGTTGTTGTTGCTGTTGTCGTCGTCGTAGCAGAGTCGTCCTTTTTGCTTCCCCCACCCCAACCCCACAGAGACAGCGATCTTGAAGACGAGACTCCTCCGAGCACAATTGGCGCGGCGGCGGCGTATCGAGTGCTGAATGGCGATGAGGCAGTCGTCAATCTGGCGTTTGTGTTTCGCAGCGAGGTTCCAAACTGGCGGCCATGGCTGAGTTGTCGATTGGAAAGATTCTGCTTTTCGGTTATTAGTCGCAAGACACTCCAAAAAAAAAAAAAAGTTGTATATATAAAGGAAAATTTGCGCCAATAAATAGGCCGTCTTTTTTTAAAAGGTAAGTTGTTTTCTTACCGTTAATCGACTTGTTTGTGCTTGCCTCCAGGCTCCCGGAGAAGGGAAGGAGCGCGCAATCCCTCTGCTTGGAAGCATTGCGACTGGATTGTGGTTCGGATGAATGAAGTCTGGATATCAAATTGTTGCGCTTCTGACGGGGCCCTTGTCTGGGTGAAATTTTGGGAGCGGCGGATAAATGTCGGATCTACCCCACGGCGGGTGTGCTGATCTGCGTTGCGAGAAGGTAAAGAGGATGAGATGAGACAAGATGAGATGATGACAGCGTTACTTGGTTTGAATAGAGAAGAGTGATTGTATTTACGTGGCCATCATAGTAACGGGATGAATTGGTGGTTTCAACGACGTAGTTGGCAGTCTTTTGTGTAAATTGCTGGTTCATTTTGCAGCGATATTATTGCCTGAGTAGCTTTATAGCGCTACCCGCTGCTAAGCTGATAGTCTGAAAGTGCAAAGATGGATGTCGCAGTCTTTATAATGCATCTGCACGTGTATTTAGACATGATTGATTCATATACATGGTTTCTTCTTTAATAAATGCTCCTTTTCTCATTCCAAGCTTGCAATATCCTCTAGTGAAGGTCCAGGTCGCTCTCGTCGCTCGCGGACTTCAATACCGGGGCCAATGGCGTGAGCTCGTCTTCGAGATAGAGGGAAGACCTATGATGCATCCAAACAGATTAGCCTGCCAATTCCGTCAAGAATTCGAATGTATTTTGATTGTAAGCTTGAAAATGGGAGAAGAAAGAGCTGGATTTCTCCTCAACTAGAGTCTCCAGCCGCACAACTGACCTTTGTGCCGCCCCATCCTAGTCTGAATGCGAATTCATGAGCAAACAGCTCGCCAAATCCCAGCATCATGCCGTTGATAAATGGCAGCACCAAGTTGATGGCCGCGCTCCGTATCAGCGACCAGGCTGTCGGCGGATTGTACAGGATGACGGGCGAGTTTGATGACGATGGTGACGATTCGTTGCCTGGGGAGTACTGCTCGCTGTCCGACCGCATGGTGACGCCAGAGTCGGCCAGATGGGCGCTGAGATCGTCGGTCGACATCGTGACGGCTTGTCCAGATGGAATCTGCTGATGCTCGCGGGTCGGAATTGATGCTGGACAAGGCGCTCGCAAGCTATGATGCACCTCCGTCTACCTACTTGGAGTAAAGCCGATACGGAGCAGATGCTCGGCAATCGAAGGAAGCTGACATAATGCGTCGTCGGGGTCGGTGGATCGCTATTCCGGTGGGGTCAAGCGTCAAGCACCCGCTACTTTTAGGTGCCGCGCCGAAAGTGCAAAGCGTGTGGGACAGCTTGCATGACGAAAGTGAGCCGCTGCCTTGCTTTGGTAATCGCATCAAACGGCTATCAAAGGACCAGGTTATCTTCCATTTTACTGCATCGATAGCACGTATTTGCACGAAAAAGGACAAGAAAGGGACTGGCAGCTGCAGTTTCAGCTCCATTCCTCAGCTCAATCACACATCTCGTTTATTTTCAGCCCTGTTTACGACCCCTCACATAGCTTCTCACCACCATGGCGGAAGTTCCAGACCGTGATGAGATGGTACGGAACTTTGTTACCATGAGTGGCGCCTCAGAAGAGCTGGTCAGTATAACCATGGCCCTGGTGGACTTGTCACCTCCAACTCTGACTGATTGATGCAGGCCGTTCAGTACCTTGAATCAAACGGCTGGGATATGCTGGCCGCCTGCAACTCCTACTTCCACGACGAGGATGAGCGAAACGACGAACGACGCAGGCAACAGGCCGAGGAGGGCACGCTCGAGCAGTACAGCGGCCCACGCACCTTGGACGGTCGCCCTGCCCCTCAAGAAGACTTCTCCAGTGCGGCGTCTCGGAAATCGAAGCAGCCAAAGAAGAAGGGAATTGCCACGTTGGGATCACTGGGAGGCTCAGCTGCTCACCACGACGACGATGACGAGGACGACGACTACGATGATGACGATGAAGACGATGGACGGGGCAATCTGTTTGCCGGCGGCGAAAAGTCTGGACTTGCGGTTCAGGATCCCACATCAGAAGGTGGCTCAAGGAAGATCATCAGTGACATATTGGCCAAGGCCAAGGCGTGAGTAGCGTGGATGCTGTCTGTTGGATATAACAATTTTCTAATGCTTTGCAGCAACTCACGTCAGTCAGATGCCAACCCCGAAGCCGGCCCTTCTCGCCAGACTCATTTCCGCGGTACCGGCGTAACACTTGGAGGAGATGGCGTGGAGAGCCGAAGCATCCCCGATGCTCGCGGTGCTGAGCAGAGACCTGCGGGACCCCCAGTGGAACGAGTGCTTCACATCTGGCACGATGGATTCAGCATCGACGATGGCGAGCTTCGTCGTTTTGATGACCCTCAAAACGAGGCCGATCTTCAGCTGATCCGCTCTGGTCGGGCTCCTCTACATCTGATGAACGTCCAGCACGACCAGTCCGTCGATGTCAAACTCCACCAACACGATAGCCCATACAAACAGCCGCCGAAGCAGTACAAGCCCTTTTCCAGTGCTGGCCATCGCCTTGGCAGCCCAGTCCCTGGCGCCACAGCTGCGCCATCCTCGACCCAAACCGCTGCTCCCTCTGGAGCTTCCTCGTCGTCTGCTGCTCCCGCGCCAACCATTGACGATTCACAACCGACAATCATGATCAGAATCCAGATGCCCGACGGATCTAGGCTGCCTGCCCGTTTCAACACCACGCATACGGTGGGCGATGTATACGGCTTTGTTCAGGGCGCCTCAGTAGAGACTCGTGATCGAGCCTGGGTCCTGGCTACAACTTTCCCCAACAAGGAGCACACAGATAAGGCTCTTGTTTTGGGTGAGATGGCCGAGTTCAAAAAGGGTGGAACGGCTGTTGTTAAGTGGGCATAGACAAGAGGTGACGGAGATGTGGGTTAGGCATTGAGCTAAAGGGAACAAAGGGATGCATTGCTTTTAAGTCAAGTTTGGTAAAACTCACGTATAGATGAGTTAGAGACCGGTAAAAAGGTCATTTTTAAGACAGGAATCACAGTTACGCCTAGGTCTTCCTTGGTTCTCGCGTACTAAGCAAGCTAACATAATTGGCAGACAGTATGCAAAAGTAATCAACTGTTGACGTGCTCGTTTTATACTACAGACTGTTTCTAAAATATGTACAAAAAATCAAAACACCGAGAAAAGGATCAGGGACCAGAGTAGGTGTAATTATAAACACTGCTATTACCATTGAGAAGATTTACCAAGGTATTAATTGTTCCGAAACGCCTCGTTAAACACAGCCTGCTTCATATAATCATTAAGGATTTCTCTTCTCCTCCCATCTGTTTATGCTCCCAACCCCTTAAGCTGGTGGCGCCTGCGCAGCGGCAGTGGGCACGGCTGCTGGAGCGTCCAGAAATTTGAAATGCTCAATGGCAATCTGGCAATTTAGCATGGCAGCGTTGAATCGTGCCTCGCCGGGGGGCAGCACCACCATGAGGTAGGTGTTTGTGGTGAACTTGAGGATGAAGAGGCTGAAGCGCAGGCCGGCCTTGTGCTCCATGCGGATGAACTGCTCGGCGTTGCGCGGCGTGCCGGTGTAGCGCGATATGCTCTGCTTGAAGTGCTTCATGATGTTGGACATGCGCTCCTGGCGGTCTTCTGTGGGGTTGTTGCGGCCTTCGGGAGAGGTCCACGACGAGACGGCAAGGAAGGACGTGCGTTCGAAGAGGAGCAGCTCCTCGGCCTCGATGGCCACGCCGAGGTTGGCGAGGTTGTGCTCAATGACGGCGAGGTTGGGGACAAGGTCGTGGATGATGGACGCCCAGGCCTTGTACAGGCTCTGGTCCCAGATGGACGTGGCAAAGGGCGTCAGGTCGACGTTGCTAATGTCCATGCCGACCGAGTTGACGTACTCGGCCGTCTTCTGGCGCACGAGCCGCACGCGCTCGTCGTAGACGGTCTCGCGGGAGTTTGGCACGACGAGATCCATCTTGTGGACGAGGATGTACATCTTTGCGGCGGGGGAGTACTGCAGCAGGGCGGAGAGGATGGAGACGTAGGTGGCCAGGTCGCGGTCGACGTCGCGCGACTCAATGTCGAAGACGTAGATGAGCACACCGACGTTTGAGAAGACGTGGACGCGCTGCTGGGAGAGGTAGTTTTCCATAAAGGCCTCTTGGCCGCCGCAGTCCCAGAGGTTGAGGGTGAGGTTGCCGAGGAACTTGACGTGGGAGAGGTCGATGTCGATGGTGGCGCCTCTGTGAGTGAGAGAATGAGTATGAAGCAAACAAAAAGCGAAAGACAAAAAAAGGAGAGAGAGACAAGGCAACTCACAATCTTCGAGTGTCGCGCGCGATGTAGTTGCTGAAGATGATGCTGCGCATGCTCGACTTGCCGGACCCGGACTTGCCCATGAGGAGGACCTTCTTCTTCTTAGGCTTCTTGACCTCGTTCCGGACATCAGAGCCGGCGTCTGGCGGAGGGGGCTCGCCAAATGAAGCCATGGCGAGAGCTGGTGGTGAAGTGGCAGCGTATAGAATGTGGTGTTGTGTGGTGTTGGAGGAAGTAAAAGAGGTCCAAGATGGTTGTCACAGAGAGGCTACGGGCGGTACATGCAAGGTACCTGCTAGCAGTGCGGGAGCCTCTTTAGTGGCCTGAGTACCTGTACCCGGCATGGGCACGTGCAATTGCTGGTGTAGCTCTCAGCTGTAATTAGGTGCGACATTGGCATTTCATTCGACTCTATCGCGCTTCTATCAATGGATCTGTTTGTAATTTGCATCCCTGGACTAACCCTCTGCAGGCCAAGATATATACGAGAAAGTGGCTTTGGAAGTACATGCTCTACTTTGAGCGTACTAAAGGCAGCCAAAAGCTCCAAAGCTGGAGCTCAGCCGGCGATCGTTATCAGCTGCGCTCTTATCGCTGCCTTGTCTTATGTAATCCGCCACCTAAGCTGGTCTCTGGACCTTTGAAACCACATGTCAAGTCAAGCAACTCTAAATCTCGAGTATCGCGTCACTCTCCAAAGCGTCATCCCCGTTACAATTTCCTACGCATCACCACCACATCTCTGCGATCGACCATGGCGCAATACTACAACCAGTACGGCGCCTCTGCATCGCCCTCAGCGACCGAGAACCTCCAATTCTACCATGGCTCCTACCAGGCCGCGCCCTCACAAGCCCCCCCGGCCAGCTACGGCGTCCCTCCTGGCGGCGGCTATCGCGAACAGACCGGCCTGAGGACGGGGTGGCTGGCGGCCTTTTCCGCAGAAGGCTACGACAACGAGCCGTCATTACGAGAGGAGCTGGGCGTTGACTTTGCACACATGCAGGCCAAGACGCTTGCCGTCCTCAACCCGTTTTCTCCCATCGAGCGGCTGGAGCATGTTATGAACGACTCTGATTTGGCTGGGCCTTTGCTGTTTGTGATTCTGTTTGGCGCCTTTTTGCTTTGCAGCGGGCAGGTCCACTTTGGCTACGTTTACAGTCTGGCGGTTATGGGCTCGAGTACGTTGTACATGATTCTCGGCTTGATGACGCCCGACACTCCGCAGGGATATCCTGGGGCCGAGCCCACGGCTAGCACACTGACGTTTACTCAGAATGCTAGTGTGCTGGGATATAGCTTCTTGCCGCTGGTTCTGACGTCGTTGGTTGGTGTGGTCATGCCTCTGGACTGCATGGCGGGATACATCATTACGAGCTTGGCCATCTGCTGGTCGACTTCAAGATCAAGCGCCATCTTCTGTGGTGAGTACGATTGGAAGCTGAGCAAAAGGAAGATTCTTGGTGGATGAGTTTATAGCTAACTTGTATTAGCCGTCGGCAAAATGAAGGATATGCGCGGACTGGTGGCGTACCCAGTCGCCCTGTTCTACGTTGGATTCGGCATCATCACCATCTTCAACAGCCGAGGAAAGGCGCAATGAGTTGACGGAAGCGACTATGGGTTAGAGGAATTATTGATATTGGAATCGGATATGGGAAAAGCGCACTACGAGGGGCGAGGGCTTGGCTTCCTCTGAGATGTAGGAATCGGGGGATCATGTCGGCTTGTGGCCCTTGCCACTTGGCAGCTTGGTACAGTGGGAAAAGCACCGACTTTACTTGGAGCGAAATCTTCGGCAATGGTGCAAAATCCTCGCCACGGAGCGGAGAGAAGACACATAGAGGTTTATAATGGAGTCCTAAAACGTTGTCAAGCTAGCTTTTCGGTAGCTGAGCCCCCAGCGAATATCGTGTGTATAATAAATAATTATTTACGAAGCAGATGTGCCTGGTGCTGCTATTAGGGTATTGTGAAAGCTGCAATTTCCAAAGCTTGTGAGATTCGAACATTATAGCTAGCTACCGTTTGCCCTCCGACGCGGGCACTTGTTTGCCAATATGAGTACTGCACCGATCCGCACCCACATGGAAGGGAATGCCTATAGATCGATATCAATACATTGGAGTAAACAGTGTTGATCAAGATGAACCGACTCCTTATTACAACGATGTACATCGTGATGGGAAATCCCTCCTTTGCTTCTATAATTTTGCTGGACTGAACACTAATGGACATGAAGGCATGCATTGGCCTGATCTGATGATCGTTTATTGCAGTCGAACTTTGGGGATGGTTCTGCGTCGCCTGCTTACACTGAGGGACAGCCCACTGTCCATACAATCGGTGACGACAACGGCAAAGATGTTGCACAGACTCGAACGAATCAGACAATAGGAGCACGACCAGATGCTTGGAAGATAATCGACGCCTTGCCCAGATTGATGGACATTATCGGCGTATTCATGACTATTACCTAAACATCAAGTCGCAGTTCTCTGTCCCTGATGTAGCCTCACACTTTTTTATATAGTCACATTCTTCGAGATGTAATAGATCAAATTCGTCATTACTCATAAACTGAAGCCTAGATAGTTTACAAAGCAAAAGCCCCCTGCTCTTAATTCCCAATTGGTATCTTCCATAAACTCAAACCAAACTCATATCGTTAATCGTACACTGCATTCTGGTAGAACATAAAAAACACCAGCACGCTTTCACATCGTCCCTCTCGTTATCGCTTAGGGGATGACTTTGCGGCCAGTAGCATCAACCGTAGTGGCAGATCGACTATCCACACTCGGGTCCAACTTGTTCAAAATGTCATGTCGATGAGGTCCTGCTGTCGTCGGTGCTGGTCCTCCCACTCCAGGGGGAAAGATGGGTTTGGCATTTCCTCCAGTTCCCATGGCTCCTCCGGCACCAACTCCAGCGCCGCCTCTAGCCGCAGCTCCTGAGCCAGCTCCGGTGCCGAGTCCTACTCTTCGGCGGTGGTCTGCGTCAGAGTCGACTCGCGGATCAGCAGCATTGGCCAGGCGAGAGGTGTGAGGGCCATACGTGCCCTCGGGAGCGTTTCGAGGCACGGTGTTGTTGCCCGGAACGACGTTTGTGCCCATGGTGTAGTAGTTGCCGGCGTTGGGCAGCGTCGGATCGACGGCATTGCCGCCGTAGGGGTTGTTGCCGCCCATGGCGCCTTGGGCTGGAACTCCGCCGGCCATTCCTGTGTTGTGGTGAGCACCGGTGAGGACCTGCATCCCGCCCGTGCCGCTGTCGACGGTGGGATCCAGCTTGTTGAGGACGTCGTGGCGGTGCGGCCCGGCTGTGAAGGGCGCCGGACCGGGCAGGTTGGCGTTTGCGGCGTTTGAGGCGTTTGCGTGCCCGGGGCCGGAGCCGTAGGTGGGGCCGGGGCCTGCAGCGCCGGAAGCTGCGAGGTGTTGCTGCTCAGCTGCGAGCGCCTGGTTCTTTTTGCTGGAAAGAGGCATTGTGGTGTTGTGGATTTTGTTTAAATTTTTTTTTTCGTTTGGTTTAATTGTCGTAAACAATGTTTGATGTTGTTTGAGTATCTAAGTTAAAAGCGCTATCCCTGCCTTGCACAACCGTCTTTATATAACCACTCGGGCGCATCCCGTGGCAAGGCAATGACATGCATCCATGATGTCGACATGACGGCCCATGGTTCACGATAGTCCCCACCAAGCCTGACAATATCCAAGAAATGGGATTCCTATCCTGGCTTTTGTGTGCCGGATCGAGCAACCTGCGTCTTCTCAAAATCTGGGGGTTCCTGATGTGGCGAATTCGCGACGATCATGACGTCTCCACTAGCTGGCCTATGATGGTAGAGCCAACTTGTTTGCGGGCGATGGCACCAGACGCGTATTACTGGTAGTGGCACGCTATATGCAGATCACTTTTAGACCATGGCAAGCATGGCTTGATTTTGACTTTACGGGTACCTATCGACATTGAGTGATGTTGAATTATCGTCGTGATTTTGGCTCTTTTGGGATGATGACGGTGCTTTACCTCCCAACGACGTCACCATGACTGGGCTTCTATGTAAAAGACGGTTGGCCATCACCGGTTAGATGGCTTTTAATGATGAATGACTAAGCTTTTTTTTTATTGAACAAGACTAGATACTGTAGAAACTCTCTTTCTCGCTTATTTTTTCCATGATATACAACATGAATTTGCAGGCCCGCTTCTCCCAATGTAGAGTCTTTCAAATGACTAGGGTATATCATAACACAACACATTTCCAGTACTTTCCAAAGTAGCAACCCGCAGAAAAGAAAAACTATGAAACGATGACAATCCAAAGAAGACTGTTTATGACGAAACCGTCCGAGTGACGAGCTTCTACCACACTCAATATACCCGCCCTGACGTCCGTACTCGCATGCTCAAAGAAAGGAACTCGTCGCGCTGAAACTCAAAAGCCAGGCCTGGGAAAGGGCCTATTCCTCACCCGTCTCCCTCTGTGTCGGAGCCTGGCTCTTCTGTTCAGCCGCCTCGACGGTTTGGGCCTCGCCCTTCTCCTCATCCGCCAGCTTCACGCCCGTCTCTCCGTTGGAGTCGCTCCTCTCGACGCCAGCAACAACGCCTTCAAAGCTGCGGCCACGTCGCTCGGGGCCAAGCATGACGGTCACAAAGATGCCCATGGCGATGATGGCCGTGGCAATCCCCATGACGGGCCCGTACGCCTCGGCCTTCTCGCCGCCTTTGACGGTGATGAAGGTGTGCTCAGCGATGGCGTTGACGAGCTGGGCCGAGGGCGACGAAATCATGTTGCCCAGCTGGTACGTGACGCCGGGGAAGGACGACCGGAAGGCCGGAGGAGACAGCTCGTTGAGGTGGATGGGGATCACGCCCCAAGCACCCTGGACGAAGAACTGCATGAAGAAGGCCGTGGCGCACAGCGCGGCCTCGCTCTCGGGCAGGATCCAGGCGGGGATCAGCAGGGCGGACATGAGCGCGGCAACCATCATCAGGCGGCGGCGGCCAAAGAACTGGCTGAGGTAGCTGATGATGGTGCCGCCGACCGAGGCGCCAACCTTCATCACGATGGAGGCGCGCGACGCCCCGGCGTTGTCCAGCTTCTTCTGCGTCAGCATAAACGTCGTGAACGAGTCCTGCGACGTGTGCGAGTAGTAGTTGAACCACGTCATGAGGATGACGCAGTACACGAACATCTTCCACTCCTGGCCGAGCATCGTCCGCGTTTCGCGCCAGAAAGCGCCCGCAGACGAGGCTTTCTTGCCCGCCTTTTTGGCGTCCAGGAACTGCTGCGATTCGGGGAAGCATATGCGGAGCAGGCCGACGCCAATGGATAGTCCCGCTGAAGCCACAAAATGTTAGGCTCGATTCAGAGATGTAAAACATAAAACATAGACAAAGAGAAACTCAAAAAGCTGGGGCAAACCAACCTCCGATCCAAAAGACGGTTTTCCACGATTCGATGCTGCCTCCAACGCCGAGATTGGCGGACGCAGCCAAGACGTAGCCTACCGAGTAGCCCTGCTGGAGGATGCCCGACATCAAGCCACGCGCGTTGGATCTGAAAGCCAAGAGATGTTAGTTTCCTGGAAGCGGAAAAGACAAAACGCCACGTAGATGCCGACTCGAGCAAGTACGACAAGAAAAGGGCCTGGATGGCAAACAGAGGAACTGCTACTTACGGGCATTGCTCCAGCGCCATGGCGATGGCATTGCCGTACACGCCTCCCATGAACAGGCCAAACAAACTCCGCACCGCCAGAAACTCGGTGAATGTCCCGCAGTAGATTGTAGCAATCTGGAGACATCCCAGCACCAGCATGTTGAAGACCATGGGCCATTTACGGCCCCATTTGTCTCCAGCAAGGCCAAAGAGGGCAGCACCGGCGGAGCGGAGCAGCAACGTCAGGGTTATGGCCGTTGTGATGTCCGTCTTGGACCGGCCAAAGTATTTAGACAGCTTAACTGTCTGGATGGAGAGCGCGTGGAAGTCAAACGCGTCGGCCGTCCACGCGAGCCAGCCGACGATGAAGAAGACCCAGTCTCTGAGCGTGAGCTGGGCCAGCAGCGAGATGGGGTTCTGGATGGCATCTGGCTCGTGCCACTCACATCTCGTCTCACCGTAGGCATTTGTGAGCACTACGCGCTGCTTCCACACGAAGAGGTCCCGCCATGACTGTTTGGCCGTGGCGAGGACGCCTTTGGCCAGGTCGTCGGCGGGCTCGTGCTGTGTTGAGGGGGTGCTGGCGCTGTCTGACATGGTTACCAGGACTGATTTGGTAGCCAAAAGGGAAGATGGGAAGATGGGGAAGAAGACAAAGATGGGAAAGTATGAATGGTGATGAGTCTGGATGATGATTTTTTTTTTGTCTTGGAGTCTGCGTCCAAGAAGGGGGTATTTATATGTATAGAGACGAATGACAAGTGGATCGACGTCGACCTGAACCAGACACGTTGGCTTGATGAGATCAAAATCGGAATGAAGCCCGGCCGAAAGCGACGAGAGTTTGATGTATAAGCTTTTCGGAGCAACAATACGATATGGAGAATGGAGAAAGAAGAATGTCTAATACGCCGCACTAGCCTGGGGGGCTAGACAATAAAGCGTGTTGCTACAGCAAGATCATCAGGGTGAAGGCTTTAATGCTGCCCCATATCTGAGCGGGCGTATAGTAACATGGCCTCTGAACCAGCTGTTGAAACTCACCGTGGAGGGAAGTAGACATGCAAGTTTTCGGGGCTTCTTTTTCTTTGGCTGAAACGTGGCTGGCCTCGATGAGTCTGGACTTGTATAAACTTTTTCCTGCCCGCCTTATCTACCATCCAGGTTACAGTTTTAGATTTCTTTTCCCCGAAATAACAAAGTCTGGACAGATCGCTTAAGAGGTTAAACAGCCACATCTCAACAAATCTCGGCCGCGTTTCGCTCATGACGGCCTGGAGAGAACGGGGAGGCAAATCTGGAGGCGTCATCCGAGGAATGCGGGGGATGATGTGGAGGGAAATATCTAGGATCGGATGGAGAGAGGGGAACCACAAGCATGGAGGGGGCACTATGCTTTTTTTGAATCTTGGAATCTTGGCACCTAAACCAGGGTAAGGCCGCGAGAGTTTGGAGAATAGAAATGGTTCGTCGTGTCTAGGATGGACGGACTGGGGATGTGGAGGGATGGAGGGCGCATAGACGTGACCTGCTGTGGAGAAGGACACGATGCAAGCATCAGACGGTAAGCTGTTGTGTTTTGGAATACCGCAGAATGACGAGCCCAGTAGTTGTAGGCTTCCGAATTGGCCCGAATATGAAAGACTAGGGATTTATTTACCTGGCAGTTATCCCAGTTACTGCTTCCGGGGAAAATATGAAGTAATTGTTGCTGAAGCGAACTTTGAGCTTGTTCCGTACCTATATGAAGAGATGGATGTATACATGTACCTATGATAAGCATTAAGGGCGTTGTGCGGCTGTATCTGCTGCTAATGCCCATCAACTTTTATTTGTAGAGCGTTAGTTTCTACGTCTCCATCTCTATAGTCTACTCATAGATACCTTCTGACTACTCACCGAGCGCTTGTCCATTAAGGCTGACATTGTACCTTGGTATTAAGCTTAAGCGCTCCTTCTACTATCATGGGTTGCATGCGGGGAATACGACCTCCAAGTCCATCGACCAGCTACACTATACTGTTATCATCCATATGGTCCCATATTGGTGCTTGGAGAAATCCCTTGCTAGTTCTGGAGTCACTGTCTGTGCACTCTCAATGAATAGTGACTGGCGCTCAGAAGCGTTGGCTCTTGAGCTAGATGTGTTGTGTGGGAGGACTAGGTTAGAATAGGCTGGAGAATAAGGCCATTTTGATTCGCACAATGTAGCGGTATTGAATGTGGTGTGTACCAAGAGACTTGGCATGGCTTGGCTGTTGTCTGCGAAACCATTATGACAATCAAGGTGGCAAAACTATGAAAAGATTTGGGCTTGATTTGAAACTTTTAATGGGCCTTTTAAACGCAAAGCCTTTTGCCCGATAGAAAGAGAGGCAGGGGGAAAGCCACAGGTAGCTCGTTTTCCCCATATCCCTCCTTTTTGGTGGTAAATTATAACTGGAAAAAAAATGCTGTTGCACCGCATCCTTAGCCCCTTGGCATTATAACTAGCATGGCTGATGCAGCACATGGTAAATGCGAGGCGTAATTCACCGTTGGTTTAAACAGTTGTTTCAGCCTTTCAATGAATAACGAAGCAATTCCACAAACAGAAATATTATATCTTCTCATCTAAACAGAGACGCCTTCAGCGATTGGAGAAAAGGCGTTGTCTGCTTTGAATGCAAGCATACCGCTATCCCTACTTCGTCGTGGAGCTTCAAAGTGCAGTTCTCGTGCGACCTCCCCAGCGATTGCTTTCTCTTATGTAGGTACATTCATCTATGTCTTTTGCCTTTCTTTGCCTTTTTCTCATTTTTTTTTATAAAAAAAAATGCTTTCTTTTCCTTTCTTTTCCTTTCTTTTCTAAATAAAGTTGGAAAATCGTTTACCCCAGAATACGGAGGCTTCCGCTAACGCCAACCTTGAATACAAGCTTAAATTCAACGGTTATGTGGGGGTACTCCAATTTTCCACAAATGGCAATAATAATAATATCAATAAGTGAATGTAACAATCACAATCAACTAGCTTAAACAGTAATCCCCCACTTGGAGTCTTGTTCTCCTCGCTTGGCACGAGAATATTCCGGCCGGCAAATGATGATCTTCTGAACTAAACATGGTGATAAAGCCTAGCCTAGACAATTTCAGGTATGTCGTGCGGCCTCGATGTAGGTACGGGATGCAACTAGATTGACATTATCCTCCCTGATAGCTTTGCTAAGCTCGCTGATGGATTTTGTTTCCCTGAATTCCGAAGATGTGGTACTCCGCTTTAAAGACAAAAAAGTCTTTCATTTGACGCATGCATCTGGTAAATTTTGCTGGTATGCTTGCGCACCCAGACATCAACAAGGCATCCTTTCATGTATCCGAAATAATACATCACCCCGTCTACCAAGCACGAAGGTTGTCTTTGTCCATATTCGACGGTGGAGAGGCAGGCGATTTCTAAAACGTGGTATGCATTGAGCACAGCCACAGGTCAACATTGGCCGTGCACAAGGAGAAACACACCTTGGATCTTCTCGATTTTCCCGCAGCACAACTGATAAAGGCAAGGAAGCTCCTGAAACCGCTTCTTTATGATACTACAGAGGCCATCATCTTCGCAAAAACGATGCCCAAGTAATACGGCATTGCATATGCTATCACTAAGCTTGTAGATGTTAAAGCTTGTTGCCCGTCATATTTCTTACACTCATTCTAACGATGTCAAGGTATCATTTTTTGCAAAGTCTGGTCACATAAATGAGCACAAAGGTCAAGGTCGATTCGCCGGGCCGATTGATGGCCACGAGCGCATTGTTAGTGACTTTTCTTTTCATGCCACTCATGGGTTTCTTTGTCTTCTTTTGTTATTTTATCTATCTGTCATTATTGCCCGTCTGTGTAGCCTACACTTAAAAGTGTTTTCATCTTTCCTGAAAGAACACTGGCTCAGATGTTCTGTGAGTTTCGATGTAACTGCTTTATTGAAGTCTTCCCGCCAATTTTCAAGGACTTACTGTCCTGTGACAGTGTGTATCTTGTCTGTTTCGATCTGTGACGTGGGTTCAGCGGTCTTGGTTTCGCATAATCTACGTCGTATTGCTGCACTTCTAGAATTATGCCAGCCTTGTAGATGGCGTTGTCGTTCCGCATGTCAATACCTCCATCTACGTGGGAAGTTCTGAATCAGACTTTGCATATAAACAAATTCAGCAATTTGACGTACCTTTCTTTACAGGAAGTTTCGAATAAGATTCTGAATATATATAAAATAAAAAATTAACGTATTAAAGTCAAAATATCATTAGTCAGCCTCGGAGTGAAAGGCCGTGGGAGATGATCTGAGCCTCCTCTTATTTGACGATCAGCGTATTTTGTTAACACATGGTGTGGTAAAGAAGTTCTACTAGAACAGGAAAGTTCCGTGGGATGATCTTGGCAAAATAATAATAATACAGTCTGGAAATTTACGATTCAACAAAACTTCCTGAATGGGAACTTTGCTCCAGATTGAGCCTATCACAATGTTTATGCGTAGTGCTTAATTACTGGGTAGCATTCATGTTTAGGGTAGCTATAAACCCAATGTTATGACAAGCTGACCAACCCACTCCCTGTAATCTGACCTAGAGTAATGGTCAGTTTTCATCTTAGCCAAGGAAGAGATTTGTGCTATGATCAGGTAAATACTATCAAACTCAATTTTTATGGCTGCAAAGATTCGCCATTATGCACATACGAGTTCCGAGGAGCTTTGGTAGAGATGGCGGTAGTAGATAAAGAGCAACATGTCTGGAATTCTGAAGACGGATTCAATGTTTGAGCACAGGATTTGTATAGGTTGGGTAATCCAGAAGTTAATTGTCCGAGTTTAGTTCGAATCAAGTTGAAGAATATATCAAGATTTCATGTAAGTGGTTGTGTTTGACGACCACAACATTGTGCGGCATTGTTTTACTATGGTGTTATCATAAGAGGTTGGGCAGTATACCGATTTTGTGTACTGAAACAACAGTCAAGGAAGCTAAGGAGAGGCCTGAGCTTTGTAGGCACTAGTTTCACGATCCTCTAGCTCTGGCTAGAGGCTCAAATAAGCAGCTAAATTTGGATGGTATGGGGTAAGACACTAAGATCGGCACGAGCAAAGCGAGCGACTTCAATAGCGCGCCCACGAGCCAAGTTTACACCAACTTCACCTGTCGGGGTAGACTCTACTGTAAATGATAATCGTAAAGTGTTTGCGTTTTTAAGGGCTTGTAAACTTTCTAAAGAATTGAGCGGGTCATGAGGCGTTTACATGAGAGGCAAGGGTGTGTTGGCTGGATAAGCATATATTAACTAAACACTCACTACCAACCGGTTTTAAGGGTACATCCGGGTCCAGTCCATCTCCTTGTCCATTAAAAACAAATTGCCCTCCTAATAATCCATCGCCAATGTCATTGTACGCAAGCTTCCTCAAGTTACGGTCCAGTCACAGGAGCGGCCTGATGAAGGCGGTGGACCAGCGAGAGTAATTTACAGGGGAAGAGCATCCTGGCACAAAACACCGAGACCAGCCTGGTAACGAAGTTAGCATCGCTCTACCGTATCACTTGGGGAAGTCAACTTACAATGCCAAGGGTGCAGCACTTGGCCTGGAGACCGACCGTGGCGCAGATGTTTCTCAATGGGTTGAGGGCAGAGGAAACCGTTCGAGCTATATTGCAGTTAGTATGAAACGACTGTCCATTGAGCAAAACACGTCAAAGACTTACGAGTCTCGCAGTCCAGGTAGAGAAGGTCGAGGACACCAGCACCGCAGCACTGGGGGATGTTGTTGGTGACACCGGCAGAGCAAGGCCCGTTGATGCCATCACGCTCGACGACCTCAGAAGCAGGCGCGGCAACGGCCAGAGAGGCGAAAAGGGCGACGAAGGTGGTGAATTGCATCTTGAAAGATTGTTTGAGAAGTACTGTAATCTTGATTGTTCCTGAAGCTTGCGATGGGGATGGAGGGAGAGAGATTCCCACCTGAAGATGGACACAGGGCCTCTATTTATGCTTCGGAAGGTCGGCTCAGCGTCGCGCGTTTCCCAAGAGCGTTTGTTTTGTCTGGTAGAAACATCATTATCACCACCTCGACTCACACATGTCGGATGTGTTTTTTTTTTTTTTGTGGCTGCTCGGAAGACCATCTTCCGCTCCTTTAGATATTAATGTGAGACCTCCTTGCCTCCTTTGACAGTTTTCGGCCAGTTACTTGTGGCACTCGGGCTGAAAACTAGCCAGTAGGAGAAAAACGTTGAGCAAACCACACCGTCAGAGCGGAACGGCCTGAATTTTCCTAGGGCTAGATACCTAACGGCCGGACATTATTCCCATTGCCAAGGAGCTGAAAGACATTAAACGCCCGTGAGGTACCGCGTTGGTCAGTGTCCTTATTACTATTTGAGACAATACACCACTCTAGGTGGCTGAATTGGGACGGGAGAGCCTGCTCCGCGTGCAGAGCATGTGAGACATTGGCATCCCTTACAAAGATGTGGATATATTCATTGGCTAATGACTGCCAACGTGTTTCCAGCCACAAGCAATATCATGACAGAGTGTCTTGGCAGAGGATGAAAAGGAAGAGAACGGAATGGGGGTGGAAACGGCAATATACCGCTTGATGAGATACTGCGATTCGTGTATAAGGAGGCATATACAATGGTAATGACCAACGAAGTTTGTTAACCGAGTGGTTTACTGCAAATGATGGGCCACGTTGAAAGGAATGGATATGACTTGACACACATATCTACAGGTTCCTAGCTTGCCATCCTACAATGCCGATCGATCTTAACAGATCAGAGAAAAAACGCATGAGACCTCGCTGTCTCAGGTTCATCCCGTAAGTCTGGGTCAAGCATTATCTCCGAGAATACTACATGCCTGAACTTTGCAAAACGAGGCAATGCGGAGGCAGCATTCATTAGCTCTTTTATTTGTTTGTCAGCTCGACACACATTGTGACTAAACTCTAAATGTGTTATATGTGATAATAATGAGCTTCTGACAGGTATAGTACATAGTTGCCCAGCGGAGAAGTATGCGATATATCATTTTCAAGGCATAGAATGTCAATTGCGCCATCCACATAATGCCTTTCCGTAAAGAAAAAGAGACTCATAGTTTCAATATTAGGCCTCCTTGCATTTAATATTGTGTGTGATAACGAAAACGGAATTCGATCAGGGCCAACTGTTCATCTGACAGCATACAGAGGTCTCACACATGCGCCCGGTGAGAACTGCAGGGTTCATGTCTGTGGCGAGGGAGAGATACAGATATGGTGTACAAAAAGGGAATACTAGAAAAAAAGAGGTCACGCTCAACTCACAGCTTCGCCAAGATGAAATGCTTCGCTCACACGTGCGGCTGAGCCTTGGCACGACGGATCGATGACGGTAAAGGCATCACGCGCAGCGTATTGCTGCTGATGTTACTGAGCTCCTCCTTTTCACCTTTTCCGGACTTAGTTCAGCTCGCATGTTCGCATTTTGTATCAAGCACTGTCGATCCTTGGTATTGAAGAATGGCTCCAGAGAGCAGTTGAAATGCTGACCCCGTGTTCTCTGAATGAATCACATACCACTATACTGCTCGTCCATCGGTCCTTTTTCCGATCGAGAGACTCATGATGTGAAGGAAGCATTATTAATTCTCTCACCACAGAAAAACAATCACAGCCGTTGGGATGTGACGGGCAATGGTATGCTGACATCTGCGCCTACAAACTATGTGATGAGTCTGAAATAGGTACAACTGGCCGCAGCATGCATTCTGCGCATCCTTGTTAGGCTCATGCCGCGACACCATATCCTTGCAATAATCACACCAAACTTGGAACAAACTCAGCTCACTCGTGATTAAACAATCTCGCTTTGCAAATGAATTACTCAGCCCATGCGAATACGTGTGCCTGTTCGTGATAATCATTCGAAAATCAATCCGCCTCGTGGACGGCCCCATCTTCTGAAAATAGATGTTACTACTCCGGCGAGACAATGAGAATTTGTTTCCAAATAAAATCAAGGTTAATACTATTTCTATGCATCTGCATAAAAACGCATATGAAATCCCGGAATTACCGAAAGAAGGCATCAAGAAGACCACTTATACGGCTGAGATTGAATATTTCTGATTGATAGATACGACTTATATTTCCCCTTTCGTTGAGCTGTGGGAATAGTATGGTGTAATTGATGTCAGTTACATACCCCTGAGAGGCTTCTATCCTGGGCCATCTTTCTAGCCACAGCAGACTTTGGATAGTGTTACGCACTCTGGGAATTGAACAATGGGCTTGACAAGCAAAGCTGTAACTTGAATCTCGGAGAAAATGGAGGTGCAACGTAGCACGGCATATCATGCTAGAGCATTTACAATTGGTAACACGACCTGTATCGCTTAGATCCAGGGAACCTAATCATAACAATAGCAATTGTCTTTGCCGTATGCATAGCAGAAGAGATAGGAAGAGGGTGTTGTTTTTAACCGAGGTTGCGAGGCCTTGGTACCTACTAGGACTCTAATTTAAGTTGGTCAGAATTGCTATGGACGTATGATATGAGTGCAATACAATATCAGTTTAAACGCACATGACCCATCTCAACACTGACTGAGACAGCTTCGACAGTACATATCTACATCACATGAGTAAGATCGAAGACATTTGGGTAATTCATGCAGTAGAGATCGGAATTTACTCGTGCCATCGCTTTCGTTGATGCTCTAGGACTAGGGAATCGGAATATGCACCCACTGCAGCTGAATCACCGCCAACACCGAAAACTAGTCCTTACGTACGCAGCCACCGGATAGACGATGCCACCATCAACCAGTTTAGTCGACGCAGGATTTCAGGCTACATCTCGTCTGATGTGTCGCCCCTCCGCAACCCTTTCCAATGGTGGCGAAGGATTGGCTCACTGACAGCTAAAAATATGCATGTGTGGTTACTGCGCAGCCCAAGTCCTACCCCGAAATAGACAGGCATCCTCGAGATCCGGATGTTTATGGCCAAGGCTGGTCCGCTACTCCACAAAGAAGCCAACAACAGGGGCTCCGTGTTTCTTGGTTCTCGATTTTGGACCAAAGGATCTGTGACGAAGGGCATGAAGGATGCAGGTTAATTAAAACCACGTGTAGCGGAGGTGCACATGGAAACACCACAATGTACGAAATCGCGCATGCGGTCAGACCCGTTTTGGGAGCCTTGCATCATCGAGACGCCTCTGGAGGGTTGGTGAATTGGCAAGGCTGTGACATTTTTGGCGTTGATACATCAATTACTGGATTTGGACCCTAAAGAAGCTGGGAGGATCCTACAGTACCGGTTAATGCATGGATGGTCCAGCTCAGCTGCAGCTGCGCTAAGAATCATCCTTTTCTGCAGCTGGTCCAATGAGGAAGCTTCGGGAATTTGAACTAGGTAGGTAGTGTTCTTCAGCGGACAGGAGAAAGCCTCATATGGTCCAGGGCATATGCATATGCCGGACCCTGCAGCGCGCAAAGGCGATATAGAGGCATGGGTTGGTATTGCTCCCAACCAGTACCATCGTCGGCGATATCGCGAACTGCTAGGTGACTCCGCAGGGGTATTGAGAATCTTGCACGAGGTGGAGTAGCGTTTGTCAACTTCAAACGGTGTTGAGGGAATTGCCTGATATAGTCCTTGTACCAACGTATTGAGCAGTGTCCGCCCGCGGTGCGAGCCGCAAGCTTGGCATTTGCTGATCGCCGACAGTCTGAATCCGCATGATGCCACTGATTCCGAGCGTCGAGGCTGCTTCATTTTGCGGCAGCATTATAGCATTGCAAGCGCGGTGCTATCGGACCGCCACCTCCATGCGAGAATCTCGAGGCGGCCAAGCTCCTCGGATGTCTTTCTTTAATGCCGATTCTCAGGCAGCCTCGCGGCCGACGCTACTCGCGAAGCAGAAACAGCCATGCGGGAAATGGGTGTAGAGCTCGGCTGGAAAAGCAGGCGGGCAGCGACGGGGCAGGCGGTGCGCAATAAACCGGCTGATGTTGAGATCAAATTGGAGTGGATGCTGGATGCTGGATGGGATCGTGCTGAATCAACGCTGGTCTGGTACACATATCAAGGAGGACGGAGTATCTACTGGCCCGGCCTCTTGGGTTGGTTGGCGCTGGCCTGATTCTACAGCGTTTGTGTTGGCAGGCACAACCGCTGTAGGCCCTGTAACCAGCCAATCCCAGCAGAGATCGAGGTTGGAAGCATCTTGTTTCTCCCCATACATCTACAGTACTACTAGTAGGTAACAAACTCTTTGGCCACCCTGCTGCCGACATCATCAGACATCATCAGACATCAGCCCCGCCACTGCAACAGGGTCCTCGGGAATAGAGTATTCCGGCCAGCTGCAGCTCTTCGCCGCTGCATTACCGAGAACCAGGCTGTACCGTACGAGGACTGAGGAATACTGTAAAGGCATTGGTAATGCGGTAACCGTCTCCTCGGCCAACTGGCCATTCCCAAACGACATGAGATGACAGCAGCTAACTTAGACGCCACTCACCAGTGCCTACGACGTGTCTGAGGCCCCCCCTTTGGCCGCCAAGCCGATGAAGAGCCCGACGGCGAGTCCCCAGCGACGTTGCTGGTCCCGGCCTTTCCCTTGCGAGTCCGGCGATGCAGCTCGCGTATGCACAAATGTCCCAGTCCGGAGTAGACATGGAGTGCATGTGGAAGACTGACAGGTCAATTGAGCCATGAGTCGCACTGCTAGTGCTGCCACGTTGATGCTCTGTCGCTGGTGTGTCCGGGGAACGACCAGATCAGCGCCGTCACGACCGCCTGGAGGGCGATGGCGAGCCCTGGTCTGATGGTATCAGATTTCGCTACCGCAAATCTCTCGCGTGGCGGACGCAGCAGACATGCTAATTTCTCACCGCCTGTCACTCGAATCGAGTGGAATGCCCGGGCCCCTGGCCGCGGCCCTGGACCAACAACCCTGCCGTCCGGCTCTGGTTCGTTCGTCCAAACCTGGCTGGGACCCTCGTGCAGGAGTGCGCGCCATGGCACCCCGCCCGCTTTCTTCGCAGCCTCTTCCAGCTCGTCTGTCCAATCAGCCGCCGTTGTCTCAACCGACTTGTCGGGACCCCTCCATCTCAGGTCCCCCCCCATCCCATCCAGGTTGCAACGCCGTCGATGGTCAAACCTGCAGTTGGGAAACGCGAACCTTGGGACGACTAGCCCGGGACGCCGGCAGGACTGGGTGATGCAACAATATCGGCCGTGAAGATACTAGCAGTCGACCCATCGTGCTTTGGATTCATTCTGGCCCGTGCTACGACACTTGATGCTCCTCCTACTCCTGGCAAGAGGACTAGGACTAGCTTGACAAGGGAATTGATTTTGGTCGTCTCGTCTAAAGCCACCTTTCGCCTCTAACCGCCCCTAATCATGGCCCGGGCCGCAAGCCTGATGCCCATAAACACCATCTTGTTGCCATGGGTTAGCATAATGCGTATTACTACTACTGCTAGTAGTAGTAGTAGTAGTAGTAGTATACCAACTAGCCGAGTAAGCGAGCAACAGTCTTGTGTGCAAAAGTAGATTCAAAGCAAAGTTACGCCATGCTAGGTATGTATTGATAAGAGACAACTAAACAACTTCAACCAACACAAACAGTGACGTTGTATCCATTCGATACGACTGGTCATAAACCGCCGTCAGTTTACTACTGCGGCAGAGGGGAGTCACTAGTCCTGCCTGCGCATACGGTTTCGAATCCTCTTCCGCGGCCGACGTATCAGTTTGTGTCGACCGCATCTAGCCTCCTCCTCCTCAGCTTCTACTCCAACTGCGTTACCCATTTTGTCCAGTCCGGGTCTTCCGTCAGCCGCCGAGTAGTCTCCGGTGCCGTCCAAAGCATGATCTCGATGCCCCCATGGATCGAGGGTAGAACAATCACAAACCCGTCCATGAAGGCCGGGAAGGCCCATCGAAGGGCCTTGATGTCTCCAAGCTCGGGCCCCCAGTTTGCCGCCTTGAGCATCTCTCCAAGCCGAGAGGGTGCAGTGACTAGCACGTCTGAGTTGAGCGATGGGAGCAGCTTGTTGGAGATGTCGCCGGGATGTGTTTGCAGCGCCCCAGTCAGAGACCAGAGCTCGTCTGCGGTCCACTCCTCAATGGAAGCCGAAACCTTCTTCGCAAGTTCATGGACCAGTTCCACACCAGGAGTCTCTAGCTCTGCAGTAGTTGCATTAGCTCGAGCGAGGGCAATGGCGTTTCCTGGATACTCGGGTGCCAGCGGCGGCTCCACGCGCCTCCTCAGGTTCACCGAGGTTAGAAGCGAGCTCGAGGCGACTTGCTTCTCTGTAAGTCGTCGAGCCTTGCTCACCTGTTTCCAGATAAGCGCGGATAGCGTCGCATGGGACGTCACGGATGATTCCTCCTTTGTCTTTGGCAGCGTTACATCGCAGAGTTCGTCCATTTTCTCCTGGGTCATGGCCCAGTGAGATACGCGGATGAGCTTGGCGATTCCTTCGTGGTCGCCTGAGGTTGCCTTTTGCAGAACCTTGACTTGCAGGTCCGCCTGCAGCTTCTCGTATGATCCCTCTTTGGCGGGATGATATAGTGGGAACTCTGAGAGTGGGCGGTCCATGCCCGGGCTGTAGAGCTGAAACGCATCCAAATGCTCGTTGGTAAGCCACTGGTTGCGGTGGACGACGACTCCCGTAGACACTGCGGCCACATGCTTGGCCCAGACCTCGACAAATGTGCCCATACCCTGGGCGTCCATGACCACATGGTGGCCGCCAAACGTCAGGACCAGGCCGCCCTTGATCAAGGTCGCCTGCAAGGTCATGACGGGGGCTCGATCAGAGTGCCCCAGCGGCTGCGAGGCATACTGGGACGCCGGCAATGCAGCAAAGGGAAAGTTGCGCCCAGCCAAGTCTTCATAGTCGACATCTGGCAGCTCCTTGACGTGGAACCAGACGCCCGAGTCCTTGCGGTATTCCAGCTGGATTGTGTTGCGGACGGGGTCCTTTGGAACGATTTCGGCGGCCAGAATCTTCAACTCGTCAATGGCCAGCGACAGAGCCTTCTTCAGGTTGCGCAGAATTATGGGTCGAAGTGAAGGCTCGTCGACCTTGAAGAAGATCATCATAGGCAGAATGACCCTAACCATATACTGATCAAGCGGTGTGACATCAACAATGCCCGGCACCAGCGGGATGCTTGGCTGCACCAGAGTGCTCTCGGCCAGAGTAGGAACCGATCCCATGATGGCAAAAATGCGTGTTGGCTGAGCAGAGAAGAACGCAGCGCCGTGTCGTGACGATTGGTCTGGAGTTGGCGTCGTTTTGTCGCAGGGTAAGCTGCAATTTTATATTTATATACCTAGTGGTCTCTGACGAGCGCCGCGGATGGGCCGATCGCCTCAAGCGCGTCTCCAGAATTTGGACCCGGACACTTTACGAGACGGGCTGGTTTTTGACATGCATGGCCTGGGGCTAGGGACTGCATTAATGCAACCCTTCTTTTCCGTTTCCCTTGCTGGCCCTTTTCTTTTCCCTCCTCCATCTTCGCCCCCATCCCATCCCATGCGCTGCAGCCAAAACTGGGGCGGCCGAGAACGAGCTGGTTCCCTATGAAGTCAGCTTATTCCAGCGTCTCCTGCACTGTGGCAACTCCATATAATTCTCGCCGCGATCCCAGCTCGCATGTCCGCCTCTCTTCGTCTCCTCAACCCTCCAACCTCAACCATCCCTTCCCCTTGAGTCAATTCTGCCCAGCATGACTTCATCTAATCCCGTGGACCCCCATTGGCTCGATGCCAACGGGGATGAGCCCATTGCCATCATAGGAGTAGCCTGCCGGTTCTCAGGCACTGCCTCTGATGAGGATGGTCTATGGCAGCTTTTGTCAAAGGGGAGAACCAGCTGGGCGAGCAATGCCCGGAGCCGGTTCAGGATGGAGTCTTTTTGGCACCCCCAAGCTCACCTGCCGGGCTCGGTACGTGGGCGATGAAGACAACGGCGAGGAGAGGCGAGAGGCAAACCCTCTGTCTCTTTTCTCTGTCTCTGTTCCCCCCTTTTTTTCTCGCTTCAGCCTCGTCTCTGTCGCTGTCTTGCCTTGGTGCTTTCAACTGACCAACGACTCTATTTATAGACCAGTGCTAGGGGCGTTCACCTTCTTCAACAAGACCCGGCTGTCTTCGACAGTGACTTCTTCGGCATCAGCGGCGTGGAAGCCAAGGCCATAGATCCTCAGCAGAGACTCATGCTCGAGGTGGCCTACGAAACCTTTGAGAACGCCGGTATCCCCTTGGAAAAGCTGGAAAAGTCCAACACTGGAGTTTTCTGTGCCGTCTCCTACACAGACTATGACCAAATCCTGGGTCGCGACCCTGAGACATCGCCAATGTAGGTCTCGCCCAACTCTTCAACTCTCCTCAACTTTCGTCAACTCTCTAAACTCTCTAAACTCTCGGAACCGACTCTGGGAAACAGAGCCGGCAAAGTTTGGCAACTCGCTGCTTCTTTACAAAAGCTTACCAACGACTGCAGGTACCGATTCACTGGAACAGGGCCGTCTCTCGTATCCAGTCGCGTGTCCTACGCCTTTGACTTGCGCGGACCCAGTAAAGCCGTTGACACCGCTTGCTCTAGCGCTTCAGTGGCCCTGCACGATGCCATCCTCGCCCTTCGAGCTGGCGACGCTGACCAGATTCTGGTGGGGGGCTCTAATCTTATTTTGGACCCTGACAAGATGTCCATTATTTCCTCCATGTCGTAAGCTTCAGGTATCCCCCTTCAGGCTATATAGTCTTCTTTACTGACAACCAAAAGGTTCCTGTCCCCGGACGGCCGATGCTATTCCTTCGACTCTCGCGCCAGCGGATATGCCCGTGGAGAAGGCGTAGTGGCTCTATTGCTCAAGCCACTTAGTGCCGCCCTACGGGATGGCGATACAGTTCGATCCGTTATCCGCGGTAGCGCGGTTGTCTCCGATGGCAAAACCCCGGGCATCACCATGCCGTCGCCGGATGCTCAATTTGCCGCTATTCAGCGTGCATACAAGGTTGCTGGGCTTGACCCCCGAGAGACAGTCTACGTGGAAGCACACGGTAATTTGAAACCAACAGTAACTTGCTGGCTTTTCTCCAACTAACGCTTTTTTTTTTATATAGGTACTGGTACCAATGCTGGAGACAATGTTGAAGCCGAGGCTTTTAACCGAGCTTTCTGCTCGGACAATTCCGAGAAGCAGCTTATCATCGGTAGTGTCAAATCAAATTTGGGTCATACCGAGTGTGTGTCAGGGTTGGCCGGTTTGGTAAAAGTGCTCTTGATGCTTGAGAAGAGAAAACTTGTTCCCACACCCACCTTTGTAAACGAAAACCCCAGGTTGGAGCTCGAACGACGAAGACTGAAAGTAAGTGCCCGAAGACCTTTGACTGAAGCATTCAAACTAATTCGGGGGTTTCTTTTCTCTAGGTTTCAACACAGTTCCAAGATTGGCCAGAAGGATTAATACGTCGGGCATCTATCAATGGGTCGGGGTATGGAGGCACAGACACCCATGTTATCCTCGAGGCATGGACAGAGCCAACCAAGGTAATAGAGCCAACATCGACATCAGAGCTCAGAGCAGCGCGTGGCCCAAATATCTCTGAACCCGCCGCTTCTAAATCCAGGGTCTTCGTGTGGAGCCACCAACGGGACGATGGCTGCTCCAAGATGGCCAATGCGTGGAAGAAGTTCATGAGGGTGGCCAAAGCAAACCGCGAAGAGCTATCTCTAGACGACTTGGCCTATACATTGTCAGAGAGGCGAAGTCGGTTTGCGCAGCGAACTGCAGTTGTTGCTTCCACGGTTGAAGAGCTTTTGGAGGGGCTCAACAAAATTGAGCTAGGATCACTTCGTCCGGTCAAAGCTTGGACGAATGCACGGAGGTGTTTCATCTTCACTGGTAAGGCCCCTTTGTCTTTCTAAGCTGTATACTGTGAAGCTAGCACAGGCTGATATGTTTTCACCTCTATAGGCCAGGGAGCCCAATGGGCAGAAATGGGACTGGGACTGCTATCCTACCCACTCTTTGCCGACTCAATGCAAAAATCTGAGCGGGAGTTTATTCGAATGGGCGCGACTTGGCGCCTGATCGATGAGCTGAAAAAGACAAAGGAAACCTCTCGCATCAATGAAGCTGAGCTGGCCCAACCAGTGTGCACGGCCATCCAGATTGCGTTGGTTGATCTCCTTGCGTCTTGGAACGTGCATCCTGATGCGGTTTGTGGCCACTCAAGTGGAGAGATTGCGGCCGCATATGCTGCTGGAGCCTTGACTGCACCGGAAGCCCTCAGGGCTGCCTATCACCGTGGCCAGTCTGTATATCAAATCATGCGGAAGGAGGGTGCAAGGCAAGGCGGAATGCTTGCAGCAGGTCTCTCAGACACTGATGCGCAAAAGTACCTATCAAAGTATAGCGAGTACGCTGTAAATGTTGCATGCATCAACAGTCCTACCAGTGTGACAATCTCGGGCGACGTCTCGGCCATTGAAGAGATTGGTGCTAGATTGGAGGAAGATGGCATCTTCAACCGAAGGCTAGCCGTCCCAGTAGCCTATCATTCTTCTCATATGAATGTTATCGAGGGGCTCTATGGTGATGCGTTGAAGTCGCTGCAGCCTCGCAAATTCAAGCCAGGCGTGCGAATGATCTCTTCGGTTACGTGTGAAGAGCTAAGTGGCGAAGAGATGGACGGAAGCTACTGGGTGAGCAATCTGCTACGCCCAGTTCGGTTTTCGCCTGCCTTGACCAAGCTCCTTAGCTTGACTGCGTCTGCTACGGATAAAGATGGCAGTGCCACGGTGCTACCGACTGTTATGATTGAGCTTGGCCCTCACGCTGCACTCCAAGGACCGGCCACTCAGATAGCAAAAACTGTCAAGGAGCTGTCTTCAGTGACCTATTTCTCTTGCTTGAAGAGAAAGGAGGGCGCAGTTCAGAGCATGTTGTCGACTGCAGCTGGTCTTTTCAACTATGGCCTTGCAATTGATCTCATAGGCATAAATAACCCTCACGGCACGCGCACAAAGGTGCTGACGAATTTGCCGGCATACAGCTGGCATCACGGAAAGATTCATTGGAATGAGTCCCGTCGAAGCCAAGTGTACCGCATGCGAGAGTTTCCCCGCCATGATCTGCTTGGAACTGCTGCCGCGGACAGCATCAGTGCCGAGCCATCTTGGAGAATGTACATTCGACTTTCGGAGATGCCGTGGATCAAGGGTCATTCTATAGATGGCCAAGTCCTGTATTCTGCAGCCGGCTTTCTGGCTATGATTGTGGAGGCCTTGAAACGTCAGTCCATTACGTCAAATCGCCCATGGCTGAAGAAAGTGATACAGTTCAAGAAGATTGTCATTGATAGACCTCTCCTTATCCAAGAGGACGCATTTGGAGCTGAAGTCTTTACTCTTTTGAGACCTTACTCTGTTACCTCTCGCGATTCTAGTCAAAAGTGGCAAGAATTCAGAATCTACAGCATCTCTCCAAATAACGAATCCACTGAGCACTGCCGAGGCTTAATTGCTCTGTCGGAAGACTTGGGAAAGCTGGGTGTCAAGCCAGATACTGCGACTGACTCTCTTCAGAACGAAGATGGTTCTGCTCTATGGACTCAATTAGAGTCTAAACAGCTGTATAAGCTGCTTAGCGCCTCTGGTAATGATTATTCTGGGTGTTTTGCAAACCTCGACAACATCTCAGCTCGCCCCTGGCAGTCCAATAGCGAGCTCTACGTGCAGGATGTGAAAGCAACAATGCCTGGAGGCCATCAAGAAGTGCATCACATCCACCCTACGACGCTTGAAGGCTGCTTCTTGGCAACGCTCTCGGGCGTAAAACTTGCTGATGGCTTGGATGGCCCTCAAGTTGTTACCTCCATTGATGAGCTTTACATTCCTACAGATATCGACCTCCAGCCAGGACACAAGCTCTCTGTTGCGGCGAAGTCTAATCCTTATGGACTTAGACAGCATTCGTCTCATATCGTTGCTACAGACAATGCAAACAACGTTGTCGTTCGAGTTGAAGGAATCAAGTTCTCGTCTCTGGGGAGCTACCAGGCGGACGCTAACGGCGATGATAACCGTTTGAGTCACCAGGTTGAATGGCTTGTGGATCCCTTTTCGTCTACGAAACAGGCAGTTGCTGAGTACTGCCAAAGTAATCTTGATCAGAAGAGTCAAGAGCAGCGGAAAAACCTTGACCCTATCTCTCTTAGCATTATTAAGGACACCCTTGGTCAGCTCTCGAGCGAAGACGAACCTTTAATTACCGGTCACTTGCGACGCTTCTATGATTGGATGCGAGGGCAAGACACAGCGAATGTGCTGCCATTGAGCTCCGACGACAAAACACAGGGTATTACCAACCAGCTGCTGGTTCAAATTGCCCCTCACTTGCCAGGCATTCTGCGAGGAAACCAAGAGTTCCTAATTGATGAGTCTCAGTTACATCACCTTTATTCTGAGGATGATGGCTTTAACCGGTGCCACACCCAACTAGCAGAGTATCTCAAACTTGTCCAGTACAAAGTGCCAAATCTGCGTGTTTTGGAAGTCGGCGCAGGAGCCGGCAACTTGACTTTTACTCTGCTTGAAGCTCTGCATGGAGAAAAGCGAGATTATGCTACTACTCCGGGCACGTATGTTCTCACAGAGGCTTCCGAGTCTTCTATTGCAAGCGCACAAGAGAAGTTGAAGAAGTTTGAAAGTGTTGTAGAGTTCAAGCCCCTTGATATCGAGCAGTCTCCTGCGCAGCAAGGGTTTGAACTTGGCTCTTTCGACATTATCATTGCTTCAAATGCCCTTCACGCGACACACAATCTTGAGAACACCCTTGGTCATCTAAGAAGCCTGCTGAAGCCAGGTGGCCAGATTGCTTTTGCAGAATTGACAGCACCATCTTTGAGATGGGGAGTCCTTGGCGGGGGCCTGCAGAGCTGGTGGCTGGGAGCCGAAGATGGCCGCACAAGCTCCTCTCTTGTATCAACATCAGAGTGGGATAAGGCTCTGGTCAAGAGCGGCTTTTCCGGTGTCTCACTCGAATTGAAAGATTTTGATTCAGATCAGGAACACGAAGTGAGCTTGCTCATTTCTCATGCCGCTAATATTCAATTGAAAGCGCACGCTGAGAACATCTCCATCTTCACTGGAAAGGAAAGTGATTCTGTAGCGAGTGAGTTGCGCCGCGCGTTGGCGGCACAGCACCTCGAAACCGCTGTGTCTACAGTATCACTCTCTGGAGAAGTAGCATCTCCTGGAACCTACATATTCCTTCCTGAGGTTTCTGAAGACGCCCTGCTGAGAGCATCCGAGAATGATTGGGACAAAGTCCAACATCTTCTTGTTAATGCCAAGGCAGTGCTGTGGGTGACAAAGGGACCCTCCCTGGCTGAGCCTGAGCCACACCGGGCTCTCATTACCGGATTGGCACGCAGCTTGCGATCATCGCGGCCTGATCTCGACTTCTTCACTTTGGACATTGGTACGGGCTCGGATGAAGCATCTGCAATTTTGCAAGTATATGAAAAGTATCTTGGACCAAATGCTTCGCCGTACTCTGCATCCGAGTGGGAGCTTGCCTTTTACAATGGTAGCATCGTAATTCCCCGTCTATTGGAGAATAAGGCGGTCAACCAGCAAGTTAAAGATGCGGTATCAAGTCACCACCCACGTGAGGAGATTTACAACGATGCCAGCCGCTCATTGGGTCTGCAAATTAGCTCGGTCGGAGTGCTCGACTCCTTATACTGGGCAGACAGCGAATTCCATGCAGCTTCTCCCAAGCCGACACAAATCAGAGTTCAAGTGGAGAATTTCGCACTCAATTTCAATGATATGCTCACCACCACTGGCCAGCTTGAAGGCAACTCTTCTCTTCTCCTCGAGGGAAGTGGCACAGTCGTTCATGTAGGCGATGCTTCTCAGACGAAATTCACTGTGGGCGATCGGGTAAGCTTCTTTGCTCCTGATGGTCTTGCCACCGTGAGTAACGTAGATGCTCGTCACGCTGTTAAAATTCCCGAGGCCATCGCCAGCGACGTCGCGGCAGCAATTCCTTTGGCTTACTCAACGGCGCTCTATGCTCTCCGAAACATTGCTAGGCTTCAGCGAGGCGAGTCCATCTTGATTCAGTCTGGAGCGGGAGCAGTCGGCCAGGCATCAATTGCCCTTGCAAAGGCCCTTGGCGCCGAAGACATTTTTGTGACAGTTGGAAGTCCAGACAGGGCAGAGTTCGTCAACAAGTCTTTTGGCATTCCCACTGAACGCATCTTCTCAAGCCGAGACCTGGATGTTGGTGACCGCCTTCTTAAGCAGACAAACGGCCAGGGCGTCGATGTTGTTCTCAACTCTCTTTCTGGAGACGCGTTTTCAGAAAGCTGCAGTGCCGTAGCCTCATTTGGCAGAATTGTTCAGCTCTGCGAGAGAGATGTTGCAAACAATGGTCAACTTGGCCTAGAGGCCCTTCAAAGAAATGCCTCCCTTTCTGTTGTGAACATGGCGTTCCTCGCAAGAGAACGGCCCGCGGCGTTTGAAGAGCTGCTGCAGACATCTTTCAAGATGCTACAGGAAGGAACGTTGGCTTTGATGAGCCCCATTACTACCTCTCATGCTTCCAATGTTGCGGAACAGCTTCGAATTATGCAGGCGGGCGACCAATTAGGCAAAGCTGTGTTCAAGCTGGACTCTAGCCTGCCTTTGAAGGTAAGTTACGTGCTCTTATAAGATGTCACGCGGATCGTTTCACTAACTTGGTTCAAGATTCAACCTCGGAAGCCCAAGTCTGCGGCTCTTCGAGAGAACAGTTCCTACTTTGTTGCCGGAAGCAATGGAGGTCTGGATGTAGCCGTTGCGAAGTACTTGGCAAAGCTAGGAGCCAGTCGCCTCATTGCGCGGCAAGGATCAGACATTGAAGTTCTGACAGATGAGATTAAGAAGCTGGGCGCGGACGTTGCCATTATCCCTGGCAATGTCTCTGATAGGCCTATTGCCGATCAACTCAAGGAGGCAAGCGTAGGAGTACCCCTGAAGGGTATAATTCTCGGAGATTCTGAGACTCAAGTAAGTGATGTGACTTTCATGGCCGTTGATTTGAAGAAGGCAAAGCTGACACAAATGGATGATTAGATTGCGGATGTCCAGGCTCTTACTCACTCTCAGTGGTCCACTGCCATTGAATCCTCCACCGCTGGCATTCTCAGCCTCCAGAATGCTTTCGGCTCGGAGCTTGATTTCTTCCTCTTACTCAACAGCACTTCCTCAGTCGTGGGCAGCCCTGAGCAGGGCATCGCTGGTGCCATTGGCGCATTCCGAGATAGCTTTGCCCGAAGCCAAGCTTCGCAGGGCTTCCCTGTCAAAGCAATCGACATTGGTGCAGTGCAGCAAGAAGGCTCGGATGATGCTCAAAACGCATCACCCTCTTCCGACGTCCAACCGCAGAAAATCGAGGAAGTCCTCGCCGTCATCAACTATGCTATTCAGAACCCCATTGCGGCGAATCCATCTCAGGCACAAATCGTCTGCGGCGCCAGCCTCTTCGCACCAGATCCTTCATCTCCTGCCACAAGACGACCAGATGCTCGCTTCGCACACGTCTGGTCCCGCGCCGCACCCCGCGTCTCCAAGAGCGGCAAAGACGCCTTCGACGTGCAGGCCGTCCTCCGGAGCGCATCCAGCGCAGAAGTCGCCGTTGAAGCCGTATACACCGGCCTGAAGGAGAAGCTCGCCGGCCTGCTCTCCGTGGCTACAAAGGAGATACAGTCTGACCGCTCAGTGTCGAGCTATGGCGTGGATTCGCTCATCTCAGTCGAGCTGCGGAACTGGATCACGGGGCATTTGGGCGGACATGTCCAGATGTTGGAGCTAATGAGCTCCTTGTCGATGATGCAGCTGTCGGATCTTATTGCGAAGAGGTCAAGACTCGTCCCGGCGAATGTGTTTGGAAGCGCAGAGGCTGCGAACGCGGAGAAGAATTGAGGGGAGTATTTGGAGATACTACATGAAGTTATGAGATTACGAGACAAGATTATCGTTTCAACACCCCCCTCCTGTTGTATACTTTTCACTTTTTGCAAGGCTACAGTTATGTTTCTCATTTCGTTCCAAGCGAGTTTTTGGCTGAGAATTTGTATTTATTTACCCACCTCTTTCTTTCATTAGTAGTATATCTATATCGCGACAACAACGTATAAAGAAGTATTTATTTTGAACACTTTAAACGCCCGCCCCAATCATAAACTCTAGTCTAATAATGTAGTTTTTGTAATCATCCATGTCATTCCATATTCCGTGTTACGCCACATTACGAACTTTTCAAAACACCTGTCTGCATCCCGTCAATCCAGTCTATCTTTACTTCGTTGTCTAGCCTTCTCCAGCTCTGGCGTTTGCGTTGTTCTTCTAGGCGTTCCGCTGGGCAATTCTTCGACACTCGTGTCCAGCCGGACGTGAAACACCTTTCCTCGCCAGTTGACAGTCGTGCCGAGAAGCACTGCCAAGGTCCAGATTGGTAGAGCCATGAATTCTCTTGCAATCCATGCGGGGAGCCATTCTAGGAAACGGCGTCTCGGAAGGCCTCGCGGGCTGGATGAGCCAAACGCGAACTGGGGGGTGTTTTCGTCGGTTTCAATGGTGCGGCCCGTGTGTAAGAGTCTGAAGGTGAACCAGTCCACGGTCATCCAGGCGGCGATGGAGATGAGCCAAATCGAGGCCATGGCTGACCACGTCTGTGGAATAGTGTCTTTGAACCAGGCCAAGGTGGTAACGGCAAAAGCAAAATAAGCGCAGCATAGGAGTGACTCGACGCCGGGCTCGACCAAGGTGGCGGCCAGCACGGTGAATTTTCGAGCCCTCAGCCAGCGGACTCGCCTGGCGGCGTATGCAGACACGGACATGCCGGCCATTGGCTGCACAGCCAGGTCACTCCAGGCGATGCCGTGGTTTGCATAGCCCGGGATGTTGGAGCGCCAGAGAAGGTCGCCGATCAGGTGGTCCTCGCAGATGTTGTGGGAGAAGTAGTCGACGCCGCGTGGGCGCTCGAAATCCTTTGGGAGAATCGGGTTGCGGGCGGGATCGGTGACTTGGTCCAGGTGAGCCTTGCGGAACATGTTGCTCTTGCCGACGATACACGGGGCGACGCCGACGATGTTGATGGCGCCGTAGAACTTGACGTGCGTGGTGGCCATGAACATTTCGTCGAGGCGGCCGCCGCCGTTGTTGGATATTCGCTGCGATAGTGTTTCGTTGGCGGGAGTGGATGTGCCGGCGGCAGCTCCGAGGAAGTTTTGGCTTTCGGCAGAGGCGTCTTGGTGGTAATCGACGACGTCGACGACAATGGGCAGCTGATGGACGAATTTGTAAGGCTGAGCCGATTCACCGGCGTGAGAATAGCCCATGAGCTTGTCCACCATGCGCCCCAAGACGCCCTTTGCGACCCAGACGTTGCAGTCGATGATCCATATGACGTCTCCCGGGGCCTCACGATAGGCCCTGCTGATGTTTCGTATTTTGGGGTTCGGTCCCAGCGTGTTGACCCGGCCATCGGGGCCGTGCAGGGCCGGGTCCTCGTTCTCGACTAGGATTTGGGCATCGTGGGAGGGAAAGTCGCGGATGAGCTGCTGGAGGACCGGGTATGATGGATCGCTGGTGTCCTCGACGCAGAGCCGAATCGAGATTTTATCTCGGGGGTAGTTCTGGCGAAAGGTGGAAGCGATGCATTCGTATAGACAGGGCTCGAGGCCCTTGACCGGCCGGATAATGGTGACGCTCGGCGCATCGGCGCCAAGGCCGGAAGATACGGACGGGCGAGCTCGGCGGGAGAAGCGACTGAATCTGTGGACAGAAACTGGGTATGAGCCAGATGCTGGCTGGGGGCGAGGCTGGAGAGAAGGGGCTTACATGGCGCTGATGCCGACGGTTTGGACAAAGACGATGACCACGGACCAGACGAGGCAGACCGTGGCCACAATTTGGATAAGATTGGACATTTCCACGTCTAGAATGGACGAATAACCATTATTCCTTTCACTGTGGGCGGAAAACAATCACCTGCGCGTAGGGATGGACTGTTGGGACATGATAGAGCATACGAGGGAGGTAGAGATGGTTGTATAAATAGGGAGTAGAGGATGAGGCGGGGTGCCAGAGGACAGGTTAACGAGCAGAAGCAAAGTAGGGAGCAAATACGACGGCGGCGTATTCGGGAGAGTAGGATGAAAAGAGGGTGACGAGTCTGTTCGAACTCGCGGACTTGTTTCCAGCCAGCGCTGAAGTTGAGGCTGTGTTGACGAAGAGGAAGTGCGAAAAGAGATCGACGACAGCCACAGGACAAGCAACGAGGTGCCTGAAAAGAGCATGACCTGGCCATCTCTGGGTTGGGCTTAGCACGAATCGAAGCTCGGGTAGCCCTGCAAGAGTCGCTAGACGGTACATGCAGCCCAGCACGGAAAAATACGCCAATGGACGAAGCAGACGGGGTCACAAGCACAGCAAAACGAAGAGGTTGTTAACACGGCAGACGTCATTTTCCAAGGCTACGCTCTTCTTCTGCTTCTTTTGTATGTTGGGCTCTGCTGTCTTGCCCAGCTGACACGATTGCTGATGCCGCTCGGACGTTGAAGTTTACATGTTGCGATGCCAAAGACTGCTGCGACCAATGCTTCGTCACCTGTCGGAAGATCCGGGCCTGTAGACACCGCAGCATCCAACAAACATGGTGATTTGACGCGAAACTCGGCGCCGACCCATGCGGTGAGCGTCAAGCCCTTCCGGTGGATCACCCAATGCTGCAGGACGGCCTGTAGGCGTCGCTGTGCCTGCGGTGCCTGCCGATGTGCCCTAGATTCAGGGCGCTGTGCCGCCTGTAGCCTCTCGCTCCGCAGAAATGCATGCATGTGCTGTGTGTGGCTGCTGCCCACACAGGAACCTCGCATTTGATTTTCTTGACGCCTGGCGCCCCAGGCATCCGCTCCGGGTCCCCGTTTAGCGGCTTTCTCCGACTAACCGCCGAGGAAAAAAAAGCCCTTGTGAGCAGAGAAAAAAAAAATTTCCCTCTTCTTACTTCTTTTCCTTAAACAACAAGCAAAGGATCTTTTTCTTGCGCCCCGACATCATCTTGCCAGATTCCAGACTGGTAGAGCATCTATTGCCTTTCTGGAACGTCGTGGATGAGATCCAGCTGGACTCGTCTTGCAGAGGAGTGTCGTTTTCACCGGGCCATGTCTTGAGAGAAGTAAGTCGAACTCGTCCGTCTTCATTTTTTTCCCTCGGAGCTTTGGTAGCCATCAAGAAGCTTGGGCAACTCTTTCACAACGTTTCCATCCAAGCTCAAGCTTGCTTTCATTCATTCTGCCCTGAAAACTTCACCCCCGCGCCTTGAGCTATTGCCAGACGGCAGAAGCTTGCTGAAAAGAAGCTCCCTCTTTCACCTGCAACCCTTCCCTCTCACTGTTATGATGATTACCATTTGCGCAAAGAGCGACCATTCATTTGGAGACCTCTGTGATTGCCATTTGATTATAGACTACAACGGTATCTGATACAGCGATGGAAAATTTGGTTGCTTGCCCATGCATTTCTCACCACACTATCCCGATGCAGCAATCTTTGGAGCTAAATACTGACTAGAAGCTCCTCTAGGTCAAGGTCAAAATGATCCCAGTCCGAAATGGCTGAGATGCAAGTCCAAACCGAGCCCCCTTCTATTGGCAAGGCTTCGGCTGAGCTGCAACCAAATCCTGCAGCTCCGGCTCCAGCACCGGCCAAGGCCCAGTCCGAAGCTGCAGTTCCGGCTGCGCAGCAAAAGCGAGGCCCGTCTATCCACCAGATATACGCGCTTCCTGCACCCATCCGAACCTTTCCCCTCCCAGCCTTCTATCCCAACAACCCAATCTCGCTGGTTCACGTTGCCTACGCATGGCTGGGCCAGGTTTTCCGACCACCGCCCGCAGAGCCTGCCGTGATCCACCAGGGCGTCTGGTCTGAGACGACAATCTCAGTCCACATCAAAGATGAAAAGTCTATGAGGGCCTTGTGGGAGCAAGGCTTCTATGGCAAGGGCAACCTGAGTCGCAGTGAGCCCAACTGGCTGAAGAGAGAACAAGTCCAGAGAGGACTCCAGGAAGTCCATGTCAGCGAGATTTTCACGCAGCAGCGGCGAGAGGAGCGAGCTCAAGCCAAGTGGGAGCGTGCGCGACTCGAGCAAGAAGTTATTTTGCAGACAAGGCTGGAAGAGGAGCGACTAGCCGCAGAAAAGGCCAAGGTTGTGCCAGACTCCACCCCAACCTTTGTTGCACCAGTTGGTCCGTTGGAGCTCCTCGCACTTCCAAACTCGGCCGTCGTTGTATCGCGCCTCGAGTCGATTCTGAAGCCTCTACTGCTTCTTGCACCTGTTGGACCGCTACAACTTTTGGCGCTGCCAAACTCTGCTGCCGATCTTGCCAGGCTTGGCAAAGTAAATGCGTCCAAAGCCAACGAGTCGTCGTCGCCTCATGGGTCTTCAACAGAAGACTCTGAAGAGCCTCGGACTCCCATCACCAACGAAACTCCAGAAATCTTTAGAGACGATAGATCTGTAATTTCATCGAGTGATGGCGCGGGAAACAAGACGTTGAAGCGCAGAAAGAGTGTCCGATTCTCTCCCACCGTGGAATCAGCTACGTACAAGGCGTCCGATCCTCCCAGCCCCAACCGCTCGCCTCCTGTGTCGTATTCAAAGCCCTCCCAAGCCAATGGCAATGGCAACGCAACTAGCCAGACCCTGCCTTCACTCCCATTGGCAAGCGTACCAGTGTCCGACCCCATTATCAATAAGGAACATCTCCAGTTGACACCAGAGGAAGCCTTCTTCCTTTCATTTGGCCTTGGCGTGCTGGAAGTCTGCGACCCTGCATCTGGCAGGGTGCTGTCGCGCCAGGAGCTCTTTTCTCTGTTCCGGCAATACTCTTACTTTCCTCCCCGCAATGGCCCCGACGAACCTGATCTGGAGCCGGACGATGGATTCTTGGTTCACTATGCCGTGTACCATCATTTCAGATCGTTGGGATGGGTTCCCCGCGGGGGCATCAAATTTGGAGTCGATTGGCTTCTTTACACCAGGGGACCAGTGTTTGACCACGCCGAGTTTGGCCTGATTGTGATTCCCTCGTATTCAGATGCGTGGTGGAAGAAGCAAGGAAAAAAAGGCCCGCGAAAACCATGGTCGTGGCTACACAGCGTTGTACGCGTCTTGTCCCACGTCACCAAGAGCTTGGTGCTCATTTACGTGGATGTGCCGCCTCCGCACAAGTTTGAAGAGGGGTTGAAGAAGGGCATCACGGAGGCGATGAAATTGTACAAGATCAGAGAGGTTATGGTAAAGAGATGGTCGAGCAATCGAAATCGATGAAGTCGTCTTTGACGTCTATTTTCAGCTTTTTTTTTTTTTTTTTTTCTTTTTTTATCGGACTTGTGTTGTACGATCAAGGTGATTTCTAGGCGATGATATTGTATATGTATGCACATGGGAGTTGGACAACATGACAGCGACGTGCCGTTTAATGGACATGAGTAATGATGGAATGAATCTGGATCCAGCTATAGGGGCACATTTACCTTTTTATCAAAGATGAAAATGCATTTCAATCAATAACAAGAAACTTTGAAACATGAAGAATAAACTGGACTTGATTTGACAAAGTGAATACTGCAAAGTATTGCGATTGCCTGAATAGGTAGGACCCTGAGATTGAGGGGTTGGTGGTGGCTAATGTGTGAATGTTCCTTTGAGCCGAAGCAATGAGTTCATTTCTCAACATCATCTGATCAGACACTTGGAAAGCTAAAGAGCAAGTCAATGCAGGCTAATTGAGCAACGTAAATTTTACTCTGACTTTTCGGCAAGGCTGTCGACTACTATTTTCTGGCCGCATCACTTGGTGCTTTGTTGCCGGACCTGTGCCTCGGTCCACTTCAGCTCTCTTATTAGCGCAAAAAAGGGACCTGACATGCGACTTTGTCAACTCCGGTTCTCCTCATAGACGACCGACGTGTCATGTATTTTTGCATTTACCAGCAGCTCTTGATTTAGATGCATTGAAAATTTGATCCAGCGCCAGTTCATAAGCAGCAACTTTTTCACAATGTTGTCGCTGGCCCGCACCTCACAAGCCAGAGCCGCCGCCACGGCAAAAGCGCAAGTCAGAGCCGTGGCCTGTCGCGGCGTGGGAACTCAAGCCCCGTGGAAACGCCAACGAGAAAGTCAAAACCAGAGACAGAGACAGCCTCAGAGAGATGCTGCTACTGCTGCTGCAGAGACGGAAGAGCCTCGCTACAGGCCACAGTCGAGGAGGATCCAGGCCAAGGAGGCAGGCCCGCAACACCAGGCTGCGACGTCGGCCTCGCGATACTGGCCCAAGCTGGACATTCCGAAACACGCCAAGCGGTTCACGTACCATGACCTGGACGGTCCGGAGGAGAATGGTCCCGTGAAAGTTACGTGGACGGACAGGTTTCTGTTTGTGGAGGATCCGGCGACGGAGAATGGGCGGCGGACGCTGAAGCCGGCGACGCTGCGGGATAGTTGCGCCTGTGCGCGGTGCAGGGACGTGTCGTCTGGTCAAAAGACGTTTTCGTCGGTCGAGATTCCGGTGGATGTTGGGCTGGAGCACGTGAAGCCGACGAAGAAGGGCCTGGAGATACAGTTTCTCAACGACATCCCGCGGTTTGTGCAAGATGGAAAGGAGCACGTTATGCTGCTGCCGTGGGAATCGGTCGACCTGTCGCTCAAGCGCAAGGGCATGGAGGATGTGCGGCTGCCTCGCAAGCGATCGGTCCTGCGCCGCACGGGGGTCGTGTACTGGGATCGCGAGACCATCGCCCAGCAGGTGCGCAGGATCGACTACGCCGAGTTCATGAGGGACGACAGCGAGGCCTTTTGGGACGTCATCATCGACATCTGCCGCTTCGGCCTGGTGTACCTCAAGAACGTGCCGCGGGACGAGGAGTCGGTTGTGCGCATCACGACGCGCATCGCCAACATCCGCGAGACCTTTTACGGGCGCACCTTTGACGTCCGCGCAAAGCCCAACGCCGAGAACGTCGCGTACACGAGCGGCTACCTGGGCCTGCACCAGGACCTGCTGTACCTGGACCCGCCGCCGATGATCCAGGTGCTGCACTGCATGGACAATTCGTGCGCGGGCGGCGAGTCGCTCTTCAGCGACGGCGAGCGCGTCGGGCGCCTGCTGTGGCCGTTTGTGACGAGGCACCGCCTGGCGCCGCTGGCCGAGCACCATGTGCCCTACCAGTACGGCAAGCACGGCCACCACTACTTCAGCTCCCGCTACGTGCTGGACGGCAACGCCGCGGGCTTCTCCAGCGTGTACTGGTCGCCGCCGTTCCAGGGGCGGTATCTCAGCCCCGTCAAGGACATCCGGCAGTGGATCGAGCCGGCGCGCATCTTCGCCTCGCTGATTAATGACAAGGACGCCATCCACGAGCACAAGATGGAGCAGGACGACTGCGTGCTGTTTGACAATCTGCGGGTGCTGCATGGGCGGAATGCGTTTGACGTCGAGGGCGGGCAGGGCGCGCGGTGGCTGAGGGGGGCGTATATTGCTGCCGAGGACTTTTTGTCGAGGGCGGCGCATATCCCGCGGGGCATGGCGGAGAAGTATCGTGGCGAGGAGGCGTGGACGCCGGGGCTGGCGCAGAGTGGGTTGAAGAAGAGTGTGTGGTATGGGGATGTTGTGAGGAGGGTCAAGGAGCTGGATCCTGGTGTGGAGGCGTGATGATGGTGTTTTATATGATGAGCATGCAGCGTAGAGATTTATGATTGACATGTTTGAGTGCATCATGGCAGCAACGGGCAAAGTAGAAATGAGAAGAAGAAGAAAATTAGTGTATAGTACAGAGTGTATCTCGAGTCAATGTGATACGATAAAGCAAACTAGCAACAATAAATAAACGCAAAGCCCCTTTTGTCCCGTTCGTGCGCCGCGCACATTATACGCACTTGATATGTCGTCAATCTAGACAGTCCTCCATTGCAACCCTTTCCAGCAAGTAGCAGCACTTAATCCCACTTCTTTGCCTCGACGCCATCGGGTGGCACCGTCTCAACCCGCTTGTCCTTGACGTCGTCCCAGTTCGTGCTGAGGGATGTTCCATTGCTCTCCGTGAAGCTCTTCATCATGGCGCGCTGCTGCTCGGGGGTGGCTCCCTTGTAGAGCTTCTTGAAGAACAGGTTGACGTCCTTATCGTCATCCGAGTTCTCGTCTTCGCCGACCTTGTCCCAGTTTTTGGGGCCGGAGCGGGAGGACGTGGGATAGGATGGCTTTGCGGCTGGAGCCTCTGAAGGCTCGCTTTTGGCTGAATCAACGACAGGTTCTGATTTTTTGGTCTCTGGTCTGAAATCTTGAGTTAGCCAGCAATGTACACGAAAGGAAATGAAGAGACGATGATGAATAAACTTACGCTGCTACAACAGCAGGCTTTACTACAGCGGGCTGTGCTGCTGAGGATCCATCGGATTGGAGAGTTGGCCATTTGCCGGCAGCCTTCTTCGCCAGGCTGAGTTCGACCTTGTTGGGAGTGACGCTAAACTTGGACTTGGAGGGGTCGATTTCTCCCCACAGATGAAGCTGAAACTCCTTCTCGTCGCCGTTGGGATAGATGAGAGGGTCCAGGCGAACCGAGGTTTCAAGAAATTCCACCTTGAGCTTCTCCTTGTTGACGCCCTTTGAGAAGATGGAAACAGACATGGCCGTGTTGCTCTGGAAATCCTGAAGGCGGAGTGGCGCATCGCTGGGAACCACGGGCTTTGTTACTGCGGGTCTGGCTTCATCTTGAGCTTTGGCAGACTTGTGGACAGCGAGCTCCTTTTGCTGGGGAATCAAAGCCGTCGTCAATTTCCTCCCAGCATCATCCTCCGGCAGCTTCTCCATCGCCTTGAGGGCCTGGGTTCGCATAACACCGGCCATTCGCGACTCTCTTTGCTGTGGCTGAGACTGACCCTGTCCGCCCATGGCGGATTTGAGAGCATCGTCCTTTTTGTCGGCTTCCTCGCTGCGGGCATCAGCAGTGGCCTGGTCTGCAGTCACCGTCCAGAATCCCTTGTCGTCCACATGCTTCAGGCCGGGATCCTCCTTGGGCACCGCTGGACCGCCTTTGATGAGTCTCATACAGTGCAGGTAGCAGTAGTCGGCGTTTGCGTATTGCTTCATGTGGTAAAAGGCCACGCCGCGGCGGTACTGGGCGCTGGCCATGAGATCACGCTTGTTGCGCTCATAGGCAGTGTGCCACGCCAGGTCGGCATCGTCCAGGGCTGCTTCGTATCGCTCGAGCCCGATCAGGGCCTTTGAGCGGGCAATGAGCCAGGCGGGATTCATAGAGCTCTGCAGGGCAGTGGACAGCTTGGTGACGGCTTCATCCCAGTTGCGTGACTCGGTAGCACTGAGGCCCTGCTGGGCCAGAGTGACGTACGACATGGTTGAAGGCTGTGATGTGACTGTATTTGTTGCGGGTGTTGGGAAGAGAAGTGAGGGGAGTTGGTATATCCCGAGAAGAAGAAACCGTCCAGATCAAGGGAATCTGAGTGGTGAAACAAAGAAAATGGCAGACAAAAGGATTATAGAGTTACAGCCAAGAAGCTGGTGGTGAACTATGGAAGCTCTAGTGGGGTAACTTTGACAAGGCGACGCTAAAATAGAGTGCCGACCCCACCATCGATTTGCCCGGAACAATGTCACACCGCTTGCTTATTCGAGACTAGCTTATCCCTTTAGCCCGAATGGGAATTTTACTGCACGACCACAAATTCACACATGAAGCATCAGAACCTTGGGAAGGCCAAGATAAAAAAAACAAAAAGAAAAAGACATACAACAGCCGGTGTTCGCCAGTGGTCACCCACCTGACTACTAATCTGCCTCTCATTGGCTTGACTCTGGGAGAGCGGACGGGATCCCGTATATTCCAATGGATATGGTCGTATGTGGCAGAAACCTGCGCTACAGTCCACTATGGAACAACCACGTTTGCATCACGACAAAACAATGAGGAGAGGCAAAAAAGAAAACATACAACAGCCGGTGTTCGCTGATGGTCACCCACTCAACTACTAATCTGCCGGTTAGTGGCTTGTCTATGGGGGAGCAGACGGGACCCCGAATTCTCCACTACCTATGGTCGTATGTGCTTGGATGAGGAACTAGATTTCTCTATCATCTTGTGGTTGTATGAGTGATGTATACATAACTCTGTATCGGCGGCGCCACAGACGTCCTTTAGAGGCAACTAAATAAATTTTCAGGTCTCGTAACAAACTGTTGTGAATGGTAGTATTTTGACTACCCCGATCCTCAGTATAGATTCCCGTCAGCATCGCTTGCTGCTTGAAAGGAAGCCCGCCTTGTGAGAAGGCGGGTCTTCTCTCGATGCCTCAATGATTTGGAAAATTCCATATTATAGGTTGAAGATGGACGCCAATACGTAGCTGAAGCTACAGGACCTTACCAACAATTGACGACGGACGCGGATTTTGACAGTAATTGTCGAATCCTTCTGAAAAAAATATTGATGAGAGACTAAAATAACTAGTTTTGGTAGAGGTTTTATATATTAGCTTGCCTATCAGTGGATGTACATGATACTACTCCATCCTCCGTAGCCTGAACTTAAACTGTCAGTTGCACTCTGATGCTTAATGTGTACGTAAGAGCGGCATATATTATATCTTATCCTACATGCATTGAACTAGATGGGAGGTCTGCGTGTTGGCTTGTGCTACGCATTGGATACTTGCTCTCCAGAAGAGCAAGATTCTGGTAATTTATTCAAGGTGTTCGCATGATACATGTACATTAGACCTCTAAGCTTTCCACTATGTAGTATTATCCGCGCTCCATATTCGGATTGTTTCATCACCTGAACCTGATGCTATAAGCGACGAGTCATGTGAAAAGGCTACTGACTGAACCCATTTACTATGGCCTTCAAGCGTTTGCACACAAGCACCTGTAGTAAAATCCCATATCCGGATTGTTTCATCGTCTGAACCTGATGCTATAAGCGATGAGTTGTGCGAGAAGGTTACTGAGTTAACGCCATGATTATGCCCTTGAAGCATTTGCACACAAGCACCTGTAGTAAAATCCCATATCCGGATTGTTTCATCTTCTGAGCCTGATGCTATAAGCGACGAGTCATGTGAAAAGGCTATTGACCAAACCAATTTACTATGGCCTTCAAGCGTTTGCACATAAGCACCTGTAGTAAAATCCCATATCCGGATTGTTTCATCGTCTGAACCTGATGCTATAAGCGATGAGTTGTGCGAGAAGGTTACTGAGTTAACGCAATCACTATGGCCTTCAAGCGTTTGCACACAAGCACCTGTAGTAAAATCCCATATCCGGATTGTTTTATCATCTGAACCTGATGCTATAAGCGATGAATCGTGTGAGAAGGTTACCGATCGAATTATATGACTATGGCCTTTAAGCGTCCGAATACACTCGCCTGTATTAGTACGCCATAGCCGGATTGTTTTATCATATGAACCTGATGCTATAAGCGATGAGTCGTGCGAGAAGGTTACCGATCGAATCGTGTCACTATGGCCTTTAAACGTCTGAATACACTCGCCTGTATCAGTACGCCATAGCCGTATTGTTTCATCGCGTGAACCTGACGCTATAAGTGATGAGTCGTGCGAGAAAGTTACTGAATAAACAACGCTATTGCACCGAAGCTGCTTAATACACTTGACCGTATTAATACTCCATGGCTGGGCGATCTTCTCGTCAGACACCATCTGGCTTTGGCAAGGTTTCGTATCGGATATATCCATTGCGTTGGCTTCGTAATCAGATCTCGCCTCATTTATGCTTCCAAACGTAAGAGAGTCATCCATTTGCCTCAATTTCTCCAGCTCTCTTTCTATTGAAATGACCGATTTGTCTTCGCTAGAGGCTGAAGTTGCCAAACTATCCGCGAAATACGCATTTTGCTGAAAGTAATCGGAGGCATCGGCTTTCTTCGCCTGGGCTTCTTTGGCTCCCTCAAGGCTTTCATTCAGTAGATTATTGTTTATAAGCCAGCTGTCAACCTTGGACTTGCTTCGGCTCATTATTCTGTCAGTCTCCTCGCCGTTGTCATCTGCCCATGGCAATGATCTCAGCGAAAAAGAGTGGACATCTTTGGCAATATGATCGAGGAGAACATCTTCGTCCACTTTGCCTCCTTGAGCTTCCACCCAATTGCAGAGTGGGCATGCTCCGATGCTCATCGGCATTGTCCGCTTGGAGATGTTAACCAATAGCGGAATATCGTCTTGTGGTATGGATGTTGCGTGCGTTTCGATAATATGTTCCCGAAAGGCATTCTCCTCGTGAAACCTTCTACCATCTCGACAGGAAAAACAGATCCAGTGCTCAGAACTATGGTGCTCGTTGAGGAGATGGGCTCGCCAGTTCTCTTTTGTGGCAAAGAGAGTCTCGGGTTTAATGCAATCGGGTAGTATGCAAGTGTATGGGCTTAGGTCATGAGCAAGGTGTTTTCTGTCTCGAGTCAGAATAATGTACAATCCACACTTCAGGTCAAACGACTTACTTCCACTTTTGACCTTCTAAAAAGACCCTAGGAAGTGCTTGGCAACAACATGGGCACTTGAATATCAGCACGTCCTCCCCAACCTTTGGGGGGTGAGGATATTTGAGTAAGCGGACTGTCGTTGACATGACCGTCGATGCGGCTGGCGCTGATTTATGCATCTGCTGCAGAGCCAGGACATTACTGACTGCTGATGCGCTGGTGCCTGTCCTTACTGTCGGATTTACTGGCGCGTTCTCTCCTCGATCTGGTTGTTTTTCTTGGATAGGCAGTGGTACTGAGGTTACAGCTACCTTGACGGGCTCTTTAGAAGCATTCGGAGGTGATTCGGTCGCTTCTATAGGCTGTATGTGAGATTGGTTCTGTAAAATACCTGACCCTAACTTTTCAGCATGTCGTTGGGCATATAAGAATCGGTTTCGACGCTTCAGATTGCACCGAACCAGGCGTTGCTGAATCTCGCTCAGTCTCGCAGGATCGGTTTGCTCCTTTAAAATGCTGGGATTATTCAGATCAAATAAATGGAATGGCCCACCGGAAGACTCAGGGTGGGCAAGTAGAATTGTAACGAGATGTGTTTGCAAGTCGCTGTGGTCTTCCGGTTTGAACCGTTGATCTGCTTTCTGCAGCCGCGAACGTCTACCTGATCTTCGCACTGCGAGAGCGATTCGGGCAAGCTGATCGAGCATCAGCTCCACAGCTTTCATTTGTTTGCCTAATGGGCTGCGTGAAGCGAGCAGTCTTAATTCTACCTCCAACTCTTCGTCGGTGGATTCGTCTGACCAAACAGGTGACGATCGACCTGTTTGTGCTCCCGCAACGGGTTGCTCGTCTGTATGCCCCACGTCCTGGTTGATAATCTCAGAGAGGGCTAAGGCAAGTTTGTAACCGAAATTAGCAGCCACCTCGTCGACAGGATGATGATTCGTCTCTCACCTAACGCTTTGCACCGATTGACAGCCTCAGCGAGGTGGTTCAAGAGGGTCAATATGACCTCTCGCGCCTGAGGCTCAAGGGCGAGTCTGGAGTCCAGAGAAGCTCGCTTTTGCGCAGATGCTCCTGTACCCGAGACCCAGAGGTTAAAGTCGGCCAAGCGGTTCTCAGCCCATTCATCCTTTCCCAGTGACTCGACGGCCAAGCAGTCCGTGAAGCTCTGCAAACAATCTGCACTTGCTTGAGAAATTGTCTTGTCCATTTTTGCAGAGGCACTTCAGAGACGCTAGGACTAAAAAGATGTAGAAAGAAAATAACTCCGCTGTTACACGTCTTCTTCTGTTCCGCTTGTGAATGGAGGGGAGATGGGACTTCACGTGGTGCCATCGGAAGCCATTGGTCGGAACCCCGCAACTTATGCGTAGAAATTGATTACGCAAAGGCTGAGAGATGCATACCCTCTATTTCAGATATGTTTATCATGAGGAGGGGGACTCTTTTGGTACATTAATAACACATTTCGACCTTTGCTCATCGCGAGGGCAAGCCCGAAATTTTATATAAACAAGTTCGTCGTGTCGTGACGACTTCGATTCACGGCATGGCCCAGCAGCCTACTTATTTCCTTGCACCCAGCTTTCGTTTCAAGCCTGGTACAGGTCCAATAGCCTTGGGCAATATCATTGCAGACCCGCTGCGGCCGCATCGCGCGCTGACTACCGTCGGGGAGGAGACGTTGGAGACAGATTATCCTCGAGTCGAAACCATTGCCGATCAGGATCGTAGTACAGTTCGGGGTGCTAGCTGTGAATTTTCGATGGCTATATGGTCTCAATTCCTACAGACCATCTCCGCGAAAGTATCTGGTGGGCGGAGTGTCAACATGCAAACAACCTATACAATGAGGGCTCTTGAAACGACTTATTTTGTCACCGACCCCAGTCTGGAAGTAATCGAGGCACGCCTCAGAGCGCCGCGCGTTCAAGCAGTTATCAAGGCCAGTAATATACCTGGCTTCCGGCATTCGGTTTACATGGTCACTGGTTTGATGGTCGCCAAGGGCTTTGCCGCTGTTCAGCAAACGGCAAGGACTAAGGCCGGCGAGGTGAGCGCCATTGGAGGTATCCTCACGCCTGCAGGTGACGTAGGGCTCGGGACAGGCACCACCAGCTCCTCTACCACCGAACAGGGCGATACATGGAAGACGGTAGATGATATTGTATTTGCATATCAACTTCTTAAGATCGAGGTCAAGGGTTGGAGGGGGACAAGAGTCGAATATGATGAGTTTCGACACAATGCGGCGTATCTCAGCAAAGACGATTCGGAATCTTGTTCTGAATCCGATGGAGAGGATGCAGACGACGAAATTAAAGGACAAGTTACAGTGTGTGCAGCGGGAGTAAACAATCTATCACCTTCAAGCCTCGGGGGGGTTGAGATTGAGCAGGTGGAACTTATAGAAGGCGAGCACAGGATAGCATGCATATCAGCGGTTGACGTGTAAGGACAACTGGCGGATGGCCATACAGACCGGCTTGATAGTCATACGCACAGCATGGAATGACTGATGTTATCTTTTTTTTTTTTGGGTCTAGTTTCTTTAGTTACTCATAATGTCCTAAACATCTGCTACTGCCGCCGCAATCTTTATCCATCGTTCATCGTCTGATTTGTCCAGTAGTTGCCATGGTGTCAGATACAAAGAGTGCTGATACAGGGTCTCAGTAGAGAGAGCTTTGAACAAGGCTAGCATTCCCCGATATGTACGTATCTTCCTCTTCACGTTCTGCAATATGAATTTCGAAGAAGCACCGACTTCTATTCTGTTGATGTATCCTATTAAAAGGGCTGCTGTGGCTGCCGCTATTGCGGTCGCAACAGAGGTGCCCGTCTGACACTTTTTGCCGATATGGTCGCTCAACCATGCGCCCGGAACCTTCAAGCCCAGGGTTCCAAATGTAACGGTGTCGTTCTCGCTCCGAGGTGGGTTAAAGCTTTCATATTGACCATCCGCATTGGTGGCGCGGATAGATATCACTGAGTCATGGCGAGCAGGAAACATCTCCACTTGGTTTGATCCAGAGTTTGAAGCAGCTGCGAAGAAGAGTTTGGATCCGTGATCGTCATTTAACGCATCGAGTATAGCATGGCTGATACACTGCTTCTCCTCAGTGTATCCGAATGACATTGTGATTATGTCGGCTTTCCACTCCTTACTCGCCCAGGCGATGGCCTGAAGTCGTGTTAGCACATTTCTACTCACTTGCTGCAAAACGACTTTACCTTTGTAACATTTTCGCTTGCAGTCGAGAGTTCAGTGGCATCTGCTGCGATACGTGCTATATATACATCGGCATCTATCGCAATGTCCATGATAAGAGAGACCAGATGGGTTCCATGCCCGTGTTTATCCACCCACTCCTCAGACCCATCAACATAGTCTTTCCATCCTTTGAGACGAGAAATATTGGATGGAAGATGAAAGAATGGGGAGTCATTGTCGCAACCGGTGTCCAGAATAGCAATCCGAACACGTCTGGTGGAATGTCCTGGGGCAGCTGACAGGATCCCACTCAGCTTTTGCATGCGCGAGAGCCACTTCATGGCCTCTTTCTCATCCTTATCATCTTTTGCGCGGGTTTTCTTGGCTTTATTGTTATCTTTTTGCCCCCAAAGGCCGTCATTAGAAGAATGTTGTTTAACCTGCTGAACAGTCGATTTTTGGAAGGAAGTATTCAGAGGGTCAATTCTATTGTTGATTAGTTGTTCCATCCACTTCGTCCCTTCCAGGAGGTCTTTCAGTCGAGAGACAACCTTTTTATACAACACATCCCTCCGCTGTCTTAGACCTTGCTGAGTTTCTTCTGCTTCTCCATAAAGAGTAAACATTTTGGGATCCAAGCAGTCTTTGACAGCATCATGGTAGTCAGAGAACTCAAAGTTCTCCCAGAGTTTCCCGTCATTCAGGCACCGAATAGCCTGCGTCAAATATTGATTGGTGGTAGCCGCTAATGACTGTACTTGATGCTCGCGATCTTGCTTAGGAAGTGGCGACCCAATGCCAATTTCGACCAGCATAATTCCCAACGTGCGGATCCTTGGGTAATAATGTATCTCATCCTTCACGGTGCTATACTCGTTGAAACTGGAATCCTCGTTGTCGAATTGAACACAGAGATAAGGCTTGGATGGGAATAAGAGACCTTGATGACCAGAAAAGCTATCTTTACTCTCCCAGATGAATTGGATAGTCTCACTCGTCCATGTAGTTGTCATCCAATCGGTGTCGTAGTACTGCCAGACGGAGTGGGCAAGTATATATGCGAGCGCAGTTTTCATCTTGGCTGAAAGATGATAGTTCTCGAGAATATTGGCGAGCGAGATGCCTGGAAGGTGCTGAACCATTTGCTTTAGTAAAGATGGTCTATATCTCTGAAGCTTTTCGTCTTGGACTGCCAAACGGACGCGGGAGCTGGTATCCGACTTTATGAGGCTACAAAAGTCCCCTTGGCCAACAACCTCAATAGCATCTTCTGCGCGTGGAAGTCGTCGGGGATCTTCATCGCTCTTGGAGAATCGTGTGCTTTTAGCTGGTCTGCTTGAACTCTTTTGCCTCTTTGGGGGCCTGCATTTATCGTCAGCTTCGGTGATAAATCTTTCAAGAAAAAGAAGACATCTTACTGTGAAACGAGCAGCTCTACATCTTGCCAGCGGTTGAATTGCTCTCCCCATTTAGTACTGCGTGAAAAGAGCATGTCAAACTGAACTTGCCCGTAGTCGTTTGTGTTTTGCAGCACTGGCTGCAACATCAATCTCGCCAAGTGACTAAAGCCCCCCTGGGTTGAACCATCACATGTGCAACACATATGACTTCGTAGAACATGAAAAGCCTTTGCGTGGATTTCACGAGGATGAGGATCCACCGGTCTATCCTTTCGAGGCTTCGTTAACACCTCTTCATCGACCTCACGCCCCATTTCGTTTGCTCGCAGTACGATTCTTCTTAGGCGGCATATAGACTCGGTACCATTCCTATCATTCGATACGAGGTTTCCAATTGCTTGTTCGATTTTCCTCTTGACTGTTGTATATTCTCGCGAGCCTTCTTGCTTCTCTGCGACGGCCTCCAACATTGGATATCCGTACGCTGGGTCTGTTGAGAGCCGCTTTGGCCACTAATAACGGGTTAGGCGCTGGTCCGACTAGTGGGCTTCTAGACTTACGCTACATATCCTCTCAACATGCTTGACCAGTTTGAAGATGTGCAACTTCAGTTCATCGTAGTCGTTTGGATCAATAGAGCCGAGATGGTCAACCACCAGCCACAGTTCCGTTCCAAGAGAAGCGCACGTCGGGTTCACAAGAGAGATTCCTAAATTGATGGCAATTTTTGCAACCTGGCTTATGGCCGTCTGTGCAAAGTCTAGCAGGTCTTTGTTGGCCATCGCGGATCCTAGACGATGATAGTTGGCGATCTCGAATTGTCAGCTCCTGGCAAAATTTGGGAGATAACAGGCTCGACACCATAATGAATTCCTACTCGGTATAGGCTGGAAATTCTAGACCCGGAGCGGGGTTGGGCTGGCATCTAAGCCGAGCCTCCAAGGCTGTGAAAGCCCAACTCCTCGTTGACAAGAGTGATTGATGCTAGTCCTCTGTAAAATACACGCCTCAGGTAGCTAATATAACCCTTTGCGTTGTGTGTTGAAATAACATCCAAGTCCATAATACCTCTGCATGTTGGTTTCTACACGCTGAACTTGCTAGCACTAGTACATAAGGTAGTGGGTAGTTACAGTCTGGACATGGTGCTACGAGTAAAGGAGGGGTGAACCTAGGTGATGATCTTACTGATATCAGATTGCAAAACGTTAATCGGTACAGTAGAAAACGGTAGTAGTGTTGGTCCGTTTTGATTGGACTTGTACGGTAGCGAGCATCGCGGGGTTAGTTACCCATCAAAAATGGAATTATGCGATTTGGAGTCTTGGGCTGTAAAAAATGGAAGACATCGCACTCAAGAAAAGCGCTTAACGGGACCCCGAATTCTCCACTACCTATGGTCGTATGTGCTAGTTCGTGACATTAATCGACTTATATCGTGACTCTGACTCAAGTGAGCATCATTAATGTATTGCTAAGCTTGTGCTTATATTTCTTACTCCTTATCACGACCGCAAATTTACGCATGAAGCATTAGAATTTTGGGAAGACTAATTAGAAAAGAAAAAGATATACAACAGCCGGCGTTAGACTTGGCCGAGGTCAGGTTCATGTTGGTAGAGAGACACGGTGTAACAGTTTTGAGCAAATTTTTTTTTTTTTTTTTGCGAGTATTATAGAACTAAACGTGCAATTAGTACTATATTACGGACGTAGCAAGTAGTTATATAAGCTATCTAAATGAGTGTCTTCCTTGTAAATAGCTTTATTAGGAGAGTGTCCCTTGAGTATTTATATAAGGGTTTCATCATTTTAATAAGCGGAGTCTATAGCTTATTACTATAGAATACGCGTTTACCCAGCTCATGATTGCTGATGTATCAAGTACGACGCGAGGGGTTCAAGTTACTCTCTCCAAACCGACATTGCAGGTATGAAAAAACCCCCTTGATCCCTGACTCCTCCAGATGCCTAGACCACTCAGCCCCCACAGAATCATAGATGTGCAAGCAGCCCGTTCTTAATCTACTGAGGGCTCCATAGGCCAATCAAAAAAAACAATGATGTACTTCGTTTGTTGGCCAAGCACCACTTTCGCACAACTGGTCGCCTCTAGTCGATGGACTAGTCACTGGGTTGGTAATAGTCGTGGGAAAGAAGAGGAATCAATTGTTGATTTAGTGCTCGCCGTGATGATATTTCTGATGCCTTTGGCATTAGGGTAATTGCAGAACGCTGGCATCGCTGCCGTCAAGAAGGTAGAGAGACGCACCAACAGTATGAAGAGAGTACGCCCTCCCTTGAGCCTTGGCAGAGAGGGCAGAGGTGCGGAATTGCACTTTATACTCACAGAAGAACGTGCTATGTTACACGAAATCTGCAAAGACTAATCAATCCTGCAATCCGTTCTTCACTTGGCTGAATTACTCTCAAGGCAATTTGTTAGTAAACAAATACGAAAGATCAACGCTTAACTCTGCATAAAACTTAAGAGATGGGATTGACAGAACGAGGCGAAGACGGGTAGCCGCAGAGGACGCTCAAATGATGCATGCGTTGCCATTCAAGGCTGGAAAATGAATGGTCGGAATAAAAAAAAATCCTTTACGTAGAGACAGACACCTAAATACTTATCGGGCAAAAGTTTCAAGCTACCCCTCCTTTGATCCTTTGTCGTAGCATATCCTTCAAAAACTTAATCAAGTCCTCTCTTCGAATGAACAAGCTTTTACCACTTTCTTCCACTTCACTGTAGTTGTAAACATCATCCGTGATTGCGCCAGCTAGTGTATTGATATCTCGTCCATTCGACCATCCATTTGTCATACTCAACTTTTTGAATAGTCTCATTACTGTTTCGTACTCATTTGTGTTGACATTATTATCTTCCAGAAGCTCGATATCTTGCTTGGAAAGCAGATTCTGAAGATATTGTAGAGCTGCCCGTGGTTTCATGGGAGAGAAGTTGATCTCCGTAGTGAAACGACCTCGAAGTCCAGCATTCACTTTCATGAGAAGATCCATTTCGCGCGTGTAGCCAGCCAGGACAATGACTAGTTTGCGCTGATATCGAGGCTTCGTCATGCAGTCAACTATTTCCGCGACTGCTTCGTCTCCAAAGCTGTTTCGGCCACCAAGCCCTAAGCGATAGGCTTCGTCGATGAACAAAATCTTGCCCAATGATTTTTCAAACAAATCAATCACCTTTGGCCCAGTATGGCCAACGTGCTTTCCAATTAGTTGCGAAGCAGAACACTCAACCACCTCATTAGTGGATAAGATGCCCATGTCGTAAAATATCTGACCAACTATGCGAGCAGTATGTGTCTTCCCAGTGCCTGGAGGGCCCTTGAAAACGAATGTAAATGGAATGGTGTCTCTGGGATTCTTATTTCTACGCCTCAAGTTCTCAGCCGTGCGTTGATAGCCTTGAAATCGTTGAATAGTTTCTTCGAACCCAATCAACCCATCAAACAGGGCTCGGCATCTTTCGGCCGCCGTAGATCCGCGATTGTAATTGGGGTCAAAATCCTCCGGCTCAAGAGTAATATTCACCATCTCCAGATAGTCGAGCTCGAAGGAACTGTTGACCATATTTGGGCGACTCAATCCAGAATCAGCATCAGCTTTCTCATGGATGATTGACTTGTCTTCATTGGGCTTTTCCTTCTTCGTTGTCTCACCTTTGCCCTTTCTCAATGTTCGCTCTTTATATCTGACCTTTGCCTGATTTAACAAGTTGACAACGTCTCCACCATTGCCAAAGTTGGGCCGATCTCTTGCCCGGCGCAACACTTCTGAAGCAACTTGCATCGCGGCCGTGGAAGCTTTTATCTCGCTCTCTTCCATTTTCATTCCAAGGATCTCTGTGAGTCTATCGTCATCATAATCTTGAAATCGAAAGGCCTCCTCAAGTGGAAACCGGCGACGCAGACCTGGATTGCATTTCTGAAACATTTGCTCCATCCTGTCGGGATATCCGATGAGGATAATGCAGCGACCCTCTCCTGTTCTGTTGTGGATTTTGGAGACAATCACATCAATGCAGGCAAGTCGAAATTTGTCTGTTCCGTCTACCCCATCCAGACTCCCATTGAAGAACATATGTGCGTCGTCTATGATCAACACTTTCCCCTTTGTCGCGTCAATGATGGAATTGGTCTTAACCTCCGATTGACCTACGTGCTGGCCAATGAAGTCGCTTGGGACTTTAAATACCACCTCTTGATTTGGTACAAGACCAACTTCGGTAATGATCTGACCATAGAGCTTTGCAACAGTCGTTTTTCCTGTTCCAGGAGGACCCAAGAAAACTCTATTCAAGGATATATTGAGAAGCTCCTTACCAGCGACTTCTCTCCTGTAGCTAAGTTTAGCTCGATCAAAGTTTTTGCTGATGGCTTGTTTGACATCATCTAGCCCAGCCATCTTTTGAAGCTCCTTCCATGCATCACTCTTTGCTCGGCAATCCTCGGGCTCAGGTCCGATGATATCTTCGCCTGTCAGAAGATTCTCGTCCGGAGCCGGCTCAACCCATAGGTCGTCAATATCTACTAGCCTCTGCCGAAGGCGAGAAGCTTGTCGTTCCAAGATTTTTAAATAGGCCAAGTGGAGCTCATGTACGTTTCCAAATCCAGGTTCCTCGCGGCCATAGCCCACACGCTTCGCTAATATACGAGGATATGGGCCGGCTGGTCCCTGCTGGATCTTGAAATTGTCTTGTCGGATCATCCGTAGTAAAATACTTCGGAGTTCTTCGTCATCATAGTCTTTAATATGAAATCGCCGCGGAAATAACCATCTGCCATGAGGAGAGCTTCCTAAGAAGGATGATATGTGGTCAGGTGAGCCTGACACGACCAAAATAACCCCAGTGCAATTGTTTAAAGCGTCTATTAATAATGCGCGTGCATCATGATCAACGAAGCCTGCGTCGTAGAGGAAAAAAACCTTTATAAATTAGCAAAAAAGAAGGTTTAAAGAAATAATACGTTAAGAAAATCAACTAACTCCATCGCTAATTAAGCTAATATCATCTTGGAGTATCGATGTTCTAGTGACCATGCGGCCCGACATAGATTCGTATTCTGGATCCTCTGATTCAAGGTCCCAAACGTTGCAATCTTTAAGGAATGCAAAATACAATTCCGACAAACTTCTTTTGCCTAATAAGATGCGATTAGTAAAATCGCTCTGACTGCGACATGAGAAGTGAAAATGTTGCAGTAACGAAACATCGCGCTTTATGACAGGAAATGAATGAATAAAATTCTCATACCAGTTCCCGGGTTACCAGTCAAGACTAAATTGAAATCATGCTTCTTCAAATGCTCACGGCGACCTCGTGCTGTATCAATCATTCCCTTTATCTCTATAAAGGCGGCTTTTATGTGTTCAAGCCCAACCATGTCCATAATCTTGTCCAGCGTCTCGTTTGTCTGGTCCAATTTGCGTTTTTGAAGTTGCCATATTTTCTTCACGGATGAATCAGTAGAGGCTTCAGTTAGTAATGTATCGTTCAAAGGAGGAATATTATCAATAGAGCCTCGTCGGGAGTGCCCTTCTCCTTCTGTTGGTGAATCGAAAGGATTAAAATAAGGCGATGCTGGTAAAGATACCTCAGCAGGGTCTACAGAGTGTTCAGAACCAGAATCTGACGAGCTCTCTTGTTCGCTCTCCTCTAGTGAGCTTTCTTGTTCGCTCTCATCTAGTGAGTTTTCTTGTTCGCTCTCCTTCAGTGAGCTCTCTTCTTCGTCTTCGGTTTTGGGAGATTTGCTTAACGACTTTTCCAATTCCGAAAAGCGAGTGTCCTTTTCGCAGAAGAGCTCCCTGAGGTCTTCTATATGCGAAGGGATTTCCTGCTCATTTAGAACAGACTGGGAATCTTCGAGCCCAATTACATCGGTTATGTCATTTTGGAATTGAGATTCAGATGTTGGTGGCTCGATGCTGCTAGACGGCATGGCATCGTGCTTTGGTGTATCTTCTTGGCCATCGGGATGCATTACTTCTGGTCGTTGATCAGATTGCCCGTTATTAGAAGGTAGGGCATTTGATGAGTGACCATTTGACAGATCGCTTCCACATGTGCTTTGACTGTCATTCTCTAACGCGGCGATGGGCGGACGGCATTCCGGAACTATTTCAGCTATATTGCCGGATGGATCCGTGACTGAATCTTCTGTTGAGAGTTTGTCGACTACTCCATCTTTGCTTCCAAGCTTGGCATCTTGATTTATCGCCTCATCTGAAATGTCCTTCTCTGTGGGTTCTACATTGTCAGTATTGACAACGTTGGAGTCACCAGCGCTGCAATCTCCCTGCGGTTGTGAGTCAATTAGTTCTTCCCAATTGGTCAAATCTTGACTCATTTTGGAACTTTCAAAGGTCCTTGTTAGGATACAAATAGGCTGCAAATATTGCGGTAGAGTAATAAACAGAGGAGAATGAGAACAAGTTCGATAATGCGCCTTGAAGTAACAAGGCTTGAATGGGGGTTTTAAATCTTCACACCAGCTGACGATGGAATCTGAAGGAAATAGCAACACATCAATCCCCGCTTCTGTGCGTAGGCATTTTAATAATATGCACATCAAATATGAGAGGGTGTAGCTGTAGTAAAATGAGGCTCCGAGCAAAGTCCAGGTAACCGAGCCAGTGCGAATAGTTTTGTAGGCTTTGCGTCGCGGCCATGTAAGAGTTGGTCCAGCTGCCTTCATGCAGGTGAGTGCATATATCTATAGGTGACGTGGCATGCATAAGACGAGCACGGTGGCAAAAAAAGAAATCTAATCATATGCGCAGGGGAAGACACGGGAGCTATGTTTTCTTGAAGGTTGCCAACATAGGATCCCACAGCGCGTCGCCTCCTTGAGATTTGGTATCAGCGATGAAGACTGTTCCAAAGTAACACATGACACAAATATGCATTCGTGGCAATTACGTGTTAATTTGGGTATGATTCTTTACCACAATCTGTGTCATATCATATAGTCAGGTTCCTATCAGTCTTATACTATACATTCTTAAGAACTCAGAAGAGAAAGTAGTGAATAAATCATCGATAGGACGTCAACAGGCCAATCTTTGGTCCTAGCAGCTACTCGAAAACAACTCCAGCATTTTTGAATTCCCATAGACCTTGAACTCGTTTCCATTTAAAGTTGTCTACTTTCTTCAGACGTAGACCAACCAAATCCTTTACCTTATCATCACCGGAATCTCTCTCCTTTGATATACGGCCCAGGTCCTCGCAAACAAGTCGTGAATTATCAGTGCCCCTTCGGTGTTCCAGTATTGTCAAAAATGTTCCACATCGGTAGTCGAGGCAAACAATCGCATGTCCACGTGGGGTCAAAACCTTGAGGAGTGCAATACCGCTAAGCATCAATGTTTCAGCACTGAGTGGTTGATCGATAGAGAACCCGTCGCCGCCATTAGTTTGGTTGCGGAAAATGGTGTTGTAAGGACCTCTGGTGACGAGAATACTTCCATTACAATCGTCGTGTAGCAGTTTCGCCATGATAAGCTGATAGTCAAGATTTGTCGCCGCTGCTAATTCTGACACTGATCGGCATCGAACTCGTTGACGTAGGAAGTCGCTCCACGTCCAGCTCTCAACCCACATGCTCTTGAATACCACAATAATGAATGCTGCGAGAGCCCAAGTATATGTTGCTAGGTTAAATGGATCCACGCCGTCTATTCGTTGGCCAACTGTGAGGCCCATTGCCAGGCCGCCGCCAACAAGAACCGCGGTGATGGCCATCAGTGACCAAACGTAGGTTTTGCAAGAGACAGTCACCGAGGTTTCATCCACAACCCACTTTTCCATCTTGACTACACAGGAATCAAGTTTCTCTTGTACTTGTTCTTCGCCATTATTCTCACTTGTCGGTTGGTTCTGTGATAATGTTGGGGATCGCTGAAGCTGGTGGTTTGCCCGGCCCCATCTGCCATTTCCTTCCGCTAGCAATTTGCAACGTGAGAAACGCTGATCTGCAAATGCTGTTGGCAAGAGGAGAGTCTCTCGTTGTCTGGCTCCTTGTTCGAATTCGCCTGTATAAAGTCGAACAAAGGCACCAAACTGACCTTCCTCATACGAGGTAACCACGTCTTCAATTCCTCCAGACATAGCTATCATAGATCGAAAGCTAGTGAAGTCGGAGATGAGTATTGGACTCGCTACAAAAAGCGCAATCATAACCTCAGTAATATCGGCCATTGAGAAAATCTGGACGTTCTTCTTTGAGCGCCAAAAGCTATTGATTCCACCCGCGCCATTTGAAGACTTTTTATTTGTCGTTTCGAAGAATGCCCATTCAAAGTAGGTACGGATACCTTGATTACTCGGTGGCGGAGACTGTTCAACTCTGCGCTTTGTGTTCTGTAGAGTTTGGTCCACGATGCTCAGGGCCGATTGTGCAGTATTCAGTACGTTTCGATCAGATGATGCGGAGTACTCCAGGTCTCTGTCTTGGAAAAGCATAGTCTATGATAAGAAAAGGTCAGAAGAAGCCATAAAGCAGGGTCGTCATCTACTTACCTTGAAACCTTCGAATCCAATATCGTATACCACAGCGCACACCTCATAATTTGTAACAGGGAGCCCTGATCTATTCGTGGATAATAGCGAAGAAAGAATGTATTTTATCGCAGAATTAAGTCCTGAACGGAACTTGTTCTGCGTTACGCAATAGGCGCTGATGCTGGCGTCTTCTTCCGATGTAAGGCCTTCTTTGGTATCTGCGTCGATGATTCGCAACGCTTCCTCACATTCTTCTTCATCAGCATCAATGTTGATGGAGATACTGTGAGAGCCCCTAGCTGACGTTTGAGCGTCCTTCAAGTGCTCTGTCCCTACCGCGACCGACTCGTTGGCCCTCAACTTGATATCCATCAGCAATGCCTTGATTTTTGCAACTCGTGCAACTAATACTGCCATGACGTTGGTGAGCCAGTACTCTCCAACTGCTGTCTGGTGTATCAACCTCATCAGAAGAGCAGAAACGTAATCGACCAATTGAAACGCGTCATGAATGAATTCTTCAGAGTCGTATTGGTCTTCTTCCCCTCCCTCCCCATCAGCAAAAGAGGATGGTTGTGCCGCCAACTGCGCTTGCTGTATCAATTTCTGCATTCGACTATGATTCGCAAGGCGAGTGCAATACTGAGCATTTATGCATTCATTGTCTAGCAAGCAGAGGTTTTGAGCCGTCAAGATGCATTGAGACATTTTGGATAGTTTGCGGTATCCTTCCTCGTTGCCATTCATCGCCGAAAGCAGCTTTGTCTGCCCTAAGCACAATTTCTCCTGAGGTTGTTCTAAAATGTGTGAAAGGCGTTTGGCTTCGGCCTTGCGAAACCTTTTGGCGGCACCCTTGGGGACAGAATGTTGAACTAAGCTATCAAACTCGGGATACGTAATGTTCGACTCGCTCTTCGGTTCAATGATTTCCATGATAGAATCGATGGAAGGACATTCCTGTAACGAACCACGCCTAGCAGGCTCTCCTTCATGGGGAGCACTAAGCATGGGAGGTGCACCGGTTGCTTGAGCTCTCAGCCTTCCGTGGGAGAGATACTGCCTCCCGCGCCGCCAGATTTCTGCACCATTAGATCGAATTGATTGGCCTTTTACATTTTGCCCAAATAGTCGTGTGCCAAGATTCTGCACAGAGTTGGATGTGGCCACGGGTTGTCCATTATCATTGATTAGCCCAGTCTCGCTGGAGAGGTCGCCGGGTTTCTCAAATCTCTCGCTGGGAGAACCTCGACTCCCGGATACCATGGCGGCGATACGAAGGAGAAACAGTTGAATGTCATTATCCCAAAGATGTGAACTGAGGGGGGAAGAAAAAAAAATCGTTGAAGATCGCTTTTCGTCGAGAAATTGGACACTGGAGCTCTTGCCCTCTGGCTCACTCTGAGCTCGGGCTCGATCCACAGCCTGATGCAGCCTGCTGTATCTTTGGCCAATGTGCCCTTCTATCACCAGCCTCTCGAGATGTCACATAAGGCTCTCATTGGTAAGAGCACCCTGGCAAGGCAATCGCATCCTTCAGTGGAGATGATGTGGCTGAGAATGCAGTCAACAAACTGCTAGCGTGTTCAATAGCCAGCTGAAAGCTGCATAAATGCGACATGAGATGTGATGCGTAGTAGTCGTAGGCTAGATATGATACCGAAAGTACAAATTGCTTCGGTAACTCGGTGGGGCTAACATGGCTGACTTGCTTACTTGTGTGGTAGATTCGAATCGAACAGGCTGTCAGGCATCAGCAATGGTGCAAATCCCGCATGAAGAGAAAGACATTGATACCCAAGGCTATACAGTGTGCATGGGGTAATGGAGATAAGCTAGATTCACGGTGGTGTGCGGTTGGGGTCCAAATGAATGCGGCTATGCGAAACAACATGAAGCAACGAGGTAGCATGTTCCCGCCTTGTTATGCTTTCTGTCCGTGATTATCTAGATGGTTGCCAGTGGGGGAATTTATACCCATTCTTGTCTATATCCTATGGATTAATCACCTTTAATATCTGATCTTTCAAGTAAGGCCATCACCATGACCCGAGATAATGAGGTTGAAGGCAGCTTGGCGTGGTATCAGCAACAATGGGTCTCAGATGTCTACACCCACACTGAGCAGAACAACTTTCGGCATCCTTCAATACCTGGACATAATAATTGTGAACAAAACAACTGCCAGAATCAAAATCCCAGCAATGACGAACATACAGCAATTAATCCTGATATTGATGATCAAACAGCATTTGATACAGGCTGGGATTCTCTAGATTTGGACCCATTGAGCCTCCCAACGATAAGCCTACGCCGGCCTACGGAAGATTTAACGACGCATAACACGGCTCACTATCCCGAAACACGAAATCATCCTTACGAGCCAAGCATTGACTCTGAACGGAGCGTACCGAGTTCTTTTGAGGACTTTCAGAGGCAATGGGGTGACAAGGAGAAAGGCCCTGCCCTCGAGATTCCAATCGAGGTGGACAAATATTCAGAAGCCGAACAGAGCATTCTGGAGAAAGGATCCGTGGCTCCATCTTGGGCCGCTAAGGGTAGATCAGGGGAATATAATGACGATTCAGATGCAGACGATGTCAAAGATCGCAGCCACAACGCCGATGATGACGTGTATGACAGTGACCTTGATTCTCAGCGGTCTCAGCCCAACCGCATAAAACGAGAGCATCACAAAAAAATGAGGGAATGGCGCTCCAAGGCGGCAACAAAATTCGAAAAAATGCTGCTTGACTGCATAGTGAATATAGGTAAAAAAAAAACCCATAGACTGTCGTGAGTATCAACTTTAAGCGTCAAATAGTATCTAACACAATACTCTAGATGAAATAGCCCCCGATTATAAAGACGTGGTTGTTGATCCAGGGGTCATTAAAAAGCTGGAAGATGTCACCCGCCTGTCACTGCAGCGGCCTCGCGCTTTTTCTCGCGGCGTCCTCAAAGGAAACAGAGTCACTGGAGCCATTCTTTGGGGTCCACCAGGCACCGGAAAGACATTGCTTGTCAGGGCGCTGGCTAGGCAATCCGAGTTCAATATGCTCTCAGTCTCCACTGCTGAGCTGTGGCAGAAGTGTCATGGCGAAGATGAAAAAGTTATCAAGGCTGTCTTCTCCATGGGTCGGAAGTTGTCTCCATGCATCATATTCTTGGATGAGGCCGACGCCATGCTCGGAGCACGGAAAGCGGGCGAGAAAAGACACATACGCGCAATGTTCAACCAATTCCTCATGGAATGGGATGGGCTTATAAGCAGCAAACAGGCCCCGTTCTTGCTGCTGGCTACCAATCGACCTTTTGATCTAGATCCAGCTGTCTTGCGCAGGGCGCCCATGCAAATTCATCTGGATATTCCAACTCCAAGAGAGCGATTGGAGATTATTACAAGGTTGCTTGCTGATGAAACTCTGGAAAGAGGCATGACATGCCATTTTCTTTCACAACAGACACACCTCTACTCAGGATCTGACTTGAAAAATCTATGCGTTACAGCTGCAACGCTTTGCGTCAGCGATCAAGAAGAGGATACCGACAACCGAATTTTGACACGGAAACACTTTATTGAGGCACTGAATATTATTAAACCAACAAACATGACCAAGGTGATGAAGAATGAACTACAAAAATTTGAGAAAAGCGTTGCCCAAGATGAGAATAACCAGGAAGAAGAGTAGTCTGGAACGGTTTCCAAATGATATACTTGACCGAGGTCAGGTTCATGTTGGTAGATAGACATGGTGTAATAGTTTTGAGTAATTTTATCACTTGTGAGCATTATAGAACTAAACGTACAATTGATGCTATATTAGCAGCGAGTTCTAAGCTATCTAAATGAATGTCTCCCTTGTAGATGGTATTATTAGGGGGCTCTCCACATTTGCGCATGTGCCTTGCATCGTGACCAAATCTTTCGTAGAATTCTATCAAGTCTCCGTGCCCTGGTCTCTCCGCCAGCAGTCTACAGAGGATGGGACGTGAAAGGTGGAGAGACGCACGAACGGTATGAAGAGGGAACGACCTCCCTTGACCATCGGAAAAAGAGGGCGGAGGTGTGGAATTGCAACTTATGCTCGCAGGAGAAGAACGTGCTATCTTACACGAAATTTACAAAGACCCACCAACCCTGCAATCCATTCTTTCCCTTGCTGAATCTAAAGTATGACCGACGGCTCACAATATTTGCCAGTCGATAATACCACGATGGCGATTCATCACAGGGGAGCCCCGAGAATATGACGCTGAAGTTCATGAATCTGTTCCTTGTCAGCATCCAGCTCGGCTGTCAGGCTGGCAATCTGAGCGTCCTTGTTGCGCAGAGCCTGCACCAGGGCATCCTGGCGCTCGCCTTGGTCGGCGTAGACCTGCAGATCTGCGTAGCGGCTGTTGTCCTTGTTGGCCAACTTGGCGTTGGCGCTTGCGAGGCTATCGTTGGCCTCGGTCAGGCGAGATACCTCGGCCTTGAGGAACTTGAGTCTATGGTTGAGAGCCTCAATCTGCGTGTCCCGGTCGGAAAGAGAGGTGACAACACGATGGCTTAGGTTCTGTTCGGAGCTGTGGCGGGCGTCGGAGACTAGACGGTTCTCGGCTATGAGCTGCTCGACTCTGGCCTCGAGCTCGAGGACTTGCGTATTCTGATTTCGACGCATGCTGTGAGGCCTTGAGGGAGATCGTGGCGAGCCAAATTGGCCCTCTCCCAAGCCATCCTATAGAAAGCCCAATATGTTAGAACGAAGCGACGCCGAATGAGGTCAGTAAAAGAAAAATGCAATCCAAGAATAAATGAACTTATCAACTATAGTTTAGTAAATAAGAAAAAAAGAAAAAAAAACAGTCGAAAATGCCCGCAAATGACCAAACACGACATGCAAGCACTTCGGCAGCAGGCAATCAGGAAAGCCAGAAGCTGTGAGGGTACATGTATGCCGGTGGTTTGGATCTCATGTGACGAGAGCTTCAAAGAGAGTCTTATTGCACTCACGAATAAACCCGCCATGTCACGTGCGCGCACGCGGCCCTCGTTGGCTACGGGTGTCTCAGTCGCTGACGGCGACTCGTTAGTAGGACTGGATCTCCCTGTTGGAGTCTCCGGTCGTGTTTCTGTTCCCGTCAACACTCGTTCCCTGGTTCCCGGTACTATCATCTTCCTTTCGAGATCCTGAGCCGCCTCCCGTAGTGACGTATCCCGTAGGTTCTGGCCGCCCAGTGTAGATCGTCTTAGGCGTCTCTGGGGTTGGAGCTCTGTCCTATCCACCGGCTCAGGAGTCTTGAGCCGTGCTATGGCTGCTTCTATCCAGTCCGCGTCAATCCCGGTGCCTCTGTAAAAGCCTGCTTCAAATGGTGTCGCTTCGGTTTCCGCCTCCGGCTGCTCTTCAATTGCAGGCACCTCTCGTGGGGGTGACTGGTCAGATGCTTGACTAGATGCTGAGCCCGGCCTCTTCAGATCCTCCCCCTTTGGCGATTGGGTTCCAAAGAATGAGGCTTGCTTCTCATCCCGCAATTCTAATCCTGCAGGCTCATCACTGCCAGTGTTTCCCGTTACTGTGTTATCCGTTTGGCTGTTCCTTTGCTGCGGTGTAGAAATCTCCGAGCGCTCGTCAACCAAAGGCACATCTTGAATTATTTGAGCTTGCCCATCACTTGAGTGCTCTGGAGATTGTTTCTTGTCCAGGGCTAGCTCTATACTCTTCGCAAGGTCAGATTCGGACCTTTTCCCAGAAGACTCGCCCCAGTTGCTTGTGAACATATCCGACGTGTTTTCCGTCTCTTCCTCTTGAGGTACGGAAGTAATCGCTTCTTCAGGAGGACGTGGCACCTCGGCCTCATTTTCAACAAAGTCGGTAGCTTTATTGTCAGGTGAGTCCGTAGATTCCTTCGGCTGTGCAGTTTCATCTTCTCCGCTAGCATCTCTAGGAATAGTTTCTAGCGGTGCAGCGACACTTTCGACAGGCTCACTTTGCTGGAGGTCTAGCAATTCGGGATCATCTGCATATTTTGCCATATTGGGAATCAAGTCTTGCCAATTCATGTCATGCTCGCAGTCCGGAATGGCATCTTCCAACGAAAGGTCATCAACATCCATGCTTTCATCTTGTACCAACAAATCATTAATATCCTCCATCTCCTGAGTCTGAGGGAGAGAGTATTGTTGATTTGAGCCAAGGCGGGATAAATCATCGTCGGTATCGCCAGACAAAGCCGTATCTTCTGTTGACTTGTGTGCGACAGCATCTAGGGCCATCATACGAAGAGAGAAGAGCATTAATCCTTGAAGATGTGCAGCCACATGTCTTGCAACTATTCTAGCGTTTAATAGCCCTTGGCTTTGGAAGGATGGAGTTTGAGGATCTAGTGTTGTTTGCTCTGCTGGCTCAGCGTTGACGTCGTTGTGCTGATCTAGCTGTATAGAGCCGGTCTCTGTCTTGATGCGCTTAAAGCTTTCGGCGAGCTGCACGCCTTTAACTGAAAGCTTTGGGGAAGCCTTTTTTACGACCTGATCATCTTCATCGGGGTCTTGTCCATCTTTCATGGAGAGGCAGCATAGGGGACAGACATCTTGTGGTCGGGGGGCCCGGAGTCGGCTCTGGTGCACAATGACCTGAACCTGTTGCTCGGAAAAAACGTCTCCATGGAGCTTAGATATGTGTTTAGAGAGGTCTTGTGCTTTGGAATATGTTGTCTCTTGGTCGTTGCATAAGGGACAAATCCACCATGCCGGCAAATGCACTTCTCGATGCCAATTGTGACCATGGGTTTCAAGCATGTGGCTGAACCAGGCTTTTGAAGTCGCGAATCTCTGCAATGGTTTACTGCACTTCTCTGAGAGACAGAGAAATGGTTTAAAGTCTTCGTTTAAATGCTTCCTGAGAAACCACTAGGTGTTAGAAATTCAGCATTGTAAAGGTCGGAGAGTAAAGTCCTTACTTCCATTTGTCTCCTTTAAACTCGTCCTCAGCGAGAGGTGAAAAGCACCAATCACAAACCAAACTCTCGTCTGATGGCTGAGGATAGGCGACCAGGTTAGCTGCAATAGATCTGGTCTTAGTCATTACAGAGCCGTCTTTTCGCTGCTGAAACAGCTTCTTGAACTCTTGACTGTCAAGAGACGTGGGCGTAGAATCCTTTGACTGATGAGATCTGGCAACTAAATGTGATAAAACTCTTGGTCGAGCCAACCTTTTATATGTATCATTTATTGGAGGAGGAGGAGCTGGTGATGAATCAACTTTCCATGTGTCCTCCTTTATCTGTGAAATTGGCTCTTCATTTATGGTAGACAATTGCAATTGAGACCGAGGTTGAAGCCTCATGTGACGAGATTGATTATAGTGAAACTTTTGATACATTTCCGTCATTGCGCGGGCGAGGTGCTCCATTAGAGATGGGCTTGCGTCCGGATAAAATGAAATAATGGCCAGGTGTGCAACTTGTTCAAATGAAGTGGAGTCAAACTTTGCTGCGAATTTCCCTAATCTCGTTGCTTGGCTTACCTCTGACGATAGTTGAATGGTACTTCCGAGATGATGGAGACGTTCGATAGCCCCTTTGATCCCTCCTAGACTTTCTATGCTGATGTGAAGCTGAGGTTGAGGCAATGTACCTCCATCCAAGGCCGGGACCTTGATATTCTCCCCATCGGACGTATCTTCACTTTTGAAAACTGCGGGTTATATAAGATTTTATTCACTCTAGCTACCAGATGTTGGACGTACGATAAGTCAAGTTTCTCTTCATTATGTCCAGTAAACGAAGCACCAGATCTTGTATTTCAACATGCCGCTGAAGTCTGCGGTCAAGGCACATCTCTGGAACAGCGAATACGCCTAAAAAGGCCGCCCATGCTGAAAACTGTTGTTGGTATTCCCCAACAACCTTTGATCCATTAAAATCGGCCTCATCTTTTAGTTTTGAGACGTGTTTAGAAAACAATTTTTCACAATCGCTCGCGAGCTCATAGATCGGCTCGCCAGATTCGATGTAGTCTTCATCCATGGCTGTTTACAAGCTTGTGGACATATATGGACCGGAAGTAAGGCTGAGTGTTCATTTAATGGTAAGCGCAATTTATGTAACAACGTTGTAGGATGAGACTGCTCTGTGGAGAAGATGTTTTGTAAGAACTGAAATTTCCGCAACGCCGTATTCACTTATAGATTCAAGGCGATATTTTCAGAAGTTGGGAGGGAGATTGGCAGTTTCTTAGTAGAATATAAAACCATCACACGCGAGTATTTATTTGCAGAAGCCTTCTATCTGTGCTTAACCCCGCCTCGATGCGTTGTCTATATCCTGCGGATAAATATATAGCCGGGCCCTTACATATACTTGGCTATATCTAAGACCAATCATCTTTTCAGCTTTTGTGTCATTGCTGCTATAACCATTGCACAAAGAATCGCCTGGTTCATTGTTATCAATTTTTTAGTTCGCGCATTTGTATCTTGGAGCTGTATATAGTCTTAGAAATCTTTATTAAGAGATATGCATGTTGGATATTTATCTTTATCTTTATCATTCTAAAGTTGCTGTGCAGTAAATGTATGTTGATTTTGCTAGTAGCAATGAAGTAGGGATTGGTATTCATCCGGCCGCGCATATAAATAAGCTGTATTCCATGTTGTTTTAATCGTAATTCGATAATGGATAGACATAAAGCAGAAGGTAACTTTTGTAATTGCGTTCTCATTGCGCCTCTGCTAAATACTTTTGTTTCCTACAAGAAATGATTGCCTTCTTAGAGTATAAATATTTATTGCTGCCTTTTTAGTTACCATCTTACAACTCAAGCCCTGAATCAAGTGAGGATTGTTGATCCATTGCCAAGCTTTGGTTCATATTTCTTGCTCTTTATAGCACATGAGGTACTACCTGGACCCTAGCTTGTGTTATCCCTTATTCTTACTGTTTGAGTTAAAGCAGCTACACCTGTGCCTGATTTACTTCCTCTTCTAAAGTAGGCGGTGGCTGCCGAGGTCCAAGAGTCTCCCAAGCACTCATGATCTGAAACAGTTTTTTCTCTTGATGTTTGCCAGTAGTCATGCTAATACCGAATGGTCGCCCATTTAAGTCCAAAACACCCAGAGGCATCGTGGCGACGGGATAGCCTCAAGACATGTTTAGCGCTGGTTGAAGACAGTCAGACTCGGAAAAACTTACCGGCTGCAGAAGCAACGCTCGATATCGGACTGTCAGCTAACGACGCGATGGCATCAAGCTGATACAGCTTGAGGATCTTATCGATTCCGTCGGGTCCGGCAAGCTTGCGAAGGGAGGCCAGAGTTTTGGCATTTTCGGTGGCAGGGATATTGCACTTTAACGCATTCTCGAGGTATGACTGAGATGGATGTTCTGCTCATGTGTCAGGATAAAGAATCCATGGTAAATGTCGAAATACGCATACCTTTGGGGAGTTCTTTGTCGGCGTGCTGGCGATTCCAGTCGACAAGTTCCTTTAGGTTCCTAACTGGAGATGAATCGAGTGTTTCAAGATAGCGATTGAAGGCTGGCTGAAACTCGTAGGCTTCAAACGTCATTAGCCTTGACCAAAAAGTCATCTCAGGGGCTTGCTAAGCAACCTACACATGATGTTTCCAGTATCAGGCCAAATCTTGGCACCGAGAGGAAGCGCGACCGGATACTCGACGTGGGCGCCTGAATCAGCTAGAATATTCATTACGGAGTGATATTCTTTTCTCTGTAACAATGTTAGGCAATGTGGCATCGAAGAATAGTGGTCTTACCATTTGAGAGAGCGCCTCGTCGTTAGTTGTGCAAAGACTTTCTGGTAACTGCCAAATCGTTTCATCCACAAATCCAATCCTCAGCCCGTCCCATTTTTGCGTCATGAGTTGCGAGAGTCTTTCATCGTGATTTGGTCCTGTCGCTTGCAACATCTCCACGACCACGGCGAGGTCAGCTGGGGACCTGGCCATGGCACCGACAGAATCCAGGCTTTTTGACACTGGAACTACTCCATCCATGGAAACAGTCCCAATAGTCGGCTTCATAGCATAGAGGGCGGCACGAGAGGCTGGGGATACGATAGACCCGTCGGTTTCGACGCCGAGCGACACAATTCCGAACCCAGCGGAGACACCGACGGCAGACCCTGAAGATGACCCGGCAGGTGTCAAAGAAAGAAGTCAGTGAACTGGTGCGCGCACGGAACAAATGGAGAGGAACTTACTGAGTGACCCATTGCTCCCTCGTCCAATTTGAGAGGTCCCCTGACATATGCGGAGCGAGTATAGCCGTTGACAGGAGACCATCCATCAACGAGGCCTTCGCCTTTGAAGTTGTTGAATTCCTGCAGTGCCACCGTCAGTCAAACACTCGAATAGAGAAAGGCAGTACACGTACTGTCAAGCTAGCCTTTCCAATGAGAATGCCCCCGGCATCAAGAAGCTATGTTGAGCATGAGATGAAGTTAGCCTGTTCCCCTTTTGATACAGTACGTGAGTTGGTTCTACACACCTTTTGTACTGTAGGGGCGTTCCCATGCGGCCGAGAGTCGACAAGAGCCCAGCTCCCAGCCGTTGTGCCCATGCCTAGCTCAGGATCGGTCGCGATGGCATCCTAAGGGATTGATCAGCACAAACGGAGATGATACCATGGAGAACCTTGTACCTTGACGATGAATGGAATACCATGGAGCGGGCTTCGGGCCTTTCCGGCGGCGCGTTCTTGATCGAGAAGCTGCGCTTGCTCCAAGAGCTTCTGTCTGGGAGCGACAGAGATCAAGGCTCCCAGACAAAGGCCTTTTCTATTGTGCTTTTCGACCTGATCCAAGACTTGCGCTACCAGCGACTCCGCAGTGAGTTCGGAACGGTCGAACAGCTGTTGAATGTCATGGACGGTCGAGGTAAGGAGGTTGAAGGATTCTGGCGCCATGAGTCCTTCCTGAGATAATGAAATGCGACCGCTAGGGTAAGAATTTGGAGGCCGAGAGCAAATGTTTCGATTGTAAGGTGGCTGCTGTTTTTGATATCTCGCGCTGGTTTGTCGGCCGCGGCTCCAAAGCAATGAGATGCACCGAAATATTTCCATGCAGTCACCGGAAGACTGAGGAGAGACAGCGAGGCGGGGTCCATGTCAGGGTGCCAACGATTGAAGACAATCCAAGTTTGACAAGGCCATGGCGGAATGAGGCCCGTGCAGCCTTGCGTTTGGTCGGCTGTCCTTTGAGAAAAGAAAGAAGTGGACTCCAAACCTGCATGTCCAAGCACCTGTATGCAGCCTAGGCATGGAGTTGCTCTCGACTGGCACCAGAGTCCGCAAGATGTATGCGCAGATTTCGGTTTGGCCAGGAACATGCAGTTTCCATGAAGACTGAGAGCTTCATGGAAGTTTCTCTTAGCTACGTCGTAGGTTCATGTACTTACAATCCCTCATTTTCCAACTGCCTGCTAAGGTACTGTCTACCTACTGCCTACCTACCTGTCGGTCAACAGCTCTGCCAGCTGTACGCCAGTTCTCAACCTTGCTCCTGCCTCGCCCCTTCTCCCTACCACTACCACCGCGCAGCACCTTCTCAAGATGCAGTTGGCAACTTCCAATTTCAGTACGTCCAAGTCGAAACGGAAGCCGCATGCTGAGTACAGAATTTGACCATGTCTGCTCGTTGGATTCCCCCCCTCCTCTTCTTCTTCTTCTTCTCTTCCTCAAACCGTCAGACATCTTTTCTGCAGCCAACATGTCCTTCTGGAACGTTTGGTCTGGCGTCGTCGCCGCTATTGGCTGCGTCGTGGCAATTGGGAGCGCTTGGTTTTTCAGAGCTCCTCTTCTCCGACTTGGCAGCGCCATTCGGAATCTTTCTGGTCGCCGTGACCATAACCGGACTCCGACTTCTGTGTCAACCCGGTCAGATCCATTGGCTGAAGCGATACTGGATCTCCCCATTGTACTCCGGGGTTTGACAGGAGAGCTGAGAGGGATCCTAGCTGAGCAGGAAAAGCAGACCTTGATCCTGGGACAACTCTTAGCAACGATGGATCGCCTGCCCTCGCGGGAGGGAAATGGGTGGATCGCCGAAGTGCGCCTTCGTCGCCCTGGGCATGCAGACCTTGGCGATCAAACGCAATCCCAGAATCGCGCAAGCCGTTCTGATGTAGCCTCTGGCTAGGGGGTTCCCGCAAGGGCCCTCCACGGTCTGACCGAACAGGACCGTGGGACAGTACTTCAACGTGCTGTCCCCCAGCGAGCAACTCGCACCTCATCGTGGTGCTGGGGTCTAGTAGCCTCGAGTAGGTGAAGCCAAGACGAGTTGTAATCTGCCAGGTACGTTTTCTTCTTGTTACCCTGACGGCATCTTGTTGAGAAACCTGATTATGATTTCCTTTTTCTTTCCATTTTGCTGTTCCCATTTCGCCCCACGTCTCCATTTTTGGCTTTACCTTCAATGAGACGCAGACAGTCTCGTAGTCCATGCGCAATGTTCTTGCTATCGGTAAGATGCGTACACGCCATTCTTTCCCAGCTCAACAGCAGACAACGGGTGTCACGCCTCGACGCCATGTTTCACTGTCGTATCTTCGTTCCACGTATGTACCTGCCAGTCATGTAGGAGAATGTTAGCACGACGGGAGCATTTCTGTTCATAGAACTGAGTACATATTCTCCATAGCTCTACCTTCATTCGCTTTGACATGATTCCTCGTCACTTATACCTGTATATGTAGCAAGGAACTGTCGGCTGCAATTTATCCAAAGGTGCGGGTAATGTTAGGTTAATTGCTCTTTCGTATAAATTTCTTTGATCCTCCGCCAGAAGTCTCTCGATGTGCTCTATCGGCGTTTGTCGACAAGCCACCAGCCATCAAGGTACATGTATCAACTGGGAGTCGGCATGGAGATCACGTGCATGAATCTTATAACGTTTGAGCCACCATTTGATCTTCGTTGGCTCAAAGAATGTTCCGACCTGGCACCTCCATTTACCTATCCGAGCAATGGGTCAAATTATTTCTTACATTACGGGGTTTTGGGCGGTCCCACCGCTCCTGAATCTGCCAACCGAGATCATTTTGCTGATTGTATCGCACCTCTCTTCATCCCCGGAATCCCTTGTCGCCCTGTCGCTAACCTGCAAAGCCCTCTCTTCGATTCTTGATAGGGATGCAGTGAAACTTTGTGAGAAATCACGGCGCCAGCTTCTGTTATTGCTTGAGAAAGATCTTGGCAGTAGATTCTTCTACTGCTCAGTCTGTTGCCAACTCCATCATTTCTCGCAGCAGTGGAGTCCCATTACTGCAGACTATCTCTGGATGCCTAAAAGTTGTATTGACTACTACTACAATAAAAACTTTCGACCAACTCCTGCATTGTTCGGAGTTCCTGTAACCCACCCCTATGAGCTGTACGTATTTATCATCGGACGTGCTTGGCCTCAGCCGCCTAATATGAAGAATAGAAATTACCTATATGGGCGCCTTGTTATGAATCGTCACCTCCATGGTTCTCCAAAAGGGTTACCTCTGAAAAGCCTCCAACATCCCACCCTAGTGGCCAGTTGGGGCGATGGGCCATTATGGCTAGAAACTCCGTCCCCAAGGATAATTGGCGATGAATTATTCCTCTGTATTACGCATACACTTGCAGGAGAAGCGGCTACACTGCGAGATGCGATTGATGAGGGGCGGCACGGCATCTGCATGCATGTCGCCACGGATCCAGTTGATTTGTGGAACACACACCGGCGCGATGTCTACAGGATGCCAGAGTTGTTTGAACCCGAGGGGAGCAAGGCACAAAGGCCGCCGCCTTTTGAAGAATGCCGAGACGTGCCGGGATCCTGCACTGTGTGCTTGACTGACTACATCACCACAATTGAGCGTGCCAAGGTGCGCGAAATTACTCAATGTCAAACTTGTAAATCCAGTGTCAGTATTATTGGTTCTGTATATGAGCACATAGCATCAGCTAATCAGGAGACCAGGTTTCTATTGAGCCGCCGCTCGATGGTTGGTCTATCACGATTACTGCCTACCATCAGTTGGGACGTTGTCGCGACCCAGAGGATTGGAAATGGGTATCTTTCTTGGAATCCCCACTAGACCGAATACTCTCCAAGAGCCCAGCCAAGCGAGATATGGCCGTTTACCCTCCTGGTGTAATAAGGAGGAAATGGCAAACTGTGGAGTCACCAATCGAGGGGTTAAAGCACCACAAGAAAGTATGGACGGAAATCCTAGGCGTGTTGCTCTAATGGCACTTTTTGATGGCGGTATGTGAAATCTATCTTTAGCAATAGACATTCCTATCCCTTTGAGCTGATTGTCTTTCCCCGTCTCTGTAACTGAAGCAGAAGCTGTACCAAACGTCTCGCTACATTATTAGATAGTAGACTCCTAATAGTAATATCTGAGCAATCGTCTTGCGATCAAATAGGGTACATGAATGAGTAAATCTTCCCAATACCAAGACTTCTCATCTGAATAGCTACACGAAGGTTATAGACATTAGAATAGTAACAGAGCTGCATTTAAGCCATTCGTGTTCTACATAGCGTCTTTGCTTCAGGTTGACGATGATATAACATCTATGTAATAGTCCGCGGGGCGCCTTTTGCCATGGGTTGAAAATGGAATGGCTCGCTGCGCTATAACAAACTTGACCACATTTACAATAGCTACAACCACTCTATTGTAACGATTAAAAGTATAAATATTTTAAGCCAATGAATCATTATAAAAGCGCTTTGGCCGAGCATTTGCTCTGCAATTTTTTGGCGACTTGACTTTTTGGTTTGCGTACTACAACAGAACCTGCGATCCGATTGAGCATCTTGGTTACCACAGACTCCCCGTTAGTAATACTATTAAAACGTACTGTATATACCTTTTTCTCATCTTTTGCGACTCGAATACGTATGGGATTAGTATTTTATCCAAGACATATGACTATTTACCAACCAGCAACTAGTCAGCCGTTATCAACACGTCACTAAAAGTTTACGCACTTCAATATTTCGTTGGGATTTCCAGGATGCAACTCCTTGCAAGGCTCATGGTTTTTGGCGCTGTTTCAATTATTGTCCGCGGAGCAGGGCACGGCGAGCACTGCAAGAATGATGTCGAGTGCTTATGCACGCCAGCGGAATGTCTATGCGACAACAACAATGGCTGCCCGGGCAAATGCGTCGCTACTTTTGGTGCTCGCAATTGGGGAAACAGACCGGGCGAATGGTGTCGAAATAACGGAGATTGCAGACAATACGAAAGACATTTTGTGGATTGCGTAAAGAGCGGTTGCGACGGGACGTGTGTGATGCTTTATTCCGAGGGCTTGTAAATATTTGTACCTAGGCCTCAATTGAATCCATGAAAGCGCAAGTCGTAAGAAAGAGACTGATTGAGCTGTCGACAATTACGTTTGCGTACACCAGTGTCAGCAAATTGATGGATGATTTGACGCATGTTGGGTCAATTACATCTGCTATTATTGTATTGGGAATATAGCTTCCGCACCGATGTTTTTATAAATCGTCGAGCATTCTTGCCGCCACATGCTTTAACCATGTTCAGCGATTGAGTGCATATTTCCTTAAGCTAATGAATTCATCTGCATCTGGATCTAAATCTTCAAATGATTCATTTTAACTGGCCAGGAGCGATCTCCCCGGCCGCAACGCAATAGAGTCGCAGTCGATGCACTTCGAAGATGTAATCGCCGCATACAAGTCGCCACTTTCACCAGCGTTACCCATATTTACCCGCCATTCGGTATAATGACGTCTTCGGATCGCAAGAGCCTTGCATAACAGCTGGATTGCAATAAAAACCAGCTTCAATAGAGTTAAATACAAGTCTTTTTCTCTCTCTAATTATCATTTTATCCTCTCAATCAGTGACTAGTATAACCTGACAATCAACATGGCAAGCACACATAATCTCAAAAGACAGTCGCTCTTTGACCTCTCCGGCAAAGTGGCCCTTGTCACCGGTATGTCCAGCTTCATTCTTGTTAATGGCATAAAATGAAACAGCACCGTTAATATCAACATTACCAGGCGGTGGCTCCGGAATTGGCCTCATGGCCGCACAAACCCTGGCCGCCAATGGCGCAAAGGTCTACATCTGCGGCCGCACCAAAGAAAAGCTCGACAAGGCCGCATCAACCCACGGCGAAGGCGCTCCCGGTGAAATCATCCCCATCCGAGCAGACGTCAACTCCAAGGACGGCATCAAAGTCCTCTTTGAAGAAATCCAGTCACGAGAAAAGTGTCTCTGCATCCTCGTCAACAACGCCGGCGTCAGTGGCGAGAAGCACACCACCGCAGAAGCGAATTCCGCAGAGGAGCTGAAACAGTCACTCTTTGACAGCGATTCGTCGACGTTTGATGACTGGCTTGAAACGTATAGGACTAATGTCACGGCAATGTACTTTACCACTGCTGCTTTTCTGCCGCTGTTGCAGAAGTCGACTGAGACTCATACTGGGTGGTCATCTACCGTTATCAACATCACTTCCATCTCCGGCTTAATCAAGACCAGTCAACACCACTTCAGCTACAATGCATCAAAAGGAGCGGCTGAACACTTGACGCGCATGATGGCTGCGGAATTTGCTGCCGCTGGGCTCAAGATTCGCGTTAATAGCATTGCGCCGGGGGTTTTCCCTAGTGAGATGACGACTGGAGAGAGCGACGAGAGACAAAAGAGCCAGCTGGATAGTGAGAGGTTTGAAAGCATGATTCCTGCTAGGCGGCCGGGAAAGGATGAGGACATGGCGCAGGCGGTGCTATTTCTGGCTGGGAATCAGTTCGTCAATGGGCAGAGAGTGGTGGTTGACGGAGGGCATACGCTCGCCGATGGAATGTAGCCCAGGTAGTTGCGAAAATGAATATACAATAAAAGCGAGGTGAAGTTCAATGCCTCGAGATACTGTGACTTGTCTCAAACTGCACTCATAAACTACCATTAGCAGCCAAGAGCCAACCATTAATCACTTGCACTCAAAAGGCTCGTTTGCACTCATATATTTATTCAAGTATGTACTCAGCCAGCAAATTATCACACGTAATTAACTAATATCGCCCAAATTCCTGATCATCACTTCATGTCAAGCGGCGACTTTAAACTCTGTACTAGCGCCTGTCGATCGCCCAAGTTTATCTTCGCCGGCTATCCAGAGAGCCATATCCAGGAGATTTTCATCCGTAATGCATAATGGTATAAATGTTTAATTATTATTCAATTTTAATCTCGATGGTTTTTTCAGTCTTCGTTTTCAGTGGGGCCAATGCTGCACACAGCGACCATTGGCAATATCCTTTGAAGAGCGATGCCGTGTCGTATGCGTCATGTCCGGCCAAAATGAGTGACATCACGGAAACGCAACCCTGTCAGCATTCAATGAAGCAGTACTATAAAACAAGCTCAAACAAAACGACATGTAATTATAAAATTGTATAAATACTCAATTGAAAAACCATGCTCAAGACCGCTACCTGCCGCTCTCTAAAGCAATTAATCCCCAGACCACACTTAGCTTGCACGCATCTTACACGCAAATACCCTGCAGTAAACCACAACTCAAAGTTTCCAAACAAATTCCACACAATGTCTCGCACTGAGTCAGGCAGCTTTAAACCGGTAGAGGAAGCCCAAAGACAAGATCTTCCAGGGTAAATTTTGTCATTTCCAAAGAATTGAAGCCCCCTGCTGATACCAGTACGTTCAGACTGGAAAAGGACATGAAGCCCACAAGCGAGGCAACTGCTCTTGAAGGCAAACATGAGCACCACGAGTATCTCGCAGCAGGAAAGCTCAAAGGCAACAAAGCACTCATCACCGGCGGAGAGTAAGCACACCTATACTTCAATTCATAAGCCCAGATGGCTTATTCAACGAAACAGCTCCGGCATAGGCCGCTCCGTCGCCGTCCTCTTCGCCCGCGAAGGCTCAGACGTCACAATCGTCTACCTCCCCGAAGAGGAAGAAGATGCCCGCGAGACCAAGAAAATGGTCGAAAAGGAAGGCAAGCAGTGTCTCCTCATCCCCGGCAACCTCATGGACAACGAAACGTGCCGCAAGGCCGTCGAGCAGCACATGCAGCAGTTCGGCGCGCTGCACGTGCTGGTCAACAATGCCTCGAAGCAGATCATGTGCGAGGACATTGCCAAGATTGACCTAGATGATGTGGAGAGCACGTTTAGAAGCAATATTTTGCAAATGTTTGCTGTGACCAAGTATGCGGTGCCGCATATGGAAAAGGGCGGCTCGTGAGTTTCTCCCCCCTCCACTTACACGCCTATGGACGTTGCTAATGTGAGGTTGATTTGCAGCATCATCAACACAACCTCGACTGTTGGGTTCCGAGGCACTGCGGCCATGGTGGATTACGCGTCTACCAAGGGAGCCATTACTTCATTCACGCAATCGCTGGCAAAACAACTCATGCCAAAGGGCATTCGGGTGAATGCCGTAGCCCCTGGCCCGGTGCATACGCCTCTGCAGCCTGCTTCGCGCCCTGCTGAGCAGATGGAGGGCTTTGGAGCCAAATCCGGGATTGGGAGGCCTGGTCAGCCGAGCGAGATTGCGCCGTCTTTTATATTTCTTGCTTCCAAGGATGCTGAGCTGTATTATGGACAGGTTTTGCATGCTTATCCGCTAGGCGACTAGGTTGAGCAAGGAGAATGGTGTCGTCTGTATTTGATAATGAAAATACGTAAGAAGCCGTGAATGCCAGTAAAAATATACTTTTAAATGCATCAATTTATCGTCTAGTCATAACGTCATACTTATCGCTTTAGCCAGCTATCTTACACACATATTGTCCATGACTCCTAAAGCAATGGCCTTTAAACCGGCTGAAGATGCTCCCTTCTCATAATGCCCAGGCCCATGATCCATCTTATACCCGCAGAGAACATAGAAAAAGAAATTGTCCGCGATTGCTACACCCAAACTTACCACCTTTTTTGCCTCCCACTTTGCTTACATCTGGACGCGGAGGAGGTAGCGCAGCTTGACCTGCGAAACGTCGTAGCAGATAAACTCGTTGTACTGGAGGTATGCGCCGTCGACGTTGGTGGCGCACGGCTTCTCAGTAATGTCGGGCTATTCATGAATCAGCAAATAACTCAGAAAGGGAACAATGGGGGACATCAACTTACCATCTGGATGCCCTTGAGGCTCTCGTGCACCACGCCCGCATCCATCCACTTGGGCGGCGCCGTCATGCCCATGCCCCAGGTACTTTCCATGCCACCCTTCTTGGCCGTGTTGCCGGCATCGTAGCTGGAATTGGTCAACTCCTGCATGGGATCGCCCAGCCTGGCCTCGCAAAGAAGCAAGAGGGCCTGGCCACCAGAGATGTACGAGCAGCAGTAGTTGGCAGACTTGGATGCCATGTCGGCCAAGTAGATGCCCTTGCCAAACATGTAACCAGAGACGGGCGCTTCCGGGGGGGCGATTCGCAGACCTTGACTGAGAATACCACCAAAGTTTGTGGCGCGCGAGCCGTGCCAGAGGAGGCGGCTGTTTGCACCAATCTTGCTCTTCTCTGCGTATTCGTCGAAGCGCATACCTTCGCCTTGTCTTTCGACGCGGAAAATATCTTGGACTTTGTAGCTGTGATTATGGGTGTCGCCCTTGGTGCCGTTGAGGTAGTCCGACAGATACTTGAACTCGGTGCTAGTTTGATCCAGCGGAGTCATTTCATTGAGGCCCAAGCTCTTGAACTGCTTGTCCAGAGGATGAACATTGTCCGTCGATTTGCGGTCAATCTTCATAATCTCCGCAGCATCCTTCATATCCGACAAGCTCTCCAGCAACTCTATTTCCTTTTTGAGCAATACATTGTCTCGGATGATCGGGGGGCGATTGCGACCAAACGCGTGCGGAATAATGGAGTAGTACGAGTTGGATAAATGCTCGGTGGCGTTGGCCACAGTCATGTTCCACTTGCTCTGGGCAAGTGTCGCATCGTCCATCAAGGCTGCGAGGTCTTTCAGCTGTTGAAAGCCGCGTGTGATGGTTGCCTTGCTGAGCTTTCCCAGAGGGAGCTTGTTCGCATCGTAGTTCAGGGCAGTCATAGTGGCCTGGAAATACTGCTGGTTGAAAATAAGCTCCATGAGCGACTTGACCTCGGGTTGCAAGGTGCAGTCCGCAATCTTGATCTCCTCATCCTCTTTCTTGACGCCCTTGCCATCGGCATCATCATCGGCATCATCTTCATCATCCGAATCAGGGTTGTAACTACGCTCGACAAAGGCGTATTTTCCGGGCTTTGGATTATCACCTCTGTTGTCCCAGGTCAAGCCGGACTTGTCTTTAAACTTTTTCTCAAAGTTCCTGAGTGCGTCTGCAACGGTGCCGTTACCAAGAAGGGCACTTTGACCAGTTTCACCAACGCGGCCCCACCGAGTCCATGTCTTGTATGACTTGGACTTTGGCTCGAAAAGGACCTGAGGGATATGCCGTTAGTACGCTCTGCTGCGAATGTGAGACGGGAATCAAACTTGCCTGCACACGGTAAAACTTATTGTTGTTGTGTGATGCATTCGCTTGGTTGAGGGAAGCATCGTAGATCAATCCGCTGTCTGGATCGATATGCACCTGGTAGGTGGAGTTGAGCGGGCAGTGCTCATCCACAGGAATAGCCACATTCTTCTTCTTGATGAACTGGCCTTCAGCCACCTGCTTCTCCTCTTTGCTCTCGGGCTTGTCCTCAGCCTCGGCTTCAGCTTCGGGCTCAGCTTCGGGCTCAGAGTCGGCCTTGGCAGCTTTTGCCTTGCCCTTGGCCTTGGCGCCCTTGGTCTTTGCCTTTTTGGCCTCGGGCTCTGCGTCATCGTCGCTCTTGGAGACCATCAGGGGCCGCTTCTTGCCATTGGCCTGTGAGTCGCCAGGCTTAGCGCTGTTGCTGCCCCAGACATGATCCTGCGGGTCAATGGCCGTGTTCTGCTTCTCGGACTCGAAGATCCACTCGGGGCTGACCAAGGGCAGGTCCTTGGCCTTGCCAGCAGCCACCTTGGCCGTGTTGCTGTTGTAGTCGTCTTCGGTGCAGACCACGTGGGTGGTGGTCTTGGTGACGCTCCGGGTGACGCTGCCGCCCAGAGACCGGACGAGCTGCTCCAGCGAGGCGTGGGTGTGCTTGGAGTTGTCAAACTTGCCGCTGATGGCGAGGACACGTCCGTCCAGCGGAGGCGTTGCGGGTGCAGCAGGTGCAGCGGCAGCGGCAGCTTTTCGACGGGCCATGATGATTGTGACTGTGAAAATATATAGTATTTATGGAAATGGGTGAATGCGAAGAAGAGTATGCAGGGAGAAGGAGAAGGAGGTTGAAAGAAAAGAAAAGGCGGAGAGGAGGAAGAGTACTGATGCCAGTGGTCTAATAGTGCTGGCGGTCTTTCTGGGACTTAGACAAGCAAGGATGCTCGTTTCAACGACGCTGCCTGCGCAATTCGATTCAATGCCACGGCACAAAGCAGAAAACGCGTCAACAAGACTCAATTGACTGCTCAATGGCTCAGGAAACGAAAGGAAAAGCTCAAGCTGGACGCGGCTTGATGCCGCCCTTTTAAATGGTTTGCAGCTTAGCTCGTCTCGCCAGCTGTGCAGCCGCAGTTACTCGATTAGGCCCTGTCGCTGGACCTCAGCGCCCCAGAGCTGCCTACTTTAGTGGAGCGCTCCCCCGCCAGCGATTGCCGCTAGCGGTGGCATCCGGCCAAGCTGAGCTTCTCGAGCGCCACTTCGGAACGGCTCCAGGCACCAGCGCGCCTAGACCTCGCTGGGCGGCGGCGCGAGACGACCGCGACGTCACGTGTGCCGCTGGGCGCTGGGTTCTGAGTGGTCTTGCTGCCTGGAATTTATGGGGGGGTGATACAGAGCTCTGAGCTTGTTTAGCTAACCGGTGGCTGATGCGGGCAATTTTAATGAAGTTTGGCTAGCAGTTTTGTTGGGGCTTGCAGTGGAATTACAGAGATGGATGTTGATGCCGCGATAAAGCGCTCAATGCGGCAATCGCCGACACGTGTTCCCTAACATTATTTCATTCAATTGGCGCATTGCGGCTAATAAAGATGCGCAATCGAAGCGACATACATGTAATCAAGATTCGCGAGAGCACCACCGAGATGGCAAAAATAGAACGATAAAAAACCCCAATCATTGACACCATCCACTGAAACCAACACTCTAACGGCATTCGTGCGGCTTCTTGACCGAGTTGCTGCACCACGGCGTGCTTGGCGAGCCCGAACAGCAGCGCACCGACCGAGCCTCGTGGTTCCATTGGATCCGCTTCTTGCTGGTTCCCGGACAGAGCCACGACGTCCAAAGGTGCTGGCCGGTGAAGGCGGCCGTGTGGTGGTCTTTGCAGTCGGGATAGCTGTAGAGGAGTCATAAGTTAGTCTAGCTGTCTAGTGCAGACGGTAATATATATATATGGATATGGTAGACATGACGCATCCTGTAGATGATGGGAGCAACGCATAAACTCACGTAAAAAACATGCAAGCCCCGCCCTCTACTCCCACGTCCTCCACCAGCTCTGACATTTTGGGATCCAGAACCCCAAGGTTATCTACACAAGATATGTTTTAGCCCCTTTATTCTTTTAAAATCCATGCCAAAAAAAACAAAAACTCACAACACGAGCCGTGCTTCAATTCCCTCGAGAAACATGTATCCGGCCTGGTGTAATCGAGGCACCACGAAAAGGTAACGTCGTCGACCGGACGGGGCTTCTCGGGAGGCGATCTGGGGAGACCCGACGCTATATCTTTGCCCTCGTCATGGCCTGGTGGTGGGCTGCGGATGCGCAGAGGGGAGCCGTGTGAAGCAAGGAGGAGGACGGAAAGGGAGACTGTCGAGACCTTCATGGCGATGTATCAAGGTCCTAGGATCAAGAGAATAGTCGATTTAGTCGGTGATGAGAAAAGACGTAACATGAGAAGAGAAAAATCATTTTGAACAGCTGGCTTTTAAATAAATGCCTCTCCACGCAAATGTGTTGCTCCTCTCAAGTCTCCATTCAAGTGGCTTGTAAAGAAAGTCAGATTCTCGTATACACCAGCCATTGCGATAGAGGCACGTGGTGTCCATCTGTAAAGTTCTATAGAATATAACTTCTGAGTCACAGAGCCAGCTGTATTTTCTTTAAAAGTGGCTACATGTACGCCGTGGAAAGCCTCTTTGCTGGAGCTGTACAGCTAAAATGTGGAACATTTTGCAAATTGGTCTCGGCATTATGAGCCATCTCGACATCATCAGCCATCCCCATCTACCGTATGCTATTCATAGTAACAAATCTCTAGCCGGCGGCTTCACCCGATCTGGATCCCACACTATCGACATGCAGGTACGAATGCATCCTGGTGTTGGTTTTTCGCTAATAGCACTACCTAGTAGCAACACATGTTGCAGCCATTCTTTACGTAGCAATAATTGTCAATTTATTCTTGAGAGCCCAAATCAGCCGGGCCGATATTGATAGACAGCAAACCTAATTTACACCCAAATGTCATAACTCGTAAAGTGCCAAAATCGCCTCATTACCCAGCCAATAGCTAATCTTTCTTCAAATCCATCCAGTCTAGTTACTCATCCATTTCTTCGTCTTCGTCATCTTCGCTAAGGTCTTCTGGTTCTTCGTCAGAGCTAAGTCGATCCACTATATAATTAAACAATAAAGTTAGCAATCAAAATTTCAAAAAAGAATAGTAGAAATAGTAGAAATAGCGAGACACTCACCGCCCTCATCAGGGTTGATTATGTGCAGTCGGGGCATCATTTCATGGCGCACAAAATGTCTCCAGTCTGAGCCCGTATATTCCATCGAGTTATTTGTTGGCCTTCGTCTGGTATGCTGAGCAGCCGGGGCGGCTGCGTCTTTCTCGCCATCCGTGCTGGCCGGCTCGTCTTTGGTGAATTCTATGGCTTGCATCTTATTGTACCTGCCGCTGACATCTAGCATCTGTTGGAGCATGCCCAATTTGATATGTCGGAGATTGAGGTTTGGTATAGCCAAAAGCCTCTTCAGGAGGCTAATGTATAAATTCTGCTTCTTCTCCTCCATGTCGACATCAGTGCCCGGATCGGCCATCAGTTGGAATCTCCATAATTCCAGGCGCTGGAGTGAGCCGGCAAACTTGGTGATGAGCTGAACGGTCTCGTCGAGAGTAAGAGCCATCATTCCCAAGCTGAGGTTGGACAGCTGCGGAAATTCGACTGCAGGGGGAGCATCTTGGCTATCTACCGAGATGTCGGCCGATTGGAGCTGCGATAGAGGCTTCGCTTCTGATGATGCGAGCCAGCTCATAAAGAGATGGAGGTTCAGACGACTGCCTTTGCTGTAACTGTTGCGTTTCCCATTGATGCGGAGTTCTTCCAGGCCTTGGCAATGGCTAAGAAATTTGATGAGATTTTTCTGGTGATATGGCTGTGCAGCATGGGGGGCAGTAGCCCAGTAAACGTCAATGCAGAGGTGCAGCTTTTGGAGATTTCCAAGAACAGGAGCATAGGCGGCTTCGAAATCTGGGTGCAAGTGAAAAGCAGAGTCGAACAGCAGGTTGCCGTTCCTCTCCATGACTTCGAGATTCTTGAGTCTCACATTCGCCAGGCCCAGGCCGTGGATGATGGCCTTGAAGAGGACGTTGGCTCTGTCAAGCAGGGCCGCACTGCCCCAGTTGAAAAGCTGGCTGGTGACTGGATGAGCACCAGTCTCTCCGGCAAGCGTTTGGGAGCCGTAGCTGCGCCACTGCGCGCGAGGGCCATCCCGAGACCTCCTCGTCGAGTTGAAGTCGCGGAGCGCAACCGTCTCCAGATTCGGCAGACGAGAGAAGGCATCAGCGAGATATTTGGAAACCAGCCCCAGTGTCCAAAGAGTGCTCTGCTCGGCCAGGCGTTGCTGGTACAGGCTGCGAGTCTTTGGCGACATGGTCACGCGAGAGCTGGCCGTCTCGTCGACTTGATCGAGGCTGATGTGTACATGGCGCAGATGGGCAGCGAGACGGCTTTTGGAGATGTCGATGAGGGCCTTGAGGCTGAACTCGGAAACCATGAACTGCTTGCGCGTGAAGAATTCCGAGGTGAATCTGAAATGGACGGCCCGCTCGGCAGATTTGCACGTAAGGCGAAAGTTGCAGAGCTCTGTCGTGTGGAGATGCCAGGTGATTCGATCGAGGATTTCTGGCGGCACCTGCAGAAGGGGCAGAGCTGCCGGCGATTCAGCATCGCCGACCATGATTGCGAGGGCGGGTGAAGGAGATGAATGGAGGTGCGTCGAAGAAGTGGGTGATGAGAGGAAGAGGGGAAGATGGAAAGCAAGCAAGAGAAGGAAAAGGAAATATATGGATATGGCGTGTTACACCAGAGCCTTGCTGTTTGTACGCGGACTTATATACATGTAGCCCGGTCGGGGCGCCAGATTAGGCTGCCAGTGCTAGCTGGAGCTCTAGAGCTCAGCTCCAGCTGTGGCCCCCACTTGCAGGGCCTTGAGCGGGGCCCGGGCGCCTGAAGAGCAACAAGCTTGACCTAACTTGATTAAATCAGTCTGGCAACAATGCCCCTCGATGTACCAGTGATGTGGTGCTCGGCCGCATAGCCGCAATTCGGATCAATGCTGGCAAGGGGTGCGAAGAAGAAGAGGTTAAACACATTTTTTAATTTTACACACTAAAATACCACTATAGTATTTGATACTTGCTACTGCTGCTACTGCTGCTACTATTCCTACTACTACTACCATCAGTAGGCTATATCTAATATCTAGTGTTGAATAATAAATTCCAGGTACTAGATAAAACAGCGTTTATATTTTAAACTTGTGTGTACATTTTTATTTTACAGTCCTTATTTTTCTTTACCCTTGCCTCGGCGGCACTCTCTGCATGTATAAAAAACACCACATACCTTACCTACCCTACGAGCAGACATAAGCGCTTGACCGGGACCCTCGCAGCACCAGGCTGGGGCACTACCCAAGCCGGCTGCCGGGTGCACGGGCTCGACTTGGCAGTAACTCAGTGCTGGATTAGGCACACCGTGCACACCATCTTGAATGCCGGGACTCATCAACAGTCAGTTGCCTCTGCTGCTTGACCCGTGACCGGGCTGACAGAGGGCGTCGACGGGGGTACGGCATGCCTGTTTGGTAATATGCGTGTGAGAGGGGATTCAATGTCCAGAATAGGTATATGTACAAGTGATGCCCACTGCATACATGTACTCTAGGTACCTACCAAGCGTACATGTATGCAGGTAGGCAAGGCACAGGCAAAGGGGCCAACAAGTGGTATATTGCCTACTACTACGACTACTGCCTACATATAGGTCCTTGATGTTACTATAGCGGTAAAAGAGCAGCTCTTGAGCATCACAGATTGCAAATTACCGATTGCTTCATGGCGAGCCAGCAACTCGGTAAGTTGGCCACCTGTTGATGCTACCAACGCCGTTTCGGTCAAGTTGAGTATTGACCTACCTAGGCAATTCAGAGCTGTCACTTTGCACAGCATGCCTCACTTATCAACTCGCAAGTGAATAGCCTTCCCCCTAAAAGGCTTCCCCTAAATACATTAGCCTACCCCCCCTCCTCCTTATCAAGCAAATGCAGTAAAGCTTGGAGAAGGCTTGGCTCTTTTGGTGAATGGTGTGTGTATATATGCAATAGCAAAACAAATGCCCATAAATATCGACGAAGTGGTGCAGTTATATGCGTATAATTGACCCGCGTGTGCTCAAATCCCTCCTTTTCCCTGTTATCTGGTAAAAGCGGCACGTGCACTCCCAAAGGATTCGGTTGTCAGATGCTTGTACGGATACGTGGGCTTGAGTACCCTTATAGGTATAACCCTAAATCCTTCGGAACATCTGACGCTACGCTCGTGGGGCATCGTACTACCAGAGATTTCGTTGCTCGGCATAATATCTACTTGCGCGCGTCTTTGATGTCAATACTACCTCGATTCGTACAACCATGCCAGTGGACCCTACATATTTCTCCTCGAGTTGTCCGGCTCTGATACCGTACTAGTACCTCGAAACATTGGCCAGTGGATTTGGTCCCAATCTGATCGAATCATTTCCTTAAAAGGGCAGTTAGCTACCTACTCCTCACCTTGTATCATAGGGAGCATACCTATAGAGAGGCCCACTGGCCAAAGTTTCGAGGTAACACGGTACATCTTGCCCCAGTGTATCGGCTTTATATCTGGGGAGTGCGATATCCCGATATCCTTCGACGAATACAACGGAATTTAAATAAGCAGCATGTATTGGTTAAGGCGGCAACAGAGGTAATACAAGAAAAAGGAATACAAAGACAAATTAACCATTACAACTTCCTCATTCCGTGTCATTCTAGTCGCCGTAGACGATGTAGGCGACTCCAGGCGGTTTGCTTCAGAAGACTTGTCGGCTTCTTCCGCCAAAAGTCCGGTTCATTCCGCTTATACACAGGCTTACTCATCGAGGGATATCGGATTCCCTGCCCCTAATTCCGTATGATTACTCACGATATAACCTCCCTGCTCATCACTTCATCGGGAAAAGAATCTGACTTCTTAATGTATGATATTATTCCGAGTGAATATAGTTACGTCCGACTGTAATTGTTATCAATATCCTACTCGAGCACTATCGATGTAGCAGTAGTACAATAGACCGTAATAACATGCGTATCTTATTCAATATGCCAAAGTATAGTACAGTAGTAGCCAAAAATTCTCCGACCACTTTACACGTTGCACCAAAATATCAAATATTCCACTCCGTTTGTCATGGGACGAGTGAGGAACCTCTACGGCACAAAGCGTAGGGACCTCGAGTGAGAAATGATAAGGTTTATAGGGAGCTTGCTACCTATATACCTCTAAAAACCGATCTGGGACATCCTTCCTCTGGGGATGATGGCCTAAAGTCTCCGACCACTATACAATTAACATCAAGATATCACAATCTCCATTCTGTATCCACCACAATTGCTATTCTTCCTCTTCTATAATAAGCGAGAAATGTAACTTGACAGCCTACAATTTTACATTGCGCACCAAGGTTTCTAGGAACCGTTTCTACATGGAATTGTCTTCGGTGACTCCTCTGGTGAATCTCTTTATGCCTTTAAAGGGCTTACGGAGGCCGGAACATCTACTACTTTCACTTCCTAGACGAACTGAATGCATTTTCTCTTTTTACAACTTCATTTCTTTCTTTATTCTTTTTTTTCTAAAACCTCCCCTCAGCCCAACTCAACACACTACACGAAAAATCAAAATATAAAAAATTCCACATCCAACAAGTTATTCAAAACTCATGGTATATCCTCCCTCACAGCTCAAAAGGTAAAACAACAACGAGTGCACGAATAGCAAAAGAATATCCAAAAACAACGAAAGAATCAGAAACGAAAAAAAAAGAACGTGTGTTGTCCGTCTATCTAGAAAAGCTGCAAATGACAGGTCGCAGAAAAACGTATAGCTTTAATAAATGTATAAGTAAAAAAAAAAAAAAGACAAGACTCCAACACCATTTTCGTCCGTTACAGAATGGTATCATAAAATCAGAGAAGCCAGCCAGCTAGCCCGCGCGGTTCCCTCATATTCTATATCGGTCGAGAATGGAGAGAAAAGTAAGAAAAAAAAAAAAATCGCTCCTTCTTTTTTTGGGTGATTCATGACACAAGATTGCAAAGGGCGTAAATCTCATCTCTCTCTTGGCGTGGAAAACGTTTTAAAAAAATGCCGTCATATCATTTCGTCAAGTCATATCCGTGTTTGTAGATTCCATGCATATGCGTCATGTAGATGCAAAAACAATCAAAATTGATAAATGACAAATAAAAAGCAAGGATGAATCATGGTGAATCATAATAGCCAAGGGTATATCTGGGAATCCAAGGCTATCGTATCTGGAAAGTTCAGGGGTATATCTGAAAGTATCCGAAATTGGACAGCTGCATGCAAGAAACTGCAAGGTTTAGCTGAGGCCCATAAACTCATTTTGTCGTAGGAAGCTCGAGGCAAGCTCGTCGCCGCCCTGCTCTGCCGCTTCCATCCAGTGGACAGCGACGCACATCAAACCAGGATCAGTCCTGACGTCGCCTTCGGATCCACCCGCGAGCTGCCCGTCTCCAGAGCTGCCATTTCCAGATCCCGGGCCTCTAGAGGAAACACCTACGCCGCCGAGTCCGCCTGCACCAGAGCCGCCAAGGCTGCCTCGGGTGCGGCCATACTTCTCCATGACCGATTGTTTAAACACTTCCCTTGGTTTGGACAAGGGCAGCGTTGTTCTTTCAACGTATTCAGGGTTTGATAAGTAGAATAAGGCTAGCTCACGTTGCGCCGTGGGGTAGCCTTCTTTAGCGGTAATCGTCCACATTTTACCAACGTCGTTTAGTCCATACGTAGTAGATGGGGGTGGCGGAGTGCCGGTGGTTGACTGAGGTGTGTCGAGAGGAGCAGCACCGTCATTTGTTGTCTGGCGAGTATGCGAATGGGCCGCAATCACTTCGTCTGCCATCTCCACCATGGTTCGGCACACCTCAGACTTGAGCTTGAGTGCAGCAAGTCCGGCGTTCCAAAAAGCCTTTCCCTTCTCTGGCTTATCCAGAACGGAAGGGGGCACAAAGGCAGCGATGAACTGCAGGTCGCGGAAGAGAGACTTTGGCCGAATTGACGCATCTCGGAAGAGGGTAAAAAGCTCCTTGGTGATGAGGTCCGAATTGGAAGCACCGCCAGAGACGATGGATCGTGTCTCAGAATTGGATTGCCGAGAGGGGAACGAGGAAAATCCTACCGACGGAAGTCCCGACTGGATGGCTTGCTGTCGCCGCTCCTTGACATTGTCAATCATGCCCTCCAATGGAGTGGGGCGGGTGCTGGATCCGTGATCTTCCACTATGCTAGAGCCTGCGTCAGATCGGTTCCACCGCGATCTTTTAGTGCCGCTCGATAGCATAGATGCGACAATGAGCTGTTCAAGCTCATTGAGGGCATTGAGCTTCGCATATGGGTTAGGATGAACACAAAACATGTTTAGAAGGCGCTTGTAGGCCTTCTTGAATGGAAACTCATTTGACGTCTCCTTGGGAGCCGGCGGCGGGTCAATCGTGGCCATGGGAGACTCCGGAGAGGCTATCGGGCTGCTTTCAGAGGGCTCCGACATCCTATCTGGCGTACCCTCGCCTGCGTTTCTCAAATTGCCAAAGCTTCTCTTCTTTTCCAGCCCTCTAGCTCTTCCTAGTCCCGACTTTTGCGAAGACTTCTTGTCAGACTTGCGGCGAG